ATGAAGAGTGCAACTTTGTGGGCTGTCGCTGCTGGTAAAGCTGCAGTCTCAGCGTGGAGTGTGAGATGATCAACTCCGACAATAATCCATTGGTTTCCAGAGCCACTATACAGGAGAGGGCCGTAGAAGTTAATACCCACGTGGTCAAATGGGTGAGCTGGGCATGGGAGCGGCTGTAACATGCCAGTCAGGTGCCGCGGGGGTGTCTTGTTTTGTTGGCACGTAAAGCAAGACGGAACGTATTTTTGCACAAAGTGATACATCCCTCGCCAGTAATATCGCTGACACAGCCTTTCGTAGGTTTTCAGTACACCAGCGTGAGAATTTTGGGGATCTGCATGGAAATTCACGCAGATGTCGAAGCGCATATGACTAGGCACTGCAAGGAGCCACTTCCGACCACCTGGCATGTAGTTTCGGCGGTACAGTATGTTGTCTCGCACAGAAAAGTGGGCTGCTTGACAGTGTAGCGCCCTTGTGGAAGGGACAGCCGAGGGATCGGTAAGGTAGTCGAGTAACAAGGCAAGGTATAGATTTTTACGCTGCTCCGAAAGCGCGTCAGTAGTGCCGAGAGGCGACATGATGGTAAAAAGGGGCGACACAGAAGCCACATCCGGTGTTATTGGTGAGCGGGACAGTGCATCAGCATCCACATGCTTGCGACCGGAACGATATAAGACACGAATATCGTATTCTTGTAATCGAAGTGCTCAACAGCACAGGCATCCTGACGAGTCTTTCAAGGTACAAAGCGAACATAGAGCGTGGTGATCTGTAACCACATCGAAAGGACGGCGGTAAAGGTGCGGGCGAAACTTTGTCAACGCCCTGATTATTGCCAAACACTTTTTCTCTGTCATGGAGTAATTTAATTCAACTTTTCTGAGAGCATTACTTGCATACGCGACTATGCTTTCAACTTGGGCACTCCGTTGTGCCAGAACTGCACCAAGACCGAAGCTACTTGTATCGATGTGAATTTCTGTGTAAGTAGTGGGGTCATAGTGACAAAGGATAGGTGGTGAGGTCAACAGGCAGCGCAGGTGGCCAAATGCGTCGTCATGTACAGGCGACCATGCAGATACACCTTTGCTGGTGGCAAGCAGACTCGTGAGAGGTGCGATGATGGACGGGAAAATACGCACAAAGCGACGAAAGTATAAGCAGGGACCAACGAAACTTCTGAGTGCTTTCAGCGATATGAGCTTCGGGAATTCGGCGACAGCTCGTAGCTTATCAGGATCCGGAAGAATGCCGCCTTTTGAGATGACATGTCCTAACATGATTAGTTTGCATGCTGCGAAGTGGCACTTATTGGTGTTAAGTTGTAAGCCTGCAGAAGTTATACACGTAAGAATTTCGTGAAGACGAGCAAGGGGTGCCTAGAAATCAGCTGAAAAGACTACAATGTCGTCCAGGTAACACAAACAAATCTTCCGCCTGTGGCCTCGCAAGATGGTATCAATCATGCGCTCAAATATCGCAGGTGCATTGCAGAGCCCAAATGGCATGACATTGAACCCATATAAACCATTGTTACAAAGGTAGTTTTAGGGCCATCAAATTCAGCCATTGGAATCTGCCAATACCCGGAATGCAGATGCAAGAAAATGTAAAGTACCCGGTGCCTTGCAAACAGTCAAGAGCATCATCTATTCGTGGTAGCGTGTAGACGTTTTTCTTTGCGATCTTGTTTAGGCGGCGATAGTCAACAAAAAATCGAATGATGCCATTCCACGCTGAAGCATGTCATGTACTTGCACCATAATGACGCGGTGCTCTTCGGCGGAAACGCTGTAAGGACTCTGTCGCAGGGGCGAGTGTGAGCCGGTGTCAATAGTATGACTGATTGTTGTTGTGCGGCCTAACAAAGGTTGTTGAAAGTCGAAAGAAGAGAGGGATTCGCTAAAGAGGGCAACAAGCTGGTGGCGATGAGAAGGGGAAAGGTCTGCGTCAAAGGCGTTGTCGAAGGCTGACGAACTTGATGGCTCAGACGCATGAGTGATTTTGGCAATGTGACAACATGGGATTTCATAGGGAAGATCGAGATCATCGATACGATTGACAGGTTGTACATATCCTAAAGTTTCCCCACGGAGTAAGCTAATGGGGTAGTTGCAGTGGTAGGTAACAAGCATTATGGTTGAACCAGATGCAATTGTGAGAACGACGAATGGCATAATGATACCCTTGCATTCAGTAAACACTGGAGATGGCGTAAACACTACAGTGGCGTCAGGTTGAGCAGCACATGAAAGGGTTATAGGGACTGAAGCTTCCGAAGGCAAGTTGGTGTCGTAGTCAACGATGAGTTTGCAGGGCAGAGGATAACGCTCGGGCAATGAAAATTCACATGTTGGTACAAGAGACACTTTTGCACGTGAAGAATCAATGATAGCTTCGTGACGTGATAGGAAATCCCAACCCAAGATGAGTATTGGTGGAGGTTGCTGAGATCCCCAAGCAGACCTGGAGCTCCGCTATCGCAAGTTGATCGAAAGACCACCGCACATCATGACTGACGCCGTCACCAACCAGCCCACCCTAGCACAGCCGGCAACATTGGCTACCCCGCACTTCTACCAATTGCGATGAGGCTTATTAAATCGGCAAAGTTGCAACAAAAAAGAGCCATACAGCAAGGCTGGCAAATGTTCTTGCGAAATCCGAGTGCGGGGCTTCTCGTCCTCTTCCGAAGGCGCATACGCATTGGTATGCATAACATACCAACGCGTATGTGTAACATATACTTATTGCAGGATGACTACTCATAACTGCTTCAATGGTATATAAACTGTGTGATGAGGGTTATTGAATCAGAGAAGTTGCATTGAAAAAGAGCCGTACGGCAAGGCTGGAAAAGGCGGCACGGGTTCTCGCGCAATGCGAGAGCAGGCTTTTCGCCCTCTTCAAAAGGCGCGTACACGTTGGTGCATATGCTCCATTTGAGCCAACACATGTAAAATCTAATATACGACCCCACTCCTTGGTGCTAAAATGTGTATATAATGCAAACTACTTTACTCATGACACATACCCTTTAATGACAGAGCTGAAGAAATATAGAAGACCTCACAAGAAATACGTACCCATACTATACATTCACAAGGTCACGAGAAATGCCTTCTGCAACTCAATGGTAAACACGAGTACCCGCTACCCCTATTTTAAAAAAATTATGCAGCCGTCCTCTATATTGTGCTAATACGTTGAACACTCATGCATGTGTTAAGCACTAAACTGAGAGAGTACCTAGGCAATGCTACATAAACCCAACATTCATTTCCGTAGTCTTTTCTATAATATATCATGCAGTTTGCTCATTTGTCAGTACCCATCTATGAGTCATGCCCCAAAGCTACGTTACAATGCCCATGATGCTATGTTAGTGATGTAATTACTGGCAACCACACCATTGAGTTAAATTGCCCTCCACCACTCAAGACGCCACTGCTGGAGTCGCTAGGTTTACTGGAAATACATGCTTTACCACATCGAAGTCAGCGTACTTAACTGCTCTTACATTGTGGTTACACAATAGTTTGCTCTGGGTACTCCACTTGGAGTCTGTTACTCATGATGAATGTTGTTAACACAGAAGGACCATAATACGTAGAGTCCAGCCTGGAGAAAATAGATTGAAAGATGACCAAAAAGTAAGAGAAAACTCATGGTTCATCACTCACTTCTGCACAAGAATTACTGATTAAATGTAGCAGAAATCTTGATAGATTTTATGTAAACCTCACCAATAATTCAATATGGTATATTCAAGACCTTAATTGCACGTGCAAGTGCCGATTTGAGGACACAATTGAACACAATCACAGCACCATAAACTTTTGCAACGAGAACACGAAAGCGGCGCTACTTTCAGATTTTACAATGAATTTCGCTTCAATGAAGTTTGCTCTGGCTACTGACACACTGCTTCCTGCTATCGCGAACGAGTATTCTGATACCGATTGGGCTCGATCGCAATCGAAAGGCGGAAGACAAATCGCAATCGAAAGTGCACCATGCGGCAACCATACGGAGAAAAGCGAGGGCTGTAACGACGAAATTGCAACGAAATCGGTTGCGTGACACATTTTATGCGATACCAATAATTTTGTCGAAAGCAACATGATTCCCAAACCGAAACAAGCGTGTATTTTGCTTAAAGCAAACAGACCTACAGGGCCCCGCAAAGTGAAAGCGATCGATGAGGAAAACGCCGATGGCGCACTCCAGCGGCACTCTGGAACATTCCAGAACAGCAATAACTGAAATCTGTGACAGTCCCCGAAGAAGCGGATGAAAAATCACGTCAGTGGTACTCACGTCCGGGTTAACAGGCGCGTAGAAATCCAAAAGGAACGTGTATTTCTCTTCGCCTCTCGCACCCACGCCGTAAGCGCAGAACGAGAGCCCGCTGGTGGTGGCCTCAATATCTGGAACCTTGAATGATAATCAGAAAACAGAGCACTGCTGGTGACTTTACATGAAGATCGCAGATCTGAACAAGCCATGAATCAATCGTTTACGGCTTATCAGCGGTTTTTTTCCTAGAGAAAAAATTATGCCGGTACTTTCACGTTCACACATCCGAATCAGCCCAGTGCGAACTTTAGTGTTACCTGAGTGTTAAACGCTGCGGTTTATCAACTGGGAAAATCGAGGCTCACCTTAACATTCCGTAAATCAACGCGCAGGAAAAGTTTAGAGTCATTCTGCGCCCAGTAAACAAACGGGCTCAGCGTTCCGGCAGCCATCACTGCGATGATGCGACTGGCGATTGGTCGCCGCATCGAACACAAGCGCACCTGACCACCAGCAAATTTTAATATAAAAATTAACGTTCTCAAAACCATAAAAAAGGTAATATAACAATATTAGGCAATTTTCAATGTTTTTTGCAAAGAATAACGTCATATTTTTTTTGTTTATTGCTGCCAAAAGGGGTTTGTGTAAGTTTTGGTTTCTACTTCTTTACAGCGAGAAATCGAAAAATCGGGTGCTCATGCAGAAGCTGCGAGTACTGGCATATGAGATCGCACTCCTTGGGTCGAGAGCTCCTAAAAATTTGCTTGATAGCTTACTAAATATCATAGGATACTTCGTAAGCCAACGCTTGTAGAAGAGGCGTGTCCTGTTGTGTACGCATCTGAGGGAATACGTCATGGTGATGGTCGTTCGTCAGTGCCGTGGTGTACGCGGAAATCTCACCGAGCTGAGATGGTCAACAGTTTCAGTGAAGTTTCGTGTTTATTGTGTCAGATTTGAAGTGGCTCGCTCTTGAAGAACGGAACACTCACGGCGGAAGGCTGGTGCGCGCCAAGGGAAGGCAGAAAAATAGGGCACAGTACGGAACGCATCCAGGCATTGCGTATGGCATGGCGGACGGGGGCCAGTCTACGGAGAACCCCACAACAGAAGCAAGTGAAACTTTCTCGCAAATTTCGGTTTTCGCTAGTCGCACTCGGGGCGCATAAGCGAACTGGTTGCAGTTGTACAACTTGTACGCCTGCGCGAGGCTCATAAAAGCTGACAAAAGTGGTGACTTGGGCGGGGTACACTTTTTAGCAGGGACGTTCGCAAACGCGTTCGGCTCATCACCCGCAATCTTTTCGTTCAACAATTTCACGGAAGCTTGAAAATTTCTGTCGCGAAGCCTTGCGCTTCAGAATGCGGCCAAGCTTCCGCCTTATCAGCCTTCATTACCTGCGTAGTCTGTATTGTTTTTGTGGAAACGGAGGTTCAATACCCGCGTCACCTCTCAGCTGATCACGGCGCTGGCGACGGACGTTGACTCTGCCGCGCTTCTCAATTGACTGGGGTGATTGTTCCAGTCCGAAGGGAGTCGAGGCACGAGGGCAGTCTTTGAGCGCAATAAGCAACTTCGAATCAAACCGGCCGAGGACTTCTGTCGCCCCTTGCTGATGGTTTTTTTTTTTTTCGAACGCGCATGTTATTTGGGTCCGATTATTTCGCATAGTGTCCCACAGCGTGGTAAAACAACGATGGTCAACGCATGCTTCACTAGTTCGTACGATCAGGTAAATGCACACATTCAGTTTTCCGCATCCGGTTCAATAACCACGCGGTGTGAGGGACATTTTATGATCGTGTGCGCAGGCCGGATAAAGGCAAGGTCAGAAGTGCTTACGCGTTCTCTCTTTTACTACATTTTACCGAAAGAAGAAAAAAACAAGAAATGTGTGACGCGAAAAGATTACTCGTGAATGTATAACTGTGTTGGATGTCGCCGCGCATCTGGCGTTTTTTTTAAGCTTACGCTTATCGCCCGAAATGTAGTAGAAACTTGAGTTGTTTATCGTGCATTTCTCGTGCCCCCCCACTTCCCCCCTTTGAATACGTGAATGTGCTTGCGTTGTGTCTGCTGCGAGGTGAGCTAGCCTTTGCCAGCTGCCCACTATTTGCGTTACAGGAGGGCGCAGGTCAGGGCGGCGCAAAGAAGCTGTTACGGCTGCGGATTGTGGCAGGCCACAGCTTGGCGAAAAAGGACATTTTCGGAGCAAGGTGAGGATCAAGCAAGTTTAATTCCTTGCATTGAGCTAGCGAATTGCATGGATTTAATTAGCATGGGTTCCCCAAGGTGTTTACCAAATGTCGTTTCTTTTAATGTGGCAGCTATTGTGCTATGGGTACTTTAATTTATAAGTCTTGTGTAGCATATACATTTGCAAGTTGGTGTACTTGTTGGGCTGTGTTGTGAAATAAAATTTCATCTGCCTGTCAATGCTGTGAACTAATGCCATTAGGGAGCTCTTAAATGGGGGCCCCAAAGCCCTTTGCGTATGGACGCTTTGGGTCAAGCAGGAGCGATGAGTTTTCGAATAGGGTGTGCAGCGCTTTGGACACTCCCCCTATACTATGTCAGTTTAGTCTTAGCCAGAGCCATCACTTCAGTGAGTGCTGTCGCGTTTGTCTGACCCAAAACTTTTGGGACAGGCTTTGGGGCTCCCGCTAATATTAAGAAACAGGGTCCCCAACCCTAATGCGGTTTGGGTTTTTTGCATGCACAGTGGTGTGGCCTTGACGCTATTTCTTTGTGGCCCCTATTCGAAAGCTCCCTATTATATTTGCATGACCATAAACACAGTAAATAAAGTTTGCATAACACTAAGGCATTGCATCAAAAGAAAGCATTGAGGTGTTACATTAAGAAAGCATTCAAGCATTGCACTAAATATGTTCAGAGTTTTTAGCTCTATTTTCAATGCTTAATAGTCTGAATCTGCATCTAGCTCTGTAGTTCATTGTATTAATAACATGGTTTAGTTTAGTATTATCGAGATTGTCTTGGTGCATATTGCAGTTCTAAACTGGGCACTGTTTTACAGCGATCCGTATGTGCGAATTGACCTTGTCAAGGCTAGGGGTGACAGCTACACAGTATTGGATTCACTATACACGAAAACCAAAAAGAAGGTGAGTGATTCTGAAGAAGTGTGGGGCTTACATCTTTTTTCTGCTGAAACAACATTAAGCCTCGCCTTCTTTTAACTAGCACAATCCTTGCACAAATGTGCACAGAATGCACAATAAAACGTCGTTTTTACATAGCGTCTTGCTAAGCGGTTTATGTACATGGATTTTATCTCGGCTGCAGCAGTCACGGTCGCGATTTGATAGAGGTGAAACACTAGAAGCTTGTGTGCGTATATTCAGACACACATCAAAGAACCCCAGCTAGTCGAAATTTTTAGAGCCCTCCACTGCGGTATTCGTTGTAATCATACCGTAGTTTTTTTTTATTGATATGTGGGGTTTAACGTCCCAAAACCACCATATGATTATGAGAGACGCCGTAGTGGAGGGCTCCGGCAATTTCGACCACCTGGGGCTCTTTAACGTGCACCCAAATCTGAGCACACGGGCCTACAACATTTCCGCCTCCATCGGAAATGCAGCCGCCGCAGCCGGGATTCGAACCCGCGACCTGCGGGTCAGTAGCCGAGTACCTTAGCCACTAGACCACTGCGGCAGGGCACCGTAGTTTTTTTTTTTCTTTTTAACATCAAACCTTAACAAAATGGAAGATTGACTACCAATTTGTAGCATAAACCCCCCGCCCCCCCACCCAAAAAAAAAAAATCCATATGCATTTCTCTGAAAGAATTCTTTTTTCTGTGTACATAGAAAAAAAAAATCATCCGTGTGTATTTCCTTGTGGCTTCGTGCTGAAATAGAGGTTGTAAATTATTCTTTCTGAATCCTTCCACCACCTTGCAGTATTCTACAGAAAGGCCCTGCCGTTGTGGTGTAGTGGCTAAGGTCCTCAGCTGCTGACCCACAGGTCGAGGGATCGAATCCCAGCTGCGGCGTCTGTATTTTTGATGAAGGCGGAAATGTTGTAGGCCCGTGTGCTCAGATTTGGATGCACGTTGAAGAACCCAAGGTTGTCAAAATTTCCGGCCCTATCTACTACAGCGACTCTCATCATATGGCGGTTTAGGGACGTTAAACCCCGCATATCAATCTATTCTGAAGAACCCTATGTGCCGAACCCAACAATTATAGTATCATGATAAAACTGATGCAATATGCACAAAGGCTTAGATAGGACACAGGATGTAAGTCTTTTTGTACATTGTACTTGTTTTATTATGGACCTTTACCAACATGCCCAACTGGCAGTCATGCTAAATTATTATGTCATATAGGTGTCGGCACATCTCTAATCAATCACACCGTGCAGCAGCTTGAAATATTTTAGGTGCGAATGGTGCATTAGAAGGTTATTCTGGTATTTTGTGGCATCTTGTTAGCACTTATCATGTTTGTTTGTGCTATTAGCACCACTTCCTTCTTTTTGCTTTCTCTAGTCTGCCACATAAAGGGACACCACCAAAGGCAAATAACAATTTACGTCAGAGTAATAGATCAATGTTTGCGAATGTCTAAAATGTCAATATCATCAACAGTTGTGCTCTACTGATAGAAAAATTAAGATAAATGTACAACACGACATGTGCCACGAGTAAGGCATTTTTAAGTGATCCCAATGATGTCAAAGGGTGCGACTATAATAATCACTGGTAATCATACCAGCTGCAGTAAGAAAAGAACTTTCCAGGCATTAAAACACGTAATAATATGCTGCTTGCCCATTTCTGTTTAGTTCATTAAAAAAAAAGAACCGTCTGGCGTGACTATGGGGAATGGTGCCAGTGGTTCAAAAGTTCCATTTTCACCTGGTTAGGCTGGATAGGTGGGGCCATATAACGGAACCCAGTTTAACCATGCAAGCAGAAACTTTTTCAATGGCCATTGTTGCTGATGTGGCTCCTGCTACTTTCGCTCTGCTGCTCAGTAAAGCAACAGCCGCTCTGTAAAGGCAAGCAACGTTAGGCAAGGCAACTGCTACATCAGGAGGTCCGTTTTCAGGCAGGTGACTTGAAGTGTACTAATGCCGTGTGGACCTGTAAAACGTGATTTTATATCAAAATAAGCATTTCCTTGGTACAAAAGTAGCACTGCAAGGTTTCTGGACCGCTATTTCAGCAATCAATGCCAACCTAATATTTATCTTTAGTGTCCTTTTAAGACAAGTAACTTTCAAGGCTACACATTCATTAACCATGCTCTAATTGAAATTGACAAGCTTTACTTGGTTGTTGCATGCAGGGAATTTTCTAGTGCATGTCCTTCCTGCCTGTGCAACTAGACCAGTCAATAGAAAGCTTTAAATCGCAAGAGGACTTGTGTTCGTTGAGCTTTTACTTGCGGCACCTTGTTATTTGCCAGTGTGATGGCTAGCCATGCAGACGTTTCCTAGTACATGGGTCACTTTTCGTATGAAAAAGTCATCTATGGATAATCGGGGTATTTATGTTGCCATTTTAGTTATCCCAGTAGCATTCAGTCATAGTGGATAAGATAGACATATTTTGTCAGTTCTTAGTGATGGCATACCGCTTATGGCTATGTGCACTTTCTACGTGTGGTTTGGGACCTTTAGCTTCCACGGCATATTCCTTGCTTGCCTACATTTATTACCATGGAGATTAGGAAGCTTGTCTGTTGAAATGTAGGCTACCTCAGTAGAAAAGGGGACATGTTTACATGGGGAATAATAAAGTAATTGCATGGGAAAAATCTTTTTTCTGCCACCGTCATAATTGTGCATTACCATCAAACCCTAGCATTAACTGCTTGGTTATAGAGAGATTCTTTGTTGCACAGTAAAATACCTCTTGAATGAACATCAGTTAAATAAAAATTCAGTTGTGCAAACGCTTTCTGAATCCTCAGCCAGAGCACCATTGGACCCAACCCTAATGCATTTCAGCTTAACAACATTATTGCAGGGAGCATCTCAGTTCTACGAACATATTTTATGACACCATCCAGTGCCTCTGCCTTCCTACTGACAAAAAATTGTCTGAATGACTGGATACAGACAGCACCTTGCGTTTTAAGGGCTATGTTACCTTTGACTTCGCATTGAGTAATGCACCACTCTGTCTATGGAGGAAATTGTAGCGAGTGTCCTACCTCATTGAAAAGAGGAGGAGGAAGTAACCCTTGTAGAGGAATACCCGACAACTTCAGCTAACGAAGCACTGATTTACTTGGAAAAAGAGAAGCCCTTTACTGCTCGGTAGTGTGTTGTGCTGGAGAAGGTTTATGAGAGCTTTGCCACAGTGACTTAATTCATGACCACTGTCGTCTTGAAGGACCCCTGACATCAAATTTGGAAAATCAAGATGCTTGTGTTGTTTGAGAGTCCTTCATGCGGAGGCACTTGTGATTGATTATTATTGACGAACGTTGCCTATAAGATATTTTAATTTGGTTATAAAGTAAGGTTGCAGGCTCATCAGAGTATTCAGGTGCAATCAGCATTTTCTGTGGTTTGACATAGAGGGGGGATCCTTTCGGGACGTTGCGGAGGTCAAGCAAGTATTGTTTATGTCGGAGAACATTTGTGGGGTGCACATAATACCCCGACTGGCACACAGCGAGGACTGTGGTTCGTCACCCCTCTTGTTAGGTTTGTCGGGCTGATCTCTAGGTGATTTTGGCTGCTTAAGCCAGGAATGCTTTTCTTTTTTCAAAGGGGAAACACTCAATGCATCTACATCATTTCATTCTTCAATCTACATCATTCTTCAATCTATTTGAAAACAGCACGTTCAGCATCACCAAAGCTTGAGCACACGTAGTCTCAGGCACTGTCCCGCTGTGTGGCACTAGTGTCTTATTGTATTTCGGTAGGTGTTTCGAACTGATGCAAAATTGTTTGGAATTAAGGATGCTAGCATAAATTATACGATGTGTTAGAGCATTTACAATTCAATTTCAGCATGACCACATGCAGAGCTTTAAATCGCTGTAAAAAATTCACAAGCAAAACTTTCACTGTCAGGGGTCCTTTAAAGGGACACTAAAGTCAAATAACAATTTACATCAACACGAAAGCTCAATGTATGACAATATCTAAAACGACAATATCATCAACAACAGTGCCCTACTTACCGAAAAATTAAAGTAAATGCACAAGAGTACAGGCGCCGCTGTAGGATATCTTCAAAATGATCCCGATGACATCAGAAGGACTGCCTACAATTAATTACTAGTAATCGATCTAACTGCATTAAATAAAAAACCTTCCATACATCAAGAGATGCAATAAAATGCTGCCTGTTCGTTTCTGCTTGATTCAATAAAAAAAGAACCGCCGGACGTTACTATGGGTAATCGCACAAGTGGTTCAAAAATTCAATTTTCACATGGTTACACGGGACAGGTGGTGCCATCTAGCAGGGCGTCGTTGAACCAGAAACGTTTGCATTCTCGAAGCCAATGGCTGTAAATTGATCAATGGCCATTGTTGCTGTTGTGGTTCCCGCTGCTTTCGGTCTGCTGCTACTAGCGCAGTAAAGCCGGGCAACATTTGTGCACGGCAACAGTAACGTGAATCGGTCTAGTCGGTCCACTAAAACGTGATTTTCTTTCAAAATAGGCCCTTCTTTGGCACAAAAGTAACAATTTAAGGTTTATAGACCCCTATTTCAACAATAAACGTCGACTTAATAGTTGCCTATTTAGTGTGCCTTTAAGTGCACAACGACAGTGGAATATTACCACATCTTTCAAAACAGGCTAGGAAAATGGAAATTCACATTTAATTAAGCATCATTATAAATAAAATGGTTCCAATTTCATGTCAACAACAGATGTTTTCGTTAGCTTCTGATAACAAGCAGAATCATAGCTATTAGAGTTCAGCAAACTTTCACTTTAGTGAAGTTTTTCTTAATGTTTCTTAAAGTTTGTTCAAGTCAAGCTTCACTGTACGTAAAGTACATGTCTTTGCAAAAATGATGTTACCAGGAAGTGTGACAAAAAGTTTACCATACTCGTATCAAGTGTGTTTGCTATTAGTATGCCTATCTAGTGTCAGCATGAAAAGAGAATGAGTCACCAGTAATGAAAGTGGTTCATTTTGGAAATTGTATACTGACATGCTAATGAAAGATTAACTGTAGCTGTGCAGTGAATAGGTATTGAAAGGTGAAGGGAATGCATGATAAGATGTGATGTTTAAGTCATTTATGGCCCGATCAACACCTCCTTTATTTCTTTCAATGCCAGTGCAAACGTGCGCTTCTCAACGGGAGCCGTCTGTCGACATCAGTTCAGAGAGTGGTCGTTATGCGACGCTACATGATGGGTAGCGCTGCTTGCGTGACACGTGCTTCCGAGCGCTTACCTCCATAGATGCGATAGACGTGTTCCCCACTCCAATATCATACATCTCTCAGATTTGTGCCTTCGTGCTCCCTCTTTTTGGCTCGAAGCAATTCCGTCGTCGCATCAAAGAGCAGCGCGTGCAGAAGGGTTGCACTGACGCTTTTCCATTGGTTGTTTGCATAGCACCACGAATGGCGACGCAATATCTTAAAACACCGTATTTTTCACAGACCAAGCCAGCTTGACTGCCAATATTCTGAACACGAGGAATGCAAGATGCCGCCCCACGAACCTGTACACAACTGAAAACAAAAAATTATTTCATATGATCTGTCATGAGGCACTGCGTGAGGGACTCTCTCTCCCCATGGCTGCAAAGCACACGCGAAGGCTAGGCGATGAGAAAGAGCAGGAAAGGGCTAGAGGAGAGGGTGGTAAACAGCTCGATTGAGTGCATCTTGGTGGCATTGATAAAATAGAGGTGTTGGCCTGATGTGGATCATTTTTTCATTTATTCTTACTCATGTTTGAAGCAGTAGTCTGCCAGTGGTAAACACCATGCACTTTCCTAGACACCTACTCAGACTGTTTTAAGTAAATGCTTAAATACCCACTGCTGAAATAAATATCTCATTTTGCAAGGTGATTCTGGAGCTGGAAGCGAATTCATGGTATCTGAGGTATGGTGCATCCATGGCAGGACAGACAAGAAGACATTACGCAAACACAGCGCTAACTTTCAACAATGCAGTTTACTCCGAGAATCAACAATACATATACCCTAACGCGGCGCGTAGCAATCCACGTGCTCAAACCAGAAATCATGTATCTAAAGCAAATCATGTGGCACTCAAATATTCTATTTATTTCGCAGATAATGATACAGATGGTTTACTGATACACGTGCCCCTAAACTTCATCAAGTTTAGTAAACATTGTTCACCTACATCAATCTGACTCGTATGGTGTCACTAATTTAATGTATTTTACTTCCTTCAGACGCTGCATCCAAAATGGGATGAAGAGTTTGTGATCAAGGTAAAGATTCGTGACATTTAGGCTGTGAAAATGTTTCTGATGGCCGTTTAACACCAGCCTCTGTGCAATTTCTTCCAGGTTGATCCTCAGGAGCACAAGATAGTCATGGAAGTGTTTGATGAAAACAGACTGGTAAGCTTACCTCGGTCGTTGCTGTGCACGCAGGACATGTAGTGCGGTAGTCAGGTATGCAGTAGACACAGGGGCTTGGTCGCACGTCCTTTTTTGCTCTTTCTGTCTCTGTACTGATGGCTGATGCCATTTCAAGTGCACCATGTGCATTTTGGATCCTTCACAGTCTTTATGGCAAGGAATGCGATCGCACAGTGTGCCTGCTGCTGTCACAGTGTCTGGTGCGCGCTCAATGCCACAGACTCGCGATGACTTCCTGGGTCTGGTGGAGTTGCCCCTGGCTGCCATACCCGTGGAACGACCTGGGCGGCACATTCCTCACAAGTATTACCTGCTCCGGCCACGCAGGTGAGCCAGGCCTGCCTTGCAACAGGAGCCTTCTGACATTCTCTCTCTTACTGCCATTTAATATAGAGCACGCTGGTTGTTTACTCTTGCAAACACGTTGGAAATTTATGCCCTGCACTACTAAAAAAAAAGTTTCATCTCAGTGATGGCATGAAGCTCTTGTGAGACAAATGACCCGTGATGGCTCACTAGCTTCGACATTTTACTCTAGAATGCGAGGTTACCAGTATTCTGACTTATTTAGTCACTTAAGGTTGAGTGAAGGTATTACACCTTGCTCCACCCTTGCATATTATTTATTCTACCGATTTTCATTAGACAAAGCCCAAAGAAGCCATTACAGTACATTTTTCAAACTGGAGTTTCATTCATTGAGAGATGAACAGGGGTGCAGAATTGACGCATTAAACAAATCATATTAGAGGCAGTTGTTCCTTTCGAGCAAAAATTTAATTTAATTTTTTTCCATTTACTCAGTCTTCTGTAATGTTATTTCTTGCCAAACAGGCAACTCTGCTTTCTTTGGAACAACTATTTCATATACCAAATCTGCAGTTTAGAACGTAAAGTCACGTTACGTTGCATAATTCTGCAAGAGCGTGCCTCCATAGGCAAAGTACTGCGTTCTAGTTGTGAGTGCAGGTAGTGTGCGATTATCGCTGACCACAGGATTGTGCTTAGTTGCAGGTCGCCCGAGATCTGAGAGGCCCTTGTGATAATCGGGTGCATTTTTATAACATGAGAGTATTAGACTTTATGTTGCATCAGATTATATTGTGGATATAATCATGGATTATGTCATTGATATAACCAATAAAAATCTACTGAACTGATATTTGATTATTATTATTATACAGAAGTGGAACATGACAGGGACATGACTCACTTCAGAATAAGTGGATCATTAACTACCCTGTAATTGCAATTACATAATGATTAAAAGTGGACAAATCAACATATAATACTATTTTTCCTTTCTTCCAACAGAATATACAATGCCTTAGGATAATGTTGTGTAAATTTGACTGGTTTATAGACACTCCATCATAATTTGCACCTATAGAGGATAATAATGTAAAGATATGTATACTATGGCAAGTTTACGTAAAGTTGGCATCTAAAGTGAAGCCTAGCCAACTTCGTGTAACCTGTGTGATCACCGACTTGCACAATGCTTCTTTTTAATTTTTATTTGTGTGTCCCGTCTTCTCTTTATGTTCTGTTGGTGGTCACTCGCACTTTGTTACTTTAGATTGGCAGTATTGAATTCTTCACTTGCCTCCACAGACTTCATCATAGAGCATTAGTTGTGAGAAACAAATTGTGACACGAAGCATTTGCTTGTGAATATAAAGACATATAACTTGATGAATGTAACAAAGAATGTAAGATACGCTCAGGCATAAGATTTGCTGTGAGTATGTACTATCTCTGATGGTGTGATCAAGATTTATGTGTCTGAGTGCAAGTCCACCTAACTTTATTCAGTGAAACGACAAAACTGCTTGACCTCTGGATTAGCTGTGTAGCCATGCTTACTTTTCTTTGGTGGTTCTTTGTGAAAGTGTACCTCCCCACTTCAAAATTTGTAGAATATACTGCTGTCGTGATTATAAAAATGCTCAATATCATTTTATTACTCAAGATATCAACTTATTATTAAGATCATTGACCTTGTCCTTTAGAGGTACTGTAAACAAGCTCTCTCATCTTTAGTCACTGCTAGCCCCGCCGCGGTGGTATAGTGGCTAAGGTACTCGGCTGCTGACCCGCAGGTTGCGGGATCGAATCCCGGCGGCGGCGTCATTCATGCATTTACAATGAAGGTGCAAATTCTGTAGGCCCGTGTGCTCAGATTTGGGTGCACGTTACAGAAACCCAGGTGGGCGAAATTTCTGGAGGTTTCCACTATGGCATCTCTTATAATCATATTGTGGTTTTGGGACGTTGAACCTTACATATCTATCTATGAGTAGTCACTGCTAGGCAGATCTGTGGAAAAAAAATATATATATATATATATATATATTGAAGTTTATTCCTAATACAAACTTGCTATAGTGCCTCAAAGGTTAACGTATGTAAAAAAGAAAAGTGGTGCTATACTGGCAGTATTTTTCATGACATCAGTTCGTGATTGAACTGCTCACCTTCAATATTGTTAATTACTGTGGCAGTTTGAAATTTCTAAAAGCGTGTCTGGACAAAGCTGGTACTAGGAAAAGCATAGGCTCAAACCTCATTATAACAAAGTTGCATCTTACACGAAAATAGGTTTGGTATATTCAAAATTTCGTTATAAAGATTTATTCGTATTATTGCAAGACTATTTTTCAATTACTTTGCTATAACCAATGTTTCATTGTATCTAGGTTCGTTATATCGAGGTTTGAGTGTACATTGCAATACTCAAGGATATAGTTACTATAACACAAGCATGTAATTGTACTAGCACATTCCAAATGTAAGCACTGCCTCTATGCGGGTGTTTATTATTGTAATATAACAAGATTGTTGCTGACATGAGACAGGAACTGGTCAGGTATTATGTGATCCATTGGCCTTGGTATTTTCCTTAGTGAGTGGGCGGTTCATGTCCATGCCCTGCTGCTATTTAAATAGTTATATGGGCATGTTCATCGCACATCACCTTTCTCTTGTGAAAATTGTCCACATTAGGCAACCAATACATTATGCAGCCCTTATTTGAGAAACAAAACTGTGTTGCTGTTGTAATCTAGCCAGGTTTATAATTCCCTTGTTACCAGCAGAGCACTTGCTGTAACATTTGCTGTGGCAAGAATGAGCAGAATTATTTATGGCATGCTTGGTTTCAACCCATGAAATTATATTTTAACACTTCTTGAGCAGTACACTGACACACTAAGAAATGAAATGGACAACATGACTTGAAATGTATGAAGAAAATTCATGTGTTGTGGATCTGTTCATCTATATGTCATTTACACTCTATACAAGTAGTCTCAACATTCTTTTAATTGAAGAGTGTATATACACTGGATGCCTTGTTTCGACAACACTGTGAGATAGGCTGCCTTTTCTTCAGCAGCGCCAAGTCCCGGGTCAAGGGCCACCTGCAGGTCTACCATGCTTACCTGCCAGACGGGGAGCAGCAAGCAGCTGAGAATGCAAATCAGAGCTCAACAGACGAGGTAAGAACTACTGAAATCGCACCTCAGTGTAGAAACTACGAGAAGTGCTTGTCATTATAGAATGCCAAGCCTGTGGTGAGCAAGACATGATTTCACTAGAACAGTGCGACAAAAAAAAAAGCTGCCTCTTTAAGACTAATTTTTCCTCATGGCACTGTCAGCGCATGATGCATAATCATTAATGTGAATGTACACTTGATACACAATACATGAAGCTTGGTGGGCAGGTAATATGCAGTAGTGGCACTGTGAAAAAGGCCGTCACAATCTCCTGGCAGGGCTGTCTAAGGCATTCTCTGACAATAGAAACACCTAAGAAACCTCTTTTTTGTCTTCTGAACCAATAGTGTCATATATTATCCCATCTAGGTTTTTCGTTAGACAGGAAAATACTCAGGCTCTGTTAAAGTGTATCCTAAGGAGGTCTTCTACTTACGGCGCAAAGTCAAATTGCGAAACATTTTTTTAGTTTTGTTACACTCCACCGCATTTATCTTTCAGGGCTGGGAGGTGGTGGATGCGGAAGACGGCGGGCCGCCATCATCTCAAGGGGCTGGCAGCACAAGCAGTCCGGAGTTCTCGGGCAGCGAAGCCCCTCCGTCACCACTGCCACCTGGCTGGGAGGAGCGGGAAGACGCCTGCGGGCGTATCTACTATGTCAACCACGTGGCCCGCACGACACAATGGGAGCGTCCCATAAGGGGGTGTGTATCCAATTGCTTTACTTAACTTTACTTGAAAACTGGGCTGTCGTAGTTGGGGTGACGCTCTTACTACTAGCCTGCAGTATTCTGAGGGGCAGCCTGCTTAGAGGCTTCTCAGCACTTCAGCAGGACCACAGGCATCGAGTACAGTTCTAGCGTTGCCTCGCACCTTCAGGCTGCTTTCAGTGCCTGCAAATGACAGTTTATTTCAAGTGAAAATTTTGTTTTATCAAATGCAAAAATTTACTGTCGGTGTTGGCAAAAGTGGCATAACATGAGTGATGCAAAAATCATTGCATCATGAGTGCACTATGTGACGTCCTCATAAAGTCGCACAACACCAAAATTTGCGACATCACACAATGTCACTTAGTCAAAAGTGAGCCAATGAAAGCGGGTAAAAATCGGGCGATGCACAGAAAGCTCTCGGGAAAAAAGGGGGCTCAATGCACTGACTTGGAAGATGACGACTTTTGTCTTTGAGACATCTTAGGCGATCGTATGTGGTATCCTGTGAGCTTTTTATTTTATTTCTCTATATGCACTGCAAATGGAACGCTTTGCAAAAAATAACACATTTTGCAAGCATAAACACTTGACTGAACAAACAAAAAGAAGCAGGAACCCCAATTCCTTCTTGTTTATTTTTGCGAGACACAACTGCTGCTGCTATCCATCAGATTTAAGCAGGGATACTTACTAGTGCATTGTTTCATGGCTGGTCCTTGCATTGCATGTGCTGCAGTGATGGCTCAGAGGAAGGTGCAGCAGCTCATCAGCGGAACCTAGACCTGGCGCAGGAGTTCCAGCGGAGGGTCCACATCAGCGTTGACGAGACGGCCAATCACTCCACTACCCCTAATCACATAGAGGAGCCGCAGGTTGGTTTTTCTGCCCATTAGAAACCTAGACGTTGCTGCACGTAAAATTAAATTTTTCCAGTTTCTGCTTTCTCCGTAATGCTGTATTCCGGAGTCTGTCATGAGCACTTATGAAAAGCCGACAAGAGCCAAACGGTATGTTTGTTAACGCACTACCAACCAAACGTTAGGATGAAAGCAAAAGGTGGTGATGATGTAAGACTGTACCTTGTGAAATTTGTGAACCCTATAGCTGGCGTTCGCTCTATGGTGTTATGAGCGGTAGCTGTTTTTTCTGCAACTTACAATAATGTTTCGTGCTATTCCTTCAGCCATACCTTAAAGTTTAATTCAGGCTCACGGTCGGTGAAAAACAGTGCAGGTGAACTTCTTATTCATTGGTTACTCTTATTTATAGCGCTAGTTTCATCTTATGCCTGGCAGGCATCATTGCTTAGCCTCTGTGGAACATAAGCTGATGGTGCGAGAACTACCAAACTGTAGAACATCCCATTGTGCTTAAAAAGTGAAAGCTGATAGTGCAGGCACTCATCTTCTTTGTGAATGACATGCATGATGTGGGTTTTTCAGGTGCTTTATGTAAGTTCATTAACAAAGCACAGCTTAGATTATTTCTTCTTATTGTACTATGTCGCACAGAAACTGCTTGGTTCATTCTTATTAAAGACCAGCAGCTGGTCTGCTGGTTTGTATTTCGGTTGTGTCAAACAAAGAAGTGACCCGTCAAAAATTATCTCCCTTGGTTTATTTTAGTGCTTTATTTCATGATCTGAGCTAATTAATTATATTCTATTAAAAGTGCAATGCAACTAGATCAAATGCGGACACTGCCATGCAATAATCTGAACAAGCTTCAACGATAGCATGGTTGCTAATGCTGTCATTGGGTATGTTTTGATGCAGGCGGTGCCATCTGTGCAAAGGGGCAGTGTTGTAGAGGCTACCGCACAGCAGAATGGAACTCTGCCTCCTGGTGCCAATTCACAGCGACGATTTACCTTGGTATATCAACTTCATGGTCTCGTGTCGTAGTTCCCTAGTACAATGTAGATTGTAATATCATAATTTTAGCACATATGGCCTTTAGTGTGTTTAAAATTCTACCACTTCTTCTTAATCTAATAGATATTTTAGTGTAAATTAAAAACTTTGAAAGTGCTTTGCTTTCTAAAGGTCCTGCAACACTTTTTCAAGTAACGATCAAATGACCTCATTATAGGAGTTTTTTTTTCTTACGAATTGAAATCGAATGCCGCAACAAATTTTAGATTAGTCAAGTACGAGTGTAGTTCTAGTTACTTGTCGCACACTCCGAGTGCTTCCTCTTCTTTCTTCCCAGCAAGCACTCTGATAGCTATAAGCCAATGGCCATGTCTTTCAGGTATGTGATGCAGTTGAGTTGGGGCACATAGCATCATTTCTTGAGTATAAAGCAAGGGATTTGTTGCTGACAGAAATTTGTTGTAAATTCCCTGCCATGTGCTGTAGTAAAATGTTTGGCCCACTTGTTCTCAGTATCCTTGACTGCTTATGGGCAGCCTCTCCTAAGCGCATTTAAAAAGTTGCGGGTTCCCTTTAAATAACTGTGGATCCTGGGACAGTTGTCGGTTTTGCAACCGAGTCCAAATGTCAGTCTGCTGCTAAAGATGAAGTGCACATCTGTGGTCTTAACTTGCAGCCAATGGAGGCCAGTGTGAGGCCCCAGCTGACATCAGCGCCTCAGCCGAGTCCCGAGGGTTTGCCAGCTGGCTGGTCCCTGCAGGTGGCTCCCAACGGGCGCCTCTTTTTCATTGACCACAACACCAAGACCACCACCTGGGTGAGTTGGGACAAATTAGTGCAGTAGACTGTTGAGGTGTTTCTAGCACTTTAAATCAAAAAGAAAATGATGTCAAAGAAAAGAAATGCTTATGGGAAAGAAAGAACAGTGGTCTTTGAATTGTCCTTCAGCATTAAGTGCTGTTGGCTCTGAAGGCTCCCATTGTCTCACTAGGAGTGAATAGTGGGCTGACATGGTTCTCTCACTGGGCCTTTAGAGTCTATATAGCAGTACATAACTCTGTCTGTTGAAGTAGGGACATATCTGGGAAGTGTCTAATGATGGCAAGAGCTTTACAGGCTATCATTTTGGACAATAGTCTGGCTAGGAGCCACAGCGCATTCTTACCTCATTTGTTACTCACTGACATGTGCCAGCATTGGGAATTCAAAAAACCAAGTTTAGATTATGGTGACCCCGCTACTAACTGCAGGGGATGATCACCGCGGGTTCATGCTTAGCGAGCCACAGGGCCGCAACTCCGTCACTTACTCGTGTGTAGCGCACCGCTCCGCGTGCGCTCAACTAATAAGGCATTTAGTGTGGCACGGCAAAACAGACAGTGTTACAATACAGAAATACACAAAACTTTCTTGCCTTAGGCGGCACCCCGAACAACAGTAGAACGTCCACTACCGGGACGCGGGTAGCAAAGGCACCTGCTCGCGGACGTTCACAATAAGGGGAAAACCGCGAGCACGTCGCAGCTGGCAATGGCGAGCTTTGACACGCCGGTCGGGAAAAGGTCCCTCACGGCTATGCTGCGCACTCTCACGATGGCCAATGGGCCTGGTCGCGAGTGTTAGGGCAAACGTCGTACGCGTAGGCCTACGGCAAGTGCGGCTCGGTGTGGTACGACGACTTCAAGCACTAGGCACCGCTGTGGGCTTAGCGTACGCTATCGAAGCTAGCACTTAAGTAAACATGCCTGCCGAGGTGCCAAAGGCCACCCCAGGCAGGCTACAGTCCGGCGATTCCCAAAGGGGAGACGGACGAAGGAAAACACGTGCTTACCCGGCGCCGACCACGGAGGAGAAAGAGCAGCTCCCTCAGCGCGCATGTACGGCGTGCCGCGCCCGCACGTGGCGCCATCTATCGCCACGCGTCGTTAGCAGAGGAGAAAAGCAAAGAAAGGGTGTGGCCGTGTGGCGGAATGCCCGCGAAATGGTCGCCGGCGTGCCTCAGATCCCCACAAGATTAAACTATTTGTCACACGTGTGGTCAAACAATGTGTGTTCCGTATAAATGTGTTCCCTTCCTTTATTTTATGGAGCAAAATTTTCTTTAAAATAGTGTGTTTGCATGAAACATTGGAACAAGGTATGGAAAATGGTGGCAGATTCACGGTAAATTTATCTTATGTCCTGAAGTGCTTTCAGCCTTCTCATTGTTCTCTGTTTGCTAATTGTTTTGTGTATGTCTCACTTGAACAGATACCCTCTTTATGTGGAAGTTTTAGCTAGCAAATGTCCTTTCTGTATCTCATGTCATGTTTTACCAACTCGGTGTGAGAGGTCAGATGGGAGTTAGTACTGCTACGACAGAAACCAGCCAGCAGTAGAAACAAGGCCTTCCTCTCTCTTGCTTGCTTTTTTTTACTTCTCAGGTGGATCCTAGGACAGGAAAACCAAGCGACTTGCCCCGGCATGGCAGCATTCCTGGAAGCCAGCAAAACACCATGGATGACTTGGGACCACTTCCGGTAAGTGTTAGAACGTTTATGTGTGAATTTTGATGAAGCACCATTTGCTGCTGAGACATTTGAGGAAAAATGCGTGTCGACTCGAGAAAGCAGGCCAATTTTATGACACAAACGTAAATTAAATAAATGTGTGATTTTCTCTGTTGTTATGGTTTTATACAGTAAAATCTCGGTGGCACGAATCTGACGGGGTCACCAAAAATATTCGTATCATCTAAAATTTGTACCATCAAAAAGTATGAAAACTCAGTACAGTCGCCGACCGATTTTTCGGACCTGGCGGGGACCGAAAAAAAAGTACGAAAAATCGAACAGTCCGAAAAATTCGTTTTTGCCAAAAATCTGAAGTGTATTGTATCAGGCAGGTTTAAAAAAGTCCTTGATGCTGCCTTGCCTCAAACTACGCTTGGAGGCAATTTGGTTTGCCCGTATTTGCGCCAAGGTGACATCGTCGCTGTAAACGCTCGACAAAATTGTCACCGCGTTGGCGATCTCCGACGGCTGCGGGCGGTCGTCGTTGTCATCCGACGACAACGACGACCGCCATCCGGCGTCGACCGTCATCCAGCGACATCTAGCTGCGAACGTCCACTCTCTATTAGCTTGATTATGGCAGCTTTCTTCTCCATCGTCAGGGTCGTATACTTCCCACGCTTCTTCACACCACCTGGCTTCCGCGATGGTACAGATAGCGGAGCCATGGCACCGAGAACACAAAATTCAATGCCGCAGATAGCCACTGCGAAGCACACAACGTCTCGACGCTACGCGACACAACACGTGCAGAATGGCGACTGAAAAAGCTGCAACGACAATAAAAGGATCCTTCTTTCGCCTCCTCCCCGTGCGATGTGATGACGATAGTGCTGACCGAAGACGAAAAAACGGCATCCATCACCGCGTCTTTTAAAAAGCAAACACGGCCTCCGAAACTTAAAATATGGCGTGCGCATTCCAATCTCGGAGGCAGGAAAGGCATCTGAAGACCAAGCTTAGCCAAGCCGACGGAAAATCCAACATGGCGGCGTTCACAATGGCTTGGGGCGTGGCACAAAACGAGCGATTTAGTCCGAAAAATCGAACTTTCAGGGGCAAATCCGCCCGAAAAATCGCTCGAAACAATGCATTAGCTCTATGGGATCCCTGACGGTGCATTTATGAAGTCCGGAATATCCAACAAGTCCGAATTTTTGGAGTCCGGAAAATCGGTCGGCGACTGTATACAGCAAACGTTGTGCCAATATTACGCTTTTATAGGGTCTTTTTTCAAATTAGTACTGTATTTACTCACGTAATCCTCGCACTCGCATAATTCTCGCACCCCCAACATCGCCTGACAAAAAGACAATTTCTTTTTTTTTTCCTTGAGTAATTATCGCACGCCCGAAAACTGCCGCAATAATGTCGTCTGCTCGTTCCAGCCACTGATGATGATAGCGTGTGCCATCTGGCACCATCTCCTAAGCGTGAAGCATACTATTATTGCACCGAAATTCAATCCAATCAAATCCAAGCCAAAGGGGCAAGTGCGCGTTGCGGCGTGATTTGTATGTTGTCTGTAATATTGTTAAGTTATGGGGCGATACGGAAGCTACAAGGCTGCTTTCAAGTTGAAAGTGATTGATCATGCACTAAACAGCGGCAACAGGGCTGGCGGTAGGCCTTTGAAGTAGACGAGTTTTGTGTTTGCTACTGGTAACGGCAGATGAAAGCCACCAAGACATGTTGGGCCTTCCGTGTGCCTAAGACTGGGATTGATGGTGAACTTTATTTCTTCAGAAGGCAACTGCGGACGATTATGTTAAATGGCCATCAGCCGAATACTGACGTCCTTCGCTTACCTTTTGCGGACTCCCGTTGAGCGACGAAGCATTCAAATATTTGCACAAGCCTAGCTTTTAGTGACTTGTGCATTCACATCAATTCACTAGCTTAGTCACTTACGCGAGGCCTGTTAGAAAAGTATCCGACCTTTGGTGGAAGAAAAAAAAAAAAAAAAAACTGGCATAGTTGGAGAGTTGGAAACCTAATTTCCCTCAAAATGGTCCCCTTAAGACTCCACACACTTCTCCCAGTAATGCTACCCTTGTAAGTATCCTGAGAAGGCCTCCCTTACCTGAAATCGCCCTCCTTTCAATGTCCTCTTGAGTTTGGGAAACAGCGAGAAGTTGCATGGGGCCATATCAGGAAAGTAAAGAGCCTGTTGAACTACAGGAGTCTTGACTTTTCGCAAAAAGTCTGAACCATGTGTGAGGAATGTGCAGGAGCATTGTCGTAATGGATGCACCAGTTTCCTATTGACCACAACACGGGTCTCTTGCACTGCACAGCATCACGTAGGCGACAAAGGACATCAACACGAAGTTGCTTTTGCTCCACCCTGACCAGTTTCAGCACCAATATCACCGCAACTCTGTTCATGGCCAAATATTCGGTCATAATGGAATGTGCAGAGAAAGAGCTGATGCCCACCTCTTCCGCAGTTTCCCGGATCACCACAGCATTCACTTCAGCAGCAACCTGGTCATTTCGGCATATTGATGGCCGACCGCAGTGTGGCTCGCTCTCTACCAATGTGTGGCCGTCTTTAAACCAGTTGTACCACTTCTTAATCTGTTATGCAGCTCATAGCGTCATTGAAAGCCATCTTCATCTTCCAAGTGGTTTCCACTTGGCTGTCGCCCAGTTTCTGGCAAAATTTCATGCAGTAGCGCTGCCCCAGTCGCTCCGTCATTTTCCTTGCAATGAAAAATTGATGAGAGCACTGCATACTATTTCACTCAAACGCTGCGTCCCAGTGACTGACGCTATTGGCAGGCAAAAAAATCAATAAAATTCACGCTTGCGTGCGAAGGATCAAGGTCAGTTTATGCAACCGCTCTTGTTGCAAACCCATCAGGTGCTCGCAAAAAAATAAAAAGGTCGGATACTTTCCCAACAGACCTCATAAATGCCACCATAACAGTGTTGATAAAATACAAAAAAAATATCCTTGCCATAAAGTTTTGCACACTGCTGAGCTTATATCACAGTTCACTCCTTTCTCTTTAAAAGGTGCTACATAAAATTTGAGAACATTTTGGGTAGCATTACGGACGCTTATATTGACACAGATTCTTTTGTCTGTGTTGGTTTGTCAATTTTAACTCTTCACCTAAAACAGGCCCCAATATAAACAGTTTAGAACAATAATTGAATTTAGCTAATCCTACTTGTCACGAACCATGATTTCTTATGTAACATCCACCTGCTCAAACAGTCTAAACCTACTGGCGTCTTTGCACCTATTTAGTTGGGCAATTTTCAATGGGATCTTCTGATCAGTTAATCACGGATTTTCATATTAAAAGAAAAGTTCCAAAGTTCATCTTGTCCCCTGCCATTTCAAAATGCAGGATGGCTGGGAAGAGCGCGTTCATACAGATGGCCGAATTTTCTTCATTGACCACAGTAAGTGCCGTTAACCTTTGCCACTGTTTTTTTGGTGTATTCATACCCTAAAACCACTCATTTTTGCGGTTCAACTTATCAAGTTGTAAATTTTAACTCATTTTGATGCTAATCCAATCAAATAGCAAACACTATTGAAAAAAATATTCGAAAGTTCAAAAACTTGCACCCCCCCTCCTTTTTTTTTCTCCAATCTAATAGCAAACATTATTAAAAAAAAATATTCTAAAGTCCGAAAACTTGCACCTTCCCCCTCCCCCTTTTTTTCTATTCATCTATTTGGTTTAGGGTCTATTCTGTGACTTGGTGGATCATCCCAGGAGTCATTTGGATCGTGTTCTGAAAATACTTTCATAGGCTCTACATAGTGATCAAAGCTCAGTGCTTTGTCTTGACAATTACTAAAATGACAGTCTTTCTTCTGTTAACTTGTGCAGCTGCAAGAATAACGCAATGGGAGGATCCTCGCTTCAACAATCCCAATGTTGCTGGTCCCGTAAGTACTCTATGAAACTACGCAGTCCTTGAATATAACTCAGCTAGTGAGCTTCCAATAAGTAAAAACCTGAATGCAGCTATGGATGAATGGGCGAGCAAATGAAGAAGCCTTGTTCTTTAATTTTCCTTCAACTTCTTTTTGGTCTCTCTTACACACTTATCTGTCCAATGCTTTAGTGGGAAAGCAAGGTTGGCAAGAGTTGTACCTGCTGCAGGAAGTCACATTGCATGTAATTTAATGTAAAACATGTTTTGTTGAACGGATTATGCAAAGGAATTATCAACTGCGATGATCAAATTGCATTTGTGTCACTCTTAATACCGTCAACTTTTGGCTAGACAGAAAAAAAATTTTTAGAAATAAAGACTTCAATTTTTGCTTTAGTGCTTCGTGATGTCATGGAATTCAGGAAATTTTCGCCAAGGAGAAGTTTCTTGATTGACCACAAAAAAAGGGTTATGTTGCATTGCGAAGAAAACAACTCGTGCATTCAAGTGATTTTTGATGACCTTCTTAACTAGCATGGCCCTGTGATTCAGTTGTTATTCAGTTGTTAAATGTGCCTTGTCTGCATTACTGCAGTTTTATTCGTCCTTAACGTTGCAGCGCAGCCTTTACCCACTGTGATAAAAGACTCTCAAGTTTATATAGTACACATTTTCTTATCCATTGTATTTTGGATGAGACATCTAATGAGGAAAACGTTGCTCTTTGCTTCTTCTGATGGCCAAATGTGTACCTTTGAAAAAGACATCATGGCGCTAAACCTAAGCTGTCTTAATTGTTTATTTCTCTGACGTTTTTTTTTTTTTTGTATTTTATGGTGGGCTTGAAAATGTGATTGTGTATGTGTGTGGGTAATTTTATTTCAAACTACATTTATACAAGCTCATGTGATGGTATAGTTTGACAGTCATTGCAATACAGTCAAACCTCAATATATCGAACACGGATATATCGAATTATTGCCTATATCGAACGGTTCCTATATCACGCGGGAAATCGCATGCATTATTGATTTTTTATTTCGAACAAAGTTTGACATATAATAGATATATCGAATACCCCTGTCACACGGGCACTTAAATGTCTTTTAAGTAAGCGGTCTTTTTCCGAAAAAGAGTTCCTGACAGCAGACACACGGCACAGAGCGAACTCCTTTTCAGAAGCGGTCTTTTTCGTAAGCGGAGTTCGTCGATCTCTTTTATGGCTCCGAATGAGTAGCCTCGAAACCAGTGGGCGCCAGCAATTTTCGAGTGGTGGGAAAAAAAGAGCGAACGCTTATTTTTCTGTCACCAAAACTCTTTGTGAAAACAAATTTCATATCCTGCAGAAGGTGTAATGAACTCTTTTAATGGTTATTTCCTTTTCTACTCTCGTAAGCAGCTACAACACGTCGGCAATATCACGTGGTGACGGTCGGTCTCGCGCCGCGCCATTTTGCACAAGCGAGGAAAGCGTGGTAGTCATGTGTTTGCCCGTCATTCATGTGGTCCGAGTCCGAGCGTCTACGGCCAACTCCGCAGATCAAGCAGCCGGCGCCCCACGGAAAAGGCAGCGTCTGCAATGGTCGGAAGCAGACACGTTATTCTCTCCTTGGCGGCTTTTGCAGCGCGTCTGCCTCGCTTTCCAGAGCGAGAAGGCAGGCCGTGAGGCTTGCGATCCTCGCTTTTTCTCCCGTACGGTCGCCCATAACGTGTCGAGAGCAGTCGAGAGCAGCGAAAAACAAATACGGTAAATAAAAGCCCAGTGGTGCCAGACGGACTTGTGCACGTCGCTAGTTATGGGAATGCTTCCTTATGTAGTGCAACAAACTTTCACATTGGTGTTTCTTCATCTCTTATTCTTAAATTTATTTGAAGAAACGAGCAGTGCAACAAGTCTTTAATTTGTACATCGTGATACATCGTTTAATTTTCATTGCTTTTCTTTTAACTGCTAGCGCCACGCTTTCGCTAGCGTCTTCGAACGAAAACACTAAAAGGAGATTGTTGCTGCCGTGTGTCTGCGCCGCAAATACCTCTTTGTTAAAAGTCTTTCAACTTCGTAAAAGACCGCTCACTTAAGACTTTTTGCGCGCCCGTGTGACACAGGTAGAACTCGGCCACCCCAAACCGCTCGCACTCTATTGACAGGCGGCAAGCTTTCCCGCAAATCTCGAAAGTAGCGGTAGAGCGGCGGGCATTTACGAATTCTGCACACATCGATGGCGCCGAGAGGGCCACTTTAACATAGCGGCGTACGCGCGCCGCAGCCTTGCAGCTTGTAGTCGTTGCAGTCTCTATGGTGTCAACGGCACATTGCGCACTTGTTGCAAGCTTCTCCCCCGTAGCATCGGCAGGCATCGGTCGTTGTGCTCGCAGTGTTCGTGCAGAGTCTTCATTTGGCTGCTGAGCAGTAGCTTCGGCGACAATCTCCACATCTGTGAGCTCCGCCGTTCGGAGTTAGGCCTGTCGCGCGCTCTGGTGCTCAACAGGCCTGACTCCAAACGGCGGAGCTCACGGATGTGGAGATTGTCGCCGAAGCTACTGCTCAGCAGCCAAATGAAGACTCTGCCGAGGTGGATCTTGCAAGCGCTGATGGTGCCCCGCTCCCGACATCAGCTGAGGTCGTAGCTGCCCTGGCCCTTGTGCGCCGCCACTGCGGCGCGATTGAAGGCACCGGCCTATCACTTATGGATCGCCTGGACTATATTGAGGACGCAGTCGTCAAACACGCCATGGCTAACAAAAAGCAGGCTACTCTTTTTCAATATTTTAAACCAACACAATGAATACTATGTTGTTTGAATCTTCAAGTGAGTATTTACTGCCCCACGCTTGAACGGTTCATTGATTGTTTTCAGCAAGCTGTTGACGCATTTTTTTCGTGATTTTTTATATCGAATTCTGGATATATCGAACTATTTCGCGATCGCCGCGCCGTTCGATATATCGAGGTTCGACTGTAGTTTGATTAATGCAGTTCATGCTTACTTTTTTTTCCAAACAGGCTGTCCCATATTCAAGGGATTATAAGAGGAAGTATGAGTACCTTAAATCCAAGCTTCCAAAACCGCCTGTGAGTAAACATAGCATGATTGCTGCTTTTCTGAATTTTTTTGCATGCAGAGACAGTCAACGGCATACCTGGCATGAAACAACTGCAGTTTGAAACAGGCTGCACTTATGTATCAAAGTGATTCATCTGTCCTCATTCATTGCATGTCCTTTTGCAGTTGCGTAAGCATGAAAACTGAGCTAGCACCTATTCCCAGCTTGATTTAGTAACCTGGTAACTGCCCTTTCTTTACCCCTCAAGTTGGAGAGTTAATTACCATGTTGTTATTAATTACGTTGCTGTGAATCTTGGCTCTTGTGTTCGTATTCTTGCCATTGGTGTTTTGTCGGTGGGGGGGGCTTTGATATCATTTGTTAAACTAGTAATTTCATTCATTGCAGGGAAACATTCCGAACAAATTTGAACTGAAGGTATCACGGGCGCGGATACTGGAAGACTCATATCGTATCCTAAGCAATGTGACATGCGTGGATCGCCTGAGATCCAAGCTCTGGGTCGAGTTCGACGGTGAGGAAGTTCTGGACTATGGCGGCGCATCGCGGGAGTTTTTCTACCTGTTGTCTCGGGAGATGTTCAACCCGTACTACGGTCTCTTCGAGTATTCGGCAGCGTGAGTGTTTTTGATTGCGTGGCCATTGAAGGAAGCGGTCTTGTTAAAAAGTTAGATTATTGCACTGTTTGAAAGTTTGCACTATATACATGCAGCCCGTGTATAGAGTTAACGAAGAAAAAAACAACATACAGGTGATCCTTGTCACCATCTTTAGCCTCTGTGAAGGTGCAATCTGTATCCGTAAATTGTTAAAAAAAGGTGTACTGTAAAGTTGGCTTCATGCTTCTTGAATTTTGAGTGTATTAGACAATGCCCATCATTATAGCAATAATCAACAAAGGTGGGTGACTATAGTACCATATGAAAAAAATTACAAATGAACACTAGTACTTCGTATTATGACAAATCACAGACAATTATTGTTATGAGATTGTAGACAAGAGGAAGTCGTTTTTGTAGGAATCCTTGCCAGTGCTTAGTTGGTGGTATACACATATTTAATATGCACAATCTCTTGCTCTAATACTCACTGAGTCATAATCGAATGGGCAAATTCGTCATGAATATGGTGCAATATTTTCGATTTCTTGTGTTGCTTTGTGCCTTAAATATTAACTCTTTCGCTACGGCAGAAAAACGGCACTTATTTCGTGCTTTCACAAAAAAATTTATTACTCTTGACAAAAAAAGAACATGTAGCATTGTAATATATGAAATAGTAGCTTATTGATTCGGCCTTTTATACATATAAAACACTTTGGTATGAGACTTATAGAATTGGAAAACTTAATTATTAAATAACAAAAAACATACAGAAAGTTATACAAGCACTTCACAAGTTAGTGAATGTAGAGAGCAAAAAAATTATTTTGAGAAATCTGAAATATACAAATTGTTACTAGTTCTCTTAGCTATCATTCAAGATAAACACAAATTCAGTGCAGCATGTCAACAATTTTTTTCGGCCCATCAACCTACTGGCCCCGACGACTGTGCCACTCGGCAAAACAGTCTCGTGAAGGCAGGAAGCAAAGGTAAATATTACAGGTCGAGCAGAATACGTTCGTTCTGTTTTGTGTTTTCGTTTTTTCGTAGCAAAGCTTGCAGTTTCTTCTCTTTTCCATTCTTTTCGGCTGGTGCCGAACAGGATCTAGAGGGGAGAAGGGGGGTGAGAAAGGGACGTGTCCTTGAGCAACTTCATCATATTGAAATATCTGTTGAATCAATTCTTCCCTGAACGCCAATTGGTCAAAGTTCCTGTTTCTGAGTAGTTCTTCGACATTTGGATTCTCTTTTTGGTGCTCCTGAAATAAAATGAAACTGTTTACGCACGCAATGTCCACAGCATGAAAAAACAATGTTTTCCACCAACGTACACACTTTCTGAGTACGTTGTACGTGGCAATTATTTGATCAAATTTGTCCACGCCAAGCATTCCGGTGTTATACTCATGAACAAGGAGGGGCTTCTTTATGGTATTCACAACCCACTGGCCTCCCCTTTTCTCTCTCCTTTTAGCAGCAACATGTTTATTTGCTGTGTGCATCGTGCTCATCAGACACACAGAACGTCGATCCTTCTATTGCATGAAAAGGATGTTGCCTTCCTGAATCCAGCGAACGTCCCCACGCTGCGCCCTTCTTTCTCACGTAGCATCCTTCAATTCTTTCGGGAAGCCCCGACGATCTTTGCGAGTGGTCCCACAGGCAAGCGTCTTGTGCGCAAGGAGGTGTTTGAATAATTTTGCCGACGTATAAAAGTTATCCATAAAAATTTTATATCCCTGATGAAGATACTCTGTGCAAAGCCGAGTCACAACGTCAAACGCCTATCCACGGGGTCCAGGTACCTCGCGTTTTCCAGTGTACACAAAAAATTTATTGTATAGCGGGTATTCGAATCCGCCAGCACCCACAGCTTATATCTAAATTTCGTCACTTTGTCCCGAATGTACTGCCTGATTCCTGACCTCGCTTTTGATTTTACCATGCGTTCATCCACGGCAAGGTTGTACTGTGGTTGAAACAAATTTTGTGACTGCAGATTTATGTGTCGCAGGAGCCATGACACCCTCCAAGTTTTCCTATCAGATGCTGCAGCCGCAAGATCTTCCGGGTCCCCTACACTCAGGAAAGCTAACAGTGCAAAGAATCGGTCCCGTCTCATAATATTTGGTGGGAGAAGGCTTGAAAATATCCCCGTCGTCCGCCAGTACATGTGGAGCCGTGGTACATCAACAACCCCCATGTAGATGATAAGTCCGATAAGCCTCAGCGTCTCCAGTGGCATTAACTCTTCCCAGGAGCCGTCCGGGCAAGCGTAGGTTTGCCGGTCCAAAATACGCATCCAGGCGTACTTGTTAGTGTTGTCACATAACGTCTGGAGCACTTCCGTCGTGAAAAACAAAATGAAAAAAACGCCCTTGAGAAGCGACGCACGTCACTCCGTAGCGCTGCTGCAAGATGGGCACCAGGCTGTCTTGCGGGTGAAAACTGCATACGGCGTGCTGGATTTGGCAAAACATCCTTGCCGTACGTTGTTGAGACCCTAAGCAAGGAAAGGATACCATTATCGTCAAATATCAAGTGCATTTTTCCTTCATAAGCAGTGCGAAGTCAAAAACGATACTTACTTGGTAGTACTTGTGGAAGTCTGAGGCGTCTGGTCTGGAGTGTCATCGTCGGAACTCGACTCTGAAACTTGAAAATCGTCACTCGAGTCGTCTGCACTACTCAGATAAAAAAAATCGCCGGTAGAAGCGGCCGAAGTGCTTGCAACAGCAATCGGCTGTCGCAGCGGGCGACGGGGAGTGGCAGCCATTCTCACGTAAAACGAAACTGGATTCCGTTCAATGTGCACACGCGGGCGCGGCTCAGCGGGCGAAATGTAAACCAAGAAAGGTGAAAACGAAAAGTTGGTTGCCCAAGTTTAGGCTAGATGGCGCTACATATCCGTAAAACGAGAGTTTTCAATTTTTGCGGGAGATTTGAAATCATCGGAACTCCGTGTCCGATGGCCCATGGGTTCATAGCAAAAGGGTTAAAGGGTCTCTCTGCCCTGGTTTATTGTAAATTGTTGAGCTTACTGTGAAACTTTGGAAGTGTTGTATTGAGAGTGCTTTATTTAAATGTTGAATTTGCACGTTGCCAAGTTGTAAGTTTCCCTTGCTTAACATCGCCCTCTTGCGCGAGTCTGAAGCATCTGAGTCAGCTCTAAACGTAGATGTTAGTGCTTGTCGACCATGGTAATCGTTGTTTTCCAGGGACAACTACACACTCCAGATCAACCCTTGCTCGGGAATGTGCAATGAAGACCATCTTTCTTACTTCAAATTCATTGGAAGAGTGGCTGGTATGGCTGTTTATCATGGGAAACTACTTGATGGTAAGTATCATAATGCAAGGTTGAGGATGAGCAAATGTGGATGGTAGTGTTTCTCAAGGAGAAAATTCTTGTATTTTTCAGCATTCTTTATTCGACCGTTCTACAAAATGATGCTCGGCAAGCCAATTACAATCAAGGACATGGAGTCCGTGGTAAGTGCTTTCTCCTGCACCTTGCTGCACACACTTGAGTGGGGTCTCATGCCTGTGGAAGACACAACGAAGCCTAGGTGTCTGCTGTTTGCTTGACCATAGTGTCTCACGAAGCATAAATTGCACTGTATTCACTTGCTAGAATCTATTTACAGTTGAAGCTCAATATTAATAGGCTGTCCCCTCTTGTCACTGTCCCCTCTTGTCTTTTGTTGTGTTTCCGTGCTATTACGCTAAAGATTTATGCTATCTTGGATTGTCCCCAAACACAAGGTCAAGAGCACTTTTTGCAACACGAATACATTTTCTTGCTCCTTCATACTGCTTACAGTGAACGATTGGAACTATCTGCCAGGTGCCGTAGTTTCTATTTCGGATCACTCCTTTCATTTTTCATTCTTTATCGGTTCACCTGCTTTATGGTAGCCCTCGCTATTGACCTGATCTATTTCTCCTCCGTACAGCTTTCTGCACGTGTTGATATGCCATTTTTATTCTTCTTTTTCATTTATTATTATTATTATTATTATTATTATTATTATTACTACTACTACTACTAATATTATTATTTTAATTTTGTACAGCATTTTTATGTTCGTATTTTGCTGCTTGTATAACTGTACAATGTTTACCTTGTTCATTTCTCTTATGTTTCACCAAGGAAAGGTTCTATGTCGTTTACTATTGTTTCTTGTATAATACAGCACAATTTGTTTCTTCGTTGAATTTTTATATGTTCTAATCTGCTCCCCTCTGTAATGCTTTGGCAATTGAACATAAAAGAAATAAACACAAATAAAGAAATAAGTTTTTGCATGGTGTGAAAACATACTCTACAGATAGTCAACACTGCTATGAGCAACTCAGCCGAAGAATTGGGCTGTACTTGGCATGTATAATTTACAAGTGGAGCTCAAAGCTGCCAGCAGCTTGTAAATTTCATCATTTTATTAGGTTGCTGCTATTGGCTATTGGCTGAAATGAATTAAGAGGGCTGTTCGGATTATAGTATGCACTTCTTGCCGCAGGGCTGCCACCCTTCAGTAATAACTTCACTGCACACCGGTATAACCCTGTGAGTGGGCGAATGAATTTCATAGCTCGCTGATACGGACTGTTGCCCTTTGTCATCACGCTTGCAACAGCCAGCATGCTTGTTGGGGCAAGGGAAAAAATATAGCGCTCAGAGCGTTTGACTAATACCTGTATATACTCTCATTTTTGGTAGAATAAATATCGAAGCCCATTTTCGAGAATTTTGCCAATACCGTGGCACCGCTTAGCAAACGGACTGCTTCAAGTTGTTACATGTACCTCGTATACCTAGGTCCTTTCCTTTCTTTGTCTCCAGTTTTTAAGCGTGCGCTGCAGCCCCTCTTTGGTGATCTCAGCTAACTAGAATTGATGTTGTTACGACCCGCAAAATCCTAGGGAGCTGGTGCAAATATTTATGTAATGGTTGGTTATGCATTTTATATGGTAAACCAAGCTTTGTTTTGTGTGTAATAGTAGCCATTTTCTTTACGAGAAGTAAAATATTTTAATACATGTGTGCCTGACTTATCTTCCGCATTCGTTCAGTGTAATAGCGATATGCAGCCTCTTTTTTGTTACACTCATTGCTTTGACCTGAGATTCAGGTCAAAGCAAAACTTTCTTGGTGCAAGAAAGTCTTGCACTCCCTTTTGTGTTGTCGCTAAAACACTCTGATGCAGTTTCAGTAGCACAATTGGATTTGTGTGGTTTGAAATTATAATGTGCCCATGTAACTCACTGCGAGAGAATACAATTATGCAGGACACAGAGTACTACAACTCGCTACGTTGGATTATGGACAACGATCCTGCCGAACTTGACCTTCGATTCTCGGTGGACGAAGATCTGTTCGGGCAGATGCAACAGCGTGAGTTAGTGCCTGGCGGTGCTGACCTACCCGTCACGCAGGAGAACAAGGCCCGCTATGTCGACCTTGTGATCCAGTGGCGCTTCGCGTCTCGCGTGCGGCCCCAGATGAATGCCTTCCTCGAAGGTCTGAATGAGCTGGTACCCCTGGCCCTGCTGCGCGTCTTCGATGAGCATGAACTCGAGTTGCTGATGTGTGGCATTGGCCAGATTGATGTGCGTGACTGGCGGCGCCACACTGTCTACAAGGGTGGCTACCATGCCAACCACGTGGTGGTTCAGTGGTTCTGGAGGCTGGTGCTGTCGTTCAACAATGAGATGCGGTCACGCCTGCTCCAGTTTGTCACGGGCACGTCGAGGGTTCCGATGAATGGCTTTGCCGAGCTGCACGGCAGCAATGGGCCGCAGCCTTTTACACTGGAACGGTGGGGATCACCGAGCAACTTGCCTCGCTCTCACACCTGGTGAGGGCTGTTTTTCTTTCTTTCCTATTTTGATTTGCTGTAGACAGTGCAAAAAAAATCGCATTGCCTGCATCAAAAGTCTAATGCGTGGGGGGTCCGCAAACACTCAGAATATTTGACAACCTGCAACATGCCCGTGAATTCAGATATACAGCCTGTGCATAGTACAAGCAACCAAAATAGTATTTTGTTTAATTCAACTCGTAATTCCTCATGATTGTTGGTCCATTCGAAGAGTAAGGATGACTTTAATGTGAGACTGAAATATATACAGTATATTTTAAGTAAATGAAAATCTGTGAAATGGAACTGCTGCTTATACGGAACAACTGCCTCTAATGTCATTAGTTTCGTACTTGAACACTACAACGCCGTTCATCTCTCTGTAAACAGGACTCCTGTTAAACTGTACACTATATCCCGGTTCCTTAAGGTTCTGTTTAACAAGAGTCCAGTGTAGTTACTATTGCTTAGGTACTGATGTAGTGTTGCCCATGTAATTTGATGTGATGCAACTTGAGTGACCGTTATTTTCGTAATTAATATTTATTTTTTAGTATGTATGTTTACCAGCACCCCTGATAAGAGGAATCACTGTGCTCACTGAAGGATCAGATGCTGGGTCCGACATAATGATAAGGGTAAGTGCACAAAGACTGGAACAAGAAGACGACACAGAGTGCTTGTTGAGTCGTCTTCTTATGCCCATCTGCGTGCGCTTACAGTTTTCATAGTGTCACTAAAGAAACATCGTTTACACCTGAGAAGTTGTTTCTTTGTCAAGCCCAGCAAAATTTCATAGCATAGATTATGGTTTTTAAGTAATCTATGTTGCTTAGCTTGAAAGCGAACAATCGAAAACGATAGAAATTTACTACTTATTTGCAATTTCAATTTCATTTATGGTCTGTGAGAGAATAACGTCATGTAACTTCCTTCACTCTATGCAACGAACATTGATCAACTGCTAGATTACAATATTCCTTGGCTTATCTATATATATATATATAATTTTCCTTTTTTGCCCCATTACCTGGCTTAGCTTCAACCGTTTAGATCTGCCGATGTACGAAAGTTACCAAGATCTTCGGGAGAAATTGATACAGGCCATTGAAGGATCAGAATCCTTTGGAGGAGTCGACTAGCATTCCACGTTACCATGGTCTCCAAAGCTTCTGTGGCACATTGCACAGGCAAGCTGTTTTCTTATTCATTCGCAGTAGGACAGAAAACCAATATGTATCAAGTGAATGTCATAAATGTTTTTCAATTAAATGCAAAGGTACAATCAACTACAGTGCAATTTCGAGCAAGCCCCCCCCCCCCCCCCCCCCCCCATACCCCGCCTCCCGACGAAGCCGACATTGCTGGCAAAATAGAGAGGGGGGGTGCGCTATCTCTGAACAGCACCAAACTTCATGATGGCGGCAAAATTTTCGCGCCAGAAAAAAAAAAACGCAGTTCGCATGGATTAAACTTTTATTACAGTGAACTTTATTTAGGCCCAGAATTTGTTGTAGCTTTTAATAACTTTTAAAACCATCGAAGGACTCCTCCGAGTCAGTTGTAAAAAGTTTCAGCCTTCTGCTTGAAGTCTGCCGCTGTCTTTTGGCACCACGGCTCCAACATTTGCCAGTCCGCTGTGCAGGTCGCCGTCCTCTGAGAGATCGAGCGCTTTCCTAATGCCGCATCTCTTGAAGGACCGTGCTACTGTCTCCTCAGGTACAGCGGCCCATGCCTCAGCAATGAAATCGAGCACATGCTGCCGCAACGCTTCTTCGTTTTCTTTCGGGATTCATGCTTTGTTACACATATACTGCTCCCACAAATGCCGCAAGGTGGACTTGAATGGCTTATTCCAATACATGTCGGCAGGCTGCAGGATGCTTGTGCATCCCACAGGCACGTAAAGCATGTCGATGTCATACTCCTTGAAGGAATTTGTGGCAGCCTGTCTTATGGCTGGGCGCCTGGTCCAACTCTAGCTGACCTCTCACCGCAAACTTAAAGCAACAAATGGCGCGGAGCAATCAGACTGCAGTGCAAAGCAGAATTGGATTGCACTTAATTGGATTCATGGCAGCCAGCAGGACCACAAAAAAAAAAACACAATATTTGTAGAGAAATTTGGGGAAACTTTTTTTGTCAACTGCATGTGGCAGGCCAGTGTTGCCTGGGCGCGTTGTTGTGAAGCAGTGGAAGGGAGAAGGGGTGCTTTCCCGGAATGGTGCGAAGGTTTAAAATTGCCAGTGAAGTTAAGAGGAGGTGGGGCGCCTGTACGGGCGAGGGCACTTACTTGGAATTTTAGGGTAGTTTAAAGCTTTCAAAAGAATATATGACCAACTGCAGCATCAATTATCCCACAAAAAATGTTATAACTTGAGACACTGTGTTGTGTCCACCTTTAAGTTTCTCATGTAGATAATGCCCTGATCACTATCGAACTTGTTCCTAAAGAAATCGGTTAAAAATCGGCAGGGCTGTAACCTTCAACTGTGCAAGAGTTGCCGTGACAAAAGTGTACGTAGCAGTGCCTGTTGAGGTCATAAGGTTAAGTCACTGTACGGGTGCATTTCCTGTTTCAGGGTTGCAACCTATGTGCATGTCCACAGGGTTTGAACAGTCTTGTTACACCATCTTATCTCAAGTGTCAGCGCAAGAACAAGTTTTAGTCAACCAGATGCAACAAGTGCCTTTTCTGCTGCTCATCCAGCCAATGGGGGCCACGATACAAGCTTGATTTCTTCTTTCTCCTCTACTCTGGACTGCTGACCAACCTTGCTCGGCCTAGCAAAATGTTCTTGTTTGTGCTTTTGCAGGCATGTAGTAGTAACAGTAGTAGTAGCAGCACCTCTCAATCATTCATCCGGTTTTGGCTAGCATCATTGTTCGGCCATTTTGGTTAAGGGTCTCTTATTTTAGCGTCACTATAACCCAGTCTCTTGAGGAAACAGCCAGTTTCATGTCTTACTGGTTGTACAAAGTGCTGCTATTTGAACTTGCTGGAGAAAAGTACATTTTGCGTTAGAGGACATGGCCGAAAGAAATGAGACTCCTGTGGATCCACGCATGTCATTTCTTTCTGCTGTGCTTGTGCACAGTGTGCTACGTTTTCAGCTGATTTCCACATTTACAAGTCTAATCTTGAGTGAAGCTGTGCATTACTAGTTGCTTTCTTTACTAGATATTCATTGAGAGAAGATCTTGTATGTTGCCCGCAATAGAAAAGCAGCTGGTGTATAAACTGGCACTGTTCGCTTAATCCTGCGTGATGAAGTGACAGGTACAAGTTCATGCTTGGTGATGCTACATTTGGAGGCACCCACTTTTGTTCTTGTTTTCTCCAGAGTTCAAGAAGCATTCAGTGCGTACCTGTTCTTGACAACAGTGGCATAATTACAGCGGGTACCGAACGGTGGCACCAGTGTCGTCTTTTAACTAGTCAAGTTCTAGAACGAGCCCTTCAGGCTGTCGGTATATGTCAGACTGATGGTGTCAGATTCTGAAATGAGAAATGTAGTTTGCCGAGCAACAAGAATTTTCGAACCTTGTGAAGTGAGAAGAAAAGGTGGGTTAGGGGTGGTCCTGTGTTGTAAGTTCATGTTTGCAGGACCCGTGTTTACACCATCTTTAGCTCCTCATATACTATTCGCTGGAGAAGCACTTGTCTCAATGTTATCGTATTTCCACGGAGATTGGCAGTGATCATTATCACTGCACCTGATGCACTTCCTTTATTGCTTTAGTGGAAGCAAGTCTGTGGAAAGGGAGGTATGTTAAAATACTGTGGAGAAATGCTTTGTGTTTGCACAGCGATATCCCTTCGGTTCCACCCTTTTGTTTTTGCTACACTTTAATATGCAATGAGCTCAACCACTAGGCAACTGGGCTATGTGGAAAAGCCAATCTTTCAATCTAAGGAGAATGGTTTGTTCAATTGCACAGGAAGGAGCAAAAGCTCTGTTAAGGAGATGCACACCAGTACAGCCTTACTTTTACAAGCTCAGCTTACTGTTCTGGCTGGTTTCATGCCACATCAGAAGCATTTTAAAGTAGCACTGTTGATCGAGTGTTACAATAAGACGCACTTTTGCAAGCCATGGTGCAATCCCATAGAGCCGTATACCGCCGTTGCCACTCGCACATCCTGCCTTGCTGAAGCACTCCAAGCATTAGTATGGTTGTATTTCACATTGTCGTACCACATTACAATCATAGTGCTGTTGTTGTTTCTTGTCGGCTTTTGCATTTCAGTCGTAGAAATGCAGCTCGTTGCTACAACATAAGTTGAGAAAATTGGAATGGCCTCAAGAAATGTGACGCAGCATGTGCTATCGCACATTACTTCTCAACAAGCGAGTTTTTCTCAGTTTGAAACAGTTTGAACAGATGCTGTATGTGTTTTCTTCTGCACCAACTGAACTAGGGTTGCAGTGTATGGAAAAATTTTCCACTCTTCAAGCACATGCAAACTGGTGTGTAGCGCTACAGTATTCGAGCACATAGATTTAATTTGAAATCTTTTCTCATGGTTACATGCTCATAATGAAGGCCCATATGCAGCCTCAGCAGAATGGCTCTGTGAAATTCAGCTTTCGATGAAGTTTGGAGAACGCACACCTTGAAAATGCACACCAGTTGGTGTTTCTAACGTACAAGGTCCTATTGGACCAATGCGAACGACTGTGTTCTGGCACAATGCATCTCCACTTTGCTGCTTTTGCACCGAGAGGGTGCAAATTGCTGCGCAAAGGCCCATGTTCACAAAACCCTTAGCTAAGTCATTAAAGCACTTGTTTGAACTTTTATATGTATATGAAAGTTGTTTGACTACATTAACATGTAGCTCTACCTATGTACAACTAAGCAAACATGAAGAGCTCTATATACAAAAAAACCTGCTTTTCATATTGTGGCATGTAAAGCAGAGAAAAAGCCCCTACATTATTTGGGGTTCACCAAAATGTCACATCTCACCCTTCAAATTTTTAAATGCTTTTATGGGAGTAGAAGGCTTGTTTTGTGCATGATTTCATAGATTCGTGTTCAGGCTGTTTCGATTTTGAATTGCTGTAATTGTGAGAGGTTGTGCAGTTTGTGTTAGGTTGAGGTTTTAAGTGTGTGTAATATAGAGCAATTTGTTAGCAGAACTTTACTTAGATGGATTGAGGTTATCGATTACATATTTACGTGCATGTGTATTGTGTGTTCATATATTAGGTATCCAGACTTTCTGACTGCATTATGTCAGACAACTGTGTGCAACAGCAGCAACTTTGGTAAACAACACTTGTGCTTCATTTTGCAAGTTTGGTGCAGCCACAAAGAAATGTATTTCTCTTAGAGCTAACTTGTTGTTTAATGGGAATCTTGTTGGTACTTAATTCAGTTTTTCACCGTGCTTAAAGTCTCAAGACCTAATGTGCGGGATCATGTACAGTTGCACAGGTAGGCAGCAAAGCAACATTTAAAGGGTTATATTTGCTCTATACTGCATGATATAGATTGTGTCAAATAACTTAGCATTTGTAAAAAAAGGGCCTTCTTTTTGTTTTAATCTGTAAAATCTCTGCCACTATTACCAGCAGTTTAATAACCTTTACCTACCTCTTGCAAAGAAAGCCAGCTTTGAGCCTTGTACATTGAAACATGCAACTTTACTAGACGAGCACTGAAGAAAAATGTTCCAAGTATTGGCACGTTTTTTTTTTTTTTTTGCCATGTTGACATGACACATTTAAGACGACCATGTAGTACCAGCACAGAAGTTGAAAAACGTGGCATCACTTGCAGCATGCCTGTTTGCCTACTTTTCAGCTCTGCATAGAGGACTGAAATATTTTGTGTCCTCTCTTGAGGAGGCAAACAGCTTTCCAATTGTTATGAAGCAGCACTTTCCAATGGCATGTTTGCTCAATATAGGAGTTAAAAGCACATTGCCAATTAAATTTATGCACACAGCTTCTCCTACTGCCGGATGTAATGCTGCCATACATGTTTTTTAAATAGAGCCGGGCCGAGTTCAAGTGAGATTTTATTTTACGTGTGCAATTATCAAACCTGTTTGGAGTGCATGCAGTCTTTTTTTTACATTTTAAGTCGCTGTTTCGGCACGCACATTTATTTACAAAAAGCCTGTGACAATTGCTGTTGCTTGATTTTTTTTTTACACCAAACAGTGAATTCAAGTATTTTTCTTGCTGTGTACACTGAGCATGTCGTATTTGTGTTGTTGAAAGCGAAATTTTCATGGCAAACGTGCACCTACTGCTTGAGCTTCGAGTCACGCACAGAGTCATTCAAGTTTGTGTACAATAAATAGCGTTTGGCAGATGCCTTTATTTATAAATAAAACTTAGAACTGACAAATGCATTCGCATCAATCAAGGAGGGGGAAAACTTGGAAGGCACACGATTGTTCAGAGGAGCTCTTGGGAATGAAACTCATTTCTCCATCTGGAAACAAGCTGAATCGGAGCTCGTTGTTCGGCATGCTCAACTTATTCGTGTCAAGTAATGTTGGCCAACTTCTTCATAATTGTCCAAGCTGCAGATGGAGCCAAGTTGTTCCTGTTCCACCGCCCAGTGTTAAATCATTCAGGGACACCGAGGGGCTGTCCAGTATTACTTGGCAGAAGATGCATTGGCCACGCTAACATTAAGTTAGCTAGTGGGTGCAAGCACCCACTGTTACTATACAACATAACAATAATCAAAATGGTGATAAATATGTACTTGATTCAGCAGCATGCAAACTAAGTTAACACACAATTTGAACAATGTAATGTTGTCTCTTACACACTGCACCTCACGTTTTGCCAGTCGCAATTCAGTGGCACGTGGAAACGGATCAATGTTGTGCGGCTGAAAACTAGTGCCTAGTACATGTCTCAACTTATGCTGTTGTTGGCATTGGGAAGGAAGTCTGTGCCCCTGTGGGAAAATTAACTGGTAATCTAGCCCAAGCACACATTGCTTCGGGCCTTTTGTCAGCAATTTTGCATTGGGAATCGCATGGAACCCTCGTCGTTGTTCTTGAAGTACAGTACAGTCTTCGCTGCACTGTGGTGCACAAGCGAATTGTTAACCAGCAACAGATATGACTGTGTATACGTTGCCTTCAAATGTAGCTTTTGTTTAAGAAGCGCTCGTGCATTTTTTCAAAGTTCTAGAAATGCTACACTGCACATCTTGTGCATGAAAGTAAGAAAAATGACATTTAGCAAAAACGAAAGTTTAGAAATATTCATACAGTATCTGAGATTAAAGTTGGTCTTGAAGTGTCCTGCCTGGCTTCGTTACTATGACATCATAATGCAGAATGACTTTAAGATTAACACTATGTATGACTTTTCAGCGTACACAGTATAGTAACAAAGGTGCGACCGAATGGTATAGCTTACTTGGTGGCATTGTCTGAACTGAAGTTTTAGCACTAACAACAAACTTGCAAAAGTTGATTGAAAAATAATTTGACTGGCTGCAAGTGAAAGGTGTTCATGTAAAGGTCAATGCAGCAAGGTATTACTGCTGGAAAAATTCAGCAACTTTGCTCTAGCTAGCTTCAAATGACACTGCTTTGTTTGGATTTTAAACATAATTACATTGCACAAAAAATTGGACATGCGGCATATGACATGGCCAAATTGCAGCATCAGTTTGGGCAGCTGTGCTTGACACATCGCACAATTTCCGTGAAAGATAGAAAACGCAGAGTCTACAAAGTTTCCAGAAGGTGAGCTATGGAATCGTCAAAGACATTGACATAGGCAACTTATTTTCTATTCTTGCCAAGTGTGCTGTAAAGACAAATAGAAATGTTGGGCTTTGACAGAGCTTCCATGAAGCAGATGAAAAATAAAAGCAGTGACCAGCACAGTATTTGAAGAAAACACTCACACTTGTGTCAGAGTCTATTCCGCTGCCCACCACAAGCAACTACGAGCATATTTACTATGTGCACCCCCCCTTTATCAAGCACTGCAGATGCCCTTGCACTTAACGTGTGAAATCCACTAGAAGAAAATTTGGATATCTTTCTGTTGATAGAGACTTCAAGGCAATTTGAATAAGCTGGATATCTCCGTGTGTGGGTCATGTTGAATTATCAGCCAGTCTCACAGAGAAACACTAGAGACCAGTGCGAAATTTGGTTTAAAATGGTAAAATTTGTTTTCAAACAATCATTTTCATTTCTGTGGACAAAATGCTGACCATTAAAGAAGAAAAAAGGGCTCACGTACTACGAATAGGTACGTCATACTTTCAAATCTTCGAACTTTATAAAAAAATGTTGACTGAGAAAGAAACCAACGCTATGAAGAGAATGTTAAGGTAACTTTAGTGATATTGCTTTTTATTTTTAAAACAAATTTCTGGCGTTTAGAAGAGGAGGAAGAAGAAACTTATAAGAAACCAGCAGGTTTAGGTGGTCGGGCCTATGCCTCTGGTGGTCGGGCCTATGGACGGGCATGCTGAGTCGCCCAGGTTTGGTCGTCAAGAGCGGGGCATTTAGAAGAAAAAATTTTTTCAGTGTTAAATTGAAGGTGTATATACTTCCACATGCTATGTTTTTTTATTAATATACGTATTCTATCAGAGATTGACAGAGAAGTAATTTTGTTCAAGACTTGCACCACATTGTTAAGTATTTTGTGTTCTTACATCTACTTCGATCCACCAAACTATATCTTAATAAGACTATTACTGCCATTAAAAAAGTATAATCTAACAACGTAGCGTAAATAGGTGAACGCCTGCCAAACCTCCTATATCTGAGTAATCTTTCATTGTCAGTGGTGGTCGGTGTTTACAAAACTGAGGCTCTGTTTCTCCGACAAGAAGCACCTGTAATGTTTTTCAAAAAAGTGCGACCTAGAAAACTACGATAAAATGTCTCATTGTCATACACTATGAACATAAAAACCACAGCAAACCATGTTGAATTCGATGAGGCCAATGCAATGTCAATATAAAACCTGCCGGAGGCACTGCTTTGGGCTTTTGACTAGTAACGACGGCGTGAAATGCGCCATGCTGCCGCTGGGTGGGGGCAGCAGCACACAAAAATGTACGCTTGCAACCTTTCCTCCCCACCCTCCCAGTACAGTCTCACACAAAGGTTACTGAAGGGCAGTCTGATGCTGGTATTCAAACAACAGTTGAACCTCAATGTAGTGGAATATTGGATATCACAAGCACCTAAAATGTATATTGCTGTTACCAGGGCATAACAAACTCACTTGAACAAATATTACATTCAAGAAAGATACATGTACGTTGAAAAGACTTCGTTGTCGGTGAGGTTCAACTGAACTACAATAATTAAAAGCTACTGTGCACACCTATTTCCTCATTTGGCCAGTCGATGTCACCTGAACTATCTTCTGACTCCTTTTATGAACATTTGCTGCATCTTACAAATGTGGAAATTCAATATTTAATGCAATTTATCTAAAATTCTAGATTCATCATGCAAGTGAGCATAATGAACCCCAAACACGTTATCTGGCTATTATTTGGGCATCAGCCGAAACTGTTTCTTTCAGTGTTTCATGTTATTATTGCTTACTTAACCAAAGCTCCAAAGTTACTCTGAGAGAGACTTGGGGCCTGGCTCGTGTTGCATTCTCCAATGTTCAGTGCAAACGGGGCACACCCCTCTGCTGTCACACGTGCCTTGTTTGTGCTGCACATCACAAAACACTGAAAACTGTGAGATTGCCGCACTTTGTGGCCAGTTTTTGGAGCCACAAGATAGAATTTCGAGAATGCTGTACTGCTTATGACACTCTTTCTAGTTGAATGCAGCAACAGGCTTTCCCTATGGTAATCTTTGTGCTCAACTCTGTGCTCATCCACTAAAGCCCTTCTACAATATTTCTGCTGACAAGCTGTCAGAGGCACATCGATCGAGGGGCTTTACTCGGCCCCCAACCAGCGGCTGTGCTCGTGCAGACTACTATCTCTGCAGACAGCTGCGCACTCGCAGCAGTTCACGTCCTCTCCTTGACGGAGACAAGTGCAGCACTCTCTGGCATCACCAGGACGTGCAAAGACTAAGCAGGCACTGGCGGCTGTTGCTGCTGCTGCTTGGTGGCCCCCTTGGTCTTTGCGAGCATGGCTGACGCTTCATCCAGGACTTGCTGAACAGTCTGCAACAAGGAAAAACCAATTCACTATAGGAGTTGCCAGTCACAGGTAGGACTGACCAAACAAGAAATTTGTGTAGGAATCGGCCTACTCCAGAAGGATAAAACGAGAGGCAGCGTGAACCACAGGACAATAGGGAAAAGATAGACCAAGTGCTGCCTCTCTGCTCTGTAGTTCACGCCATTTCTTGTTTTCTGTGAAGACGTACCAACCGGCCCAAATAAGCACTCTAGTCCAAAGACAGGGTTGCGATAGTGGAATGTTGGGCTATTTCGAAATGTGTTGCCCACTTTTTGCAGCGAATTGAAGGACATACAAGCATTGACACTCAAAATGCTGAACTAACATATACACCCACAATGCTGAGCTAATAAGACTCTAGTAGTGTGCATCCTGTTCAGATTCTGGCTCGCTGCAAAACATAGACAAGGGAGAGGGATAATAGAGATGACTGAGAAAAATGCATGTCTTACAAAGGACGTAAATAGGCTAATAAGGGCAAATACTAATAACATAGATTATAAAAGGATGCATGCAACACGTTATGAAAGGCTTGGGACATGACAGGCCTAAAATGGCATCTGTTCAAAAAGTTCATTATTAGCAGTTGGCAATGAGTTAAGTAGTAGGGAAGGTTGGTGGACAGGCAAGGGTCAACCTCAACCCTACAAACCAAGATGGTTTTTCATTGCCCCTCCTTAGTTCTTGTAGTCAAAGAGCCAACTTGTAAACTCTCGCATATGTTGCAAGACTGGGCATGCACCCCATTCTATAGAGTAAATCAACATTTTTTTACAATTTATCTCTAATGCCAGGCGTCTAATCTCTAATCAAGTCCAGAACTTTGAAGCATTTCATTTAAACACTGTAACTGGTATGAGTGTCCATTAATATTAACACTAGGTTTAGGCATTCAGTTTAACGAGGAGCATACATATTCAGGCATTATAAATGGGTGGACAACTTCAACCAAAAATTTTTTAAAAGTGGCAATGCAGTGGTTAGGCTAGGTCTAACTGTCCTTATGTGGGAGCACTTGCGGTCTTGCCCTTGAGGGTGGCACTTCTCAAGATCCTTTAAAAAAGTTCTGTGTGCCGTAAAGTGTGCCTTTTATGAAAACTGGGTGTTCTCTTCTACGTGTTCAACATAATGGCAAATCTGACTCCTGAGCCCTTAACTCCAAAGCTTCACATTGCTTTGCCCATCTGCATTACCTAGTTGCTGACACAACAGTGTAGCTTCCAGGGCACACGCACTGACACTGTTCCCTGAACGCCACTTCTGTAAGAACTTGAACAGATCCTAAAGGGACACTAAAAAGAGACATTTTTTCTTGTATTAGTAAATTACTCATGCAAAATTCCAAAATCACCATGCGCGCTGCGAGAAGACATTCGGTATGCGAGAAAATGCACAAAAAGAAAATGCAGGTGTCAACACGTTGAAATTTTCACACGAAACGCTGTGACGTCATAGATTTTTGTGGCATCTACTAGGCCCTACGTTGTTCCAACTCGGTAAAAATGAAGTTCATTACCACCTAAAGGGGTTGTCTAAACTTACCATATCAGGTTTTCAGGAACATTTTGATGACCCAATAATGCCAAAATATGAAACGTCACTTGTAGAGATTCTGACACGAAATTTATAAATAAAACTTTGACCTTGATTTTCCCCACTATTATAAACCTATGATGGCCAAATTAACAATGTTCTGTGAAAACAACTTATCTATCTAAACCAATTTATTGTTTCACTTCAATTTCCCTTTAACCCAGTGGCTATTTCTCAATGACAGCATTGTAGTACCTCTTTTAAAAGCAAAGGTGGTACATATCCCAACGAAGAAATGCAATTAAAATAAAGGCTCAGCACCTGCACTGCAACTTGTAGTTCGAGTTCACAGTAGCTCAGTCGTTCGAGAAGAGACTTCATAGTCACATCATCCACATGACAGGACAGCTCTTCACGCAGTTTCCTCAGCCGATCCTGCATTGTTTCTGAGTGCGTGTTGAGAGTAAGTGATCCATCCGGTGAAGTATGGCCCGACTCCCTTGCATCTTCAGTTTGGCTGGCAGATTCAGGTTCTCTTGTCTTATCCGTTTCATCATCCTCGCTAGAACTGTAGTGGTACAAGAGAGCCGATGCTGGCCTTGGCTTGTCTGTTTCGATTTTCGCACCCAACTCTGTTGCTCTAGACGGAGAAAGAATGTTAGGGCATGTAAAAAATAACTGACATTTGAGGACAGCTTTCCACTACACGTCGTGCAAATACAGCTTTATCTTATTTCACGGTGAGTCGACCATTATCTTTACATGAATATCTTTTTGCTAATTTCAATAGCTAATAAAATGTACAGACGTAATCTGAATAAAGCAGGCACTTCACTTTAGAAGAAATATTTTGCAGGAGCAAGCAACATTCCTCGATGCAACAGCTCGCACACCAAATGATGTCTTTTTGTTTAGGGTTGCTTTAGATGCTTGCATTATCTTGCCTCTTCAACTACATGATACCATCACTAATATTTGCACCTTTTTTAATACAGAAAATATTACAAGGGTGGCTCCACTGCTGAACCACACTAGTACAAAGTATGCCACAAGCATAGTGTACATCAGAAAAGCCACAAGGTCACGTCTTCGTAGCAGCCAGGAGTTAATGTGCTTGGTTATATGAAACACTGCAACAAGCATTAACAAATGTCTAAATACAAACACCATGTGCCAAAATGGTTCCCAGTAGAGCTGCCTGAAAATATTTCATTCTTCAAATATAATATGTTGAACCTTGAGTTAATCTTTCAATGCAGATTTACAATTCTATGCATGAAATTAGAATTGGGGAAAAGCAAAGAAGTTAGTTCTACTCACTCCAACTCCTCAGCAACTGCTTCTTGTCTGTGAGCAGTTAGGCCCTTGTGACTGCTTACTTCTTGGGAGAGAGACTGCAAAATGATGGTGTTGCGATAGCTTAGTCTCGACCATTTCTACAGGAAACGGAATAAGTGATTACTGGGACTGTAGTGCCGAACGAACAAGGACAAGAAACATGAATAAGGCAGGCGCCCGTCTTTGTTGTCCACATCCCTTCAGTGCCACACTCCCAGCAGTTGCTCCTAACTGACTAGGCCAACCATCGACTCTTCAGAAGTGCTTTCATATATTGTCCGTCTCATTAGGACTGAGGTTGTGTCTAATACCAAAACTAATGAAATCGGTGAATTTCTGCACCGATCCCGCTCAAAATTGCCTAAACCTCTTATTACTTCTTTTTCTTGATGTCTCTGCTGTTTTCCTAGCAGTAATCTGTTTAATCCGATTGCGAGTCAGAATATAAAGTAGAGAATTCCAGAGGTTTTAAACAAATGCATAGGTATAATATCCTTTGCAGACTGACAGAATTTAAGAACTCTGTGGTATAAAAACATGTTATAAGTTAAAGATATTGCATTAACTACCCTCCTTGTGCGCTTTTTAGTTACTTTTCTAACTGAGCAATATCATGTGTCAGAAACAAAAAAAAGCACAAAGCATACTTTAGGCATCTGCGACTTCCTTTGTGGCAGTCTTCTTCCTGCGGGGCCCTTGGCTCGATTTTTTGTAATACTTTCCAGGGGCTCCTTGCCTGGGATGTCCAGCGTTAGATCTGGAACCTGAGGGCTGCTCTCAACATTTGCCTGTGTTTGAAAACAGAAAGTGTTGTAGTAATACAATTTTGAAGGCAGAAGCCTGATGATAAAATGCAATGCCATTTACGAAGCATCAGCAGTAGCATATGGTGATCACATATTATGCTATTTTTCTGTGATGCACACACTGAAGAAAAACTCTTCACATAACGGGACTGACCACAACCAGTAGCACGGGCCATCTAAAATTAGAATGATGATGAAAGGAACACGTTTCACATCACATACTTTAATCAATGTGAAATTACACAATAGTACTACATACTGTAATTAAATGCTTTCATTTCAAGTACATGTATGTCTTCAGCTTGGGTACACCAAGCGTCATGTCAGATGCATTTCCTGCAGATTAAAAAAACGTTGTTCATTCATTGCCATTATGCAGGCTGAAATGAATTTTCGCTTTATGCACATGGTGATAGCGCTGCATCCTCACAAGTGAACACGACACAATAGTCACATGGTGTAATGACACAATAGCCACATGGTCATCACATTACTTTTCGCAGCGTAACTAGCGAAAGCAGGCATAAGTAATGATAGCAACACTACCCAAATGCACTGAGACTTCGCAGGGGCCATAAAGCCTGCAAAATGAAAGAAAAAAGAAAGAAAGAGAGAGAAAGACAGAAAAAAAATGCAGCGTGTCCCTAGTCCAAACTTAACTCAATTCGCAGCGTACATGTGGTGTTATGTCAACTGTAATTTTACACACAGGAGATTTCGCATCTGTAGCACACGATTGCCTCATGTGAAAACATTTCAATAGAAATATTGAGTCACGTGCAGACCTGCAGCACTGCTTAAAGGAATGCTGGTATGGCGCTTTGGCTTGCAATTTTCTTGCGTGTGTGTTTTTAAACGAAAGTTCAAACACTAAATTCAAGAAAAGATATGGAAGAAATTGTATGATCAAACACTGAGTACAGAAAAAAATAACAAAATTGCAGGAATGTTCTAAATAACTTGATAATTTATTTGTTTCTGTAAGTTGGCTTTCTTTTTTTTAGTACAACAAAGGTGGATATATCATGAGCCATTGGCTTGCTTCACTGTTGTTGCTGTCACATGCGAGCACAGCCACACTGTGTGCAGCACTCTTCCTTATTTCTTTATGACCGACTCGTCACACCCGACGTTACCGCTATACGACGTCAAAAGCTGTGCTCTATGTCCAGGCACTATGGCAATGTTAGTGATGCCATGGTATATCTAGACTCATCCCAACCTAAATATCTCACAACTGTTTATTGACCTTTATATTTCATAAGTGGCAAACTTTATGCATATCAAAAGTATATTACAGTGTTTTTATACAACTGAAATAACTTTTAGAGCTTCTTGCAGCAGGGACTTCAGGAATGCATTCTCTTAAGGAGCTTTTGAAGAGTATCTTCTTTGTTCAAAAGAAATTGAATTGAAGTTACTACAAAAGAAAAAAAAATAATAGTGAAGAGAAAAGTAAGACAGCACTTTCTTCTGTTATATCTGTTAAAGGGTAAGTATAACTGATTAGGCACACACACTATCAGTTTGAGGTCGAGTTGCCCAAGCTACTACATTTCTTTAATCTGTGAAGACTAAAAGTAAAAAAAAAATTATTAAAAGCTTGTAGGCATTAAAATATTCACTATCTATTCTGTGCATTGCTGGGTGTGCAATGCATTAGGAAGTTCTTACTATTCAGCTCGTCTACCTTCTGATTACTGTTTGTTCTCCAATATACTATTGCTACATCTTTTTCACCCATTTTATGCTCTATAAAGGAAGTTTCAGGTGATTTGACAAATACCTTCAGATGAGCTCACAGCAGTTACAATTAATTTAGCTGGCCTTGCTCCACCTTAGTTAACATTGTACTTCTTTTTTTTATGAAGATGTATTTAAATGTGATCAGTGCAGGCCTAAAGATTCAATAAATGCACACAGGAAATTAATTAAAGCATATATGCAATTAGCAATTCATACACCTATGAGCTCATGAAACGAATTAATCGCTGCTGTTTTTTGTGCAGTCGCAAGGTCAAAGAAAAAGACCTCTCAAAATGCAAATGACAGTTCAAAATAAGCAATGTAACAGTTATGCGATTCCTTAAAAGGACATGAATGCTTGACATGTCCAGTGCATGAAAAGATGCTCAGAGCATCCATTTCTTCTGGCTTTTTTTTTTTTCTCTTTACATTGCCATCTGACACAGGAAGATGTGAGAGATGTCAACTAATGATACGTGAATGATTTCCTTACATACCATGAACCATTGAAGACAGCTTACACATACATATAAAACAAAGTGGAAGACTGTACTTTTTAAGGTTCTGCACTGCTATATTAAACATTAAAAAATCCACATATACAGTTGCACACAAGTTGGCACTGCTGATATACAACATCAAAGCCTGTTTATGACGAAAAGGTAAAATGCAAATAGCATGGCTTGTGCAACTTTAAGTTCTCAAGCATTTTAGTTGCCATGATACGAGAATGGGGAGTGAAAAAAAAATGGTAAGGAAAAAAAATAGCTATAGACAACCTCTTTATGAAACAGCTTTCTTTTTTTCACAACAATCATGGTATTACTCATGCTCTCCAAAGACTAATTGATACTGGCTATCTCAAAAATAGTTTCTCACGATCTCCTTTTGGGACAAATGGGGTAGTTTTCCCTTTTTTTCATGATATAAACACATATAAACGTACATTTTATTTGTATTATGAATGGCCATTTCATGTATTTATGATACAAGTAAACATTCGGAATCTAAATTTTATCCTTCTGTATGTTATTGCCACAGCAAAGGAAAGTATAACAGCGATTAAGTCCCCGACCTCCACTACGACCATTTGTTTTTAGCATCATTTTAAATGTGAATATTTATACATACTTCTCCATAATGTTGGCACTCAGTCAGCTCTTGCTGAAATTTGTGCACTTTGTCGTTAAGGATATATAGAACAGCTTCTCCAAGAATAAACTGAACTGTGCTCTTAGAAGAATGCAGGAAGCCTTGTGCAATGCTATAAGCAAGAAAAAATGTCATACCTGGCTTTCGAGGGATTTCCTGGTCTTCCGTTTTGCAAGTGACTTCCTGAGAAAGGACGTCCTCTTTTGTACTATGGACTGATTCAACTGCGTCCGGATGTGCGCTATCCAGTCGCAAACCTCTGGTAAGGTGCCCGCAGAGAAAGTGTGGCATTCCTGCAAAACGAGAGCGAAAAACTACACTCTGATGTGATCCATACAGGATGTGTGTGTCAGTGTACACGACACTGACATCACCACTAGTCACGCTGACAAATGAGCCTTAATTACGTCAAAGAATCCTCTGTTGGTGTTTGTGATGACGAATCCATTCTGGACGGATTTGCTTTCGTACTCTTCGCAAAGGTCATAGAGGTCCAAGTTGATTACACCACAGTGGGAGTTTTTGCCTTTGCTTGTCTGCAACAGAAATGTACAAATTTTAATAAGAAAGAAAAAAGCAAACAGGTGCAACCTCATTATGATGTCTTCGAACATATTACAATTTCTTGGTTTGCATTACCACAATTGAAGTTGTTGGTTGACTAAGAGATCAATAGAGCTGCGCAGACGCAGCGAACTGCATTACCTACGTGGGACGTCCCAAGCTTTTTGTTTTTCTTTTAGGTAAATTTATTCAAGTAACTAGACGTGTGCTGCGCGCCGTCGTATCGGCAGTCAGGTTGCCTTGAAAAAAAAAAAGAGAAAAGAATCTGACCTTGATGGTTTATAGTCAAAACAAGCTACAGTATATCGGGGCGCACAGTAAAAGGCGCACGGCCGGCCGTTACGGCGGGGGAGCCATAAGGAAAGGGGGGTGCGGTAGCTCACCTCGCTGTCGTAGTAGTACAGCTTGTTGCCGTCTAGCACACAATAGCGCTCTTTCCACACAGGTAAGAATATCCATCGGCGGCCGACCAGTTTAGTCAGCGTTCCCTTTTTGCAGGGTTTGGCGAATGACGTGGCCGGCGGAATATCCTGGAAAGGAAATTGAGAACCCTACGCGTGACCCTTCGCGAAACATCGCGCGTTGTGAACTATACCTGGCGCGGTGCGCACAGAACGCGGCCGCAGCGCGATTTGCAATGTCCCATTTGCGAGCGATCCCGCAAAGCGGCCGGGTGTGTCGCTACCTGAATGCATTTGACGCTTGATCAAGCATAAGCACCCTTGGAAACGACCGCGACCCTGAAGCGCCGCTTCCGTTTATTCTTTCAACGAAAGCACGATGCGTTTCTCGCTTCATCATAACAGACCAAGGTAGCGAAAAGAGCACCCGTGGCACAGTGTCAAGAACGAACGATGAATCGGTCGTCATTAGCGAAACATGCACCTTATAGTTCACCTTGCTACACTACGCACTATTGGTCAACCGGGTCGTCTGCTGCGACACTCGGTAGCAGACGATATTTTCTGCGCCGAGCCTCCCAAGAAAACGGGCTCGAACATTCAGCGACCCGATGGGATCGTTTGGTGCCGATGAGTGCAACTGTTGCACGTTTGAAGCATTGCATGCGCCAAGGCGCAAGCTGCAGCAAATGACTGGCGCCGTTAGAAATACCTCCGCGCGTGCGTGCGCGCAAAAGGAAACAACTCACCGCTACTGAAGACGGGACACCCATACCGGTGCTGCGGGACGAATGGTGTCACGAATCGCGTTGGCTCGGAGAAGCCGCAATATGGTTTGCGCGTATTACCGCGTCTCAGTGCAGTTGTTCGGCTTCTGTTGCTGTGTCGTCTCTACGTTCCTTCCGATAGAAGAACGAAGAACACAGCTACAAACTGCTGTTGACGGTGCGAGCGAAGCGCTTGGGGTGCGGCTTTGGGAGCGCTGGAAAGGGCAAAAGCGGTCGCGTGGAAAGAGGCGTCACGTGGCTCGCACACGTGGGCGGATGCCTGAAGGTTCTCCGGAGGAAGATGACTCCTCCGCGCAGTGCGAGAAGTTTGTTTCTGTTCCAGTTTCTGAACTGCGCTTTTTATTTTTCTCTTCCCGCTCACTCATGAAGCCCTCGGTTTTCCGCCTTACTTCCGCCACTTTCTTCTCTCGCGCGCCGTTTTCCTCGCTGATTTTCTTTGGTTTTTGAGGTTTCTAGACGACGACCCCCACGTTTTCGTTCGTGTGTTTTGCGTTTTTTAGAGCGCGCCGTGTTGTTGGTCGGAGGAGTCGTGTTGGACGGCGCATTCCTGGAAGCAGTTAGCGGTGCGTCATGATCGTCTCAATCGACTGCGGAAAAGCGATTCATTCGGTTCAAAGAACGTGACGATGACGGCACCTCGACGTCAATTCGCTTTTGATTACGTTAACAAACGACGTCGTTTTTTTTTTATAAACATCTCAGTGTCCTTGAGTTTGTGCGTCTTATTAGCACGCACACACACACACCAGTGCGCAAATAGCACCTCGTAATGTGACATGCTTACAAGTGGATGGAGAAAAAAAATTGAAAAAGACGCTACGGCACAAAGTTAGTTTCTGGTTGAGCCATTCATTTCGCAATCCCGCTCCACTAGTGTTTCCTCAGAGTTCGCACCGATATTACGCAGTCGCTTAGATAAAAGATGATTTTTGATTACAAGTGTTACCACCGCAATTTTGTACTAACATTTAACTACTCTGAGCACTAAGCAACGAACGTTCTGCTCTCTGCGGTGCTTGGCTGGTGCAGACGTGCACACCACATGCGGACTAATGTAGCGCAATGGTAGCGCCAGAAAACACCTAGCGGATTTTGAGTGCGTCAACACCTTGAGGCGACTACTTTGGGGTTTCGCACTATATGTTTTCTCAGCTTTAGCAGTCGCCTGTGGTCATCTGTGTGGTCGAGTGTGGAGTATCTGACGTGGGTGGTTTTGAGAAGATTGGCACTAATATGAAGACAGCTATCGCTTCGAATTCACGCCCGTGGTGCATCGCAGCGTGTCGACTGCCTTCAACGTCAACGAGCATCTCATAATGACTGATATATGGAAATATTCGCGCGTATCGAAAAGCAGCAGATCACCCGGTCTTCCAGGGGCATAAGGTAACGACTTCTCACCTCGCTCGTCCTGGCCGCCTTCCTTGATCGCTTTCTCGTCATAACCATTAGACGTCGTCTGCAGCGGTGGAGGCTTTTACGCGCACGTCGGTCCAGCCGCATCTCTACGTGTTTCTCGCAAGCGTGGTCTTTGTCTCAAGCAATGAACGAACTCTTTTCTTCCGGTTCCGCAAGCTGCGGAGTCACGATCGTGGGAAAACTGAACGTATGACGTCCGACATATGAGCGCGACACTTTTCAACGGCACTGGCAACACCTCATTATGTGATTTCATTTGCGCATTTCTTATCGCTAGAAATAATGCTATCAGAACTGCCGGATGCTTGCGTAATATCCGCGCACTTCTCGCATAACCTGTAGCGTCGTACTACGCCTGAGCGGACCTTTAATGTGATCGGCCTCATGACCTTAATGCGATATCACCTGTATTTTCCTGACCGTTGTCGTTGCTGGACAAATTAACTTTGCCCCAGTGAAACGCTCTAGTGCCAGTAGCGTATGTGTGCTCGATGAGCGAGTTCTGGCACGCTTTCGTGCCACCGCGTCACCTTGCAAAATGGTGCGTTTATTTGTATGTGGAGTGGTACAAGAACGCACGAGAAAAGAGCTGACTGCCACGCTTTTTTTTTCTTTTTACCAGATGATCGAAGTGCAAGCAAAGCTGCTGCGCGATGTGGTCTATGTCGCTGGGGACAGTGTTGAATGTCTGGTCACCTTCACCAACAAGCAGGCCGATGAAAACTGCAACGAGCCGAATGGAAACAGGTGAATTTGCGCTCTCCCCATATGCCACTCCTCACCACCGTTGGTTCAAAAAGGAAATAAACATTGACCTTTAACACCTGACAAAGTTTTGGCTCGTTTTGAAAACACACAGCATGGTTTGATGATTTTCTGTACAAGCGCAAATAAAAAACTGCTGTTTACTAACTTTTACACCCCTTCGAAAGTGTACAGGTGCCTATCAAAGCACTCATTAGAAAGAAGTATGGATCACACACAATGTTGCTTACTTTGTGCAGAAAGTTTTGTGTGCACTTATAAAGCGTTCTTCATAGGAACGCTTGCGCTCTCATCATAAACTGCTTTGTATCGTTTCGGATGCCACCATTTGAGTAATGTTACTGTGTGTGTGTCCATGTTTATTTCTAAATAGTGCCAAGAAACACGGGACAATAAGGAGGCTTTGACATACATGCATGCCCTCTCCCATCTGCAGTTGTTCACTTTCTATTCTACAAGCACTGCTTATATCTATTGTATATAAGGCTGTATATAATGTATAATGTATATAATGGCTGTAAAACCTTGGTGTTCATGTACCTTGCGAGATAACCACCCGGCAAAAGTTTATAACAATACAATGTATGAAGGATAACGGAAAGCAGGCACAGGAGCACGGGCATAAAAGGAGACATTAGGACAACAGAAATGCGGACTAACAGCTGGAAAATTGTGCAGCGGCTGGAAAAAATGTGCACACAAGAACTGATCTTCGCAAGCTTGACTCTGTTAGTCTGGCATAAGCCGGGACTATGTGAGAGTAACTGTTCTACCATTTTGTTCCTTCTTTTACAAGTTAATCAACTGCTGGCACGTTTTTTCATTGGTGTGCGGGTATAAAAGTGCACATTGGTGCATTTACACTCGATGTTGTAAGGATAGGTGGTTAAGCACGTAGTACCAACAGTCCGAGAAGGAATGCTGAGCTTCCTTTTTTATTCGGCCAAATGAAAAAGCAAGGAAAGATACCCATTTGAAGCATCATATATGATACCATAGTTTTCTAGCATGGAGGTAAAATTGTTGATAGTGTTCATGCTAGTAGAGTAATATAGGTTGAGCTTTGATAAACATATTTGAAACGTTATGTGAAAAATCACCTCATCAAATTCCCTCTTGACTTCCTTGAGCATCTGTATTGTTTCCTTGTGGTGTGGCAATTATGAGTTTGAACTAACTTAATAAATTTTCTACTTCATTACTATCACAGTGTCTTAATAAGACCGGCATGTCTGTTATGAACATCCTTACGTAAAGCAAAAAGCCTGTTGCTCTACAGCTCTTGCGCACCCATTAATGCTGAGGAACTTTCATGGTGCTTACATGCAGTATCAAGAGAATGCCTGAGAACATCGCCTGGGCCAGCGCTCAGATCCACTGCCACTGCTCCGTGGACGAGTCAAAAGTCCGATTTCCAAAATCTCCGTCTCAAGAGCAGATAGCCACCGGCTCTAAGGACACCTCGTTTATCCCGTGCCGAGGTGAAGGTTGATATCTGTCTTTCTGTTTTGTGTTGGCAGTTATGTCAGACCTTGTTTATCTCCATGATATTGAGATCATGTAAACCTCTCACGTGTACCTTCTCTGGTGATGCAGGTGAAAAAGGCTACGTTGTATTCTCCTCAAAGCCCAAGATCTTATTCTGTGACCTCCGGCTGCTACCCGGTGAAAGCAAATCATGTGAGCTTTTCTGTAGTCTTTTGTAGCCACATCGTAGTTGTTTTATACTTCATAGCATCTCTTTATGTAATGTCTGAGCATTATGGTGTCGGCACTTTTCATAGAGTGCTGCATTTTTGTGCCCTCCTATGTGTTCCATCTTCTTTGTGCCGTTCTACCTTTTCTAAATATGAATCAACTTGTCCAAGCTTGTTTTAGATAATCAAAGAAGCAGTCTTGCCATCCCATAGTGCCATTGCGATACGGGGATTCTGGCTGCAGCTCCACTAGAAGTAATAGAATTAGTGTGTTCGAACTCAACCTTTGCTATTCTTTGGAGAAAAATCTTTCAGTTTCTTGTTGACCGCTGTTTCTACATTTACTTGCATTTATGTGGAAGCGCAAATTCTCGCTGTTCATCGATTTATGTCACAGCGTCATTGTGCATGTCTTTCCCTAAGTGTGTAAGAACATCTTGAAAGCTTTTTAAAATAGCTCAGTGATGATTAATACCGGAAGAGAAACAATTAGACAAGGTGCTTGCTGCCGAAAGATTTATGAAAGTGAGCAGGAGCGTAAATGTACAAGCAAATAAATGGGTGATTGTGCCTGCGTATCAAAACTTGGGCGACAAAAAGAAAATGCCAAGCCTTAAAGGGGCCCTGACACAAAATTTCGTGGCCGAGATAGCCTGTAGAGTTGATTCTCGGGAACATTTATATATTATCTGCAAAATATCAACAGCGAATATAGCTGGGAAGGTATTTTAAAAGAAATTTGAAGTTTGCACGAGCCCTCGACTCCATCGTGCCATTGACACCATCGAATGGGACCCCCTAGGTGACCCCCTACTTCCCTCACGTCACCACGCTGCAGTCAACAAAAGTTATGATGACGTCATAGCCTCCATTTTTTTTTTTGCCACGTTTGTTACCGCAGTCTATATTTCACGGCGGCTGGTTGCGAGTGCGTGGCCATGGCGCAGGCTTAGAAATTTTTGTGTTTGGCGATATTGCAGTCCCGTTTCCTATTCGAATGCAATTCTTGATGTGGACTGTGCGGAAGTGTGTCACAGTTCTGTGTGCTGACAGGGTCAAAAGCTGCGCACGCTAGGTGGCGACAGTTGCACCCAGTTTTGAGTTTGGAGCTCTCTCAAACCGAAACTGATTCATGATAAGGGGCCTGTAAATAATTATCTGTCGCGTGCTGCAGCAGACGATGTCTCTTGTCATCACTAACAGGCCCCCAGCTACACATTGCAGCAGAAGAATGCAAGGCCGTAGTTTTTGTGTCAGTACTCCTTTAAAATTTCATGCGGCATACCTACAAAGACATACGAATTCTTTGTGGCAGAGGAAGACGGAAAGGTGGCTAACAGTGGAGGGTCGGCTAGTAGCTTTATCTTAGATAAACTCTTGTCTGCCACAAAAGCTTGAGAGGTAGCATACACAGAAAACGTTTCTTTCAGTTATGTACAAGGAAGTCATTCCTTCCTCTGTACCACCATCGTACAAGGGCCAGGCAGTTCGGTATGCTTACAAGGTCACCATCGGAGCACAGAGGATCAATGCATTGACAAGGCTGCTCCGGATACCGATCAAGGTCTTTGTGGTTGAAGGTGAGTGCTGCTTTTAAACTACAACACATGTTTGTGCTATACGTGTTTTATGTGTCTATTTGCAGGCATTTATAAATAGCGGTCATTATTTGAAATAGTGAGAACCCATCTGTATAGTGTAGCTGTGTTTGCAACAGCAACAAGAATGCACTTTTCTGGACAGCAGTAAAACATCACTTTTTTTTATCCTGTGGACAATAGCATTTGTTAGCAAACCCTATAAATGCTGTGATTTTGTTTCCCAGGCCTGATGGAAGCACTGAAGGAGCGTTTGGCCAAAGCAGCTCCCAGCAACCCATTCCTCCCCACAGCAAGCCGCCAGTCAGTGCTCGAAGTAGCTGTAGATTTTTTGGAAGACCTGACGTCTCGAAGAAGGCCTAGTATGTTTCATTTTTCCGGACCTTATGAAACTACACTGCTACATATTGACACAGTGTGGTTGCCACATGAAAATTCTATAGCCTGCATATGCGTTAGACTAATTTTTAAAACTTTTAGTGTTGCAGTTTGCATACCTGTTTCTGACATTGAAAGTTCCAGTATAGATTCTAGGCTGCCTTAAATGTTTTGGGCGTTTGCATGAAATGTATTTATCTTAAGATTTTTCCTGACACAACTGTTCAAATGAATGGCATGAAGTGTTGCATTCTGTACACATGTCTAACATCTCTCTGGCACAATCTGAAGATATTGCGCAATTTTTTCCACCCATTGACACTTTGTGCTGTTCCACTAGGAAGTGGAACATTTCATCAACTACATTGCTTGCACAGAGCTTTCAGTATAACGAGTTGAGTTTTGCTGTGTTGAAAAACTTACAATGGCATTTTACCTTGTCATTCATGTCAGCCTTTGTAATAAACTTCTTTTTCCTTTCTTTCTATGAGTAACAAGACTAGGGCAACTATTATGAACTTCTTTAGAAGGAAGTGCGCTTCTTTTTCTCTCCACTTACCGTGTGTTCAAAGCAACTTGCTGTACCATGTATACAAAACCTCCATCATCGCAGGCTACTACAACGTGACGCACCAGAATGGACGTGTTGTGCGCTTTTGTCTGCTCAAGTCCTGCTTCCGCCTCGGCGAAGATATTGTTGGCATGTTTGACTTCTCCGAGGCAACGGTGCCCTGCGTGCAGTACTCGGTGACGCTGCAGAGTGAAGAGCACATTTCTGCAGCGGCGTCGGCCACGGGCGAGGCTGTGCATTCCACGCTTGGGCATTGCCGGCAGCACGCCTTTTGCCTGCACCTACGCACCACACACCTGCATCTACCTGTGCCACTACACGTCACTCCAACGTTTGGGTCTGATATTGGTGAGTGGACGATATATCACATGCTGACGCTTATGCGGCGTTTTAAATGCTCCACATGACTTTTGCATGCGAAGCAGGTTATGGCGGAGTTCAATCTGGTGTGCGACGTGACCACCACAGCACGATCAAAGGGGGAAGCTTGATGGATGTGTCTCGAAACTATGCTGTGGCAAAAAGAAAAATGCGCAGTAAAAAGAAAATCACGACACAGCACGTGTCGCAGAGCACGCGCACATTCTTACCACGCATACATGTCCCCACCCCTCTCCTCTCTATCCTCTGAAAACTCAGGCACGAACGTGCTAGCTCGTTCAGGCCTGCGTAAATCGCTGTGTAAAAGGCCTCTCCCCAGCAATCAAGTGATGGCATTGTGAAGGAAATAGATCCTGCAGATGCGCGATGAACACATGTACTCCCGCGTGGCGTGCTTCAACAAGAGTTTGAGACGAGTAACGGCAACAGAAACTACAGTGAATTCCACTTGCAAGGACGCGTTAACATCGGGCTAGGTGCACGTGATGAACAGTACTTTAAGTCGATGCATGCACTGCTTTTCATGCTACTCATGGTTCTCTTTAGTGGGAGATGGTGTAAATGTTTTGTCTGGGCAGTAACAGTCCCATGTCTCGTTCATTTTCAGCTGCTTATTTCTTGATATATTTAGTGCATTCACGTCGTGTTCTCTGAGTTTTAATAATATTGTGGGAGTTTCGACCAACATGGTAGTCGGTTCCATGTTATGAAGGGTATCAGCGAAAGTAGTGGGAGTAGGTGGAAGCATACGGAGTGGCATCCTGCCCAGACAACAATCATCAAGCCATTCCATTCATAGAAGTTCGGCCCTTGCAGTCTATCAGCTTATCTAGGCCTTACAGCCACTTATTGTAATCCTTGTTGTGTGCACAAGAGCCATGGTGTATTGGAGCTGTATGCCATTCACATAATTTTAGCTTGCATAGGTGTGTGCCTCTTTACTTGTATTGAAAGACAGATAACAAACGTTGACTACATCAAGGACAGTTCAATAGCCAATCAGACAATCCTGGAACAGGAAGATGTTCTGCATACATGTGCACACACTCTTGTGATTCCTTTTCTTGCTGTTAACGAACATTCTGTGATAACGTTTGATAATGTGTGCTTTCACAGGAAGTATGATCATAATTAATGCTATTAATTTTTATGGTCGCAGCACTAAAACACAAGCACAAGGGAGATAAAGTGTGTCTGTCATTTTAGTTCTTCTGGGCCTTTTGCCAGGATAATCAAAACTAGTGACTGCTTGTCCACATTGGCTCACCATTTAGTGGGATGAACATGCTAGTGTGTGGTAATGTTAGTATCATATAGAAATGTTTATTTTACATGAAAGTCTGCAAACAGAATTATATATCAGCCTATATCTTACATATATGTGACGGAGTGTTCAAAGATAAAATAGGGAGGCACTTAAGTTCCATAGGGCGCTAAGAAGTTTCAAAGCACAGCTCTGTCATCTTAATTAAAGAGCTCACATACTTATTAAGCAAGCTGGTTATTGAAATGTGTACATGTCGTCAAAAGAACACTATTGTTTGACATCAGCACAGTATTGTCCTTTGCACCTTATACAGCAAAGAGCAAACACTTGAAATATGGCTTGACCTTCAGAAGGAAAGGTTTTTGAAATAGCAAGCCACCTTGATTTGCGTGCACACACACGGACTTGCACTGGTGCGACTGAATGTGGGGCTTCAGAATCTGTTTTTGAAACATTTCAAAGCAACTGTTTTATTTTTCTATCTCTTTAAACTGCCACAGAATGACAGTGTACAGCTGTTGAATCGCATAGCCATGTCCAATGTGAAATAAATGGCCTTGGACTGAATTTTTTTTTATTTGGAAAACTGGTTGACACCAGGTGACAGCACATATTTCAGTAAAGAGGATGTCTCATTGCCGGCTTGGCACTGAAGCATATCAAGTTTTTTTTTAGTAAAATGCTGCATAACCTTACATTAGAATTTTTTTTAAGTATCTGGTATTGTACATTCAGCCTTGTTTGAAGTCGGAAGTTGTTGACAACTATTAATCATGTAAACTTCTGAGGCGAACTTTTGAAGTTGGTGCCCTTTGTTAGTCACAGTTTAGTTAGGTCTTCGCATTTCTGGTACGAAAATGTAGACATGAGACATGTGAAACATGTACATGTGCAGGAATTAGAAGAACGGCACACAGTTTGACATTTGTGTTGTTTTCAAAGGATGAAACAGTAAATAAATTTATGGTGCTGATTTGTTTGTAACCTTTCTTGTTAATGTCACTGTAATAGGTTGATTACTAGAAGCAAAAAGGAAGATCATATTTTAAGTTATCATATTTCATATCATGCACTGGTTTGGTTGATCGGTGCTGCCTCATCATTTTGAAAGTGTTTTCTCTCGATTGCATTGTTATGGCTCAGTAATAACAAAGCATAATGAAGCTTGGCAAGTGTAGTCTTTCACACTGCTAATACAATGCAGTTCACATACATCGATAAATAAATTAATGATAAATTACAAGAAGGTATTCAAAATATACCTAAGTGGTTTGTTTCACTGTTTCGTTACTATGCCTATTCAAATCGATCACCGGTGATCGACGCTTTGGATCGTTAGTTTCGGCATGTTAAATTTGTTTATCCTGCACCTATCACTTTCTAGTAGTTAGTCCAGCCACTCAACTTTCAGAATAAATTTGAATTCGCCCGTTTTGGCAACATTTGCGCGAACTAATGGACGGATGTTGTTGAAAAAATGCACTAAGGTGGCGAACTTGCCAAAAGTGCGTGCCCCTCTTGGTTATGTTATAACAACATCAAATTTCAGTAATGAAAAGAACCTTTGCAAGTCAAATATCGAATTAAAGTGTCACCTTTGCAATGTGAAAGTGTTGGGCAATAAGAATTGCCAGAAATTTCTGTCAGGTATTCAATAGAAAGCTGTTGCTAGGAGTCAGGGAAAATTTGTTCTACAAAACCTATTTCTGAAGATCCGCCGCATGTTTAAAGTGTTGCGGTGGCCTTCTCAGTGAATTTCCAAGAGCTTTGGTCTCGCTTGTACTTGTTATATGACACGCAGGGCCGCATCTAGCGTCACTAATCGCTCCTATGGCTTCATCGTCATGCGCGCGTGGATGTGCATCTGCGCTGCAAGAAACACGCGCAGCTCAATACTGTTTTACAACCACACCTGAATTGAATGAGGACAAGCTTAGAGTCCGAGGATGACAGCACCTGAGCTTGAAGTTCTATGGCAACGATGTTTTACATCAGCTTGAGACATCCGCAGCCGTTCTTGGGTTTGTTTTGTTTATGGTATCAAGCTCTCTGCTCCACCACAAATGCGTAGCAGCTGACCTTTGTGCACAATCTTATAGCTACTCTGGTTACGTGCAAAGTGCACACTTCACTGAGGCGCGATGTGCTCGTGCCGGCGGCAAAGCTTCTTTTAACAACAGGGCCATCAGAGCACATCTTGGTCTGACAGAGAAGCAGCATGAAATGTTTTAGAACTGCACACGATATTGTTATTTTTTAATACGATGTGCAAAATGCCTAGAAATGTGCTAGGATGCACATATAGGAACTCCAACCTATGCAGAGTGAAGCGACTCATGGAAAGAAGTGACGCTAGAAAAAATGGGGAAGTCCACTGGGCATCTTTGTTTATAGAGGGATTATTCACATCACGGGTATCCATCTATACTGGAATGCCTGCAGGCTCATATTAACAACAAAAAAAAAAAAAATAAATTTACTGAGGAAAGTGTACGACTTCACTTGTCTCTCACAAAAAACTAAGCAATGCCTCACCGCATGGCGTGAGCAATGAAGCAGCACCTCTGTTCTGATTTTCTTTGTATATACGAAAAAAACATTTTGTAGAACATTTATTATATTTTATATTGCCCCTAGGTCATTTATCTTAAAAATGTATATTCTGATTTTTTTTTTAATATTTTTGCATATTTAGTTTATTATTCAACTGTTTATCAGCTGGCAATCAAAATTTACACATTCTCACTTGTTTATGCATTCCAAAATGTTTTTGTTGCTCTACAACATATAGTTTTTGAAAGGAGCATTTAATTGTGCAAAATTTGGTATGCTGCAATGTGTGCTGGAGTACTTTTCAAACGGGCAAAAACGATATTCCCGAGACATGAAGAGTAACAGTTTTTGCGTGGTAACAAAAGAGTTAAATGATGTCAAAATCTGCTGTGTCACAGCAAGATGGTGCAGGAACTTCAAGAAGGTGTCGCTATCCATCTTTCATTCTGTGTGTACTGGCTTATACTCCACCTCCGTTCACAATAATGCCGTCAAATCCCGAGGAAGTGCTCCCTTTCTCTTTTTGGGAGATTCGAAAATTGCACTACTGACCGAGCAAGCACCCACCCCCTTCTAGTGCCGCCATATCTTTCAGCCCGTTCTACGCTACAGAATCCTGCAGCAGTGGTTCCCAAGTTCTGAGTCTTTTGATAGGTGCACTATTTCTTAGTAGTACTTTTGGGGTGTACTTTTGCACTCTTTGTGTCGTGCTTCAGCATTGCATTCCGAGTTTTCACAAACTACGGAACATGTGGAGAACACACTTTCCCTCGTGTCATAACACGTAAAATTTTACACAAGCACGCCCCCCCCCCCCAGCTCAGTAAAAACAGTGCCCGAATACAGGTGTATTCAATAAAGCATTTCATTAAAAGCACAGGTTTGCATTCTACACATAGGCTGGTCCGCTGCCATATTGAGTTATGGTCTGCGACATAGCAAGGGCCGCCCCTCCAAATATTGTCCGATTGTTATTCACCATTGGGGGCACCGCTTGCTCAGGATTTTACAGTAGTGATTTTATTGGTATTTTAGAACGGTAATTTACTAATAGAACTTCAATAGTCCTGGCTTCTAATTCCCCCCTCCCCTTTTTTTCTCTCGAAGGGACACTGACAAGATTAATTTCTGTGGAACACCCATGTATAATACCACTCTCGTCATGGTAAGATGCTTGGTGAAAAGAAAATGCAGTTGGGTGAAACTGTCTTGATGTCCCCGTCCCAACCCACTGTGATGTAGATCTTCACAGCATTTGCTAGGGCCTACATAACTCTTTATTGATGAAAAGTAATTACCAAGAGAGGCAGAGCTCTAAGGTGACAGTTTTTTGCATATGTAAATGAAATATTAACCTTAGTTTCCTCGTACATAAATGAAGCTATAATCAACTGTAAATATGCAAGACAGCTCTCTGTACTAATTTAGTGTTTATTGTACACTGGTTTAGTGCTTTTACGTTATTATCACTTTTACATGTACGTATCCAGGCACCACCTCTTAGTACCCCAATTTTCCACGAACTTCACTGGCTGTCTTTCATTCTGTTGCAGCTGAACTGCGTTGGAAGCTCCACTTTGAATTTGTGATGACTACGTCCCCAGTGATGCAGCCCGGTCAGAAGGTACCGGGCTCCGGCGATTGGCAACCGCCCGCAGTGCTGGACGTGCAAACTATGGTGTGGGACTTGCCTATCTGCCTGTACCCGACGCATCCTGGCCACGTCAGCAGTGCCCTCAAAGCACCGTCACAAATGACCCTGCAAATCTGCTGACCATGGGCCAGCGACAGCGCTACTCTCATGCCTAGAAGTTGCTCTAACCCACAGCCGACGAAGAGTGTGTGGCTTGTTGCAGTTCGTGCTTCATGCGAGGGGACCTCTATAGAGCTGAAGCCACGTCTACTTGGCTAAATGCACTCGAGCTTGCACGCAGCCGTAAACATTTAAACATTTCATCCTTCACTTACCTCAAAGATGGCTGCTGTTTTATACAGTCCTGTTTTAAAGTTCCCAAGCGCACTAGAAGAGCTAACTGCAGGTCAGGTGCAGTAGAGACAGAGCTGTGCTGTCAACTCTCTTTGTAAAGCCGGGAATGCCACACCAGTTCCACGAATCGGTTCAGAAGTAATTGCAGCCGCGTTAATTGTGGCTTGACAACTATTTTTGTGCACCTCTCCGAAGACGTGTTGCCGACGAGGCCAACTGGCTGCAGAATCGCAGAGTTGTGTGCAGGCTTGAGAGACCTGCTTTTGCTTGTAGCATGTTGTCAGGCTTCAGTTGTTTGTTTTGACAACACTGGGCCTTCTTATTGTGTTAATTGCCATTATTGGCTTGGGCTTTGCGTTGGAAATGTTTCGTTTTATTGCTTAAAGGGGCCTCACAAGCATCCTTTGCGAGTTTAGGGCAAGCAATTCATTCCCAATTTTTACGCTAGGTGTCGCTGTGTGATTATATACAAGATCGCACGGCTATTTTGTCACTCTAGTATGTTTATGCGTTAGAAGTCTTGCAACTACTCCTACTTTGTCGCTTGAATTAATTATTGTGTTGATATCGTATGTCTAAAAGTTCAGCCAGTTCTTAAATTCTTTTTTTGATGCTCAAAGTACAAAGAAACGTGCAGTGTTGCGTAGTACTAGGAACGAAGACTGCACTCAGTTTTGTGCTCAATCGCTCACGAATGCCTGCGTGGCACGATTGTGTTGTGCCGAAGTGCATGAAGTATGGTTTACTAGAGAGAATTCCCCACCTTCCTATTTCTTTTTAATGTGTGCATTCACATGTAATTCTCTCGCCACATGTATATTGACTATAGCTATGAATGCATCGTGCGTGCGACTCTCCTGCTACCGAGTTCTCAGTGGATAACACAAGGCAGGCGCCAGTTGGTGGTGCAAGCTTTAAGTGTTGTTTCAATGATCTAGCTGGGCTTGATTACTTTTTCACAAACTATTGATGTGCCTGGTACATTGTGTAAGATATCAGAAGAATCTTTGCAAATCAAGTGGTTGGATCACTGTAAATAGATCATATTTGGCAGCTCCACTGTTACCAACAAGCATTGAACATGTGCGTTGTGCTTGTATTTGTAATGCATATGGTATTGTTACTTCATTGTGTTGCACATTTTTTACTTGAGCTGTATGTGCTCTGTGGGATTCATGCAAGGTGTAGGTGAATAGCCTTTTTTTTATGGTCGTTCGATGTATGGAAGGCTTTTTTTTTTTTCACTGTAGCGTGATTTTAACACGAGTTGTGTATTCGCACATGAACGTAATGCTGGTATGGCCACCGTGAGATCTTTCTTGCTTTTAGGAAGATGTTTTTCACACACTTATTGCTAACATGCAGTTCCCATACTAATGTTGAAAAGAAATAAAAATGTTGCCATTAACGATTGTACTGCCTGCAGTGTTTCAGGACAAAGTAAGAACTTTTTTCAAACAGCAAAAAACTGTCAAGCCATGCCAAAGTAACTAAATTTTCATTCTATCGAAATTTTCAGAGGATTGTGCTTTTGCTGGAAAGGAATCCTTTTTATGTGAAAAGTATCAGTCATAGACAAGGATTGATCGATCTGCTGCGGTGGTCTAGTGGCTGTGGTGCTCAAATGCTGACCTGTAGGTCGCAGAATACAATCTTGACCACACCAGCCACATTTCGATGGAAGTGAAACACTGAAGGCCCATAGGCTTGATTGAGGTTATAAGGTTAAAGAACCCCAGGTGATCGAAATATCCACAGCCCTTTATGACAGCATCTGTCATAAACTCATATTGTGGTTTTCAGGATGCAAAATTCAAACATTATTAAACAAAGACCAACAACACTGCAACAAATGCTTGACAGCCATCTTATGCCGAACAGGAAACACAAGCCAACTTTACTGCAATGCAACGAGTCATGCAGCGAAGAACACAAAAAAAAATTGGGAGGAGTTTTTGTTATGGGGCATAGTGTGCCACCGAAAATTTACTTTTTTTTTTCAAGGATGAGTACTGCATATCCCCCTTTGAAAAAGACTGTTCTAAATGTACGGAGATGTCTGGCTAAATATTTGATATTCAATTTTATGCTTTACATTTCTGCTAAAGCACTACATGTTGTCAACTTGAAGGGCATCTAGTTTGTCCAAATGGAAAAAGTTAAGTTACTACGAGAATGTCACATTTCTTACTTACGGTGTATGAATGAACTTCGATAGCATCGTTGCGAAACTTTCACTGTTGAACTTGCGCTATTAATATGATGAAATGTCATGCCGACAAGGTAGTTTACAGACTTAACTAAGAGTTAATATTCAAGATTGCTTGTAGTGTAACCTGTCACAACATGAGGGCATCTTTCACTGGCACGGTTGATTATACCACAAGAAGATATCAGTGGCAATAGAGTTGTCTTCCACATCATGGAAACAAATAAAACTAGGTCAGGTTGAACTTTTCATAAGTAATGGCATTTCCAAAGTTTAGAAAACAAGGAAAGTATTCTAGAGAATATTCTCTCAGATTAGTTTCCTTCTAAAGCTCTAGAAATGCCTTGTTTAATTGAAGATCCAGGTCAGCGCCTAGCATTAAGCTTTTAAAGCTACACTTTTACTCAAAGGCTTCTATTAATATAATGAGCAGAGTTTCATAGTATATAGGCTACATATTATGTCATAGCAAAGGACTTTGGCTAGTTTCGATTGCCTGCATTTGTTAATAGTAAGTACACTACCAAAATATTTGCATTTCCCTGTCAGAACTTGACTGTCGTTACAAGTACTAAAAACTTAATTTACTCAGCAGCAGCGTATTAAAGTCAATAGAAGCCCAAACATAACTCTGCATGAACCTATAACACAGGAAATGTGAACGAAATCATGTTTAAAAAAATCCAACACTGCATCTACTTTAAGGTAATGCTGCACTCTAAAGATGCGTTACACACCGAAATTAACCACAACAAGAACAAACAAATTTAATTGCATGGGAATGCACTGGGCACTTGCAAAGTGCAGCAGCCGCCTTCATCGTTGTTGCCTTCACGGCACATCCTTCACAAGGCCTTGGGACTGCTTGCTTTTTGGAAAATAAATATTTTCACTGGTGCATTCTTTCCATGTTTGTCATGGTCCACACCTCCATCCATTATTGTTGTTATAAAGCAGGTCTCTTCAATACAGGCTTCGAAGATTTCCTTTTGAGCGTTTCTTATTTACAGCAGCTATGCAGGGATGTATGCTACTCGGGACCTCCTCTCTGAAAAGGAAGAAGAGAATTCTGTGGCTTTCAATCACAGTACAGAAGCATTTGTCATAATAACTTTACAGCAAGTAATTGAAACAAATCACAAAATTTTTTTATTAGGCCTGTCACATTTCAAGTCAAAGCTCCACCAAACAAAGTGGAGAATGCATTTAGGCTAAAGACCATTGCTTTTAATACAGTGAAATGTAGCTTAATTTTGTTTTCAAAGCATACCATACGTGGTCCTATAAGTTGTGTCAAAGCCAGGATCAGTCGGTGATGCATAGATACTTGGAAAGTGGTTCGGTATGAATAGAGAGTTTTCAAATAAAGGCCCCAAAGCCTTACGGTCAAGCAGGAGTCAAAAGTTTTTGAATAGCGCCTGCAGTGCTTTGGACACTCCCCCTATTCTAGGTACACTCTAGTCTTGGCCACGAGCTGTCGCTTCAGTGGGTGCTGTCGTGTTTTTTTTTTTTTTTAAGCAAAGCTTTCGGGACAGGCATTGGGCTCTCGCTAAATGCGAGAAATAGCGGCCCCCACGCAAAACCCGAACCATATTTCGGTCTCGCACATGAGCAGTGGCCTCGATGGTATTTCTTTGGGGCCCCTTTTCGAAAACTTCCTTCTATTGCTCGGAAGTGGGAACAACAGACGACTGCTTCAATTGCCCGCAGGTCCCCGTGTTTATGCCGAGCGTTGCTGCATCAAAGGAGACGCTCGATGGATTTCGTGGCTGACTGTTGTTCCGTTTACGATGTCCTTTTTTCAAGGACTGCTTGCTTATCGTGGCCCCATCCGCAGACTTCTCCGTCTCCCAATCTTTTACTTTCCCCTCAATCTTCACTTCTCTCTCTATCCCTTTTAATCCCTTCTTATTCCATTCCCTCGTGAGCAACTGCTGAAGTGTCGCATTTTGCTGCAGACAGTTGTGGGGTTCATTTTTCTATTCATTTTTTTTTGTTTTCATCATTTAAAATCGCTCCCCGCCCTACGTGACGACCCAGTGCAAAACCTAATTGCATCAGAGAATAATTTTTGTCCCGATTACAGAGATAGAATTTCCCCACTGTGATTGGCTTTTTTTCGGCGAATTGCGGAAAGATGCCAACCTCAATCGAGAAACTCCATCCCGATTGGGCCCGATCACGATCCAAAGTTGCGTGTGTGGCTAGAGTAGTTTCAGTATTCTCGATCTACGGCTGCTTACCTGTATGTAGTCGCCTTCGTATGGAGACAGCGGTTTCCTGGCGTACCGGGCAGGTAGTTGAGATTCGTCGATGCCAGATCCGCGTGGCAGAGAGCCCACCGGTTTGGATTTTGCGGAAGCAGCGCTACTCGTCGCCTTCATCGCCGCTGACGAGGCGGTGGTCTGCGTCGGCCCTGTGAGAACTTCGCGACACTGTGAAACTCCGCGTCACAACAGTTGTCCCTACTGAAGAAACCAAAAACACCACCACCACAAAACACGCCGCGAACTCTCATCTTACCTCTGTCGGTCCTTGCGCTGCCCGCGCGAAACTTGATCAGCGGGTTGTGTGGCTTGACGGCCTGCGAAAACGAGAGGCGATACCCAATGAATGGGTCGCCCGCAATGCAGGTGACGCAACACGTTCGCAACTCGTCACACGCCGGAACGATGTTTCCTTGTCACTACCGTTAAGGCGCCAGAAGCGATCTAGTTTGTTGTCAACTGGCGTACACCTTGCTATAAAAGTTTACCGGGGCAGCTCAAGGGCGTCCTTCAGAGCGAGTTCCGTTTCTCGGACGTAAACGCACGCCGCTGCATATGGCCCGCACGAGCGAGAAACACCAGCGCATTAAGTGCGGTAATAGTTTACGCTTCGGCCGTTCAGAGGTCTCCGCGAAAACGACAGAAAAATGGTGCAAGTGACCTGAATAACTCTTGCAGAAGCTGAAGCCATCTGCGCTGCCGTCGCCGCCACCAACGAGCGCACCGCACAAACTCAATATTTTTTTCGACTGCTACCGATTACGCTGCCAAGGTGTGGTGGTCTGGGGAAGCTCTGCAATGTTTACTTCACATGGTAATTTGTTCCATTAGAATCAAGCTCAGATCAAGTGTCTTAGTTATATATTATAAGTTAACGTATAACCACCACATAGATTTTTCTACTGCATTTGCCATGTTCCCTGGATCTGTGTGATCTGGATCTGGTGTGCACGTGTTATGACGTAATCATGATGGCGGCTCCCATGAAGTTACAATTGGTTGCAACGTTCTGTTTAGCGAGGAGTTTGTTCACTTGTCCGAAGGCTTCCTTATTATTGCTTGAAATATGAGCACACAGCCGGGAAACGTGAGCAGGTCCAGGGCTCAAAAGCATCAAAATGTCACGGCATTTAAGAATACGCTCCACGACACGACTGTGCAGACGAAAAAGATACTCAGCTTGAAAATCGAAAATGTATGTGCCAGGTGCAAAGATATCATAGAGTGGAAAATTAGGTACAAAAAGTACAAGCCGCTTACCGTTCCTCGAAAATGGTGAGAAGGTCTCGCTTCCTATTCCTTGCTGTTAAATTTTAGTTTCGTGTGGTTAACTTTTACTGAGCATTTGCTGCGTGTTAGGAAAGTAAAAACGTTTGTGTGTGGAAATGAGCAAACGTGAGTATTTTTGCAGCTTCGGCAGGTTCTTTGGCATTCGAAACTTTGTTGAGCTTCAGTAGTGTATATGCTGTTCCATCATACGCGTAGTATCTTCATGAACGCCTTCATTTCAGCGTCAAGTGTGAAGGAAAGACTGTGAAGTCGGCCTACCACATAGTGTGTAGCGCCTGTGCCGAAAGGCTGAAGATCTGCGCGAAATGTGGTGCCCCTGAAGGATCTGAATCCAGGTAAGTCAACGTCTTTTTCTGCATTCGTGGCTGATTACTGCCGTAGTTTTATTTTAAGCTGTCAGACAATAATAGTGATATTTGTGTTTTCACGTCCCACAACCACGGTGTCAGTGGGGCTCTTCGATTTTCCCCTGCTGGCTACCCGCGGGCTGCCAAAACCAGCCAGTAATGCAGCCAGAAATATTTTCGGGGCAGGAGGGGGGGTCAAGGACACTTTATGTATGTTTGGACGTGCATTTATATCGGTGCGTGTTTATTATATACACTTGAAAAATATGAAAATATTGCCAAGGGTTTGAATTAGACAGTTCAAAGGACAGCATGATCAATCAGTAAAACCACTGTCACATCATGCAGATAGAGTAAGTTGAAGTTATGTGGAGTATGCCATGATGTAGAGAACCACTTATGTGGTTGGGGGAGAAAATGCACGCGTACTTAGAATTACAATTAGTTTACTTATGAAAAGAGGCAAAGCCGCTGGTGAGAGTAAGGTAACAACGGACCTGCTGGAAGATGGCGGAGAAATTCTGTAGGAAAAAGTGGCCACCTTATATACAAAGTGTCTCTTTGCGGGTACGGTACCAGAATCTTGGAAGAATGCCAACATGGTCTTAATCCATACGAAAGGAGACCTGAAGGACTTGAAAAATTACAGCCCGATCAGCTTACTGTTCGTTTTCTATAAGCAATTTACAAAAATAATGGCTAAAAGAATTAAGGCGGCATTAGAGCTCAGGCAACCAAAGGACCAAGCAGGATTTCGTACGCAGTATATTCATAATATCGATCAGATGATAGAGGAATCCGGGAATGCGACCAACCCCTATACATAGCCTTCATAGATTACAAGAAGATGTTAGACTCAGTCGAGACATTAGCAGTGGTGCAAGCACTACGGAATCAGGGCAACGACGAACCCTACATAAACATACTGGAAGAAATTTACAGCGGATCCACAGCCAGCATAGTTCTCCATAAAGGAAGTGACAGAATCCCAATAAAGAAGGGTGCAAGGCAGGGAGACGCGATCTTTCTTATTCTATTCACAGCGTGTTTACAGAAGGTTTGCAGGGCCCTAGATTTGGAAAAGTTAGGGATAAGAGTTAATGGAGTGTATCTTAGTAACCTGCGATTTGCTGATGAAATTGCCTTGATGAGTAACTCAGGGGACGAATTACAGCACATGATTACTGAACTGGACACGACAAGCAGAAGAGTAAGACTGAACATCAAAAGGAACAAAACTAAAGCAATATGCATCAGTCTTTGCAAAAAACAGCACTTTGCGATAACTGGAGAGACGCTACAAGTTGCAAATGAATATGTCTACTTGGGACAGAGAATAAACATAAAGCAGAAGCATGAGAGTGAAGTAACTAAGAGAATCAGGATGAGGTGGAGCACATTCAGCAAGCTTTGTCAAATCATGAATGGTAATAATCTACCATTAACCCTCAAGAGGCAGGTATAATATAATAGCTGCACCTTGCCGGTACTCACCTACTGAGCACAAACCCAGAGCCTTACAAAAAGAGTTCTGCTTAAATTCACTGAGCGATGGAAAGGAAGATGATTGGTGTAACCTTAAGAGACAAGACAACAGCAGAGTGGGTCAAGGAACAAACCGCGGTGAAAGATATCGTAGTTGAAATCAAAAAGGAATGAACATGGGCCGGGCACGTAGCGCATAGGCGGGATAACCCCTGGTCACTAAGAGTAGCTGTCTGGATTTCCAGAGAAGGCAAATGCATGAGGGAGAGACAGAAAGTTAGGTGTGCTAATGAGATTAAAAAGTTCGCAGGTGTAATGTGGCAGCAGAAACCACGAGACCGGATTGATTGGTGGATCTTGGGAGAGGCCTTTGCCCTGTAATGGGCACAGTAGGGCTGCTGCTGCTGATGATGATGATGATGTTGATGATTACAGTGGTCAATTGCAGCCCCAGAAAATTATTTGAGGAATTACAGAAATTTAACAGATACTTTTTGCATTAATTTCGTTGAAAATTTTGTTGCCATTTCACAATAACACAAGTTCACTCAAACTTCAACGAACTACTGTGACTTGCAAAGTAGGGAGAAGGCTAGGAGGCTTACTGTGGCTCATGAATGTCACCAGGGGGTGCGAAAGGGGCACTTGTCCCCTCAAGCGACGCCAGTACTTGCCTCCAACCTAAGCTAAACGAATGCTCCGCCCCTCACCCAGCAGTGATGCAAGACAGGTTCACACCCCCCAAAATGAAATCCTGCTGACACCCATGCTGTGGCTTCTACGATATAGTGTTACATGTTGTTAACTTTTAGCAGGAGTTGTTGTCTAAGGTTGTCGTTGCGGATTTCTATACGTTTCTTCAGTAAAATGTCAGCTGGTACATAGAGACCCTCAAAATGCATGGGCTGAGGGGAAGGGTAGTGTTGTAACATAGAAAAGCCTTGTGCTCCGGCTCATAGTTACATGGTGAATCGATTCTATAATATCCATGTCTTCTATGAAGCATCGCACTTCGCTGTTGCTGACCCTTGCATAAGGCATTGCATTAAAAGCCAAGAAAAAATTACACTATCTCCAGCTGAAGGTAACCATGTGTAGATGCGAAACAGCGGTTGCTAACGCTTACAGTGGCGGCAGTGTTGCAGAGGAGAGACCCTGTACAAGCAGTCGTGGACTAGTGTTTTCTACTGGAACATGCTGATTGCCGCTAATGGGCAATGGGAGACAGAAGACTCCGGTTGGACACAGAGGCCTGCAGTCCGCTTTTAGTTGATGTGCACGCTGCGAATCTTTTGTGTTCAACAACGCACAGGAGAAATCTCCCTCTGGTACAACTTTGGAGGTCAAAATTCAGTGCCTATATATACATGGTGGCAATCGAATGGGTTTGCAGCACTAGCAGTCAGTTATTTCATGAAAAAAAACTCGTTAGCAGACGCTGCCTTCATCGGTGTTGCAAGGCGATATAAGAGGGAGTGTAGAAGGTGAGGGAAAAGGGTAGGGCACGTGCATTTGCAATGGGGGTGTAAACGTCGCGGGGAGGAATGCCTGAAGAAGGGAGAGGGGTGAGCGGGAGTAGGCTATAGATGCTGCCTGGTCGTCGTTGCGAGCGAGAGGAGAGGAAGCGTAGTGGAGGAGATAGAGAGGAGAAGAAGACACGCATGCGCAGTAAGGGTAGCCATGCCACACACCATATTGAACCCTGCTTTAAGATGCTTCGAATCTAAAAGGTGAAAAATTAAGTGTACTAGGGACCCTCCCCCCCCCCTGTCAGGTGAAGGGTGTGGGAATTGAGGCTGGCCCGCTGCCTTTGCGCGGGCTTTGCCGCCTCTTTTCTCATGTCCCGACATGCCTACCCTCCTTTGCCGTCAGCCGCGCTGGGAAGGGCGGAGTGACGTTTAACTCCCTCACCCGGTAGCGGATGTTGACTGTGGCGCCGCGCGGGGAGCCTCCCGAGAGGTTTTCGCGCGCTGCGTCGGGAGCGGCGAGTACAGTCCGGGACTTCAAACGGTGAGCCACGCATTCTTTTCCCGTCGCTCGGGGCTCGTCGGACTTCGCTGACGGCGCCTCGCGCCCGATGCGAACGCTCACCTTTTGTTGCCCCGCTGCGTACTCACGGCCGAAGGGCAGTACGGTGTCCTAGTGCGTGGCCTAGCTACGCCGACCCGTCTCCCTTCGAAGCCAACGCGAGCGCCTTTGCCCTCGCTCGAGCAACCGGGCCCCCTTTGTCCCGGTGTCTCCGTGGATTACCTTTACCGCGGAGACGTGCTCGTGGCACCCCTGTGTAGTACTTTGTGCCCGTGGCGTGGATAAGCCTACTTGCTTTCCCGCCTCGCCTATTTGCAACGGGCTGTACTGCGTTGGTGTTGCCACAATAAAGTGTTGCGACTTGAGCAGTATCGTGTTTCCCGCCACGGCGACGGTTAATGCGTGCCCTGCGGCTCGCTAAGACCGGACCCACGCTGGTGGCCGTACTCCTTCGGGATACGTGTACACCACACTGGCGCCCAACGCGGTATCAAAAGCTCTAGCTTTTGACTGCTCTTAGCGAGTCAGTTCGCCTGCGCGATTCGGGCTCGTCGCAACATGGCTGCTTCGCGGGACTTTTGTCCGCTGTCCCTTTTAGCGGATGCCGCGTTGCACACGGAGGCCATTGCCTCTATTGACGGGAACCCTTCTGCACCCGTGTGTGTCGGCACCCCCTATTGCGGTGACGACACGAGGCGCCAAGCCGCTCCCTTTGGAGATGGCGCGTCGCTTCGGAATGCGCCTCTTGCCCTAACCGAACGTTACGCACAAGCGCCTCCGACGCCCGTCCGTGTCGGCACCCCCTATTGCGGTGACGACACGAGGCGCCTAGCCGCTCCCTTTGGAGATGGCGCGTCGCTTCGGAATGGGCCTCTTGCCCTACCCGAACGTTATGTCTGCTTCGTGGCATGCCGCGTTGCACCAAGAGGCCACCGCCTCTATCGACGGGCGCCCTTCGGCGCTCGCCTGTGTCGTCACCCCTTTTTGTGGTGAATACACCGCTACGTGGTAGCTGACGCGCTATCTCGTGCCCCTTGTTGTCTGCCGAGAACCTGGATTTCGGTGCGACGGCCGCTCGCGGTGCCTTAGCACATGCAAGCGTCGGGGGCGAAACAACAGCTTCGCCGCCGTTCGGCGTGAAGGGTGAGTCCCCATGCGGACAAACCTTGGCTGCTAACCAGGTAAGCGGCGCACCGCGAAGCGGCCGAGCGGGGGAGCTTTCCGAAGGCCACGAGGCCGAGAGCGAACCCGTAACGCCGACTCACGCGGCGGTTGCTGCGGTCCTGAGTGGGCGCGATACCAGACTCCCCCATTTGGGAGAATGGGAATTGCTTTCGGCAGCGAAGAGCTACTGAAGGCTCAGCAGAGTGATCCGTTTCGTAGTCTCGGAGGGACGGAGCGCCGTATACGCTGCTTGCTTTGCGGCGGGCGCCGTTAAACCGTCTTGAGAGGCGCGCCGTTACGCTGCTTGTTCTGCGGCGGGCGCGATTAGGGGGCTGATACAGCGTGTGTCGCTGAGTCCCCGGCGGATTCATTTTTGCTGAACCATGACGGGCTCCTGCTGAACTATATAGCCACTGACGACGAGTCCATAGACCCGTTTAAGGTGGTTATGCCCAAAAGTCTGAGAGCCGCACTGTTGCGATCCTCTCACGACGAACCCATGGCCGGTCACCTGAGTGGCTCGAAAGTTTTTGCAAACTGAGCAATGTTGTGACCTGGCCCGGCACGAAGCGTGGCTTTTATCGCTATTCCGTGCCTGCCACGTCTGACAAACGGTTGAGCCAAGGGGTGGCAAACCACCCGGTCTGATGAACCGATTGTCAGTGAGCGTCCGTGGCGCGTACTAGCTGAAAGATCCCCTTTGGGAAAACTCAGCCGTGCCCACATCGCAGACCTGAAGCCCTTTGTCACGGTCTGACGAGCTCGCGCCAGTGCCCTGCGGCACTTCGCGCAAGCAACGGGCACACCCGGAGCGACGGACCGCATTCGGACCCCGCGCCGGTATAATCTGAGGAAGCGGTCACCTTTGTGATTTCGCGCCGGACGGCGGACTTCTCCGCAACCGAAGGCCCTCAGTTTACTGTCTAGCCTCAGTATAGGTTAGCTTCTTTACGGCCTTTTCTCGTAAAGGAGTTGACCCCGCCCTGTCTGCTGCCAGTGTTTCTTTTTTTTTTGAAGTGTTCATGTGTATTTTATGTTTCTTTTGTCTAATATTAAGTGTTATTTGTGTTTTATGTTTTTCGCCAAATGTTGAGTGTCGTTTTGCTCTGTTTTTACTTTTTTTTTCCGTGTTCGTTTTGTCTACCGCGAAGGGAGCTGTGTGTGACCTTGTGTGTCGGTGCTTGCCGGGAGAGAGAGAGACGAAGGACGCTTTGCGCCTACGCTCGCGCAGCCGTCGGCGGTGTGTGTGTGTGCGTGCGTGACGCTTCAGTGCGAGCCCGAAGAGTGCGTCATGGCTTCCCCCCATCGATGCGGACGCTGGAGGTGCTGGGGGGGCATTGACCCATTGACATCAGACCGTCTGGCTGCGCTCTGCTCTCGGCCGCCGTCGAAGAAGCCCTGCTGCCGTTCCCACCATGGCTCCTGCGCGAGGCCAGCTGAAAGCAGCTATATGCTGCCGGCCAACGCCAGGGCGCCTCGCAGCCAATTCGGGTTCGGCCTCCCTGACCACTGGAGAGGCCCGGCTACCCGCAACGCCCAGCTCCGTCATCGAGCCAGAAATGCGGGGCGGCCCCGAACAACCGAAGCGGCTTTCGTCGGACTCGCGGCTTATCGAGAGCAGGAACAAGCCATCAGTGAGCCCCCTTCCGGTACCTCTGACCTCGCACGCGGGCATCGCACCCAGCGGACACTGTCACGCCTTCCCGCCCCTCCGCGCAGTGGACGCTATTCCCCTTCAGCACCACGAACACTAGTGCCACGTTTCTGTGCTCCCTTCCGCAGTTATTTGTATAGTGTCATGTGTTTATTTTGTTATTTATGTTTTTGTTCCTCATTGGTAATCTTTTTTTTATCAGCAGTAACAGGGCTGGACTGAGGTTAGCTGTCGCTCATAGCAGTGTCATTTTAACTGCATGGGTGACGTCCGGCTGCCTTTTGCAGACCGGTAAAGGGCAAATTTAGGAGAGGGGGATGTGGGAATTGAGGCTGGCCCGCTGCCTTTGCGCGGGCTTTGCCGCCTCTTTTCTCATGTCCCGACATGCCTACCCTCCTTTGCCGTCAGCCGCGCTGGGAAGGGCGGAGTGACGTTTAACTCCCTCACCCGGTAGCGGATGTTGACTGTGGCGCCGCGCGGGGAGCCTCCCGAGAGGTTTTCGCGCGCTGCGTCGGGAGCGGCGAGTACAGTCCGGGACTTCAAACGGTGAGCCACGCATTCTTTTCCGTCCGTCGAGTCCCGTCGCTCGGGGCTCGTCGGACTTCGCTGACGGCGCCTCGCGCCCGATGCGAACGCTCACCTTTTGTTGCCCCGCTGCGTACTCACGGCCGAAGGGCAGTACGGTGTCCTAGTGCGTGGCCTAGCTACGCCGACCCGTCTCCCTTCGAAGCCAACGCGAGCGCCTTTGCCCTCGCTCGAGCAACCGGGCCCCCTTTGTCCCGGTGTCTCCGTGGATTACCTTTACCGCGGAGACGTGCTCGTGGCACCCCTGTGTAGTACTTTGTGCCCGTGGCGTGGATAAGCCTACTTGCTTTCCCGCCTCGCCTATTTGCAACGGGCTGTACTGCGTTGGTGTTGCCACAATAAAGTGTTGCGACTTGAGCAGTATCGTGTTTCCCGCCACGGCGACGGTTAATGCGTGCCCTGCGGCTCGCTAAGACCGGACCCACGCTGGTGGCCGTACTCCTTCGGGATACGTGTACACCACAAGGGTTCCTACAGAGCGGTCGCATAATTTTAAGGACCAAAACTGCTGTAGAAGACTTGTTGGAGCGTGATTTCTTTATATTGCCTTGCGTCTTTCATATTTACACTTTTGCTTCATTCGGTTTTCTCCCACAAAGTCTGTCGTGAATCCTCAGCGCAAACAGTGCCTCATTTTTCAAGAAGGATCGTGAACACTCTAGATCGTTCTGTGTGAACGCTCGAGGTTATTCTAGAGCTTGCGCAACGACCAGTGATAAGACCGGAACATTCGACGGCACATTTATAAATGCCGACGCGCTTCGCCGCTTGTCAGTTGACCGACGGCCGACGCTCTGTTCTGACCTTCAGTCTAATCTGACCTTCAGTTTCCTGGTAACAAGTTCAGCCGAATAAACAGTTTCTTCTGAACATCGAGTCTGTTCCCTTCGTCCACATGATGACCCCGTGACAATATTATAAGAAAAAAAGTGATTACTGGTAATAAATTACAGAGAAAATGTAATTTAAATATGCAGGACATCATCATCTTGAAAAAGTAATTAGTAACATTCGAAAATTAACAATGAAGTAACTTGATTACAAGTAAGCAATTACTTGTAATGCAGTGTGTATAATTCTGATGCATACATACTGCTGAGGAAGGCAGTTGCCGCTTTGACAAAGACAAGTTCACTTGTCCAAATGTTGGCTACAGTGACATTCTCCGTTCAACAAATCTTTTTCATTGCTTCAAGCCTTCATCTTGAAATTTTATATTGCTTGAATTTCTCTCTGCTTTCACTTCATGAGCATCAGTACAAAGGAATTGTGATAGTGAGGGGGGACTCTGTCTTGGAAAAACATGTAAAAAGCTAAGAGACATTTTGGGTTTTCTTTCGTCAATAGATATTACTGACTCTCTGTGAACATTATCTAGAATGGTGACTGCTTCTTGAAAGGCTCCAGGTCTTCTAACGGAAGTACTGCATAACAATGAACTTTTCTTACCAAGTTTTTACAAACCAGCTCTCTTTAGTCTAAGGATTTCTATGATCTTGCTTTTTGTGCAGCTCCCAAATGACAGAAGACAGTGAAAATAAGGCAGAAGCTGATCAAGAATCTTGACACCTTCTGAAGAGTCTAGCAGTGTCGGGGTCACTTGTGTGAGCACTACAGCTGTACATAATGTACTTGCTGATGAGAAGGCTTGGGGCTTATAGCATCTTTGTCACATCCAGTCATCCTTCTCCAAGAGTATATTGCAACTGTAGATTCTTGTATGTAAGCAGGTGTCACTATGTGCTATGATTGCTTGTGCAGCCACATTTATGTACACTTAACTCTGCGCACTTGTGCTACATATATAAACTAATGAACTACAGTGCGAAATGTGCAAACCTCGGTAAAAGGCTAGTAACCTACATCTGGGACTGACTGCTTCCGTGGGTACCTGTAGCATCAACAGATGAAGGGGAACTTCTCAAGGGCTTGTTTTTTTGTTAGTTTTTTAAAGGCACAACCTTAATAAAAACAGCATTCGGTGAAGCCAAGGAAGGTATATGGGGACGTTATTTGTTTAGTGTATTGTAGTACAAGTAAACCTTCGTTAATTAGGAGTCACTGGGGCCCCGAGAAATCTTTGAATTAAGTGGTTTTTCGAATTAACAGAACATACAAAAGGTGGGATGCAAGGAACTTAAAACCGTTTGAAGTAATTAGGCCTTGTCATTTGCTGTGCCGGCTAGCTTGCTGCTTCAAGGCTTATGTTTTTCAGCAATACCTGGTCTCAATTTCGCCGCAAAGACGGGGGAACGATGGGCCTCACTGCTGCCACTGAAAAAAAAAAAAAAAAAACGCTGTCGTGATGCAACTAAAATGTGCACCTGCGGAAAACAAGACATCTTCACTGCATCACAGTAGTGACACGCGGGCAGTATGTCGCCTGCTCCCCACTGCGCCAGCACGTCATGGTGCGACCATTCGCACATTCTCTCTGGTATCATTAGGAATTTAATAATGGCCAGTATGACGAAACTCGCAATGTGTTTTGGCTAAAAAAATATCTTTGAAAACTTTTGAACTTAGTTTTCGAAGTAGGTGTTGCTGGCAAGAACTCCGTCAGCAGTGCAAAGGCGCGAATTGCTGGAGCAACCGGCAATCGGAGGTTAGCATACGTCGCGAATTCTGCCAAACTATTCTCTGTTATTTTTTTTTTTTTTTACAATCCCAGAAAGAATGAGTAAAGCATGATCCGTTGACGTTGCGAGAAACATGCGATTTGCTGCCCGCCTGTCATCGCTGCGTTGCAGTGAAGCACGTCTCGTTTTCTGCAGGGGCACGTTTCGGTTGATCACGAAACAGGTTTTCTTCTTTTTCTTTTTTTTTGCGCCGGAAGTGGCGAGGCTGGGGTGCATCAGCTGCCACTCATTAGCATCGCTATGTTGCAGTTGCCTTGTGTCAATTCGGGGCCGTCGTTTCCGCGGATTTGCAGTGTAATTGGGATCTGGAACTAGCACATCAGCACCCAATGGTATCGAATGAACCTGGACTGGGGTCGGCCGCCACTTCAAACTATCTACTCAAACTTACATAGCAAAATATGGGACCGTGGGAATACTTGAAGTTAAGCGGCATTTCAACAACCGAGTTCGAAATAATTAGGTTTTACTGTAATTGCGATATAGATGTCTAGGAGTTAAAGTGAACACGTAGTAAAACAGCACGATATACAAACGATAGACAAAAAGAAAAAGAACATGAGACGAGTGCTACAAGGCGGCATTGTGGTATGATAATCAAGCCCGGCCACAAAAAAAATTGTTCCCATTAAACTGAGGCTTAAGGTAATTCAAAGTGTCTTTATTCTTCGCAGGTAAACTGAGCATACTATGCTAAAAGAACAGAGTTGAGTTCATTGTAACCTGGTAAAGCACATTATTGTGGCACCTGAATATTACATGGTCAATAAAAACAATTATATAACTGAAAAATTATTATTATCAGCCACGTTCTCATGTGAAGGCCATATCCCTATTTTTTCTGTATTTTTTTACAATAAGAGAAGCCTGGGTCTCTGTCTATCGATTTTGCAAATTAAATTAGCTCTTGGTGTTTTTCTTAGCACTGTCTGATTTACTTTCACATTGCTTTCTCTTCAAAATCTTGAGTTCACCCTGAAGTGATTTCTGTGCCTTTGTTTGCTTTCAAAACATTGAACTTAGCAATACCATTTTCGGGCTAAACAGGATTTCACATAAATCTGTATTATCTTACCTACGCTAAGTTTCTGGAAGCTTCTTCAAAAATTCTATGTAGCACTTCTCTGTATTTTACATCCCTTTGCAGTCCTTTCAAATATTTCAGAGTAGCTATGCAGTATGATGTGATCCCTGACAGATGTTTGTGCTCCTGTACAGCTAATGTCTGTCTTCATCTTCAAATGTTATGCGACAATGATAGCCTTTCACATTTCCAGACTGCAGAACAAGTGATAATCGTATGACTTTCCTGGCAGCTGACTTAAGTCTACTCATTTAAGCAAAACAGGATTATCTCTTTTTAATTGCCCTATGGTTTAGGTTCTAGTTTGAGTTTTTGCTACTAGTTGATTATGGTAGAAATGCAGAACATTATATAAAGTATTTTATGGGCCATGAAACCAGATATGCAAGGACAGCATCCACCCATTCCTTTTATTCACATATTATTTGCAGAGTTTAAAAACATTACTGCCCAGGTGGACTGGATGTGTAAATACTTATTGATGTTTGCCAAAACACCTAATAATGGTTGTCCACACAGGACAGGATTGGACTTTAATAATGATTAGGTGTACATTTGATATGCAGTGAGATGCCACAAAAAGAAAATGAGTACAGGTCTATACTTCACCTAAACTTTCATTAACTGTGTAAAAACAAAGAAATAAAGATGACAGGAAAATCTGTCGAATGGTTATTATCAATGCTTAGTTCTTTTGTTCAAATAACCAACTGGTTGGCTCAAATGAATGGGAAAAGAAATGCTGTGTGCATTTAAACTGTGTTGTAAATGCAACAGCAAAAGTATGATGTTGAGATTGTTGTGCATAGATGAAACCTCTGAAAAATGTTGGCAATGTACTTAGTATTTCTCCTGTTTGCTCCATTGTTCCTCACTGTCTGCGTTGTGTGTGTGTGTGTGTGTGTGTGTGTGTGTGTGTGTGTGTGTGTGTGTGTGTGTGTGTGTGTGTGTGTGTGTGTGTGTGTGTGTGTGTGTGTGTGTGTCAGTCATGTTCAGGTTGTACCTAGTAATACAGACATTGACCATATCTGTATGCATGCCGCCATAATTTTTTTTATGGGGGGGTGAGGTCACTTCTTGCGTGCACTTGCGTGTTAGTGTGTGTTGAAGAGATCCTAAAGAAACAAAACGATTCTTCTTGTATTAGCAAATTACTCATTCACAATTCCCAAATCTCACCTGCCTTGAGATGTTTGGTAAGTGAGAAAACGTGCGAATAAATAAATGCAGGTGGTGACTCCACCTTGCACTTTCCGCACCAAGCCTCGTGACCTCATAGGTTTTGACAGCCTCTACTCGACTCTATGTGCTTCCGATTCAGTAAAAATGAAGTACTTCGCCCTCTGAGGGGTGGCGGGGGTGAACATATTAAGCTTTAGGAGATCTAGTTGCGCTAATGTCGCTGAAATACGAAAAAGTACTCTTTGAAATCCGTGACGTCATGTGCGGGAATTTTCGCGGAAATTTCAGAAATTAGACATTGACCTTATTTTTCTCCTTCACTAATAAACTTATGAGACATTAAGGTTTTCGGAGTACGATTCATCTGTCTAAACCAATTCGTTGTGTTCCTTTGAAAGTTTTTTAGGGGGGGCCTTGAATCATCACACCCCTTGCTGCGGCATTGCAACACGCCTTTGACGCAGTCGGAAAGATGGCGCAGGAAGCGTCCTTTCCGGCGCTCACACCGCGTCATCGCCTTGCAACGTCACCTAGCGCGGTTCCTGTGTGACTTGGGCGGCTGCTTCGACGCGCGTACGACCAGTAACGACGCGTACAGATACGGAGCGTTGATTGATTGATTGATTGATTGATTGATATGTGGGGTTTAACGTCCCAAAACCACCATATATGATTATGAGAGACGCCGTAGCGCAGGGGCTCCGGAAATTTCGACCACCTGGGGTTCTTTAACGTGCACCCAAATCTGAGCACACGGGCCTACAACATTTCCGCCTCCATCGGAAATGCAGCCGCCGCAGCCGGGATTCGAACCCGTGCCCTGCGGGTCAGCAGCCGAGTACCTTAGCCACTAGACCACCACGGCGGGGCGATACGGAGCGTCGTAAACTGAACGCAGTATTATATTGCGAAGCCATGACCAACGATGACGCGCGCAATTACTTCCTGGTGACGCGTTGTCGCAGATACGCAATGCTACGGCAAGAAGTGAGCGCTGACAGGACTTATATGGGCGAAGTTTGATGGACTTGACGTCTGTGGCTTGACATTACTGCCGCAGTTAAGAAAAAAAAAAGTGAAGCGTGGTCGTCCATGGGGAAGTGAAAGTGTTTCTTACCAGCTTTAGAATAATGAATACTGAATAATAATATTAATTGTTGGGGTTCTATGTCTCAAAACCGCCGTATTATTATCAGAGATGCCGTAGTGGAGGACTCCGTAAATTCCTTAACGTACACCTAAACCTAAGTACACAGGCCATGGCAGTGATGAAATCGAAACATATTGCCTGTTCGAATTGCAGTGGCGGCTTGAGTATTTTGAGCTGTAATGGTTTGAAGCTGCGTGTTGGACGATAGTTATAGCGTGATAACAGAACGACGACACAGAGACAAGAAGGACACGATCGCTCGTGTCCTTCTTGTTTCTTTGTCGTCGCTCTTTTCTCGTGCTATAACTATCGTCATGTCATACCAAGTAGTCGCACCAGGCCTCCGTCCTCGATCATTGCAGCAACTACGCGTAATTAAGTCTGCCATATATAAGAGGCGGCCGCGGCCGGAGTATCGCTATTAACAAGGTGTACAAAAGAAGCTAATTCTGCTTTAACACACGCCATTTACGAGCACCATACGCTAAAGTGGACTTATTTGGTACAAGCAGTGTGGTCACTTATTTCCCAGGTCTATTTCATGCGCGTGTTCATTTCGTGGCACGAAGCGCCTTTTTAAGCGCTGTTTTATTCATTGACTCAAACGGACATTTATTCCCTCGACACACCTTCTTACATGCGTTAAGTCCTAATCGACCAGGGTTTCTGTGCACTACATTTTCGATTCTTACTCCTAATCTTGACGTCAATTCCGTACCTTCGTTTTGCCTTATGCTTACATTCTTACTGTTTATTTCTTAGCATCCCAGTGTTTACAAAACTTCGTTATTTCTAAAAACTAACATTGAAGTCTGCTTGTAGAGCACTAAACGAAAGTCCGAACGGTTCGACCATTCGTTCCGTCGGTGCAATAAACAGTTGAGCTCATCGAGGCAGAGATCGAGGTTTGAGTGCTTTAATAATGTATAGGCGTGGCTCGCTACAGCAGCCGCTGCTTTCACGCCACTTCGTGTAGCTTCTTTATATGTAGTGGTGTGAGAGGGAGATGACGGATGAATGCCGGCCGTGGCGGTGTTTTTTTATTATTATCATTATTCGACGATGGCGAGTTGAACGCGAGCCGGAATGCTCTGTTGTGGTGCTGAGACTCCTCCTCTGTTGGCGATCTGCTTCCGATGTTGACTTTGTACACGCCAGGCTGCTCGATGGTCTCCGCCAGCTGCAGCGTCACTCCGCCGTCGCTGCAAGGAGTTGGCATATACTCGTCACGATCGAGCACCCGGGCTGTTTCTCGAAAGCGAAAAATAGAAGAGGAAAGCCACCTCTCTCTAGATGAGTATACATACGCCAAACCTAGCGACATGTTGGGGCACCGGCAGGGCAGGCCCGGTCAGGAAATCACCCAGCATTTTTTTGTTTTAAACTACAGCTAGGCAAATGTCACCGCCACCTCTCACAAGTTTTCCAAAGAGGTAAATAACAATGAGTTGCCAGGGTTTTAGGTACCGAAATCACGATGCCATTATGAGAGATGCTGTATAGGGAGGGTTTCATGAATTTGTACCACCTGGGGTTTGTACCACGTGCACTCACATATAAGCACACGTGACTATCATTCATCTTCCACGAAAATGCGCCCCCGCGTAAGTAGCAGAGGTGAGGTAGAGTTAAATACAAACCAAAACTCTCCCGAGTTCAGTAAGAATGAGCCACGATCAACCCAGACGAGTTGAAAACCGACTTCTCAAAGTGTGGACAAAGAACCACAATAAAACACATCTTTCGATATTTGGGGGGGGGGGGGGGAGCAGACGTTCCATTTAAAGAACTCTAAACGCCTACAGTGTCGCAAAAATGGGAGACCCTGCTCACCAGCTCCACTCCGGGTGTTCGAATCCGGGCCGGAGCAAAAGCTAAGGAGGGCGCCTTCAGCTATAGGACGCCTCGGTGGCAGCGTTCCTTCCAGCGTCCAGTAGAGCAACATCAAACAATGCCATAACTCCGCGTTTTGACGCAATATGACGGTGCCGCGGGTCAGTTGGGGTCAACCCCTGTACGAAGGAAAGCTGTCATCGAGACGCGCTACTCATGGATACTGTTCGACACAACGTGGCAACATTACACAAAGAGTGATAGCTTCACTCTTTGACCCAATATGGCGGCGGCACGGACAACGGTTGTCATCAGTCAGCACAAAGAGTGTTGGCATTAAGGCGCCCTAGCTTCAGTTAACGGCCGGTCATGTAGGATCCCTACCTTCAGCACTGACTGAAGGCCATCTGGTGAGCTTGCAGAACTCATCCCTCCCAGTAATGTTAGTTTTGCTGGTATGGCCGGTAATCGACTCGGATACTTTCCGCGTCGATGGTGTACGCTCTGCTATTTCGTCGCCGTTGCTTCTTCGTTCTGTCGGAGGCCCATAAGGACAGAGAGTACCTAGCTTAATACCAACCTGCTCGTTTCGCCCCGACACCGTCCTGACACTCATGAGAGATCAAGTGATCTATAACACGCAGCACGCGGATTGCGAATGCGCTATAGCTGGGGCCGATCTGCTCAGGAGCCTTTACAGTGTAATAATACACGCGCATCGTCACGACGACGATAGCGGTGCGAATGAATGGCACTGAAACGTCCGTATGAGTTCTGTCCGAATAGAAATGTTTACGCAAGTAGGTACAGGCTTGACCTTTTATTCTGACGCAATATTCTTCATCATCATCATAAGCCTGACTACGCCCACTGCAGGGCAAATGCCTCTTCCATGATCTGCCAATCAACACGATTACAAGGGCTCAGATAGCGAAGTTAGGGCACCTGAACAGGAAGATAGAAACTAAGCAGTGATGTTTTTTAGTGAATTCTCAGCTTTATGATGAGGGGTCCATTTACAGTTTGTTTCTTTTTGTGTGTGTGTGTGGGGGGGGGGTTATACGTACTCACAGATTCAAACGCGACAATTTTTCCCCTTTATTCTTTTTTTGTGTGTGTAACGACCTTTATGGGCAATAGCTTGAGATGGCCACGTCATGTCGCGATGAACCTCGTCTCTAAGCGGGATGTTGGCCCTGATCTCCGCGCTCGGGTCGAAATTACCCCGATATGACCGGAACCGAAGATGGTAGAAACTAGAAACGAAAACAGAGGCATTACTTAGCCCCAAATTGTCCCGTTTCAATCCATAAGTGTGTTGCATCGAACTTGCATAAGCTGTTTAAGGAAAGTAGGCCGCTGATAGTGTGCGGTGTACTGCATAACACACGATAACGACGCCGGCAAATTATCGCACAGAATAAGCGCTCGACGACGTCGCTATGCGATCTCTTGTCGTCACTTCCTGAGCGATAAGGGACGCTCGCGTTGCGTCGACACGCGTTCAAGTTTATCAGTGCAACTATGCAGTTTGAACGACGTCGTGCTGACGGTTTATCTCACCCGCTTGCGGAGCTACAAAATTCCGCCATCGTTTCTCGATGCGTCAACGACGCAATGACCTACACCCGTCATAAAAGTACTGCACACTACTCGCTAAAGAGAAAAAAAAAAATTGCCATATTCTCTAAGTGAATGATGTTAGAGGAGCTTGCTCGGAGGTGCACGGGGCATTTCACAACATTTTTGTATAAGGGCTTGTATCTGGCTACCGACCATCACGCGAGATAGGAGGCTGTACAGCGTTTTGACGATTTTCTTCAAACGCATTCAGCCGGTAACGCAAGACCTTGAGATCACTAGGAAACCAAGATTAGCGCTCAGCGTATATTGTGTAGCGTGTGTGATTCTTATGTGATTCTTAAAGGGAAAAGAAGAGAGAAGTCAGCCCCGTAACTGTCTGCATCAGAGAGCGACACCTCAACAGTAGCTCACAAAAGATGAAGGTAAGGAGGGATTAAAAGGATATGATTAAAAGGTATATAGAGAGAGAGGAAGGAGAGAGCGATGCGCAGGGACAGCGAGTGACGGAAGTAAACAGGAGATAGGAAAGATGGACATGGTCGCAGGAGTCCGAGGACGGGGCACCACTCGGTGAAGGCTTTTGGTCGGCGTCAGGAGATGGCGTAGGGGGAGCCCAGTCGGCCAGAGCTGCGCTGTCGTCGGAGATCGCGAGGGCACAGCCGGTCGACACGAAATCTATAGCGAGCTTGTTTGTTATAAGGTTCCATACGCGCATCGCTACCGATCGTGGCGGCGCTGGCATTTCAGCCGCCACGCCGTTGGAGTGGTGAGCGACGCCGCTAAGGGGACATATTTGTAAATACTCTGAAGAACTAGAACAGACGAAGAAAATAAAAAAAGAAAGATAGAAAGGCTACTTCGCCAAACAGATTTGAGGGAAAGCTAGCTTTACAATTGTGAAAAAAGAACTGCTCCACAGCCGAAACGCCTTTAGGCAGTTGCACTGCGGAGCTGTAGTTTCTCGGAGAGCGCTGCGTACTCGTCACCCACACCGATTCCCACACATCATCATCATCATCAGCCTGACTACGTCCACTGCAGGACAAAGGCCTCTCCCATGTTCCGCCAGTTAACCCGGTCCTTTGCTTGCTGCTGCCAATTTATACCCGCAAACTTCTTTAATCTCGTCTGCCCACCTAACCTTCTGTCCCCCCCTAACCCGCTTGCCTTTTCTGGGAATCCAGTTAGTTACCCTTAATGACCAGCGGTTATCCTGTCTACGCGCTACATGCCCGGCCCGTGTCCATTTCCTCTTCTTGATTTCAACTATCCCCACTCACCTGGACACAACCTGGAATCGGTCCCTGTCCACGCCGTGTAGCACGTGGTAGTTTCTGTCATCACGCAAGTGCTTGTAGGCGGGACGGATTTCCAGGACATGCTGTCCCTTCTGGGCCTCGCTCACGGGAATGGTCAGCTTGACCAGGTTCCAGTGCGAGTGTTCATGCCGCCGCTTGTGCTCCGATGACGTGTGCTTCTTCGATTCCTCGCCTGTGCGCTGCGCGGTGTACCACAGTGCATGGTTACGCGCGTCCACCTCTTTTCGAAGACGGCGCGTGTCTAAGCCAAAGAGGATGTCTTTGTCTAGTACTGTGGGCTCTTGAAGACATCTTTGCAGTGACACCTACACATACTATAAAGACCTCTTCGTCGACAGTGATGGCTCATTAAAGAGAGCTTTAGAATAGGGTACAGCTTTGTGTTAGCGAAGGCCGCCTCAGCGCACTTAACATGTGCTCACCTCTTGGGTACACGTGTTGCATTTAGAAAACATCATACGTGCCAGAGCAGCGCAGCAAATTGTTACCTCTAATGACCTCGATGTCTGCAACGCCTAATGTACTTCCATTTTGGCTGCAAATCTGTGTTCCAGTGAATACCCACCAAAATCAGTTCTGAACACCACAGAATACGGTGCTGTCAAGCTATAAGAACATTAGCACAACTCAAATGCGCCAGTTAACGATATTCGTTTTCTGTTACCTGTGTAAAAACACTCTAGTACAGTGACAAAAAATGAAGAGCTAATAGGCTTACTAAGGATCGTTGAGCTTTCGAGTTAATCCTATGGGTTCGTTGAAGAAAAGCAGCGAAACAAACAGTAAAGCCAAGGGCATGCAACAAGCCGAGCATATTCATGTCAAATGAACATGCAATGTCGCACTCACCTTCCTGTGTGTTGCTCTCCGGAAACGGCGCGTCACCCGCACGCTGGTAGCATTGGCCGCAGGGACGCTGTCCCTCGCCGCATCTCTGGCCCTCCGATGTTGCGAGCCGCTGTTGAGATTGCACGAGTAGCAGCCCTCGGTGGAGATGATCTTGTCGTCGCCGGACGCCTCCCCTTCGGCATCGATGAGCGGATAGACGGGTATGGAGGATCCCAAGCCGCCTAGCGCAGTTTGGCACCGACTGCCCACTACTGTCCCGCGCCGAGAGGCAGTGTCTGCACATGTATCCGTCCATGTGGTTTACGCAACGATTCATTCACACGTTTGCGTAGCAATAGGATTTTTCTCGAATGTCTGTTACAAAAAAGTCAGTCATACAGTACAGGGCCAAATATTATGAAGAGGACGATATAATGAAACCTTAGGCAAACCAGCGCCTCCTCTATGTTATCAATGCCAGCCAGATGCGCTCGATCCAGCCATTCACCGACCTCTCTTCTAGCCCTTTCGTGCTCTCGCCCATAGCTTTCGCGTGTGCTTTGCGGTCATGGCCTCACGACGGGAATAATATAAAGTAATTTTTCGTTCAGGTTGTGTTCAAATCCGTGGGGCGGTGTCTTGCATTCCTCGTGATTAGAGTTACTGTATATGCTACCTTTGCTACCTAAGATAGCATATACAGTAACTCTACTCCTGATTAGAGTGCCTCGATGCGTTGGTTCGCGTGCGCATCGAGGCACTTTACTCGTGATCACAGTGTTGGTGGTCACGCTGGCTCTGTAATTGATACGGTGTTTTGAGATAGTGTGTCGTGGCGCAATGCGGGCAACCAATGGGGACGGGTCAGAGTGACTCCGCTGCATGCATAACTGGCGCTGCGCATGAGGTGGCGGCGGCATTGCTTCCAGTCACAAAGATGGAACATGAAGGAACAAATCTGTCAGACTTATGATATAGGAGATAGACGCACGTCTATCGCATCTCCACGGATAAGCGCTCGGAAGCACGTGTGACGCAAGCAGCTCTACTCCTCATGCAGCGTCGCATCATGACCACTCCCTAAACTAAGGTGGACCGACGGATCCCCTTGAAGAACGCGCGCTTGCACTGGCATTGAATGAAATGAAGGAGGTGTTGGTCTTATATTTACATACTTTTCCCCGGATATAATAAAGACCGGTTTTAGTAAAAAAAAGGCAAGCGTGAAGAGAGAAAGAATACTGATGCACCGATACTAGTATTGCAATCACAAGAGAGTTTGCGGGAATTCACTATGTTGATCATTCAACTGATCCTTTTCTGCGAGCCCGGCTACGCTCGATCGGGCTGCCATTTGTTCGCTTAGGGTATGTTGTAGCCAGCAAATCCACATGAAAGAATTTAGGTGAGCTTATCTCACGCAAGCTGTCTTTAATTAACTCTTCAGTGGTGGATTTATGCCCTGCAATAAGATCCTGTGAACGCATGTTTCGTCGCTTGTCAGTGTTGCGTAGTTTGTTTATTTCATTTCATTTATTGATACTGTCAGCCCTTTGCGGGCTATTACAGGAGTGGAGTTTACGCTACCGAATTAGACGTCCGAGCACGGGCAACTAATTATAGGCCTTCCCACTCGAAATGAATATGCTCTCCAAGGAGCGTTGGCGCAACATCGCGTGCCATTGATTGATTGATTGATTGATTGATATGTGGGGTTTAACATCCCAAAACCACCACGTGATTATGAGAGACGCTGTAGTGGAGGGCTCCGGAAATTTCGACCTCCTGGGGTTCTTTAACGTGCACCCAAATCTGAGCACACGGGCCTACAGCATTTCCGCCTCCATCGGAAATGCAGCCGCCGCAGCCGGGATTCGATCCCGCGGCCTGCGGGTCAGCAGCATCGCGTGCCATTTAAAGCTGCTATTGCACATGTTGGCGACAGCAGACCTTCAAGAGATAGCCCCCGCTTGCATTTTTTGTTCGCTTTGTTTACAACTTCTCGTGTCGGCACGTGCTTATCTGCTAGCAGAATGAGGTGTCCGGATGTAGCCATTGCTCTTTTTGAAAAAACAAGGTTGTGGCCATAAAACAGCACGAGTGCGACAGGATGGTTCAAAAATAAGCACTCTAGAAGCAGAATATTGTCATCCTGCAGCTTTGCGCGGCATCTTAAATATGAACTTTTCAACCTTGTTCGCACACCTAATTTATCACAAACGCAAACATGATGCCATTGCATAAGGATACATGTACAGTGCTCAACTCGGCTGTCTATAACGACGGAGCGTCGCGCGCGGAACAGCACGGGCGACATCTGCTGTCGTGAATACGCCACATCTGAGCATGCGCGGCGCCAATGATGTGCCTTCCCTGCAGTTTCCACCATTCTTTATCTCCGCGGCCGCGCTGGCTGCTTTGGCCGTCGAAGCGCTGTCAACATTACAAAATCGAATTAAAGCAACAACAAAAAAGAAATATTCTCTCTTTGTGATACCATATCACATCGACAACGCTTTTACTTAGTCTTTCTTTCTTGTTTTTTTTTCTGTTTTTTCGCGAAATCGCTCAGAGCGCTTTCGACGGCCAAAGCAGTTGTTGCATCCGCGGCGATTAACAGGGATCTATGGGTGTGTTCCAATACTCACCGTAGACGGCTAAATAGACAGCTAAATAGACAGCGGCTATCTTCAGTCCCATTCCAATTCTCACGTAGCCGGAAAAATAGACAGCTCCGAGAAGATCGCATCGTAGACAAATACGATGCAGGCTACTTTGCTGTCTAAACAAGATGGCGGCTCAGCAAATCGCTCAGATAGATCGGATCTCACCGGAATGGTCGTCTGCACACAAGCATGACGCTTCCTCAGACGCTCAATGTGAGTAACGTTTATTTGTTTTTGCTTTCAACACGAAATAGACCAGAACTTGAATACAACTGTTACGTTTCTTTATTTTAGCTTTTTCTTCTCGATGCGAGGTGGCGCATCGTCGTGTAAAAGCCGTCTAGACGTGTTCCATTCTCAGACAGCATGGGCTCGGCACTGTCTTCTAAGCAGTCTGCGTAGACTGTCTACGTGCTGTCTCGGAATTGGAACACAGCCAGTATTGCGAGGCAGGCACATCACTGGCGCCGCGCATGCTCAGATGTGGCATATTTGCGACTGCAGATGTCGCCCGTGCTGTTTCGCGCACGACGCTCCGTCGTAGTAGACAGCCGAGTTGAGCACTGTGCATACTTTCCCCTTTGCAGATGGGAGGAAATGATACTAACTTTTTAAATTAATTTTTTTTCTCCAAATTCATAATAAGTGCCACAAGACTGCGCGTGTCTGAACCGTTCTTGTCTACTACCGTGGGCTCTTAAAGACATCTTTGCCAACTTGTGCTGCTACTTTGCCAACTTGTAAACGGGGTCGGGACCTCGTCAAGCTCTTGAGCTTTTAGTCCTGTACTCCTAATCAAAAGGAAATAAAAGGATTGATTGATTGATTTATCTTTACCGTGACGCCTACATATACTATAGAGACGTCTTTGTCAACAGTGACGGCTCTATAAAGAGCTTTAAAATTAGGTAAAGCTTTGTGTTAGCGTTGGTCGCCTCAGCGCACTTATAACGCGCTAACCTCTTGGGTACGCACGCTGTATTTAGAAAATATCTTGCGCGCCCAAGCAACGCAGCAAATCGTTCTAAAGCTCTAATGGCCTCGTTGCACAGATTCATTTGGAGGCATAGTTATGGGAGGGCTATGTATCTAGCGTTCAATGTCAAAACAGCATCCTGGGTGAATACCCGTAGCAATTATTAGGGGGGGGGGGGCAATTCAACTTTAGTGTCCATGCCAATTGGACAGAAGGTGCGGTGTTAGTGTTTCTTTAATCAGTATGGGTGTCGAAAAACAAAGGATTATGTATTGCATAAAAGCGATAGCTTCCACACGAAAAATAACGATGGCAATAAATTATATCATGCTTCACTCTGTTCTGCATATGCTCTCGTTCTTGGTTACTCATCTCGTCCACAGGAATTCAATAACAATCACCGTCATATTTTAGTATAGCTTTATTGACGCGCTGTCGAGTTGGAGGTCGTGGGTGAGGACGCGTTTCGGTTTGGGTGTGATAAAGAAAAAAGCCTGTGTAGTTGCTTAGATTTATGTGTACGCTAAATAATTCCAGGCAGTCAAAATGAACCTAAAGTCCAAAACATTGACAAACCCCCTGGGTAAAGGTGTATGCAAACATTTCTTCGTGCACCGAATTTTTTTTTTTCGTCGGAATACAGCTTTCTCAATGTATCAAAACAGTGTATGTTGTGTAAACGTTCTTATAAAGTCTCATTCGTTCCTGTGCCTCGAAACAAGGTATAGTGACACGGCTGCGTAAATATGGGCGCGCAAAGCGTCAGACGAGGATTTCTCACCCTTGGCCGATGCGTTGGAATCCCTCAGGGCAGCCGCAGAGGAAACCGCTGCTGCCTGTCGGCGTGCATTCGTACAGGCAGGGGCTGTTCTCGCAGCCTTCGCCTCCTGTGACAACATGTGGGGACAAGAACAAAGTAATATACGATGACTTCCCGACAGGGGTGGTTCCATGGTTCCAGCAGGGGACATGAGTGGGAGGGGGGGGGGGGGGGCTAGAGCATCTCCTCTTCTCTCCCCTCCCCCGCAAGAGCGAGCCTAGTCAAAGCACGACGCACAAGTTCCGCGCCTCTCTGCTCCCCCCCCCCCCACCCCCCAAAAAAATTCTGGCACCGCCCCTGCTTAGCGACTGACGAACGTTTGAGCATTGGTGGCAGTGTCGTCGACAAGGGACACTGACAGATAAACACGCGCGTTGACACACCATTGTCAGAATATAAAGGCCTGACCACAGGTACGCGTCGAAGGGCGTCAGCCCGCGCCTTGTGGAATCGGTGCCTCTTCCTACGGAAAGAGGGCGGTGCAGCTTCGTGTAGCCGCTCGTGCCTTCCTTTCATAAGGAAAAGGCGCCGCGTCCGCACCCCTCACGCTGACGCGCTGCAACGCGTACGTGAGGTCTGACGTTAAAAGGGCAGAATACAACGTTTTCAAGCGAAGCTTGTTACGAGTTGAAGATTTCGGTGGCGACGGCGTTGTAAGCGGAAGACCCTCCTGGCGCCTGCCAAGTATAAAAACGCAGCCCTCGAAGGTGTGCCGGTCACATGCGTATTTGCGTGCGCCGTTTCCCGATAGTTGAGTGATGCCCTCTCGTACGTAGATTTGTTGGCGACAAGTCGTTTCTGATTATGCAACGAGATGGTTAATACAGGTAATTTGTCCTTTCGCGCTGCCACACTTCATTGTTGCCTGCACAAGCACGCATGACCTCACGTTCCGGCGCCGAAACGTGAGTCATAAACAAGGCACGATGCCAAGAGCGTAGGCGTGCTTTCGCGTCATGTCTACAGCCAATCAGAGTGATTACGATTACGCAGGGAAAAGAAAAATAGAAAGGAGCCATGATTGAAGGAATGAAAGAAAGGTAGTAGGTCACGCACGTAGACGCCAAGCTTAGCTTGCCCTCGTATTTTTCATAGGAGAAGGCACCCTGGATGTTTTTTTTTTCTTTTTGATCGACGAGATGGTATAGCGCTGACACTTACCGATGCAGTTGACCATGATCTCGTCGTAGCGGTATCCGGGGGGACACGAGCACGAGAAGCTGCCGACCGTGTTGATGCAGGAGGACGCCGAACCGCAGGGGCGGCTCAGGCATTCGTTCTCGTCTGCGTCCGCACACAAGCATCATACCGGGAATCAGAAGACACAAAAAAGTAGGAAAATAAACCAGACAAGCGTCCTGTTTACTACCACAAGCTGTAGATGTAAGAAAATGCATGGATAGAAAAAGACAGACGACAAAGATGGTGTCATACTTCTACTTCTTCAAGAACCATTTCGCTCTCAAAGCGACAATTGAAATTTTATTAAAGGTGTTTTAACTCTTTCTGGAAGCGAACTCGGCACAGAAACCGTGGCATCGTTTACGTTGTAAAAGTTTAACCTATTGTATTTTCCAGCGCTGATGACAAGTTGATGGGGTTGTAACAAGCATGCATGTAACAACGCTAAAATTCATACTGCGTGCTCGCGATTCGTTTGTGTTTGCAGATTTATTTTTATTGCATTTTGCAATATAGATACTTCAGCGTAGTTTTGCCGTCGCCGTCATGTTTTGTATAAAAGTCCAAATTAGGAACATCCCCTCGTGCATCGTATGTTCTACCCGCGGGTAAAAGAGCGTGGGTGAAGGCGACAAGTGCTGCTGAAGCCCATCTCTGTCGTTCAGAGGGCGCATGTTATAACAGTGCTTTTGTCTGAGGAAGCTGCTGCGACATTTGCGAAATAAATTAGCCCGAAAGACGGGACGAAATACTCCGTACAACAGGACGAGTGCTGAACCACCAATTGAGATTTATTTGATGAAAGTGCCTTTTCATAGTGTCACACGTCGCTACCGCCAAGGGGCATGTGATAACATCACCCTGCGTTCGAGGCCTGCCGTCGAATGCTGCTCAAGCAGGCAGGAAACGCTCCTCCCGTCTTGGGAGCGTTGCTTGAGCAGCAACTGTGAACTTTGATTATAAGAGCGTGGTCGCAATTGCTGGCGTGTGCGCTATCTCCGTTTGCATTAGCAGACGGCTCGTATATACCCTTCTACGTGCCACGCTCTCAGCACGAAAGGCTGTGCGAAATCCCCTTCTCTCTTACACCCTTGTTTTGATATAGGCAATACTGGATCGAGTTAACTGCCGGCCTTACTTCGTATAACAGTACGGTTTGTGGCTATCGCATTCATTTCTTCGCCCTTACCGTGAAACAGTGATTTTTATTATTTTTTTATTGCTGTGCTGTCGTTAACTGTTCGTTTTAGCCTTTCAGCCTATAATCACCTTGAGGTGAGTGTTATGGTTTTGGCTAGGCTAAAAGCTCCAAATCCGGCCAATATCGTCCCTACTCTGCGACATAGTTTGATGTTTCCTCTGCATGTGTATTTCTCTTTCACTACGTGTCAGGCTTACGTAATGCGCAGCCACTGGTAGATCTGGCAATTGCACACAAGATCGACGCGTTGTTTTATCTCCAGCTATACAAACAATGCCTGTTTCAAGTCTAACCACTGAAAGCCGCAACCTTTGCAGTCACCTTCCCTTTCCACTTCAGGATTGGCAGTCCGTCTCCGTATAATCTGTAACCTTTTTTTTTTTTTTGCGTGGCTGTCTAATCATCACAGTGGCCCATTGCGCGCCAAGTCGCTCACTTCAGAGCATTCAATAAAGTTTTGCATCAGTCCATTCATTGGCCGGCGTTGCCATGATTTCTGGCGAACACTTTCTGACAAGCATTAACAGTTTGATGTTAGCCTGTACTCTACTAGAATTCAACACAAATCTGCACGACTGGAAAATAATATGTCATGTTCTCTTGCGATGTTCAGTTTGACAAGGTATTCGAGAAAAGGACCTAAATACATCGACATCACGGGTGCTATTCTGGACTTCGTCGAATTCTTCCTCCTCGCTAAGTTCGGTAATGGTGGAATTTTAAGCCAAATAGAGAGGCCGCAACAGCGGTAATCAGATGTTATGAATGGTGGTATTTGACAATATCTGGCATAACACCTTACGCTTAATTGCATGTCTTCCTTTCCCGCTCGTTATCATCAAGTGCGTGTACTCACCGACGCACTGGTTCCAGTAGGGGTCCTGCTTGAAGCCCTTGGGACAGGTGCAGCGGTACGAGCCCTCGTAGTTCTCGCAGCCGTGGGGACACTTGGCCGTGTTGGCGCATTCGTTAGTATCTGCATCGACATCGATACAACCGACATTTTTGCTTGCCTTATTACGAATTTTTCAGTTTTCAACTGATGGCCTTTAACTGCACTACTGCGCAGCACGGAACACAACTGTTTTATGACGGGAAAGAAGAATAAATAGAAAGAAAACGAGTTGTTGTTGTTTTTCTACAAATAGTGAAGTGTTGACTTCGGTATATCTCTACAGATCGACGAAGAATCTGCATTGATTACAAGTTATTAGAAACACCGCCGTGGAACTACTACTTGAATATAACACGTATGATATCACACAAGAGGTGCACTGTGTTTCGTGCCAACCAAATTGTTTCCTGCCAATGGAATAAAAAAGATTTAGTCATTTCGTTTCAGCTCTTGTTTTATCTATTACACTCCAGCATCCTATTTCATCTCTCTTAAGACTGTCGGAGACGGAGCCACCCACACTTACAACACTCATAGTGGTTTACTTAAAATAATGTGGCAGTCAACACTGTTTTAAGTAGCACGATCGCTCTTCTAGAGCTTTTAGTCAATCGTATAACATTGCTTCAGTTAGGAGGGGAGGTGGTTTGAAAGGTGCGACGCGTCTAGCTCAACCACAGCAGTCAACATAAAACGTTATTTGGGCCCATGCGGAGAGATGACGGTGTTATGACTATATAAGGAGGAATCTGCTTCCATAAAAAGTTACTGAGTGGGTTGGTTAACATGTAAGGTTGCTGGCGATAGCTACGATGCTATGCTAAAGATGGCAGACGAAGTTGCAGACGAACAGTTTTCGTCACTTTGTCCCTCATCATTGGCTTTGCGCTTTTAATCTAGCCAGTAGTCTGTTTTCGTGCTTTTAGCGATGTCAGACGGAGTAGTCGAATGATACCAAGCACTGATTTCTGAAAAAAAAACAAAAAAAAACGCGCGTACCTTTACAGGACTTTCCGGAGGCGTCGGTGATGAAACCGCGCAGGCAGTTGCATCGGTATGTTCCCAGCATGTTAGTACATGTGCCACTCGGGGCACACAGGTGTGGCTGTTCCTGGCACTCGTTGACGTCTACACATGTAAAAGACCATCAGTTAGTCAGCTGCCCGCAGTTTGTTGAATGTCGCATGCCACACGCTTATGCCACATTTCTTTACAACGGATGTCAGCACCCACATCCACCACGTACAATTAGGAAGAAAAATTATTTCAAATTTTGCTCTGTAGCTACTTGTTTTCCCTATATTTGTGAAGTAAACCTATAGGCTGCTTAGGTGCAGCTAGAGGACGAGGGTGAGAAATTACAGGTGTGAACATCAACCACAAAACTTTTCTGTTTACTGTTTACATGTGTATATATGCACGCACATATATACAGAAGAGTCGGACCTTGGCCGTCACCCCCAGAAATAACATCCTGACTACGCCCTTGCTCTACTCTGCGATAGTTTGATTTAGAGAACAGCATTTGACTCGTCGATCGTAGTTCGTAGCTACAGTCTACGGAAACGAATAAGTTGGCGTACGTACCGATACATTGGTTTTCGTGAGACTTGTATCCGCTTTTGCACCCACAGCTGAAGCTTCCGGGTGTGTTGACACAGCTGTGCTGGCAGTTGTGTCTGTCCGTCGCGCATTCGTCGATGTCTGCCGAAAGAAATGCAAATGCACAGGGAAACCATTTACTCTTGAGTGATCGCGGATACAATTCGTTCACAATGTTTCCCCAGAGTGTCGTGTCTAGATGCTATCCTAATAAGACTGAGGAAAAGATACATCGGTCTCTGTTACGTTTTCTTTTCATCCAAGTCGTCTATGCGTAAATAGCTGGGACAACACCGAGCTATCGCCTCAATACTTGCAGGAGTCCTCCTATAGAGCCGTACATTCAAGTATGAGTATGTGGTGTCGTTGAGGTGTGCTTATTCATGTGGTTCGCGCCCTCTTGTAATAATACTTCAGTGGAAAGCTCGATGCACCGCCGTGTAGGTTCTCGGACTTGGGTGCTCTTATTACGCGACGATTACCAATATCCCTTCCCGATAGTTCAATCGTTGGAAGGTTGACCGAATGGGCTAGTTGGTGATCAATCGCGTTCTCAAGAACAGCGTGGAATCTTAAACGTGCAATAAATTAAAGGGACAAAACTAATTGTAACAGATCACAAGAGCGCGAAATAGACTAGACGAACGAAGAAACACACAGAACACACAACGAATAAACTCACAGGAACACACAACGAAGAAACACAAGGTCATGTGTGCTTCTTCGTACGTCTTGTTTTGTTTGTGTCGTATATTTAGCGCTGCTTTTTACCTCCTACAATGCGTGACCAACTATGCCAACGATGCACACTTCTGGAAAACAAATCGGTTTGTGTTATCCCTCTTCGTTTTTTTTTATTTTTTTTATTTATTGATACTGCGATCTTTTACAAGATCATAGCAGGGGTGGTGCAAAAACATAAACATAAACATCAGTGGAAACAGGCAAACAAACAATCAAAAACAAATGTAATACAAACCTATGTAACTGATAGCTGCAGTGATTCTTCGAGACAAGAGAATCAACAAAAAGCAAGGTACAAACATAGATAACAATCATTTCTGCAGTGACTCTTCAAATGCAGACAATGTATTTAGGGTTACAACATCGTTATGTAGACTGTTCCAATCCACGATAGTCCTCGGAAAAAAAGAATATTTGAAACAATTTGTTCGTTGCATCAATGGAGAGATAGTAAGATTGTGTCTCTGTCTTGTTTCGTAACCCAATGAAAAGTGAATGATATGTGATGTGTCAACTGCATAGTGACCTTTTATTAACTGGAAAAGAAATTTTAAGCGCAATATTCGATTTTGGTCCGGAATGTTTGGAAGTTTGCTTTCCAAGAGAAGTTTTGTAATTGAAGTAGGACCGTACGAGTTATAAATGAACCTAACAACCTTTTTTTGCACCCTTTCAAGTTTTTGAATATCAGTCTGAGTGAACGGGTCCCATATGACCACAGCATACTCCAGTATAGGGCGGATAATGGCATTGTAAGCGAGGAGACGAATACTTGGTGTGGTTGATCTTAAAGAACGCCTTAGGAAAAAAAGTTTACGGAGAGATTTAGCTACTACAAAATCTATGTGCTTTGACCAGGATAGATTTTTTGTAATCCAGAGACCAAGGTACTTGTATTGAGTTACTTCTGACAGAATTGTATTATTGGTAGAGTACTGGAACAAAAGAGGTTCTTTTTTAAGGGTAATTCTCATAAAAACTGTTTTAGCGAAATTAACAGGCATCTGCCATTTGTCACACCACGAAATTACTTTTAGAAAGTTCCGATTTAGTCTAATTTGATCGTCAACTGAGGTGATCTTTTGATATAAGACACAGTCATCGGCGTACAACCTAATGTGAACAGAAAGGTCAGTGACGATATCATTTATATATAACAGAAAAAAAAGAGGCCCAAGGACGGATCCTTGAGGAACGCCTGAGTTTACAGGAGCTTGTTTAGAAGATGTATTTTTTACCGTAACAAATTGACGCCTGTTTGTTAGATATGCTGTTATCCAGTCAAGGATCTTTTTGTTTTGTAGAATACAAGTTAATCTGTGAAGTAATTTAGCAGGCGAAACTTTATCGAAGGCTTTTTGAAAATCCATAATTATGGCATCCGTCTGCTTCCCTTCGTTAATTGCTTGAGCAAAGTCATGCGTAATTTCCACTAATTGAGTATTCGTTGAAAAGCCCCGCCTGAACCCATGTTGAACATTTGTTAATACTTTATGAGAATTAAGGAAAGTAATGAAGTTCGTTTTATTGATGTTTAAAATACCATGCTGTTCTTGACAATAATCATTGGCCCACTGATCACATTTTCGAAAGGGCGCGGGTTATACGACTCTATATGCGTCCATGGTTTGGCTACAATTTATTTGTAGTGATATCATTGGCGATTTAGCATGCGCATTTACGCGCACTCATAAACACTTTTTATATACTCATTTAAGTGTACAAAAATGATTCGTTCATTAATTTATTCTTAACCAGACCGTCCCCTTGTGGGCCTATCCGGGTGACGTGGAGTGAAATCGTGCCTCTTGTGAACCAAATAAAGTTGTTTTAGTCACTCTCTCTTCAACACGAAAGGAAGTAACTGAAGTTGGCTTCTCCCTACAATGACTGTTAATGCGAAGAAGCTAGCTCTGACGAAAAGGCTCACTTTTTCGGCGAAGTGGAAACGCCTTGGGAGGTAAACCTTACCTTTACAGGACCTTTTGTCCTCAGCTAAAGTGTATCCCGGCTCGCAGCCGCAGATGAAGCTGCCGTCCGTGTTGATGCACTTGGACTTGCAAGGCGGAAAGGTCTGCTCGCACTCGTTGATATCTGCGCGCAAGAAGTAGACGTGTTTGTTTGCTTCTTTCTTGCTAGTGGCATCATTTTTGCTGGGGTAGAAAATAACACCAACAACGCGCGAGTTTAGTGCGTGAATCTTTTACGAAGATGTCATGTAACAGGACAAGCCGATAAAGAACACTAATGCATGGAATGACTGAAATATATAGTAGTTTTGTTCTTCAAATGGAAATTTTCCTCGTGGCTTTCACTTGTACATACCACAATTAGAAAAATGGTGCATGATAACGAAGTATGGCGATTTATTGGGATGCGCCTTCCTATATGCGTCGCGTACTACCGTACTACGATGAACAACAAAAGACATGTTGCGTTGTTCCACCAGTAACACAGTGAATCCGCCTAGCAAACGTTTACGAGGCAGTGGTGTGCTTATCAGAGAAAGCTGAAACAGAATGACTTCGTTGGGGTCGTATCGGTCAAAACATATTTGTGGCTTGACCCAAACAACTCACCGACGCATTGCTTTCCGAAAGTGTCCGGCTTGTATCCCACGTTGCAGCGGCACCGGTAAGAGCCTTGGGTGTTGATGCAGATGCCGTTCTTGCACAGATCGGGCATCAAACTGCACTCGTTGATGTCTGCACAAAGCGGAGCGGGGTTTATTTTATTATTGTTCATTTTAAGGTACGCAGTAAATCGAAGGACTTGCGTTGAATTTCTCTTGCAACCTCGATGTCCCCTCGGTTTGTTTATTTGTTACTTTTTTTTTGGAGAGCGAATCTATGGTTGTCGGCAGCGTCGAAAAACTTAGGCAATAACAGCGTCGCGTCGAATACTTGGTTGATCACGAGAAACAACGTATATCGTGGTACGGTAGCTTCCTATAAATTAAATTAATCAATTGCTTTCTTTTAAAAATGATACCTGCGAGTTTCGATTGCTTGATGTGGCAGTGCAAACGTGGACATAAAAGAGTTAATGTAACAGTAATAACATATTACACTGATCCAGCATTTTGTTAAACTGCTTAGCTGATTGATTGATATGTGGGGTTTAACGTCCCAAAACCACCATATGATTATGAAAGACGCCGTAGTGGAGAGCTCCGGAATAAACTGCTTACCTTTACCGTCACCGTCGGAACCCGGTTCGAATGGACACAGCTGGCGGTATTCGTCTGAAAAAAAAAAAGTCCGGACAAAATGATGATACATTTTATGCAGGGGATATGTTTATGGAGGTTTAGTTATCTCATATTTAAGATAAGCTAGAACATATCTGAATGTTTTCTTTTTCGTCCTTTTTTTGCGATATCAAGAAGTTTGCTGAATATGCCTCGGAAATTTATATGCGAGTTTCGTAGCTCCGAAATTTGTTCCAAAGATTACGCCTCTCCTGTTCCCGCCACATATGGCAAAAAGAGTTACCACGAGACAATGCATAACGCAAGGCCTGGCCAAAAGAGGGAAAAAGAGAGAGACAGTGCGTTACAGTTCGTGAAACTGTGGATGACAACGAGACAAAAGCAATGTGCGGGACCATTCACAAAGCAGAGGTAATGTTCTGCCGCGAGGTTCAATAAGGTCGGCCGCCATACGATGCCTGGCAAAGCACTGAAGAGAGTACTAATTGGAGAAAACGATGTAAAATTACACTCTGTAGACACATGACCAAATTCGTAAACAAAAACCTTGTGCTCTAGCCGACGTTTCCACTAGCAGGCTTGTCTTTTTCAAAACTATGTATAGAACAGAAGTCTTCAAGGTCCGTAGAGTGTAGTTATTCTTCCTTTTCTGCACGCATAGACTAACCTGCTTATTTATTCCTCTTCCATATTATTGACAGTTACATACCTCACAGTTGCGCATCAGCCCTTACTTCCAATGTTGCTGACATTGCTCCAAAAACCTGAAGGGCCGTACAATGAGAATGCGCGAAGAAGCCGTGTTTTGAGCACAAACGTTGATAAAAATGTTGTTATCTGTCAACCGTACACCATCATGCCACAGAAAATGCCCCAGTTCCCCTTACTCTCCGGAGCAGAGCGTCTTGCTGCACATTTGTGACAAATGTCGTACGGAATTGTGAATATCTGTATGCGAGCACTGAACAATGCATGATGATGCCATCCAAGTTCAAGAATTCATCTTGTTGAACTGTTTTTATCCAGCGAAGCGGATTACTGTCGATGTTTTTTTTTTTAATTGTCAAACACCCTGTTTGAAAGCAGGCGATATAGTTTAAGAGCGCGAGTGACGATGGTCATTTCGTGTAGGCAGAGATGGCTGTACTATGTAGGCATGCATTTCGTAGTACATCAGATGCGCGTTACCGTATGACTCTCCTACTGGACTGCATACTTGTAGCTGCATGACCGAGCGAGTACGGATGGTGTAAAAGGACTAACTCGAGTTCCGCAGTGGACAGGCCTCGCAGTGCGGGCCCCAGGCGACGCCTATGGAGCAGCAGCACTGGTCCCGGGACATCTCTCCGGCGCCCGTCCTGGGGCACGACGAAAAGGTCGTGTAGCACATCTCCTGCCGAGTGTCTGCGGGTCAAGAATGAGAGGTGTCCGATTCAGCCGCCTTCCTCAGAATGGCCCCGATCGAGGCGCCTGCAGAAATGATTCTCGGACATTGCGAGACTGTGATTGTCGATCTTTCGTTATTTGACACGTTGTGCAAACGTTCTGAGCCTTGAGCACCATAAAGTTTTCTAATAATAAACAACATGGAACTCTGGCGCTAGCGTCTACGGAAGCTGCAATGCATGTCGCTTCACCAAGCATGGGAATGGTGGGCAGTACATAGATTTGTTTAGACTTTGTTATTTTGTCTCCGATAGCCTACGTGTGGCTTGCATCCGCTTTGTTACAATACGAATTTCAGCGAATGTTCAGCAGCTTCGTTGCATAATCGTTTCGGCTCAGCAATCTAAATCGGCTCACGAAGTTGAAAACTATCTGTTATTTCATCCGAAACAAACGCCAAAACACTACAATAAACAGGGTCACAATTGTGTTCGAAGCCGTAAGATCGAAGATTAGGCAAATCCGTGTATGACCCACCATTCCCATAGTGGCTGAAGGATCGCAGCACCAGAGTTTCCTCTAGTAAATATTGTAAGAAACCATGTTTAGTACATCTCAAACTGAGCAAAATAAACAAAGAAGGATGACCACGTATACCTACCTTTGTTTCTTTTACTCCGAGTTTTGCTGAACACTCAGAACGTCATGGCATATCAACTCGCTGAAACTGCGACTCTTGTAGATGTACTGAAGGGATGCTAACCGATTTCTTCCTGTGTGGCACAGACCATCATATAGCTCCCAATTTTTTTTCTCATTCCCTAAGGTCACTGGCGTAACGAAGAAATTTGGGTTTACACCCCGCGAAAATTTTCTGTTTTGCTGGTGCATATACATAGAAACGCATGCGTGAACAAAATGGTGAAGTATGGTGAACAAAACTCTCCTGAAATAAATTATCGGTTACACTCCTGCTTAAGACGGATAATTTTTTAGCCAGGTAGTTCAGCGCTTCAGAGGACCCAGCCGGCATTTATTTGGCCAACTTGTGTACAGGTCATCCTAGTTTCTCAGTCTCCAGACGTTCGCTATTGCAGTATACTCCTCAAAGTACCATTTGGTCAGCTTCCTTTCAACCCATTCTCTGTATTTTCTCTTCTTCCCAGGCTGATTCACAATGAAGAGCGCGCAAAAGACCAATTGGCGGAGTGCGGTTTCAAGCGTTCAGAAAAATTAATCGTAATGTGGGCCAGCTGAACATTGTGGTCCGCACGTCTCACCGTGGCACTGCTTTCCGTCGCGGCTGCTCTGGAAGCCCCCGTGGCATTGGCAGCGGTAGCCGCCGTGCGTGTTCACGCAGTCACCGTTCTGGCACACGTCCGGCTCTTCGCGGCACTCGTCGATATCTGTTACGCAGGCAAAAAAGAGAAGGAACATTTGTATTATATTTAGGTAGTGACAGCAAAACTGAAATTCTTTTTTTTTTCCGGACAGATCACGTAAAAAGGACATCGTCCGAAGCCGCGTTAAACAAAAAATGTTCACGACTCTGCATTTGACACGCCAGGTTTGCTTCTCATGCCGCTTTGGCTGCCGTAACCTCTGTGCAGGTTTATTTGCGTTTTGGCATTTACGACTAAAAGAAGCTTCAGTCAGCATAAAGCTAACATTTAGATAGAGCGACTTCCATTTGCAGTCGCTCTTGCAATATACTCAATCACGACAAATTGGTGGAGACCGAAGTTGCTGTCGAAACTTTGGGTAGACGCTGAGACTTCTTCTGCTTTAGTTCACCCGGGATTAGCACGCAATTTTGCTACTTGTAAACATGGTCGCGTGTGTTTTTTTTTCTATTATTGACTACATCACCGAGCGCATGTATGTGCATACCCTCGCAGTTGTCTCCGTTGCCGACAGGCCTCATGCCGTCAGGACAGATGCACTGGAAATTGCCCACCAGGTTCTTGCACGCAAACCGACAGCCGTGAGTGCCAGTCGCACATTCGTCCAGGTCTGCGTAAACACAGCTGAAGTCACACAACGCTGCAGTGCCACGATACGGCTGACCCTCATCAATAATCGTGAATCGTTGATTCTCGTAGGAGAGAGAGGAAATAATATGAGGGAAAGGCAGGGAGGTCAACCAGAATCGTAGCATCCGGTTTGCTACCCTATACTCTAAACGGAGGGGAAATGGTAAGGAAAGTGGGACAACTCTACTTACTGCATATTTCAACCATATGCGTAACAAGTATAGTAAATAGTTGCGCTTGCACATTATGATTGAAAAGAACGCGAGCGATGTATGGGAATCGGAAGATGCCGATTGGTGTCTTTCCTTTCGCAAGAGTCGACATTCGATGTAATGAGATCAAGAACATTGACGTAGCGCTATTTTGCGACTGAAGGGTTGTACCGAAGACTCTCTCGGTACTCTCTCTCTCCCTCCCTCTCTCTCTCCCCTTTCTCTCTCTCGCTATTACGTTCTTTCTTATCTTTCGCTTTTCTCGTCTTTCAGAAAGCACAGTCTGAAAGTGCATATTCATTTTCCCGTGAAGGTCTCGCCTTCCGCACATCTTTTATCTCCCCATCTAGGATGCATTGAGCAAATGACCACACTTTCACTGACAATACGTGTATTCTCTCTCCGTCTCAGTTAGCGTTTCATGTGGGTTTGATTGTCATTGATTATTATTATTATTATTATTATTATTATTATTATTATTATTATTATTATTATTATTATTATTATTATTATTATTATGCAGCCTATACGTACCTCGGCAGTGCTTTCCGTCGGGCGCCAGTTCGTACCCGTAGGGACAGATGCAGCGGAACGAGCCAGGCGTGTTGACGCACCGGAAAGCGCACCCGTGCGCGCCCAGGTGACATTCGTTGACGTCTGCGCCGCGTACAAGGACAAGTCAAGACAGCGTCACGCAAGCAATATTTTTGAAAGCGTATAATACAAAGCTGAAATGATGTTTTCGTGAACAACTTCGCGTCACCGGCATGGATAAGGTAGCAGATTCTGCTCTAAATGCTGCGGAAAGGCGAAGAAAACAAGAAGTACACATAAGAGCGCATTTCCTGCACCCCCACGTTTTCTTTGCCTTGCGTTATTAACTTTTGCGCAGTATGAACCAACTGCATGTTCTATTACGCTTTAAATGCGGTGGTTGCGTCGTGACTCCAGCTGTAGTGGTCATTCGGTGACGGAAGAGGAAGCTGTATGAAGTGTTTGCAAATAAGCACCTGATTTGTCGCCGTGTGCTTGGAAAACACAGACGAAAGCATACATAAAGACAATAAGAAGAAAACGACACGGTCTGATGAGCGCATTCACGCTTAAGGAAGACGATGTAAAGTGTTCGAAGACCCTCTTATATACGGGCTTGTTGATCTCGAAAAGGGGCCACAACGACTTTGAAGCCCTGTCCACTCCCAACAAAGGGAAATCAGATTACCCGGCTTGTTCGCAACCAATGGACCGTTCTAGTAATGAGATGCCACGAAAAGCGATTGTTTCTGTGCACGGAAATAAGGCGACTCGCAAGAGATGGTATCCCTCACACTGAATACGACCTCGCTGCGAGCACTTACAGCTCGCGAAGCGTTCATTGTCGCTCCGATATGGGCGGAATAGGCTGTAATGTCACAGTGTACACTATAAAATATTCAAGGGTTCTGACTCAGTGGCTGAGTGGTGCATAATCATGCGCTATAAATAGGTGCACTGCAACTGCAACAGCGAAGCAGTTTATTTATTTATTTTTATTTATTTATTTGTACCCTCAAGGCCTACAGGCATTTCAGAGGGGAGTGGGTTACAAGGTTATACAAAAAAACTAAAAACTAAAAAGCAGCAACAAAAGTAGTAAGCAGATAAGTACAAACATACATGGGCCCTAATCATACAATGTTAGCTAGTGCTGCATGAAACTGATGGTTGTCTTCGATTGCGGCGGTCAGTCCGGGAAGGCGGTTCCAATCGTGTGACGTCCGAGGAATAAATGACTGAAAGAAGGCATTGGTGTTGCATGGTATTGTTCCTACTTTGTGTCGATGATCCATACGAGAAGAAATATATGAAGGAGGAGTAATTAACTCACTGAATAGGGGCGAATTATGGTAGTAAATTTTGTGAAAGAGACAGAGGCGAGAGTGTTTGCGGCGCGAAGTTAGAGTGGGTAATTGAAGCAAGTTTTTCATGGACGTGACACTTGCCGCACGAGTGAAATTACCGAGAATGAAACGTGCTGCGTTGTTCTGCACGAGCTCAAGTGATGTCACCAGATAGTCATGGCTCGGGTCCCAAATGGATGATGCATATTCGAGTTTAGAACGAACCAATGATTTATACAAAAGTGTTTTTAAAGAGGTAGGTGCAGAAAAGAAGTTGCGGCGAAGGTAGCCAAGCAGGCGATTAGCATTATTAATAACGGTATTAATATGAAGCGACCAGGTAAGATCAGTTGTTATGTGAATTCCCAGGTATCGGTACGACGTCACAGGTTCAAGAAGTGTGTTATTAAGGTAATAGGAACCCGTCGAAAGGGCTGTTCTTGAAATGCGTAAGACTTTGCATTTAGTTGTATTAAGTTCCATTAACCATTGCTCACACCAGTTAGAAATTGCATTAATGTCCGATTGCAGTGCCGTAACGTCGTTATCGTTGTTAATTTCTCGAAAAATGACACAGTCATCTGCAAACAGCGCCCTAGTTCGCGTGGTGTTGCGAGAAAATCCTAAGATATAGGTATGCGCCACAGGAATTGGGCAGGCCCCTCTGCCAAGCACAGCAGATGCGAGCGTTGACAGACTCTCTCCTCGGCAAAGTAGAGCACGAGGAACACATGAAATAGAGAGAGAAATAGATAAAAACAAACAGAACTGAAAGAGAGAAGGAAACAGAACGAAAGCAATACAAACAAAAAGAAAGTATAGAAAAATAGAGAAAATAAGAAAAAAACAGAGAAAGACATGAAAAGAGACAACCACAGAAATAAACAGACACTAAATATAGATAGAACAGAGAGCAACACAAGGAGAAAAACAGAAATGCGCAGAAACAGAAAGAGAAAGAAGCATAGAGAGAAGAATAAACGCACACAATGTAGACATGAGAAGGAAAGAGAAAGATAACGAAAGAGGAGAAAGATAAGCTAGAAAAAAAAAAGATAGGGAGAGACAAGGAAGGGCACCAGCCGTCACAGTCGGGCGAAGCCAGATGGCTCGTGCACAAGTATAGCTTTGGGCGCACCTTCGCAAACCTGATTCAGGCCAGGTGCGTAGCCTTCCTGGCAGCTGCAGTCGAACCCGCCTATGGTGTTAGTGCAGCGGCCATTTCCACACACGCCGGGCTGTTGGGAGCACTCGTCCACATCTGCGGCGTGGAAGAGAACGTTGACGCAAGGGCAGCATCAGGATAGCAGATGACAAAAAGGCTGTACACAGACGCTGATGCTGTGATAGCTAACGCCGTCGTTCGAGGTACAACCTTGCGTGGTGTCACACTTGATTCAAAAAGACGAAACACCTAAGAAGAAACGCACACGCATAGAACTCCCTGTCTGTGTGTTTCTTTTTAAGTGTTTCGTCTTTTTGCGCAGGTAAATCTATCTTCATGGAAACACGCACCTTTGTACTGATGAGTTCGTGGTATTAATTTTATATTATTTTCCCTCGGCATCAAGATCTGTAAAACTAAAATGCAAAGTTCGCAGTATATCCACGGAGTGAATGATGATGATTTGGGCGAAGCGTCCGTGTGTCCGTGCGTCCGGACGGACGTACGGACTAACAGACGGGTAGATGGATGCGTGGATAGGCGGATGGACATACGGACTCACGGGTGTAAGCACGGACGGACGCAAGGACGGACGGAAGAAAGGAAGCACGGATGGACGGAAGCACAGACGGATGGACGGATTCGCCCCATTCATCTCAATTCACTCCGTGGATATGCTGTGAAAACCACTAACGCAATCTAGTTATATTATTTTCAAGAACATATACACACAATGCCATCTATTGAGCAACTCATAAACTAGAGGTGGCTACACACTACTACTACTACTACTACTACTACTACTACTACTACTACTACTACTACTACTACTACTACTACAGAGAAGGGAACGACCCACGGCCTAAGGAGCTTCGGCCCTAAAACAACGCAACGGAAATACCTCGGTCTCCAGAGGTATTTCCTCTGTCTACAGAGCTCCGTGAGCAAGAACCAATATCGAAGGCAGACGATTTTGTTCCTTTAAGCTTAGGTCATAAATGAAAGGGGCTATTGCATCAGCTGTTATTAATGAACGAAGGTAATTTTAAAGGGTATAGCAGCGCTGACTAACAAGTGCCAGTGTACCTAAATACTCGATAAAATGGCCGAAAAAACGACCGCTGCATCAGCTCATTTGGTAAGGACAACGAGAGCGTTATCCGAAGGTTGCAGGTTCGTTCCCTGTCAAAATCATGCTGTCCTTCCGTTCGTATATTGTAATTACTGCAATACATATAAAAAAGTACAAATTAACGTATCCCGTGCCTTGGCTTCGTTATTTGTTGGTTTCATTAACGATGTACAAGTTATAAACGCCACATCCAGAAAGAAATCAAAAATTCATCGACGCGTTACATCTCACTCTAAATTTTCACTTTAAATCCATCCACTGTGCTGAGAAGTTCGCGCTCGAGTTGTCTATGGGAACACGTGCTGGCGACGGCAGAACCACACAACAGGTGGCGTGCCTTGCGCAGAACAGTGGCTTACCCACACAGCTCTGTCGGCTCGGGTCCAGCTTGAATCCATGCTCGCACTCGCAGCGGTAGGAGCCGTCGGTGTTGATGCACTTGCCGTTGCTGCATATGCCCGGGTTCTTGACGCATTCGTCGATGTCTTCTCAGGCGAGGCAAACACGCAAAGTGAGACAAAAGAGAGAGAAATGTCATTCCTCGGCCATTTTTCCCGTCGCATTCCACCATGCAGTGCAACTTCTTCCTTTCTAACCTCGTCATCGTGTAGATTGCGTGAAGCAACACGCAGGCCTCAAAGGGATTGTGAACCACTTATTCAAGTTATCATCTAATGACCTCAGTGTATCTGTTTATTGCCTGACGGCAAAATTTACTTGAATCCATCAAGAACGATCGCTTTAACGGGGATAGGTCGCGCGCTTTAAGGGGCTTTGCAGCGATTTTTCAACTAGCCATGGAATCGATTCACTGAAGGAGCGTATTGCCTCACAAATTCACCACTGCGAACATTTTTTTATCCGTCTAGTACGTGCGGAGCTCCTTTGTCCCGACGAAAGTGCTGGAGGCTCAGCAGGGAGGTATGGCACGGGGAAAGGATATACGTCACATTCACTTCGTGACCTTGAGCACTTTTTTTTTCCCTTCAAATACGCCGCTTTTCCGTGCGATCGCGCCTGCACGCATGGACAAGTCGCGGCCTCTTGCGGCTGCCTCAGTAACAACTAAGCACGCCGCCATTGTCAAGTCAGCCAATGGCTGATACAATAGCTGTGACGAGTGATCTTTGAGCTTGTGGCGTCATTTGTGTGAGAGAAAGCAATTTTCAGCAGACTTTGTTAATTTATTGTGAATGTTAGGCCACGTGCTGCGCTTTGATATTTGGCTCGCGTGTTCTCGGGTGCCTCCACTACTGATTTGCAGCGTTTTCTCACCGTGCTCTGAAAGTGTTGCAATCCTCTTTAATGAGCTTAAGGATGACCCATTCAAGAAAGCTTTGCAGACACTACAGTGGTGCTTCGAACTAACCCAATTATCTAGTTCACTTATTAGCTACTTTGCTTCGGTACGTGTAAGTAAAATCAGAACGCCATAACTTACCCAACGTGCTGCCGTCGACTTGCACGAAGCCTGGCCCTAATGGACATAGTGCCCTGAAACTGCCTTGTTAGGCATCGAGAACACATCACATTAGTTTGCAGTCTTCTGTCGGTACTTTCTTCAAAGCGTTGTTTTTAGAGCACGCAGCATACAGCATGAGAGAGAGGGGTCAAAGATATGTTTCCGCGTGAATAATTTGCTCGTACGGATATATTCTGCAACCCTTCTGCAATGATTTGCTCACTGCTGAACGAACCAGCAGCATGTATATTGTGCGAAGATGCGCTCTAAGAAAAAGCAGCGGTGGCGAGCTCTCGCATATCGCTTTCTGTTTGGACATTCGCAATATTCGTCTTCGATTGGTGGCAAAGAGAGTGAAGGCGTTCTCTTGGGGAGAATCGTTACGTTATAGTCGGAGTCCTAACTGGGAAAGCACATGGCGTTTGAACTCGTTTGTTTTCACGTAGTGGGTGAGGGTGTCAAAACTCGCCTTACTCAAAAAGAATCGGGCGATTTCATACACCAACGATTCAGAGGCACACATCTTTAACGGTGGAATGAACTTTCTGAAATTTGTCCACTTATTTGAAGTGCAAGTTCTTTAGTACATATTTATAATTTTCGAAAGCTTCAGAAGTGTGTGAGGAACAAAATTGTGTAGAATTTTACGCTTAGCCGGCTTTTGCCGGATAAACACAGATTGATTATGATAAAAGATGTCCAATGATGAATAGTTACGCAAACATTACAAATAAGCAACGCAAGTCACAGACGTATATGGTTCTGCTATACAGCTTCTCATAAGTCTACATATTTTGGTTCTACATTGACGTTTTTTTTTTTTTGCGCATCAAGCCATATAGATCCGGATCGTGTCGCGTTCATCGTAACTGTAAGGAGGCAAGTCAACAAATTCTCTACGGCAAGATTAAAAATAAAATATTGCCAGACAATTTGTGAGATTCACGGGCGAGCTTTCCGTGTAGCATGACGATAGTTATAGCGCGAGAACAAAACGACGACACAGAGACAAGAAGGACACGAAAGAAACGAAAGTCTCTGTGTCATCGTTTTCTTCTCGCGCTATAACTATCGTCATGCCATACCAACTAGCTCATCCAAGTTTCCGTGTAGCGTTGGGTAAGCGACGTTAACCAGGAAAGAGGGGGAGGGGAAATCTCGTGGTCCTGTGACGTCATCACTCACTCTCTGAAGACGTCGGACAACGTGTGCAGTGCGAGTCGTCACCCCAGGCGGCCGATCCGTCCATACAGCAGCACTCCTGGTGGGTCATGTTGCCCAGGCGTGGCTCCGAGCAACGCTGACCGTGGTACCGCAGGTAGCAGTGCTTCTGGCGCAAGTCTGATCAAGACACGTAAGAGACATACTTTGTCAGAAGGCGAAGCATGCTTTATCGTAAAGTCCCGGTCACTAAGGCACGGTACACGCAGGAGCTGATGTTTATTTCAGGCAAAAGAAAAGTGCAGTTCTCTATAGCGGACAAGGTGCCTACCCTATTGAAACACAAGAATCTCACCAAAATGAACACAACGCTTATTTTTAAGTTAAAAAAATAAGCACGATTGATAATTATTACGCGCAAGTCACTTGTGTATTAAAACACCAAACAGGTGAGAGCATTAGCTCAGGCAGGGGTATCAAAAGTTAATATGTAACAAGTGACATGAGTCACTCATGACATATACGAAAGTGCTGCTAGAAAAGAGGAAGAGCAGCTATCTTTCGAGGAACTTTATGTTCGGCTAATTTTCTTGTGTGACACTATGCGTATGCAGTGAGATTGCTGAAAATCACTTTTTTATGTCCTTGCGATACCTATTTGTGTCATAACTAACCCGTCTGCATTACGTCCGGAGTGGTTTCAAAAAGAAGAAGTGAAGGAAAAAAATACACCGCCTCACGCCAAAGGAAAGCATGTGTAGATGCGAAGCAGCGGGCGCCAGCAGCGCTGGCGGCGGCGCGAGAGAGAAACCTGGGAAGGCGCAAAGCATGCAGTCGTCGACCGGTGTTTCTTACTGGAACATGTCAATTGCTGCTGATGGGCACTCAGAGACAGAAGACTCTGACTGGACACAGAGACCTGCAGTCCGCTTTTAGTTAAAACACTTACGCTGCGAATTTTTATTGTTAAAAAACGCAGAGGAAAAATCGCCCACCGGGACTACCTTGGAAGTCCAGTGCCTATGGACTGGCCACGAGATAGCCAGTGAACGAGTTTGTAGCGTGAGCTATCGGCGTTTACTTAGATAGCATTTATATGCACACTGTCGGCCGATTTCTGCCGTCGCTGGTTCGAACCCAGCAGGGATTTGAACCGGCGGCACCTCGCTCCCCAGCGTGCTGCATTAACCAACTAAACCACGCCACTCATACTGTGCATTTTAATAACGGCGAGCTATGTATATACATACACGATTACCACTGGCTTACTTTCAACGGACTCGAAAGAAACATTCCTGAAGCATGTACTTTGTTTGGGCAAGTAATACATGCTTTCCCTAAACATTGACGGGCCCTATGGTTTGATCAATTGAGGAGAGAGTGAAGCACATGCACTCGAATGAAAGAGGCGTTCCAAAACGTCTCTGACTCCACCTTCACTCTGAAGCAACAGGAAAAAAAAATCGCAACATATCCACGGAGTGAATGATGATGAGTGGGGCGAAGCGTCCATCAGCCCGTCCGTGCTTCCGTCCGTTCGTTGGTTCTTGCTTCCGTCCGTCCGCGCTACCATCCGTGCGTTCATCCATGCGTCCGGCCGTCTGTCCGTGCGTATGTCCGCGAGTCCGTCCATCTGCCTGTCCGTCCGTTCGTGCGTCCATCCGTCCGTCTGCATTATAGTCTGTCTGTCCGAGCGTCCATCTAGTGAACACTCCAAGTACCGCCATCTCGCATCCCCTGTGGCACATACCTGCTCCGCGCGTCCGTCCATCCGTTCGTCCGTCTGCTAGTATGTCTGTCCATCCGTCCATGCGCTCGTCTGTGCGTCCATCTAGTCAACATTCTAAGTACCGCCATCTCCCATCTTGCATCCCATGTGGCACATTCCCGCTCTAGAGCGGGTATCAGCCACTGGTGGCTACATACACCAACGGACGATGGACAGACCCACACCCTAAGGAGCTTCGTCCCTAAAATTAATCGCATCGAGTCTAGTCCTATTCGGGAAGTTGTTGGTCCTGTCGTGCCGACGAATTTGGATCCTATCGAAATGCGCACTGCCACATTCACTTTAGACAGGCAAACTCGACTCGCTGCCCCAGACAATTTTCGGTGACGCTTGCGCCGTTGAGACATCGCACGACTTCGTCGTTGCAACAGTATACATCTGACTAGGAACCTTGCGGATTGACGTCATGACCTTCTTGCTGCAAAACTTCCGTGCGTAGTGTTCATAGGGTGTGCCGGGTATAGTCACTGGAGACTACGGCGTTAATGTACTTCGACGTCAAAACCAGTGGCTTGTCGCGTTTCTCGATGCCAAACTTTGACTTCGTCTGCTGTTGGGTGTCACGCAGTCAACTATTCGCAACAACACCTGTTTAGATATTGTGGTTACTGTATCACAGTCAATTCGAGCACAATCGACCATGTTCGCTGCATATCGTATGGTTCCTAACTCTTCTACCCTTACTTCTTATAACAGCCCGACCTGTTACTATTGCGTTAATTGATTCAGCCTTACGCCGAAACTGTGACTTTTTCCCTCAAGAAACTCGCTAGGCAGATGCTCCTTGCGTTGGCGTTGCGAGGCGAAAGGGGGGTATCGTAAGAGAGGAGAGAAAGGGGAAGAAGACGCGCACGCGTAATAAAGGTGGTCACGCCGCACACCGGATTAAGCTTGACCCTAAGCTGCTTCGAATACAAAAAGCGCCGTGCCGTAACTGTCTCTCTCAGGGGAGGCCATCTCAACAACACGACGCAGAGGATGAGATGGTGGGAATGAAAGGGGGAAAAGTAAGGCATGTCCCATCGTATGAGTGCTGCCGTGGTCTCTGATTCGAAATGCTTGAAGACGTTTATTTGGTGCCGTGAAAAGGAAATGCGGTTTCGCTACCTTCCTCGTCAGTTCTGTCAAGAGTTCAAGTGAAACTCGCGCCTGGGATATTATGGTATCGTTAACAAGTCTGGTGTTGCACAACGCTCATTTAAGTTTTGCCAATCAATATTCTCATCATGCCCCTTGCGCGTTTCGAAGACGGGACACGGTCGAAGCGGGTGGCCCCGCCACGGTGGTTTAGTGGCTAAGATGCTGACCCGCAGGTCGCGGGATCGAATCCCGGCTGCGGTGGCTGCATTTTCGATGGAGGCGAAAATGCTGTGGGCCCGTGTGCTCAGATTAGGGTGCGCGTTAAAGAACCCCAGGTGGTCGAAATTTCCGGAGCACTCCACTACGGCGTCTCTCATAATCATATGGCGGTTTTGGGACGTTAAACCCCAAAAATAAATCAATCAATCATCCCCTGAACTTACAAGTGCACTGAAGCGTAAAGATCGCTCGCACAAGAAGGTTAAGTGTTTTCCATTTAGCAAGTGGAAGGAAGAGTTCAGCTCTTTCCGAGCTCTATTCAAATGCCTATATAAACAGGACCACACTTCATATATTGCATCATTAGAAAATGATAGTTCTGACAGGCCAGCTGAGTTTTGGAAGTATGAACGCAAACTGTCTAGCAAAAATGGGAAGTCCTTCAGGCTACTGGACTCAGGCGGTGTGGAAGTGCATGCTATTTCTGACAGTTTCGCCACCCATTTTTCATCCGTTTGTAAGACCTCATCCGTTTGTAAGACCTCAGGTTTTGGAATGTCAAACCACACATTACCAATCAATCGATCGACGAAGCGGGTGGATTTGCGCAAGCGCCAGATAAGTTTATCTTACTCGGGTCACGGGATTCACGAGGAAGCCACGAGGAGCTCTGTTATGCGCCCCTGTATGCTTACCGATGCAGCTCTTGCCGTCTGTGGACAGCCGGAATCCCGGCGGGCATGTGCAGATGAAGCTGCCGCGTGTGTTCGCGCACACTCCGCCCAGGCACAACTGCGGCACGGACAGGCACTCGTCCACGTCTGCGGGGAATCAGCGAGCGGCACGATACGTTATTACTGAGGGGTGGCAACGGAATACGACAGATATAGCGAAGTTTTCAAGGCATTCCTGTTGTCTTACTGGACCCGCGTCAAAAAATTACTTTATGGTCACTTGTTATATGTGTGTTCTATTCAGTACGTTTTTCTACTTATTATGATTATTTGATATTTATGCTCTACATATCATATGTCTGTCCTGAATTACTACGATGCGGTAACTGTTACGTTGCCTACACGTGTTTATTCATCTACCTAATGACTGGAGACATTATTAGGTACATTATGAATTGTTAACAGACATTTTAGTTCGTAATCCTAACGGGAAGAACCGCTAGTTGGTTGTCCTGCTATGCGGTTGTCCTTGTCTCTTTTTTTTGGTGACCTTGCGCGTGTTCGCTAGTAATATGTAAGCATTCAATCAATACCAACTAGCCCAGTTAAATACTTTAACATTATAGTACGCTGTTTGTGCATAATCTGAAGCAGTGATTTCTGACTGCTTGTTACTGATGGAATAAAAAAGCTTCATTCTAGGATTACGTCTACCGTCTTTTACAGTGTTGCCACTTGAGTTTTCAGCTTCTCTCGAGAGCCCTCAGAACGCCCATATTTTTTCAAAACAAATCAAGCTGCAATACTCTGAATACACAAGCGAAGCTGACAAACAATATTTTTTCTGAGAATCTGTCGTCCCAATTAGAGGAAATGCCTGGACCTATCATTCTATTTAGATAATGTATTGAGAATGTTCACAAGGAAATGTAAGCAGCATTCGCACCAACGCAGTGTCGACCGTTGGGCGACAGCTCGAATCCCTTCGGACAGGTGCACTCGAAGGAGCCCTCGGAGTTTCGACAGGTGCCCTCCTGGCACATGTCGTGGTCGCACTCGTCGATGTCTGCAACAGAAAATGTGGTAGGGAGCGAAAGAAAGAAAGAAAGAAAAAGAGAGAGAGAGAAAAAGAGAAAGAAAGAAAAAAGGAAACAGAAAGAAGGAAGGAAAGAATGAAAGAAAGGAAGAAAGAAAAGAATGTTAAGCAAACAGTGGGGCCCGGGGTAAGTCTTCGGGGGCCTTGTCTTATTGAGCTGTCAATTAAGCATTCTCTGCGCGTCCGCTCACCAACGCATCTTCTGCCGTCCTCGCTGAGCTCGTATCCCTTCTGGCACTCGCACTGGAAGCTGCCGATGGTGTTCCGGCAACGACCGTTGTGGCAGATGCGGTACTGAGTGCGGCACTCGTCCACGTCTGCAATACGCGCAAGGCAAAAACCAAACCAGACGGGGAGCATTCTTGTTGCCCCTCACGACCCGTAACTTTAAGCTCTCACGACAAGAACACTGAATATGAAGAGCGATGCAACTGCGACAACAACAACCACAAGCAGTTGAAGAGCCACGGAATATTTGCTCTTAAGTTATCAGATGACGCGTAATCTTTCGTAGTTATCGACTTGTCGACGATTGTTGACTGACCACTGTGTTCTACGTAGATTCAAGGACGTCAGCATCTGTCGGCACGGAAGCCCTGATTGCATGGCTATGTTAGCGCAATGCAATCCTTTATTCACAAGAGCCCGTATTCACAAGCCCAGTATTCATAAAGCGTCGCACACCAAACATTTTCATAAGAGAATATTTGAGCCAATCACAATGCGGGACGCGTCATCAGCAAAGCTAGCTGACCAATCTAAAAAACGCTTACGAAAAAGAAGTTTTGGAATTCCGCCCCCTCATTCGGAGTGTTTTTCTGTGAATGCAAGTGCAACCGGGAATGACAGCGCCGTGAGCATGCACATTCACAAGATGATAAACAAATATAGAAGCGCGATACGCATTGCCCTTGTGTACCTTTCGTTGCCATCTACTGTCTGCTAGCGCATTCTGAGCGTCACAAGTTAGCGGGAAGGTTATTCATAATACCTACTGAATGCAATCGGCTCTTGTAACTCTGTGTACACATAGATGCATGATCGCTTGATTTCGATGTGTAACCATTGCCGAACGTGAGATATGGCGACAGCTATCGGCTGGCGCTCGCGTACTTACCTACACAGTCGTTGTTAGGGGATAGCTGGAAGCCAGGATTGCAGATGCAGTGGTAGGAACCCGGCTCGTTTTCGCAGATTCCGTTGGCGCAGATTCCGGGACCCCTGGTGCATTCGTCGTAATCTGCGACGCAAGGCTGCTGCGGCATCTCAGTCGCATCCAAAATGCACTGTGGCGTCACACTCAACGCTTCGACGTCATTTTCACGTTTGCTTGTGGTCAATTCATGATGTGTGTGTGTGTGTGTGTGTGTGTGTGTGTGTGTGTGTGTGTGTGTGTGTGTGTGTGTGTGCGTGCGTGTGTGTGTGTGTGCGCGCGTGCGTGTGTGTGTGTGTGTGTGATAATTCCTATTGATAATTCCATATTGAGAGAGATAATTCCGTATTGAAACTTAGCCAGCATATGGACATTGCTGACTTGCTACTGTGCACGGGGAAGCGGATTGGTCATTGAAAGCAGAGATAGGGAGAAAGAGAGAGAAAGAAAAAACAGACAAGATCTTAAGATGAAAGATAGAATGAAAAACAAAGAAAAAAACAGCCGTATTTTTTTTACCATTGGATGAGGACGTGCGTTAACAGTTTCTTCGTGGTTTCAAGGTACAGCTAGAGCTTGTCGAGCAGACTGATACTGTCCAAATACGTGAGTAAAAGTTCCATAGCACGCCTGTGTAGCGCGGGGCAAGCTAAAGGTCCCAATACACAGTCAAGGGAAAAAGTTCTTTCGGTTAACGAATTCATGGACTGTTCATATAGCGCACGCTCATCAGCGTACGCTTTACACTCTAAAAAGGTGAGTTCCATAGTTTAAATGGAGCCACAGTTGTTGCTGTACGGACTCACTGCCTGACCGAAGCGGTGGCGTATGCTGTTTCCATAGGCAGTGTTTAGACGATGACGATGGTATAGCGTTTACGGATGTCGCATGTTGTTAAGCACGTACCAGCGCAATATCGCAGAAATTCTGAATTTTCGAGAGACCGAAATAAAAGCGCCCATTAAAACGTATCTGTCTAGGGCAATCGAATTTCGACAACCAGAATGCTGTCAATTTCTAGTCAAGCGTTACACATGTGAAATGAAAGCGATCCTATGACCTTTGCCCACGGTTCATGATGGAGACTGCTTGTAGCTGTTATTTCCGCTGAAGTAAAACTTACAGTAGGATAGCCAGACATTTCTTTTTTCGGGGGGTTGGAGGGTTCAGCCATACTTTATATAGTTTCGTTCGTGCGTGTGTTTGTATGTTCGCGTGTACATACTCACATAGAAAACTGAACAAATTTTAGGGGGGGGGGGGATGAACCCATCTGCACTCCCTCCCCTTCATAGGCTTTAAGGGGGTGGGTAACACTTACTTATGGCCCCCTGCCAACGCCTCTGTATACTGAACAGAGTGTTGAGTGACTTGTTGCTGTCGCTGCACTGGTGGTTTTGCCTATCTAAATAGCGACAGCAAACGCTGTATAGTAAAATGGTGACGAGATTTAGGTATATAGGAGCAAATGCAAGATTATCACTTCAAGGAAACAACGTTAAACACCTCGGTATAGGTTGGCGACTCGAGTTATGAATATTTTCACTTACCTATGCAGGTTTCCCCAGATGGCGTTGCGTAGTAGCCGGGGTTGCAAGTGCACTGGAAGCTCCCGTCCAAGTTCACACACACCCCGTTCTGGCAGATTCCCGGCTTTTCAAAGCACTCGTTCACATCTATAGAAACGAACAATTTTTATCGCGATAGCTATTAATTGCGGCGACGGGTTCTCGCCGTCGCCGTCATGTCCCGGAAAAGTTCAGACTTATAACATTCCCTCGGGCGTCGTACGTTCTACCCGCGGGTAATAGCGCGCGAGCAGTGGCGACGATCGCGGCTTGAGCACATATCAAACAAGGCGGCCCTGCTCCGTCGCTCGGAGTTTATTCAGCGGCCGTGCTCGAAGGCTGCTTGTGATAACATCGCCCTACTTGGTAGGCCTGCTGTCGATGCAGAAAAGAGACACCTCGCCCGTCTTTAATGAATATGAAAAGACGTGGGGGAGGGGGGAGTATCACTGAAGGAGCAACTGTGAACTTAAACTCGCGGTGAATACCGTTTAAAAACACACTGAGTATACGACTAAAAGCAAATGAAAGCAAGACGTTTCGGCCGCCGTATGGAGGCCGAAACGTCGTGATTTTGTTTGCTTTTAATTGTGGTCAGTGTTTAGTTTTGTTTTCATGTCTGTTCCTGACCAGACGTGGTTTCGGTCCAACTATCAATTTCATTAACTCGTGGTTTCCGTCGCTGGGGCGCATGCTATTTTCCTATCTCCGCAGCCATCAGCGGGTTATTGCAGGATCACCAGGGGTGATAGAATAAAGGCAGGGTCATTTGCTAGACAGAGCCCAGGCAGTTCTAACCTTCAAGGTAAATGAATTTACATCTTATTTAACTGACTTGTACCCGTTTATCTAATCTACCAAATATTCCAACTTTTTTTCGCACTGCAAGTGCATGGTAGCCAGCCTGGTTTATTCTTGGTTAACGTCATCGCCTTCACGTCTTCGTCGTGTTTCCTTACACGCTTTAATTTGCCACTGAGATTACGCTTTGGGCTGATTTGGGACCTCTTCAAATGAATTAGGGACGCAGTGCTGTGTTCGTTTGGCTTGGTTGTTGAACACTGAGTGGCGGTGATCGACAGCGTTTGACATCATTTTGTGGAAGATAGCGACAGATTGGCCCCAAGCTGGTCGGTGCATATTGCGGTCATGGTGTAGTTGAACTAGCAACTTTAATAATAATAATAATAATAATAATAATAATAATAATAATAATAATAATAATAATAATAATAATAATAATAATAATAATAATAATAATAATAATAATAATAATAATAATAATAATATTAATAATAATAATAATAATCTCGGCTATTATATGTCCCGATTCACATTAAGGTTATGGGAAACGTCCTAGTGGTGGGCTCCTGAACTGAAGTTTCGACCATCTGGTATTCCTTAACGTGCACTACTAACATCGCACGGAAAACGGGCGCCAGGCATTTCGCCTCCCTGTAAATGCAACCGCCGTGTCCGGGATCGAACCCGTGACCATTGGGTAGGCAGCCGAGCACCATAACGCCTGCTCTATCCGCGGAAGGCAAAAAAAAAAGCAGAGATTCGGCAAACGATTAATAATGGCGTGAAGTTTAGGGAAAGGACATCACGTAAGAAAACGCACGAAATAGATGGAGTGCCTGTTTTGCATGTGATCCGTTCATCATCATCATCATCATCATCATCATCATCATCATTATTATTATTATTATTATTATTATTATTATTATTATTATTATTATTATTATTATTATTATTATTATTATTATTATTATTATTATTATTATTAAAGTCACCTTTCCTGGTGTTTTCTTTTTTTTCTACTTTCGAGCACCTAACAAGCGCTTCAAGATATGCACAAACTATGCCCTTGAAATCGTTGAGAAACTTGGCAATACCCTCTGTTTCGGTATAGTACACAGGCGAGGGTGCACCCACCTTCGCAGTCTCGGCGGTTCGCCGAAAGCCTGTATCCGTCGGGGCATCGGCACTCGTAGCTTCCCTCTTTGTTGACGCAGGTGGCTACGCCGGTGCACAGTCCGGGTCGCGTTTGGCATTCGTTCAGGTCTGCGTCGACGAGAAACGAAAACATCCGTATGATCTCACGTGGTGAGGCTTGCAGCCTGAATACAGCGATGACTTTTTAGATGCGAAGCATTTTTTAGTGAACTTCGGCGACTTTGAGCGCATCTATCTATCTATCTATCTATCTATCTATCTATCTATCTATCTATCTATCTATCTATCTATCTATCTATCTATCTATCTATCTATCTATCTATCTATCTATCTATCTATCTATCTATCTATCTATCTATCTATCTATCTATCTATCTATCTATCTATCTATCTATCTATCTATCTATCTATCTATCTATCTATCTATCTATCTATCTATCTATCTATCTATCTATCTATCTATCTATCTATCTATCTATCTGTTTATGTAGCCACCTATGACTTTTTTGCTCTCCTGTGATGTTATACGCGAATAATGTAGAACTTGCTACAACGAGTTTGTACTCTGAAACAGTTCAAACACAAAGCAGGGTGTGGATACACATGAACTGCAACAGCGTTTGTATCTTCAATACGTTGATCTTCACATCTTCGTTGATGCAAGCACGAGCGCAATAGTCGCTCGTGCTTATTGTCAGTGTTGAAAAGTACTATGTATATATACGTATATCGTCGCGTGCGCTTATTTCTCAATGATTGGTGTGATCGCGTATGTCCCGTAAAAACGGCGATCACCGCTTGCCGTAGGTCGGGCCACAATATTTAGTAACTTCGCGATTGTTTCGCATCGTTCTCTTAAGATTGCGCGCAGAACATCCACGGGTCGCCCTATTTTATTGTGTAGAGAATCAGCGATAACGCTGGGAGTCCACATAAGGAATGTGTGAAAACCGACGCATTTCGCAGACGAGCACAATGTGGACGGTCTACGTCTGCGATCGCCGCTATCAGTGCACAGCGTGTATTGCTTGTGCTTTTAGTTTTTTCATTTTCTGAGCACGATTTCGCCAAATCAAGTGTTTCGTCCTGAACGTATACCTACTGCTCGGCGCATTTCTTCGCGTCACGGCCACATGAAAATATGTAAAGCGAAACAGGACAATGATCTTGTGTGCGTTTAGTCAACGCCTCCTCTAGAAAGATGCCTGAGGAATGGCTCGCGCTCCCAGCGGAGTTGGCCTGCCTTCAGTTTTAAACAAGCTCCGCGCGGTGGCGCTCGCGACCGACACTATTATCACGGCGACGGGCGGTACCAGCTCAGCGTTCTTCATCTGCGGCCCATAGGGGCGCGCCAGTCGAGAGTTATTCGAGACTTGCAACTGTGCACCACTATTTCGGAGGCAACGCAAAGTGTTGCGTTGTTGCACCGTCCGCCACAGGTGACGCTAGCGATCGAGAACAATTTCAAAATGAAAGAGAGAAAGGGTGTGACAGCTGTTTTTTTTTTCTCTCATGCGGCAGGCATCTTCCTAGAGGAGGCGTTGGTTTAATAATGAGAATATCTTCTTTTTTATGTTCGCATCACTGCTTTATGGTTATCTATTCAAAAGCGCATGTTTAGTGGAAAGTGGCACTGTCATAGCCCCGTGGGACGTGTTTTGTTTTTTTCATTTATCTATACGGGTGAGCATGTGCTACCCCCGGTACGCCTAGAGACAGGGCAGTGCTGAATGCTTGTTCCCAACCTTACTAATATCCCACGCAGGCGTGGGTGGGTGCAGTTCCCACACGCGCCGCTTTGCGATTACCCTGCGATTGATTTGCGTAAACAATATGATGTGATAAACTGTGGCAAGTCGGACATGCTCTTACAATAACGATCTTGTATTGCTGAGGTTCGACGACGAGTCCTCCAAAGGCGCGAGATCGCGTTGAATAGCATTAGAAGCTTTAAATTGTATGCGTTAGAGCGTGATTTGAATGATTGACATGTGGGGGGTTTAACGTTCCCAAAATCACCATATGATTATGAGAGACGCCTCAGTGGAGGGCTCCGGAAATTTGGACCACCTGGGGTTCTTTAACGTGCAGCCAAATATGGGCACACGGGCCTACAACATTTCCACCTCCATCGGAAATGCAGCCGCCGCAGCCGGGATTCGATCCCGCGACCTGCGGGTCAGCAGCCGAGTGCCTTAGCCACTAGACCAGCGCGGCGGGGCTGTTAGACCGTGATGGTGAATCATTTACGCGGAAGATGTGTGCATGAGTATATATGTGTGTCATAGGAGAATTTCTGGGCCAGTTGGTTCGTAAGCTTAACTGCAGAGCGCAAACTCGATACAGCGAATAGAATCCCGTGCACAGCACAAAACAAGCGCTACAAACAAGCGTTGGACAAGCACAGGACGAGCACTATTGTGCTCGTCCTGTGCTGTGTGCGTTTTTCTATGTTGTGTAGCGGATTCGCGCTTTGCAGTTTAGCTTGTAGCGCCTCAGCCTGCGGCACCCGTCAAGCAAGAAGTTGGCATTCGGTCGCGCGGTGGGTGCAGTGTGACAATAATACAAAGTCGATTCGAAACTCGACGTTGTCGGGACTGGATCTTTCTCGTGTTAGCTGAACTTAGCTCCGACAGTTAAGCCGATGTGAGGATGCAAGGGCGCCCCGACGTAATGGTCATGCGTTTCCCTCGCAAATGCGGCTTAATCGCTGCCAGTATTTGTCTCACCTTCGCAAGTGTGGAGGTGCTCGTTGTATCTGTACCCTTCGTGGCAGCTGCAATTGAAGCTACCCACGGTGTTGATGCAGTCCCCGTTCTGGCAGACCATGCCTTGGCACTCGTCCACGTCTGTGCGAAGTTGAGAAGCGAGGCAGGCATACAAGCCCGCGTTAGTCTTCAGTAAGCTCACAACTGCGTTGGGAGCTTTGCACTTCTCCGAAAAAAAAAAAAAAAAGACACAAGAAGCATCTGACTTACCGTCTACTTCCTGCGTGAACGGGTTTATCATCGTGCCGGTGGTGGCGACGTGGCACAACTTCATGTATTGCGCTGCGTAAGCAGAGGCGAGAAAGTCGTCGTCAAAAGTTGATTGCAAGGATGTTCGGTAAAAAATGTGACGTTAGAAGCAGCAAGGATACATTTTAGACCTGTTTTATTACAGGGGATTGATTGATTGATTGATTGATTGATTGATTGATTGATTGATTGATATGTAGGGTTTAATGTCCCAAAAACTCTATATGATTATGAGAGACGCCGTAGTGGAGATGATGATGGATGGTAGCGCAGACAACGAACACGGACAAGAGTAGGCACATAGACACAACACAGCGCTAACTTTCAACAACAGTTTATTACACGCAGATCTCCGTGGTGTATGCGATCCACCACGCCAACGTCGCACGTGCGTAGCTCTAAAAACCATCAAATATAACCAACGCGCGTGTTCCAATACTTTACAATTTTATATTTTCAATCTTTTTCTACTTTTCTTTCTTCCTTTTATCCCATGTTACCACAAACCCTATCGCGAATACATGTAATCAAGTTCCTTATCTGTCACACCACTGATGGGCTGCTCACACACGTGTCACCTAGCTCTGCAATTCTGCCGGCCTCCAATACCAACCGCGTCATCTCGTGCCTACTTTCTATTGATTATAACCGTTTCCTTGAATTTCGGTGTGCAATTACATCTCTGGCAATGAAGGGAAAGAAAACCATCAGGAACAACACTATTTACTTTGTTATTGTGCTCGCGCAAGCGATCGTTTATGCATCTACTGGTCTGACCGATATAACACTTTCCACAAGTAAGTGGAATGAGGTATACAACACACATGATGCACTCCACAAATAGGTTTCTATGTTTCTTTTGGCATACATTTGATTTTCCCTTGTCTGGTCTTGTGCTTCTGCAAAGACTCACCAACTTATTGGGTGCCGAGAAAACTACGTTAGTGCCACATTTTTCCGCAATCTTTTTATACTGTGAGAAACCTTATGCATGTACGGAATTACGGCAAAACTTTCCTTTCTTGAGCTCCCCTATCCATCCCTTCACATCTTTTCTCCAGCACTTTCTGTGGCAATCCTTCAGCAACGGACAACGACGAGGCTCTTGGGGTACCCGGCATTGCTTAGCCTCGAGACCTGTTGTCTGAAGCTTTCATTCATGAGGCACCGGCAGGACTTTCTTAGTGCCTCACTCAGCACATCTTCGCAATGCCTCGTTTTACCAGTTTAGTATGCGCTGAGTGAAACTGTAGAATAAAGGCGTACTTGCTCTGGCTCGTACACCAGCATGTACTTTTCTCTGAGAATTGAAAGTTAATGTCAGAAATCTGAGCCTTCCGTCACTGGCATTTCAAAAGTCACTTCAAGTGGGTTAAGCTCCTCACGAAAAACGCTACAAAACGCTACTACATTGAGTAGCACAATCTGCAGTTCTGTCATTGATAACACTAAAAAGTCATCGACGTACCTAATACGTGCACAACATTGTATTCATTTAGGGCGTCCGGATAGCCTCCTGTCCATTTCAGAATTCAGCCAAAAACAAATTACTTAAAACTGGTGCTAAGCACGAGCCAATGCATACTCCTTGTTTTTGCAGATACAGGGTACCATTGTTTTCAATAAACGTTGACGACAAGTAAAACCTAAGTAATTCTAAGAAATTGTCGACGGACGTACCTGCTTGTGAGCTAAATCTAACGGCACCGTACTCATCGATGCATTCGCCAACACTTGTTAATACTGCTGATTGTGGCAGAGAATAGTACAGATCTTTGATGTCAGCCGAAAACGCTTTTAACCCTATGTTTTTTCGTTCCCTGACGAAACTTATCACCTGTTCCGAATTTTTTGTCAGGAAGGGGTCATTTATGTCAAGCAAGTTTAATGTTCTTTGCAGATACACAGCTACAGCTTTTTGCCACGTGTCCTTCTCCGACACTATCACTCTGAACGGTACTCCTTCCTTATGCGTTTTAGCACTAAAGAACACATCCAGACTGTCATTTTTACTTTTTCTGATACCGCTAAGCACACCTTCTAGATTCATCCTCTTACAAAGTTCTATTGCTTTTCCCCTCACTTTTTCAATCGAAATACTTTTCTTTTCGTGGCAGCTGCAATTGAAGCTACCCACGGTGTTGATGCAGTCCCCGTTCTGGCAGACCATGCCTTGGCACTCGTCCACGTCTGTGCGAAGTTGAGAAGCGAGGCAGGCATACAAGCCCGCGTTAGTCTTCAGTAAGCTCACAACTGCGTTGGGAGCTTTGCACTTCTCCGAAAAAAAAAAAAAAAGACACAAGAAGCATCTGACTTACCGTCTACTTCCTGCGTGAACGGGTTTATCATCGTGCCGGTGGTGGCGACGTGGCACAACTTCATGTATTGCGCTGCGTAAGCAGAGGCGAGAAAGTCGTCGTCAAAAGTTGATTGCAAGGATGTTCGGTAAAAAATGTGATGTTAGAAGCAACAAGGATATATTTTAGACCTGTTTTATTGCAGGGGATTGATTGATTGATTGATTGATTGATTGATTGATTGATTGATTGATATGTAGGGTTAATGTCCAAAAACTCTATATGATTATGAGAGACGCCGTAGTGGAGATGGATGATGGATGGTAGCGCAGACAACGAACACGGACAAGAGTAGGCACATAGACACAACACAGCGCTAACTTTCAACAACAGTTTATTACACGCAGATCTCCGTGGTGTATGGCGATCCACACGCCAACGTCCGCAACGTGCGTAGCTCTAAAAACCATCAAAATATACCCAACGCGCGTGTTCCAATACTTTACAATTTATATTTTTCAATCTTTTTCTACTTTTTCTTTCTTCCTTTTATCCCATGTTACCACAAACCCTATCGCGAATACATGTAATCAAGTTCCTTATCTGTCAACACCACTGATGGGCTGCTCACACACGTGTCACCTAGCTCTGCAATTCTGCCGGCCTCAATACCAACCGCGTCATCTCGTGCTACTATCTATTGATTATAACCGTTTCCTGAATTTCGGTGTGCAATTACATCTCTGGCAATGAAGGGAAAGAAAACCATCAGGAACAACACTATTTACTTTGTTATTGTGCTCGCGCAAGCGATCGTTTATGCATCTACTGGTTCTGACCGATATAACACTTTCCACAAGTAAGTGGAATGAGGTATACAACACACATGATGCACTCCACAAATAGGTTTCTATGTTTCTTTTGGCATACATTTGATTTTCCCTTGTCTGGTCTTGTGCTTCTGCAAAGACTCACCAACTTATTGGGTGCCGAGAAAACTACGTTAGTGCCACATTTTTCCGCAATCTTTTTTATCCTGTGAGAAACCTTATGCATGTACGGAATTACGGCAAAACTTTCCTTTCTTGAGCTCACCCTATCCATCCCTTCACATCTTTTCTCCAGCACTTTTCTGTGCAATCCTTCAGCAACGGACACGACGAGGCTCTTGGGGTACCCGGCATTGCTTAGCCTCGAGACCTGTTGTCTGAAGCTTTCATTCATGAGGCACCGGCAGGACTTCTTTAGTGCCTCACTCAAGCACATCTTCGCAATGCCTCGTTTTACCAGTTTAGTATGCGCTGAGTGAAACTGTAGTAAAGGCTTACTTGCTCTGGGCTCGTAACACCAGCATGTCTTTTCATCTGAGAATTGAAAGTTAATGTCAAGAAATCTGAGCCTTCCGTCACATGGCATTTCAAAAGTCACTTCAAGTGGGTTAAGCTCCTCACGAAAAACGCTACAAACGCTACTACATTGAGTAGCAAAATCTGCAGTTCTGTCATTGATAAACACTAAAAAGTCATCGACGTACCTAAATACGTGCACAACATTGTATTCATTTAGGCGTCCTGATAGCCTCCTGTCCATTTCAGCCAAAAACAAATTACTTAAAACTGGTGCTAAGCACGAGCCAATGCATACTCCTTGTTTTTGCAGATACAGGGTACCATTGTTTTCAATAAACGTTGACGACAAGTAAAACCTAAGTAATTCTAAGAAATTGTCGACGGACGTACCTGCTTGTGAGCTAAATCTAACGGCACCGTACTCATCGATGCATTCGCCAACACTTGTTAATACTGCTGATTGTGGCAGAGAATAGTACAGATCTTTGATGTCAGCCGAAAACGCTTTTAACCCTATGTTTTTTCGTTCCCTGACGAAACTTATCACCTGTTCCGAATTTTTTGTCAGGAAGGGGTCATTTATGTCAAGCAAGTTTAATGTTCTTTGCAGATACACAGCTACAGCTTTTTGCCACGTGTCCTTCTCCGACACTATCACTCTGAACGGTACTCCTTCCTTATGCGTTTTAGCACTAAAGAACACATCCAGACTGTCATTTTTACTTTTTCTGATACCGCTAAGCACACCTTCTAGATTCATCCTCTTACAAAGTTCTATTGCTTTTCCCCTCACTTTTTCAATCGAAATACTTTTCTTTTCGCTGAACACTGCCGTAATAGCACTTTTAGCCTTTTCTTTAAATTCATCATGCGAGAAAACCGCAAACCCTCCTTCTTTATCGACTGGAAGTACACTCAGAGCATGCTGTGTCAAGTAAGTTTCCACGCGTTTGAGAGGCAAACTGCGGCATGGAGGCCTACACAATTTTAAAGCGTCCACACCTTCGTTGATGATCCTGGTGGCTTGATCCTCGGGAACCCGCTTCGACACTTGACGTACAATTGATACGAGTTCCGGCTTGTTCTTTTGAGGTTGCACGGCAAACTTTGGCCCAAGTCCCAATACTTCTAGTACAAAGTCCGGTAGGCAGATGCCTTCTGCCACATGAACGTTGGAGGTTGCACTCACGCGCACTTTGTCCACCAAATCACGTAACAGTCGTAATTGAAGCTTCCAGTGGAATTCTATCATTTGGTCTGCCAGACGTAGATGCTTTCGAAAGTGAATCTCCGCTGCATATGACTCGTAAGTTCGATGCATCTGCGCCCGTAGGTAGGCTCTGAAAAGGCGTACCTGTCGAAGCCATTCTGAGCGCTGAATTTTCATGATCCTCGTTCTGTGCCCATCTGAAGGGGTACACCCTCCGAAGAGCGCTCGAACATCCTCTGGTAGAATCTTGTTCCTTATGGAAAAGCTGAGCGTTCTTGGCTGAGCGAATGGCTTCGACAGGTACGCCTTTTCAGAGCCTACCTACGGGCGCAGATGCATCGAACTTACGAGTCATATGCAGCGGAGATTCACTTTCGAAAGCATCTACGTCTGGCAGACCAAATGATAGAATTCCACTGGAAGCTTCAATTACGACTGTTACGTGATTTGGTGGACAAAGTGCGCGTGAGTGCAACCTCCAACGTTCATGTGGCAGAAGGCATCTGCCTACCGGACTTTGTACTAGAAGTATTGGGACTTGGGCCAAAGTTTGCCGTGCAACCTCAAAAGAACAAGCCGGAACTCGTATCAATTGTACGTCAAGTGTCGAAGCGGGTTCCCGAGGATCAAGCCACCAGGATCATCAACGAAGGTGTGGACGCTTTAAAATTGTGTAGGCCTCCATGCCGCAGTTTGCCTCTCAAACGCGTGGAAACTTACTTGACACAGCATGCTCTGAGTGTACTTCCAGTCGATAAAGAAGGAGGGTTTGCGGTTTTCTCGCATGATGAATTTAAAGAAAAGGCTAAAAGTGCTATTACGGCAGTGTTCAGCGAAAAGAAAAGTATTTCGATTGAAAAAGTGAGGGGAAAAGCAATAGAACTTTGTAAGAGGATGAATCTAGAAGGTGTGCTTAGCGGTATCAGAAAAAGTAAAAATGACAGTCTGGATGTGTTCTTTAGTGCTAAAACGCATAAGGAAGGAGTACCGTTCAGAGTGATAGTGTCGGAGAAGGACACGTGGCAAAAAGCTGTAGCTGTGTATCTGCAAAGAACATTAAACTTGCTTGACATAAATGACCCCTTCCTGACAAAAAATTCGGAACAGGTGATAAGTTTCGTCAGGGAACGAAAAAACATAGGGTTAAAAGCGTTTTCGGCTGACATCAAAGATCTGTACTATTCTCTGCCACAATCAGCAGTATTAACAAGTGTTGGCGAATGCATCGATGAGTACGGTGCCGTTAGATTTAGCTCACAAGCAGGTACGTCCGTCGACAATTTCTTAGAATTACTTAGGTTTTACTTGTCGTCAACGTTTATTGAAAACAATGGTACCCTGTATCTGCAAAAACAAGGAGTATGCATTGGCTCGTGCTTAGCACCAGTTTTAAGTAATTTGTTTTTGGCTGAAATGGACAGGAGGCTATCAGGACGCCTAAATGAATACAATGTTGTGCACGTATTTAGGTACGTCGATGACTTTTTAGTGTTTATCAATGACAGAACTGCAGATTTTGCTACTCAATGTAGTAGCGTTTGTAGCGTTTTTCGTGAGGAGCTTAACCCACTTGAAGTGACTTTTGAAATGCCATGTGACGGAAGGCTCAGATTTCTTGACATTAACTTTCAATTCTCAGATGAAAAGACATGCTGGTGTTACGAGCCCAGAGCAAGTAAGCCTTTACTACAGTTTCACTCAGCGCATACTAAACTGGTAAAACGAGGCATTGCGAAGATGTGCTTGAGTGAGGCACTAAAGAAGTCCTGCCGGTGCCTCATGAATGAAAGCTTCAGACAACAGGTCTCGAGGCTAAGCAATGCCGGGTACCCCAAGAGCCTCGTCGTGTCCGTTGCTGAAGGATTGCACAGAAAAGTGCTGGAGAAAAGATGTGAAGGGATGGATAGGGTGAGCTCAAGAAAGGAAAGTTTTGCCGTAATTCCATACATGCATAAGGTTTCTCACAGGATAAAAAAGATTGCGGAAAAATGTGGCACTAACGTAGTTTTCTCGGCACCCAATAAGTTGGTGAGTCTTTGCAGAAGCACAAGACCAGACAAGGGAAAATCAAATGTATGCCAAAAGAAACATAGAAACCTATTTGTGGAGTGCATCATGTGTGTTGTATACCTCATTCCACTTACTTGTGGAAAGTGTTATATCGGTCAGACCAGTAGATGCATAAACGATCGCTTGCGCGAGCACAATAACAAAGTAAATAGTGTTGTTCCTGATGGTTTTCTTTCCCTTCATTGCCAGAGATGTAATTGCACACCGAAATTCAAGGAAACGGTTATAATCAATAGAAGTAGGCACGAGATGACGCGGTTGGTATTGGAGGCCGGCAGAATTGCAGAGCTAGGTGACACGTGTGTGAGCAGCCCATCAGTGGTGTTGACAGATAAGGAACTTGATTACATGTATTCGCGATAGGGTTTGTGGTAACATGGGATAAAAGGAAGAAAGAAAAAGTAGAAAAAGATTGAAAAATATAAAATTGTAAAGTATTGGAACACGCGCGTTGGTTATATTTGATGGTTTTTAGAGCTACGCACGTGCGACGTTGGCGTGGTGGATCGCATACACCACGGAGATCTGCGTGTAATAAACTGTTGTTGAAAGTTAGCGCTGTGTTGTGTCTATGTGCCTACTCTTGTCCGTGTTCGTTGTCTGCGCTACCATCCATCATCATGCAACCATACCAACAAGCCCAAATCGCCACCCTCGTAGTGGAGAGCTCCGGATATTTCGACCTCCTGGGGTTCTTTGACGTGCGCCCGAATCTGAGCACACGGGCCTACAACATTTCCGCCTCCTTCGGAAATGCAGCCGCCGCAGCCGGGATTCGATCCCGCTATTTCTTACAGGGAAACGTTATTAGTAGTCAAGGGTCCGACGGAATCCCGTCTGGTCGGGGACAAACATAGTGCAAAATAACAAAAACGCCGACCAAGGTGAAATACACAAAACTTAAAAAGACGTTTCGGCTCCCCACACGGGAGCCTTGTTCACAGTGACCGCGAATGGCGTAGTGCGCTCTTCTTATGCTCTTCTTAAACGTTATTAGTGTAATGATGAATACACTAAAAAGTAAATGCAGAAAAAGTAAATAAACGGTAATTCCTGGCAGGGGCTGGCTTTGCTGATTAGGACTGTGTGCACGTCGCGCTTGTCAATAGGTGCGTCTTATTAAAATACATTGGCGTAGAGCATCAAACTCAAAATCAAAGGACTACGCGAAAAAGAAAGAAGAAAACTTTCAGTTTTGTTTGCCCTGTGTTCCACTACGCGCTTCTCTATAGCGATCCCCAGCTCAAGCTTGGGCACAACGCTCGCGTGGCTGCGCTATGCGTTATTGATGATAAACGCTGCCGGCGAAGGCGGTTTGTTGCTGGCTTTGGCAGCGACAACGGCGCCACCGCCGGCTGCAACGACTTTAGCGCAGGCGCAATGCTCTTTTGTGCGGATTTCCGCAGTCAATTCTGCAGTATTCCGCTGAGCTCAGTGACGGCCAAACTGTTCCACCCTGGACTGATTTTCTTCATTCCGTTGACGATCAAGCATGCATTTCTTGAATTTCGCAGCTTCGAAACTGTAACGTTAAGATGCGTCAGTTTCACGTTGCACTCTTGTTCATAGTTTACTTGCTGCTCAAGTCTACGTCTTTTCTAGAAAGATGTCGGCCGTTGTGAATCCCTAACCAACTGTAGTCGTCGCGCCTTCACTTACGGTTGTTGGTCAATAGATGGAGCCAGCTACTCCCCTATCTCCGCCAAGGCGATTGGGGTGGTGTGGTGTCGTATGTGAACGTATGTGCTGAAAGCGGCCACCGCAATGATCGCAAGCTGCCGCCTCCAGTATACGAGGAAAAAAACGGTAGGGAAAGGGCAGTAGGGCTTGTCGCTTCGCGAACGCGGCAGGCATCTTTTTTAGATGAGGTGTCGCTGAAGTTGAATGAAATGACTGGCGCGATCGAGTTCGAAATTTGTGACGTACGCGTCTGCGGTTGCGGGCAGGGTTGGCAGCGCTGACCCCAGGCCTTGCCGACGCTCGAGCAGCAGCACTTCATCTTGGAATGATTGGTCATCATGGGGTGACTGCACACGGGAGGGTGATGCAGGTCCACCTGGTGGTAGTGGTGGAAGCACTGGTCCTGTCTGACGTCTGCAGAAAATGATGGACACACACATGCACATACCCGTTAGTTGCGCGGCTGTTTGTACGGTTAAAGTACCGCGCTCGAGGTCTTGCGTTTAAAGCTAGGACTCATTATAACGAGTACTGTTGTAGTGAATTATCCCTTATATCGAACCAACTACTATACTTCGGTCATGTTTCACACGAGTGACATTTATTCCTTTCATAACAAAACCAAAACCACGAGAGCCGCTGTGATGTCGGCTGTAACCAAGAAAAGTTTGGTTCACGCAAGGCTCAACACTTGCAAAGTAGCATAAAAAGCAAGCAAAACTTTGACAGACAGTTCAAAACCACACCTCTACGTCCGTATATTCAACCTCAGATCGCGAAGTTCTTGAAATAATTATGAACACAGGTCTGTTTTGTCAGATGTACTTCGTTTTGTGGCAATTTCACCTTTTCATGACCCGGTCTCTCTAGTTTTAAATGCGCCAGTGGTGACAGGTAAGAATACCTCGTTTATAATTTGGGGCCGGCTATAAAGCGCTTTTGTACTATCTAGAATTTTCGTCTGAGCCAGATTGCCGATTTCTTAAGGCATTTTCTTCTGCCTCTACTCATACGATGAACATCGGACATAGAGAACTAAGTTATATTTCCAAAGCTCCTTCGTTATAACGAGATTCGACTATAGATAATATAAGCGCGATAGCTTCTACGCTTTTACAAACGCCCATGTACTTAGGTACGCAAGGACTTGTGAATGAGCTTTGACATAGGTATTCCAGTGGGTTCAAGCGTATACTTATATTTGTAAAAATGATTTCTTCGGTCGAATTCATTTCAAAGTTAGCACAGTTAGAATTTTCACGTTGTTTGATGTGACCTTACTATATATTAGGGACGTATTGGGAGTTGTAGGACCTACCATACGATTCCAGTGATAGAAATATGCAAGAATGTGAACGATGTTACCATTCTGGTCTCGTGCTGAAAAATGCCCGTGAAATGCTCTTCAATATCACGGGAAATTGCGGTGCACCAAGAAGTTCGGGCAAATTTTTGTCGCGTAGCTCGACAAAAAATATTCCTTCAGGCGCAACGTTCACACATGTAGGCGCAACTTGTTTTCGTCCGTTCTTCGGAAAAGGGGCCAAGATAGAGCAAGACACAATGCGAGTAGGATGACTTAAACCTTTTGCATAATCACCGCGTCTTTCTTTCACCTCATAAGGCTGCGTATGTTTGAATCTGATCACTTTGGTGATACGGAGTGTGCAGTATAGAAGTTGGAGGCACGGTAGTTAGACAGGACACTGACAAGCGTTCCCAGGAAATGAAGAATATTATTAAGTACAACAGACAAAATAGAACTGACAGAGCTTTCGTAGTTGATTAATAAGCGTAAGGTATCCGATTTAAGAAGGTATAACATGGAGAGAATTGAACACGCTCTGAAAAACGAAGAAAGCGTCAAAGCGGTGAAGAGGAAACTCGGGATAGGCGAAAATCGGATGTAAGCACTAAGGGACAAAGAAGGCAAAATAACTACCAATATGGATAGGATAGTTGAATAGTGAAGGAGTTTTACAGACATCTGTACAGTAGCCGGGACGACCACGACCTCAGTACTATAAGAACTAACAGTAACCCAGATGACAGCCCACCAGTAATTATAAAAGTCAGTAAAGCCTTGGAGCGCATGCAAATAGGCAAAGCTGCTGGTGAGGATCAGGTAACATCAGATCTGCTGAAAGATGGAAGACAGATTGTGTTAGAAAAGCTAGCCACCCTGTTTACGAGGTGTCTCCTCACAGAAAGAGTACCAAAGTCTTGGAAGAATGCTAACACCAGCCTAATACATAAGAAAGGAGATGACAAGGACTTGAAGAATTACAGGCTGATCAGTTCGCTCTCCCTATTAGACAAGCTGTTTACAAAGGTAATTGCTAACAAAGTAAAGAAAACATTACAATTCAATCAACCAAAGAACAAGCAGGATTTCGAACAGGCTACTCAACTATAGATCACGTTCATACTATTAATCAGGTAATAGAGAAATGCACAGAATACAGCCAATCACTATACATAGCCTTCGTAGACTACGAGAAGGCGTTTGATTCAGTAGAAATATCAGCAGTCATGCAGACACTTCGGAATAAGGGCGTCGATGAAGCATATATAAACTTCCTGGAAGAAATCTACAAGGGATCAACTGCTACCATAGTGCTTCATAAAGAAAGTATATCAAGAAGAAAGTATATCACAACTGTATCTTCCCAGTACTTAGCTATGGAGCAGAAACCGGGAGACTTACAAAGAGGGTTCAGCTTAAATTGAGGACGACGCAGCGAGCAATGGAAAGAAAAATGGTAGGTGTAACCTTAAGAGACAAGAATAGAGCAGAGTGGATTAGGGAACAAACGGGGGTTAAGGATATCATAGTTGAAATCAAGAAGAGGAAATGGACATGGGTCGGGCGTGTAGCGCGTAGACGGAATAACCGCTGCTCATTAAGGGTAACTAACTGGATTCCCAGAGAAGGCAAGAGGGTTAGGGGAAGGCAGAAGGTTAGGTGGACAGATGAGATTAAGAAGTTGACGGGTATAAATTGGCAGCAGCGAGCACACTGCTGGACCGAGTTAACGTGCGGAACATGGGAGAGGCCTTTGTCCTGCAGTGGACGTAGTCAGGCTGATGACGATGATGATGACTTCGGTGACGGCACTACGATGCACGATGGGTCCGACATGCAGCGGTCCAATAACAAAGCGAAAGGTGTTTTTATTTGCTTGAAATTAATACGACCAAAAACAAATTGTACGTGTATTGAACCTTCGACATGATTCTACTTTTGTAAAATCACAGCATATCCATGGAGTGAATGATGATGAGTGAGACGAAGTGTCCGACAGCCCGTCCGTGCTTCCGTCCATCCGCGCGATCATCCATGCGTCCATCCATGCGTCCGTTCGTCCGTTCGTGCGTCCATTCGTCCGTACGTCCGCGCGTCCATCCATCTGTTCTTCCGTCTTCTAGTCTGTCGATCCGTCTATCCGTGCGTCCATCTAGTGAACACTGCAAATACCGCCATCTCGCATCTCGCACCCCTGTGGCATATACCAGTTCTAGAGCGGGTATGTGCCACCGGTGGCTACGTACGACAACGCGGAGGATGGACAGACCTGTAACCTCAGGAGCTTCGCCCCTAATAGAACATGACTGCATGAGATAATTAATGAGGTAAATACACACTAATTAGGGTCAATTACTAGACCTAGCAGGGAACAACACGTGAACTTCTTTCTTGAAACGTAACATCTAGTGCCTTTAAATTACCCTGTGTGAATTAGACACACTTTTAGATAGTCTATCATTACTTGCGCTTGAGCAGGTTATATAAAGTTCGCGTATTTTTAAAATAACAACTATGCTGATCGGCTGAAATTATAGCGGGCTGGAGCGATTGAATCTTACCCACACAGGATTTGCCTCCAGGGACGACTGCGTAGCCCGGTGGACAATAGCACACGTAGCTGCCGTCGCTGTTGTGGCAGGTTCCGGGACCACAGGCGTCCGGGTACACCTTGCACTCGTCCACATCTGAGAAACAGGAAAAAAGTGCGTGTCATTGCACACGAGGTAAGACGAAAGATCGAAGGAGTTGTAAGCCTAAAGCACCTGCTATCGTTTGTGTCTCTCGAGTTTTATCCGGGACGTGTTTGTCACATGTCACAGGTGGTCTCAGTGGTCTGTGGCATAATGGATTAAATATTGCACTGTTGTTACGTGGCCGCTATTAGAGAGTAATAGCTCCACGGGCCCAGCGAACGAGCGAAGATGCAAACTGCGCAGGCGCGACACGCCGAGTAAACCAGCGATTTTACGGAGCGAGTCACTGTCCCGCTCATTCCGTCCCCTCAGCCGAGCGTGCGCAGCGGACCAGCGTGCGATCGTTATCCAGGCAAAGCCTCTGTTTGACAGACAGTAGCTTCAACTGTGTTCAACAGGTGGCGCAATTACACCGCTGAAACAAGTGAAGCATTCGCTCGGCTAATATTCTTCCTTTGGTTCTGCGCTCCGCTGGCCCGTTCGCTGCTCCGCTGGCCTGCTCAGCCGCTCAGCTATTGCCAAGTGAAACCGACTTCAAGCGGCAAGCGCTGCTCGTAGTGAGCAAGTCCGATAAATTTACGAAAATATGTAGATACATTTTGGCATTTAGTCTACTACTCTATCGTCAGATGTGTCTAGTGATTTACAGATGCTGAGACACGTGGGAGTCATCACATCCCTATTTACCTTAACATCAAAGGCTTGTTTAGATCTGGTCCATGGAAGACCACTCGAACGATTCAATGAATTACTTTCAAATCTGACATGGAAAATGCTTGCATTGAGGGCCCGCTATCTGGGTTGAAAAAAATAGGACTATGATAAATAAAAACCAGATCAATTGCACTCTTTTCTGAATGGATTTCATTCCATTATTCACTTTAATGCAAGAAGTCTTCATAAACGGTTTGACATCATTGACGGTTTCCTCACTTCACTTTCTTGTTCATTTTCAATGATTGCCATCACTGAAACTTGGTTGTCTGACGATGACAAAAATCTATATTGCTTTCATAACTTTAATTCTGAATACTGCAACAGAATAACCAGTAATTACGGTGGTGCTGCCATATTTGTTTCTTCTGGAATAGCTTATCGAAGAAGACATGACCTATTCTTAACCGTTGATAACTGTGAGTCTGTTTGGGTTGAAATAGATAACTGCTTTTTGACTGGTGACAATAAGAACCTCATATTTGGTTGTGTTTACCGTTCTCCTTCATCACCAATTAGTGATTTCTGTACTAATCTCGACCATATTTTGCATAAAATTTCAATAGAAAATAAAAATGTTGTCATAATGGGTGATTTCAACATTAACTTACTAGATGAAGGATCACCCATCTGTATCAACTATACTAGTCTGCTTCATGGTTACGGATATGATTGCCTGATTGACGCTCCCACGCGTGAAGATTTTTCAGGCTCATGTACACTCATCGATCATGCTCTCTCTAATTTACTAGACCCACCAGAGGCAAAAGTTTTACACATTGACATCAGTGATCATTACCCCATCATCCTACGCTTCAATACTAATGCTCGACCGCATTCCTTTTCTCACACAAGATATGTGCTGGACAAAGAAAGTTTTAAAACGGCTGTTGCTAACACTAACTGGACTGAAATTAAGTCAATAATCAACCCACAGAAAGCTTTTTCTAAATTTCTTTCACTGATTTCAACGCATTTAATGAAATTCACTTTCAAAACAAAATGTAAAAAAATCATCGCTTTCTCTCATAATCCATGGCTTTCGCAACAGCTATTAACAGAAATGCGCAAACGAGATAACTTGTATAGAAAAACTAAAAAACAACCTTTTAATAAGAACTTAAGTGCCCGATATAAAATCTTCTGCAATGCTCTTAACTACAAACTTAAAACTGCCAAAAGACTTTATTTTGAAGAAAGAATCCAACATGCTTCTAACACTAAAAAGAAATGGGAGATTGTGAACTCTTTTTTAAACAGGAACTCGAGACAAGACGAGGTACGTCGAATTATAATTGATGGAGTAGAATATGATTCCCCTTCAGAAGTAGCTGAGGCTTTTAGCAACTTCTTCTTCCCTGATAATACCAATTCTCCTACAGAAAGCATTAATACTTCTCGCTTACCCCACTCATTCTTTTTATTTCCTACAATACCGGATGAAATAACTGATGTTATTCGTAATTTAAAAATGACTAGTGCTGGCATAGATGAGATCCATCCTGCTAACATAAAATCTATTGTGCATATAATATCAGACATTCTTTCATTTATTGTTAATTTGATGTTCAAGAATGGTGTATTCCCTTATGAATTGAAGCGTGGCAAAGTTATCCCTGTTTTTAAAAAGGGGGATAAATCATTACTAAACAACTACCGTCCTATTTGTATTTTACCATTCCTTGGAAAAGTGGTTGAGAAACTCATTGAGACACGACTAACTAAATATCTTTCCAAGTTTAACATTATCTCTTCCTCTCAGTTTGGTTTTCGCCATGGCTACTCAACAGAGATGGCGCTTATCCATCTTACTGATCAGATAAAAAAATTAATAGACGAAGGATGCCTAGTTGCCTCAATATTCATCGATCTAACAAAAGCATTTGACAGCATAAATCATAATATTCTGTTCACTAAACTGGAGTCCATTGGCATTTGCGGCCCTGCTCTTTCATTACTAAAAAGCTACTTACACAACAGAGTTCAAGTTGTTTCTATTTCCAACGTCTATTCCCGACAGCGAACCACTAACATTGGTGTGCCCCAAGGCTCCATTTTGGGGCCACTTCTGTTTTTGATTTATATTAATGATTTGCCCAAGTGTCTGTCTTCATCACAATGCATTTTGTACGCCGACGATACCACCATATTCACCTCTCATAAAGACATCTCATCTCTTGTAACCATTTTGAATGCTGACTTAGAAAGTATTTTCAAATGGTGTAATACTAATATGTTGTCTATTAATGCTTCTAAAACCAAGTTTGTTGTTTTCACCTCACACCAGCGGAATGTAACATCAGCACCTAATATTACTTTTGGCCCCCACTCTATCTCTCCTTGCTCATTTTCTTCCTTCCTTGGCATCCTTCTAGATTGCAATTTAAAATATCAGAGACATATTGCTCACATAAAAAAAAAATTAGCATATGGTATAAGAGTCTTGGTCAAAACGCGCCCGTACTTCTCACGCAGCACATTACTATCCCTCTATCACTCTTTCGTACATTCTCATTTTACCTACGGTATAACATGTTGGGGCAATACTTACAATACTCACATTTCGTCTCTTCAAATCGTCCAAAATCATGCTATTCGACTAATTACATCCAGCCCACGTTTTTCTAATGCTAAATCTTTACTACATGAAAATAACATCCTTACTCTCACTGAACTTACTAAATTCAACCTTGGCATTTTTTTCTACAGACTTCTTAATAATCAACTTCCCCCTACCATTTTCCCGTCTTCTGATCTTGTTATTTATAGTAATACCCGATTTGCACTAAACAACAACTTCCTTCTACCCAGTATACGTACTAATTATGGCAAACAAACTGTTAAATTCACTTCTATCTCATTGTGGAATACTCTTCCACTTAACATAAAATCTATCAGTTCATTTCATCAATTTAAGAAACAGTATAAATTGTATTTGCTTCATGCGGACTAACCATAAGACTTACTGCTTGTTTTATTTGACGTATGCTTTTGTTTGGTCTGTTTTTTGTATTTCTTTTTATTTGTTTTTTTTTATTTCCTTTTATTATTTAGTTTTGTATATTGATTGTTAAACTGTTCTATCGCTTTTTTTTTTTTGTACTTCACACCTTTATTTTTTTTTTTTTTCTCTATTTTTTATGCGTTCAGTTGTACGCTTTGATTTATACTTACGCTCCTGTTGCTTAAATGTGTTTAATAACTCATTGCATTTGTACAGGAGGTCCCGATACAGTCACTTGACTATGGGACCTCCTTCTGTATACTAAATTCCTGTCACTTGTAACCTCTCACACATTAACGACAATCTCTTCCTTTCGAAAAGGTTTGAACATAGAGTTGGAGTGACTTCGAGCACTTGGATGCCGGGCGAAGCGTTGATATTGGCTCACGAAAACGATCCCTGACCTTATAGGGTAGCAAGCAGGATGGAAAAGAAGATTTAAGGTTGCATGGGTAGATTAGCGTTGGAATGTTGGACAATGCTTTGCTAGACACGAGAGCCCCGCAAGCCACTCTCTCGCATTTGTAGAGTGCTGCAAGGTCCGCAGTGTCTTCCGAAACAGCGTTTTTCATCCAAAGCGCTTGTGCTTCTTCAAGGGTGGCAAGGCATTGCTGTAGCGGATAATTTCTATACGCGGATCGCCAACGAAACGACTCCTCCATATTCTCTGCCCGAAGTGACGTGCGCGACACCGAAAATCAGAGAACAAGCGGTGCACAAGCGAATATAAACTGGGTGAAAATCACAGCAAGGCACATCGTCACGAGGGCGCTAAATCAACAACACAAAAGGAAAATGCCCCAATCAGGAGTGACCACGGATATTTCGGGGCCAATTACTTGTCAACACGATAACCCAGGAAGTCTCAATGAAAAGCCGGCTGGTCTGCCGAGGAGCCGCGGCAGTTGGCAAAGGGCTCTTGGTCCGTTCGGGTAGAAGCAGGGTGGAGGCAGTTCACCAGCGTCACGGTCGTGGTTTGCCCCGAGTGCCTGGCAGAGATCAAGAGTCGGAGGGGCCTGCTTCGCTTGACCTCAAGCTTCGATGGTCCACAGAGCCAGCGGAAGCTATCGCAACCACAAGGTTCACTGTCGGGCGTTAGCCTGAGTGCTTGGCTGTGGACCCTTGTCAATACGCAAAGGTCTATCGAAGCTATTTTTACATCTCTACGACAGAGGACAACGCAGCTGAAAGGGACGAAGGTGACTTATACAAGCGGCTGTGACATCGATGTCGCGTGCCACTCCAGAGTAATGGACTGTGACTGAATGTGTGTGCTGTGTTATCTGCTGTCTTTCTGTTTTTTTCCTTTCTTTCTTCTCCGTCCTCCAATCTCCCCCACCCCAATCCCATGTTTAGGGCAGTAAACCAGCTTCCCTGGACTGGTTAAGCTCTCTGCCTTTCCTCCTGTACTATTTCTTGTCTTCATGGTTGCCTCATATACTTACGCCCACCCGAGCCGTCAATAACAAGACTGTAATCAACTCAACTTTACTTCATTTTGAATAGAAGTAGGCTCTACTAAAGCTCATGACAGCAGCTTGACAATGTTGTCTGCCTCCTAAGTTCACTTTACTGTAAGGGCCAACAGGCCTAAGGTATGTATAAGCATGATTACTTGATTATATATTGTTGCACCTTAGATTACTCGCTTACATCAGTGCACACCAACTCACGGCTGCAAACATGGTTTCGTATCTCTCGTAGAGGCCATTATTTTGACAGAATTTTCACGTTCGCACCATGCCTTACAAGCAGGATGAAGAACTTTTTTTTTCGCGGGCACCATCAAATAAGCGACTTTTGCTATCGGGCACATGAAATACGAAAGCGCGACTCTGCGTAGCTACAAAGGCACGTGGACAGCGTGTCTCTTCGGCCTCGTGTAGTTATGCACTCGTGTTCCAAGTACTGTGAATCAGCAACTTGCCCAATAAGCCGTTTTGCTATCGGGGTGTGCGCTGTGCCAACGAAGCCAACAACTCACCGACGCAGCTTTGGCTCGTGTCGTCCAGGGCGTACCCGTCGGGGCACACGCAGTGGAAGCTTCCGAAGGTGTTAATGCAGCGTCCGTCGCGGCACACGTCAACCAGCTCATCGCACTCGTCCACATCTGCGCTCGTCGACGCCACAGCAGCGAAAGCATGCAGGATAAGAGTATTATAATTGTATCACTGGCTCTCACATATGGCTATCAAACATGATATTTCATTATTCGCTTCATCATAATCACAACACTGCAAATGAGTTCTGCGGAATCCCGCATTGTGGCGGGTGGGTTATGAAAGGGATAACTGACAGTCATGTATTTATGTAAAATCCATGTTGGGTTTATCAGAAAGAAGAACTTATAGGTAAAAAAAAACATTCGTCCCTTTCCGGGCACTGAACCCGGGATCAACGCCATTTTAAGGTGGTCCTTCTAAGCAATTCAGCTAATCAGGATACCAGCAATTGGCAGATCGAGGATGAATCAAGCGACAACTCAAAATGCATAAACGCGGAACATTGCATCTGTGATTGGCCGTATATTAGTTCATCTGCTTTTCGCATAGCCTTGTCCTTGCCATTCTTTCAATATTTCCGGCTCATTTAAAATGTCGGGTAACTCTGTTCATTTCGTAGTGCGCACCGCTGTCTTCCTGTTTCTTAACGATACGCCTATCATGTGTTCTTTTAATTGATGGTAACGCAGTCATTAGCTTCTGATGGTTGCTCGTTAAATTTCAGGCTTCTTTCCCCTACTTCAGCGCCCATGAAAAGCAGTGATCGCAAACTCCTTTTTATTTCTAAAGATAGAGGTCGCTTTTTCCAACATAGATGTTACTGCCATCACATTACGGTCATGATAATTGCTATGAGAGTATCTTGCTTTTGTTTTTGTTGATGCATATACGCTAAGCGGTATACTCGTTATTAGCATATGAAGGATGGGTGTACCGTTACGAACATTATCTTTCGCAACAAAAAGCATAAGCAAAATGGCCAAGCCAAGTGCGTGCGTACATTCGGTGTGGTCCCTAGTACTCCAATTAATTTATGTCATTATAATGTCTCCTGCAGGTGCATGTATTATCGCTGGTAAAATGCGTGAAAATGTTGAATTTAAAGCAGGAATGAAATAAGGTTCACGTTGACACACAAGGGGCCGTGTCTGATAGCTTTCATTTACTTTTGTACGTGTCTGCACCCATGACCTTATCTTATGGCGAGAGCCGGATGTACTACCGTTCAATCCGCATCACCGTCTACACTGTAGGTACCGTGTATTGTAACGTGGAATCATTATATGCTTCCAGGAAGCGAGAAATGCTGTGTCGGCCCTTCGCGCAGTGTCACCGCCTCGTGGCAAGAAAACTCCCGTCATCGCTCAATACCACGTATGTCACTACGTCATACACGCGATGTCACGATATATAGACATCGATAAAATCGGCGCACCCAGACATTCTAGGTCTTTGGATTCAATGGCATTAACTAGAGAGACTCAGTTGCTTGAATAACGATCGCCAGTCCCATCAGGTCTCGTTGTTCATGGTTGATGCAGTCCTGTCAATAGTCGAGCTATCCTAACTTCCCATTATATTTGTTCAGTAGGGCCCTCGCAACGTTATTAGTCATTACATACCTTGAAGACTGCCGGTGGTAATGTCTGGCCGGTACCCTGAGCCTCCAGGACACAGTTCCTTGTATGCAGCTGAAAATGATGTAAAAGAAAAAAAAAGTCACAAGGGCGAAGCAATGAATGCGATAGCAAGAAATTTGAATGTCACTCAAAGAACGACAAGCAGCTAAAAACTTGCTGCGCGCTGCTGAAGCATGAGAACGGGTACACGGAAAAAAATTACACTTTCTCTCACTAAAGCGAACCATGTGGAGATGCCAACAGCACTAGTGTTCACTTGTGTATTAATTTTTGTTTCCATTTGCATGTTTCCTTGTCTGTTTCATTTGTGTGTGGAGTTCCGTATATGTTGTGCACCACTTATGTAACCCCCCCCCCCCCCCCGGCATTTGTGTGCATTACCCTGTGTAAGCCGCAAAGTGAGCACCCAGCGCTTCTAGAAGAGTGTAATGGGGCGAGTGTGCGCAGCACTATATACGAGTGAACAGCTGTGGCAGAGAGATAAACGAAAAGATAGAAACGAATCGGAGGCAACGCTCTGCCATCTCCACCACTCCACCTCCTCGCGTGAGCGAGAGGAGAGGGGGAAGAGTTGGTGCATGCACAGTGGGGTAGCGGACGGTCGCCGAGGGATGGACACAGCTTTGAGCAAAAGCTGTTTTGCATCTTAAACGTACAAGTATACACACGGCGAGCGCAAGCTATCACAGTTGTTACGTCAATGAACTCCTCGTTTGACACTTACTGCTAGCGATTCATTTTTGTTTTCGCAAACACTGCCGATTCAGCGAGCGAAATAACCTTCGCGGGATTCGTAGCTTGAACACACCACTCTGCGGTGAAAGCACAAGACATACAAAACTCCTCCTCGAAAGATAAGACATACAAAATTCACCCTCAAAAAATAAGCGCGTGAGAACGGGTGCCCATGTCCTGTATGTCAAATTAGAAGTTGGAAGCGCACATCCCAACCCCGGGAAAACACTAGAGAATTTTAGCATTGGGGACCCAGGAAATTGGCAGAGACACGTCAAGCCATGGTTCGCGTTTTTTTTTTTCTGGTGTCAATTCTGGACAGTAAAGTAAAATTTAAGTGACCTCGAAGTTGCGCTGGTCACGTGCATATTTGTATGCACAGTTTTCCAATAATTGATGCCCTCTCGATCGTGGGCTTATGGGCGATCAGTACTTTCTGATATGACGGTCGGATCTTTTTTCGAGATTAGTTGGCACGTCCCGTTTTATTGTTTCTTGGATATGAACGCATGACCTTCTTTGTTGCTAATAAGGGCTGCAGCGCGAGCACGAAGGTGCTAGAAGAAACAGACGAAAGGCGAGGCACGGAAGGCAAAGAGGACAACACGAGCGCTGCAGCCCTTATTACCATGGATTCAAACCAACTAGCCCAAATAGCCATTCTTCTTCTTTGTTGCATCTAGATGCTGAGAGAGAGAGAGAGAAGAGGGAAAGGCAGAGAGGTTAACCAGACACGTCCAGTTTGCTACTCTGCACTGGGGGAGAGAGATAGGGGGGACGAAAAGAGAGACAGAAGAGAAAAAGGCAAGTGGACGGAATCATGAGAACACTTAGATGTGGGGGGGGGGGGATCACATCTAAGTGACAGACGGTCGCTAAGATTTGTTATTTCAACTAGATACTACAGCAGTGCTTTAGTTACTTTTCGCGCTCTCGGAAAACATGCCAAGGTCTTTGAATCTTGTCTAGATAGCATATCTTGTAGTCCAGTTGCTACCGGAGAGGCTGTCGCTCCGGTAGCATCACAGCCGAAATGCTGTGATGCCAAGCACTTGGATTAAAGTCTAATTCCAGGTGTGAAGGAAGGAAACACTTTGGAAGGAACACTGTTAAGTGCAATAGGTAAAAAAAGTACAGCAGAACGTCATGCGCGCAAACGAAAAGATATGCTTACTCCCATTTTCAAGATAGGACGAAAACTCCCTAACTTACTGTGTTTCTATTTTTGGCCCTTGAAAATTTGAGGTGCTGTTTTAGCTAACGATATTCCCTGGACCAAAACAGTTCCGTCATTCCCGTAGTGCTTCTGTTCGTATTCGAAATGTCATGTTTTCCCCACTGGAAGCTACATTGTTACATCAGACAGCCGACAGGATCAGCGCATGGTCATCGTCAAAGGTAATCGCAGCGTGTACTCACTGGAGTTCTCTGGTGGGCATATTTCGCACGCGTCTCCCCAGGCAGCTCCGACGGTGCAGCAGCACGTGGCCCGAGTCATGGGTCTGGGCATGGGCGAGCTGCAGAGGCCACGACCCTGGAAGTTGCCTCGGACATCGTTGAAGCACAGCTCCTCCCGGATGTCTGCAACGCCACGAAAGCGTGAACAGGGGCACGTCTGCGTGTTATCCATACTGGCGGTGACGTCATTGGAAAAACGCCTCGCCTCCCTCACGCATTGTTCGGCCATTTTCATGACCATTCAAAGGTGAACCCCGTAACCATGGTTAAGTCATTGGTCGCTACTGCTTAAGCTGAAACATTTAAATCTGGATCTTAACGTTATTAACGTGATTCTATCCTTTCTTTCTAACTGAACACACTTCGTTTGTGCTAACAATGTTGGTTCGCCCGTCCGACCGGTGATCTCGGGTGTTCCTCAAAGCTCTGTGTTAGACCCTTGCTATCCGTAATTTTTATGAATGACTTGCCAACTACCGCCTCGTCAAAGGTATGCCTATTCGCTCATGACTGTAAATTATCGGAAAATAACTAGCCAAGACGATGTTACCTCGCTTCAGACGGATCTAAATAAAGCATTCACCTGGTACCAATTGTGGAACACGGAACTGATTATTTTAAAATGCAAAATGTGTGCCGCAGTTCACTTGTATGTTCACATTATCATCATAACGAAACCTATCTCAAGGATGTTTCATGTTACAAATACCGAGGTGTTCATATTTCCAATAACCTTTCATAAAACCGTCATCTGAAAATACATCGCCAAGGCTAACCGTCAACTTGGGTATTTTCTCAGAAACTTCTGCACGGCACCTTCTTCTCTTTAGAATTTTTTTTTACAGCACCTACATTTGTCCATCACTGGAATGCGCATCATCCATCTGAGATCCTGGTAGCGCCACACTACCACATGAACTGGAAGCAGTCTAGAATCGGTCAGCTCGCTTTATTTTATCCAAACATAATCGCTCAGCCAATGTTACACTAATGAAGTCTCAGCTTAACCTTTCTGGACTCGCCACTCGGCGTCAAACAGCCCGGCTGCCTGTTCCCTAAACTTTATTGCCACAACAATCACATTTGCGAACACTTTGGTAAACCCGCCTCATTCATATCACCCAGAATTGACCATCTACAAAAAGTTCACGTTCGTCGCTGCAGAACCTTAACTTACTCGCATGCTTTCATTCCAAGAACCACATCCCAATGGAATCTCCTCCCACAATCAGCTACCACTATCACCGACACATCACGTTTTAAGTCTTTTTTTAAACATGTTTTGTACGGCTTGATTTCTGCTTTGTGTTGTATATATCATGTCTTCTTTCTTTTTCTTGGCTTTGTTGCTATTCTTCGCTTTCGTTCTTGAACACGCACTGCCTGCATTGTCACTATACTGCTACATTCTTTTTGTTGACGTATTTGATATGTGAAATGCTCCTCCCCTCTGAAATGTGACGAACCTGAGGGAGCATCAATAAAAAATAAATAAACAAGCAAACAAGTAAACAATAAATAAATAAATAAATACATAAACGTGATACCAGTTTTCCCGCCAGTCTGCCGCGCCCGTGCCGACCGGGCCTTTTTTTCGTTCTTCTAATGAATTGCTACGACAAAGCAAAGAAAATTGCTCGCAGAGCACAAGACAAAATATCTTGATTATTTGGCGTTCGCCCATGCGTCATAGTGGATATTTGATTGATGTAAAACCTACGCAACGTGTTATTAGCACAGTCAGTTATACGATACGAAGAACTTTATTTGAAAATCCGGAGAAATGTCACCCCTTAGGGCGACACCGTGGGCCGCTGCCACATATATAACACATGGAAACATCATATACAACATAAATTGCCTATTTTCAAAATTCCAAGCTTGATTGCCGATTCACACACCTAACAAAACCAGGAATGAATCTCGCGATGTAGTTTCACCTTTGTTGTAATTAACTGCTGATATAATTTCTAGCCTTTAAACTAAATTATCGTGTCTGATCTAAGGCTGAAATTAGCTCACTATGTGAACAGTCATGTGAAATAAGGTAATAGCTAGCTCACTTATTTGTATGCAAAAAAAAATTCGGCAGATCCCAGACTTGGTGAGACCTGACGAGATCTCACGAGACGTCGCTTCCCGTTAAACAATTCCCACGAAAGCGCGAGAAGGAGGGGACACTGACCCACGCAGCCGGTTCTGGTCGGTGTGAGGGTGTAGTTCGGAGGACACTGGCAGATGTAGGAGCCCGGAGTGTTGATGCAGTGGCCGTGTAAGCATGCTTCCGGACTGCTGCACTCATCGGTATCTAGAAGGAGACAAATAAGCGTGTGTTGACATCTGCAGTGAAGTTTCCGGAATTAGAAAACGATCACTATACACATATACTACGCATGGACGTATTTCACGAGTTCTGTTACGTTGCAAACGCTTTTTTTTTTTGATCGGGCATACGCCGAGTGACACTCTTGTTTCTCTTCCAAGCACCTCCGGTTGAGCACCGACTTCCAGTTTTACGAATTTTCAGGAAATGTCTTGTAAAAAATCAAGTTAGTACATATAGTTTTGGTTCAAGTGAATTGGATACATGATATCGGAGTATGATGTTACTTTAGGTAGGGGCCAAATAATTGTCATGATAAATAATGAAAATCATTTGGATGAGTTCACTGAAAGAACAGACAGTTTTCGTGTGAGCAGGTATGATACATGACTTTGATATCTTAGCGCCAGAAACCGGCATCGTTGCGGCATCTGTCGGAACAAATCTCAACCACTTGCTTCTTTCCAAGTGGCCTCTGAGATCTGCTTCGACAGCGCGATGAAACACAAACTTAACTGAAATAACAGACAAGGCCGCTCGAACGCCGACGTGCAAATGTCGCTACCAGACACTTAGGTCAAGGATCGGGGTCGCCTGAAATCTTTTTTTTTTTCGACGTACACATTTACTTAGGTAGCAAGAGTCGAGGACGCACTTACCCGTGCAGTTGCCGCCCGTCGAGTCCAACTGGTAGCCAGGGTGGCAGATGCAGCGGAACATGCCGAAAACGTTCTCGCACTGGCCGAAAACGCAGATGTTGTCGAATGCTGTACACTCGTCAATGTCTGGGGGAAACAGAAAAAGATGCAGTCAGAGGAGCACTTTATGCTCCTTTAGTGCACAGGCCTTTGAACATAAGTGTCTAGAGAGACTGGTGTAAGCTACGCTGTTGACCAAGTCAATGGAACGCTTGTAGTCATGAGTGGGCAACCATTTATTTTTCTGGTGCGGCATAGGCTTGGTTGCACTAGCGAAAGAAAAAAAGAGTATGAAAAAAAAGGGGCAGTCAGTGGTTGATCAGACTTCGTCACACTGAGAAGTGAGAAAGATAGATACAAACAATAAAGCAAGCATGCTAACCCGAATTGAAACGTCTGGCTTGCTACTCTACATTTGGGGAAATAAGAGGAAGAAAAGTAAATATAAAAGTGGAGAGAATAACCAGGCGTGAACACACAAAGAAAGAAGGGTGACGGGACAACAATGCTTATACATCTCAATGAACTAGACGCTTTAAGTGTTGTAATGGGCCACATCTCTAACAAAAAAAAAGGTTCATATAGAGGTAGACTTCCGTGAGGTTATAGTCAGGAACGGCCTTCTGAGCGACTAAGCTAACAAAAAAAAAACGTTTTTCACGACTTGTATAAAGGTCATTGCGTGAAACGAAAACGGAAGGAAATAAATCTTCTCGCTCACCGACGCACGCTCTCTCGTTGTCCTGGGGTGCGAATCCCATGTCGCACTCACAGCGGTAGCTGCCCGGATGGTTGATGCACTGGCCATTGCCACACAGCGACGATATGCTGCTGCACTCGTCAATGTCTGAAATGCACGGCTCTTTAGTTTAAAACTAAACCTAGAACAAGAACCAAGTGTGGAAAACAAAGTATTGCTTACCAGGTACCTCAGGTTTTAAATACCCTTGCAGATCCATTGAACTTTAGGGCTAGTTGTGCGACTTTCAAGAAACAAATAAAGAACTTATTCATAACCGCCGGTCTACACTATCGAAACTACGTAATGGAGTATCATGCCTCTGCAAATGCTTAAATTGTTCATAAACTTCTATGTCAATTATACGAGTGTATACAGCGCAATTCATTGTATCCGCATGCATTTTGTGTCTGTTTTTGAGTTGTTTCATTGATATCGTTTAGTTGTGAATTTTTACGAGAGTGACCTCTAATTCTTAAAATGTGTTATGTAAACTTCTTATGCTATTTATGTTTGAATTTTGTGTTTACAATTTCAGGTTGCTTGAAACCAATGTATTGAATATATATATTGTTTGCCAGTGCTGATGTCTAAGCTTTGCACTGTCACGGACTGCGGAGGGACAAGGGCCTTTGTCAGGCTGTTCGCCTTTAGCCCTTTGCCCCTGCAGTGAGCTCTGTATCCGGCTTACTGTAAATAAAAATACTACTACTACTACTACTGCTACTACTACTACTACTACTACTACTACTACTACTACTACTACTACTACTAAAACGTTTCGACAACTAGTGATGTGACTGTGTTCAATTATTTCTTTTATGCGCAGTCTATCTTGATCCGCGCAGTCACCTTTTATTACTACTCCGGGGTGTGGCTTTATTCGTGAAACAGTAGCGAACGATACACGGTAAGGAACATACGACTCATACGGCTGACTCTGATATAAAAACTACTGAGAATTCACAGCAAACGGCTGCTAAATGTCCTCGCCTAATTGATACCTAGCTGTTTCTTGCAGGTCGGCCTTGTGATGGGTTAGTGTTTCGTCTGCCTCGGTTTCGTCGCGACCTGTATTCAACTATTTGCCTGTCGGCTCAGCTGAAGGTATACACTTCGGGGGTGGCTTTGCCCGCAAAAGTAACTTAGAACCGCTGTTGCCATGAGCTTGGCCTACGAAAGTTGTTCCCTTCTTTCACATTGCCCAATACGGGCCTTATCTTAGTCGTATATTTGTACGATACACAATTCGTTACGCTGCGCTACTCTGTCTGGGAATGCCGGAATAACCCAGGCATGGATCTTATACACAGTCCAAATCAAAGTGCAAAAGTGGCTTATCAGCCCTTACCCGAACTAGCAACTACGGTGGACTGAAAGGGCAAAGGTGTCGGCTCGTACCAACGAAGTATTGATGTACATACCCTCCCGCCAACCATATCTCGTTCAATCAAATAAAAGGCTCCCCCTTTTCCTCTTCAACTAATGAACTTCTTACCCCCGTATTCACAAACGCTCCTCGACTCGAGTTTCACCCTTCACTTGACAGAGTTGAGCACTGCGCTGCCACTCGACTGAAAATGACGCTGCGCAACTCAAGAACCGCAGCAGACTATTGGTGATATGCAGCGACTTGCCGTACCTAGAGATGGCGCTCCCAACGGCTTTCTCAAGTGAAGGCGAAGCGTTGAGTGAAGGGAGTTTCTAGAATACGTGGGTTAGTGTGCGTGAAGTGCATCACTTCTTCTTATGTGAAGCGTTGACAGTGCTCACCTTGGCAATGGAAGCCGTTGCCGGTGAATCCGCTGTCGCAGACGCACTTGAAAGATCCGTCGGTGTTTATACAGGTGGCGTCGGTGTCGCAGCCTCCGTTCTCTCGAACGCACTCGTTCACGTCTGAACACGAGCGAATGCGGCGTAAAAATGGCGTCACGCGGACGTAGGGTGTCTGGGACTTCGTCAACTCATAGGAAAAGAAAATAATGGCACTAAGAAGCAAGGGCACTGAGACAACCGTTGGACACAACCGGTTCGCTACCCTACGCACGTAAGCAGTATGGGGAGATAGAAAGATGAAGCGGGAAGAGAGATTAAGACAGCAGAACACAGCAAGCACGCAGTCAGTCGCAGTGCGTCTCTTCTGAGTGGTACGTGACAGCACTGTCACAGCCACTTGTCCAAATTCGTTTCGTTTAAAAGCTTCAGTAGCTCCAGAAATCACAACAAAAAAGGGGGCAGGCTACGAAAATCAATAAATAAGCCATCGGATAAGCATTACTATTTGACTCCGTAGTATATTTCGATTTTCGCTGTTGTTACGGCCGCGTAAATTTTTTGTAGAGGGGGGGGGGGGCAGTAAGATTTTTAGCCTGTTTAAAATGCTTCCAAAATGGAAGCCTCTGTCAAGCCCCTTGAGCTTCCTCCATGGTTTTGTCTATTCAGACTTGCATCATTTAACAAAAAAGTTAAATGAAAAGTAATTGTAGTGTTCTGGGTGGCACATAGTTGCCTAACACTCTTCCCCTGCCTTCTTCCCTCTACTGGTAACTATATCCTGAGCGCTAAGTGCGACGCGCAAGTAGTAAATCCTGTGACATTATCAGGTAATACATTTTTCTTGTGCGCTTGTAATTTGTATTAGGAACCACTTACTCAAGAACGATCGAAGTTTGATTCCGTCGGAGGACCACACAACTGTCATAGCGAAGCTATAAAGATAATTTGATTTCTATTTCACCTTGCCACAACACTACTGTGAGGCATTTCACTCGATTGAGGTACGCCTGCATTTTGTGCCCTTAAACTCTTAATGACGTAAAACCTTGAACGTACGTCTCAGACTCAAACAGACCCAAGTGCGATCTCGACAAAATTGTCTACCTTTTGCTAGCTCTTTACACACGTATAAACGCTTATAATGTCGCGGTAATGTTTGTATAGTTACATAGAAAATATAACTTGTTCCTGCGTACGACATATCCGCGTAGTGTGAAACGAAGAGAATGAAAGGTTGTCTTCTCCTCACAAGGCCTCTTGTTGCGGAGAAGACTTTTTTATAGGCGCATTCAGTATATGTTTCTCTCTCTCTCTCTCTCATTCTTTATGAGCTATCGCACGAAATGTAGCACAGTAGTGCACGACTGACTTAAGTATAGTAATGCAACGTTGCGAGAGAGTTAGGCGTGTGCACAGTGAACATTACCCAGAAGAAGGCATCTCAGCTACAATATTGTTGTGCGTGACAGTAACGCGACGTACAGGGATACTTTGCACTTCCCGGCCGGCAGCTAAACAGCAACTACAGTGACTTTCGCCTGTTAAAGAAAAAAAAACGAAAATGTGGATGGGGAGTGAAGATAGCTGATATTTGAAGCTACTTAAAGGGAAGCTGAAGGGATTTTAAATCTAATAAATTTCATGTTTAGGAAGGACCGACATTATTGTTGACAATGTCATAATTGTTTTCGTGGGTGTAGCAGCAGGAGCTTTGGAACCGGCGAAAGAAAAGCCTGTCTTGCCCCACCCCCGCGAGCGCGCTGAAAGTGAGGGTGTGGAAACATACGTCATCTTCGTTCCCTCTGGCCTGGAGCAAGTGTTCTTTCTCATCTTCAACCACGGCCTCCGTGACTAACCCATGACGTGCCGTTGCCGGAACTAATCGAAGAGGCCAGACTTCAGCTGTGCTGCTGTTGCAGGTGACGCGGCATGCCGAGAATGACGTCACCGTGTTCGCTCGACGTCTGAAGAAGCCTGGAGGCCACACCCACTTTTTTTTTCACCAAAAAGTGCTATTGGCGTTCACTTTTCAGAAATCTCACATCGATTTTTTTTACTTCAGCAAAGATCCAGCTGTCCTTACACGCTCTTTTTAGAAAGGTGCTTCAGCTTCCCTTTAAGTGGGCGAAGTCCGTTCAAAACGGTATTACTGCAATGCATGCATCACCTGTGCACGTGATGCCGTCTCCTTGGAAACCGTCGCGGCAGACGCACTGGAACGAGCCGTCCGTGTTGATGCACTCGGCGAATTCACTGCAGTCATTCTCGCCATTGGTGCACTCGTTGTCGTCTAGAAGAATAGACAAAAATCAATGACTCCTTCAGTTTGGCGTCCTTTAAACATGATTTCATCACGAAGCAAGTCGAAATGAGAAATCCCCGATCGATTCCGCCAACTTGGTGTTCTTTAATGTTTCACAAAAGTGCAGGGGTGTTCTTTGCACTTCTCCTCCCATCGGAATGCGGCCGCCATGGATGGGAATCGAACCCGCGCCCTGGAGCTTAGTAGTGCGACACGTTAACTATTGACCATCCACAACTGCAAGATGAATACAGTGAAATAATATAATGCTGCGTGCATGTGTCGAAGTGTTAATGACGTCACATGTTCGGTTGGAATCGTAACGTTATTAAGTAACGTGCCTTCAACAAAATTATCGTGCACACTTCAGGAGCTGTGTACACGTGTGTGTAAATGATTTCTTTTGTTTTGTTCTTCCAACCAGTTACAGCCAAAAAGAATGCAGCTTACGTTGAGCTTTGGATGAGCAAAGCTTCAATCAGCCTTCAAGTCGGACTCCTCTTTAACGATATATTTGATTACTTCATAATTATTGGGGAGGGGGGGAAGTCAGTAACAACCTACTACAACCTCAACCTTCTTACGACGAAGAGCACGACGCTTTGAAAGATATTATTGTAAAATCTGACGCTTTTATCAACAGTCCATCACAATCCGCTTCTGAAGGGGTATTAACCACATCCTATGAACGTACACACTGCATTGCCATGCCATTGTTCTCTCGGTTATCGAGACAACCGTCCCCTTCAGTTGTTGCTGCGTATTTACAAAGACAATCTCAGCTTCGTAATAAGAGTGCGGGTAGTCAGACTTACCGGTGCAGTGGTTGTGGCCTTCCTTGACCGAGTATCCCGGCTGGCAGCGGCAGATATACGATCCGAGCGTGTTCTCGCACCTGCCGTACTGGCACAGGTTTCGGTTTCTCTCGCATTCGTCGTAGTCTTCAGGGAATCAAAATACAAAGAAGACGCTGCGTCACACATGCGAGCAGAGAAACTCGTTTTCGCGTTAATGTGACTACGTCAGAGCGCCGTCTCAGATACGCATTGCGCATGAGTAGTGCCTGATTTCCCAGTCGCACCTGACTAAAACCAAAAGCTTCGGTAGCGAGCGTAGGTGAACAGTTCTAGAGCCATCGGATGTTTCGCGCATCGCTTGCTACGTTAGTTAACTAACAATGCATTTTCGTTAACCATATCGGTTGATTGAACAGTACCGGAAGCATGAGCATCTTTCGTCGCCGTTTCTTTTTTTTTTCACTCAAACGATTGACTTAACACACATGGGTGTGGTACACAAGCTGAGCTTATGCGCGCGCCTTCAGTATTATCACAGCCCCCACCGTTTGTTCAACTGTGTACTTTAAGGAGTGATCCAAATCTTGTTTTTTGTTTTAACCGTCACAGCCAATGGTTGATGCGACGAATAGTACCGTACGTACGAGTAGTTACAGTTATGCATGACTCCAGTCTCCGTTTCTTGAAACCTTTGCAAAAAAAAAACAAAAAAAAAAACGCCAGGCTTGCGCGGTAGGCTCAGCACAGTCACAGAGAAAGCTAGAAGAGCGGCCTTTCAGAGCCTTTTAAAAACACTGATGGGGTAACTACTGCAAGCACACTAGCTTGGTACCCACTAGGGCATTTATTATTAATACTTTGGGTGGTAGGCCGGCATTCGCTATGCCATTTTTCGTCATTCTTCTGAGAAGCGTGGCATCCGCTAAACACTTGCAAGGAATTTTGTGCCAATTGTCCATGCAGTGGCTGGCAACGATGAGGAATTATGGCTGAAGTGGGTGTGCGCCACAGTTAATAGGGGAACAAGGACAAGCTTTTGTGATGGTTTGGATCATTGGACGGCCCACTCGTTACGCTATTCGCATTGTGCGACGACTGGTTGTTCTTTCGCTGTTGTAAAACGCTTTGTAAGTCGTATTAACGTGATTGCTTTCCCGACATCAAGCCTGCCCAAGGCAAGTTTGACAAATCACAAGCACCGGCGTAACTCAGTGGTAGAATACTGGGCTGGCACCCGGCGGACCCGGGTTCGAGCCCCACTGTGCCATTGGTGCTAGGTAATACCTGCCTAAGGCAAGTTTGACAACAAGTTACAAGCACCGGCGTAACTCAGTGGTAGAATACTGGGCTGGCACCCAGCGGACCCGGGTTCGAGCCCCACTGTGCCATTGGTGCTAGGTCATACCTGCCTAAGGCAAGTTTGACAACAAGTTACAAGCACCGGCGTAACTCAGTGGTAGAATACTGGGCTGGCACCCAGCGGACCCGGGTTCAAGCCCCACTGTGTCATTGGTGCAAGGTTTTTTTTTTGTTTTTTTCGCGCGATGTGGTTACGGACGACGGCGGCGGCGGCGGACAACAACAACTGCGCGTGACCTGGAAAGTGATCTCATAACAGCTTTCGCTGTAAAAGCACGTAGCTTTCTGGTACACCTATACTATCTCAATATTGCTCGAAAAGCTGTTATTGAGTGCTTACGCGAATGCGACCCCTGATTATAACCGCATGATGCTCTCATCCGCCGTGTATAGCGTGTGCGTGTGCCCGGAATGCCCATGCAGTCTCACCTACGCATCCCTTGCCGTCGGGTGCTGAGAGAAGCCCGTCCGTGCAGGTGCACGTGTACCCGCCTTGGGTGTTGCGACACTTGCCACCGCTGCACGTGTCCAGGCCGCGCGCACACTCGTCCACGTCTGCAGCAATGGAGAGAAACGTAGTTCATTATAGGGTATACTACAGTGAGTGACCAGGCGTCATACTTCACGATCCTTGATTGATTGATATGTGGGGTTTAACGTCCCAAAACCACCATTTGATTATGAGAGACGCCGTAGTGGAGGGCTCCGGAAATTTCGACCACCTGGGGTTCTTTAACGTGCACCCAAATCTGAGCACACGGGCCTACAACATTTCCGCCTCCATCGTAAATGCAGCCGCCGCAGCCGGGATTCGATCCCGCGACCTGCGGGTCAGCAGCCGAGTACCTTAGCCACTAGACCACCGCGGTGGGGCCTTCACAATCCTTACTCTTAAAAGCACTATAATAATAATAATAATAGTAATAATAATAATAATAATAATAATAATAATAATATACTGAGTCTTAATGAGGAAAAATGGAAACATACATCAATCAGTTTTCACACACAATTGTAAAAATGAAGTCTGTACAGTAGCATCAGTAAACACATCATTAGCGAAAATAAACATAAACAGCCAATGAAAGAAGTTTGCTGTATGTGAGAGTTTTTGTGAATAGGACTTTAGGCGCCAAATTGCCATATCTTCCGCTTCGTATTTTTTCTTCCTAAATATAATCCGACGCACGGGCTCTTCAACGCTGTAGCGTTCAAAAATATTGTCGTCTTACCAATTTCCCTTGGCAGGGGCGTAGCCAGAATTTTTTATGGGGGGGGGGGGGGGGGGGGGCACCTACTTCATTTCAGAGGAAGCAATTAACTTCCTCGGAATGGTGGTTTTTCGCTCTGTATGCCTCGGTGAAAAACATTTTGGAAAGCGGAAGGGGGGGGGGGCACAGCCCCGGTGTGCCACCCCCTGACTACGTCACTGGCGCATGGACATGGACCTGAATAAACGTTTATCATACCATGCCAAATACAGCTTTGCATTGTCCAGGGGTGTAACTAGCATTCTTTTTTCTTTGCTCGGGAGAGGGAGGGGGTCAATCATACTTTATGTTCGCGTGCGTATTTGCATGTGTGCGTGTACATATACGTAAATAAAATTAAAAATTTTCGGTGGGGGGGGGCTCGATTTCCACGATCTCCCCCCCCCCCCTTTTTGGCTACGTCCTTGGTATTGTCGGCACCACAATGAAAAGGCAAATACAAAGGGGTAGCAAAATGAGCAGTGGAATACTGACCGACACAGCTGACGCCATCTGGCGACAATTCGTATCCTGGATGGCAGGAGCAGAAGTAGCTGCCAGGGGTGTTGGTGCATTGAGAGTTGCAGTTGCCCCTGTTTATTTCGCACTCGTCAATATCTGCGAGAAAGGTGGCGCATGTGAATGACACTTCACTCTGTTATTTAGTCTCCTTGATTTTAAGGCTGATGACCTAAATGTACCCTTAACACATTTATGTCACCATAATATTGTGTCAAACGCATTAACTCATTTCTCATAATGGAGGTAGGTGCCTATAAAATTAAGTCATGGGTATAGTCTATGACTTCGATTTATCAAGTTGAAATATGCGATGTCACGTTAATGGTCTGACATTGAATTAACAGTTACTCTGATTTACTACCTCTCTAAGCAAGCAGCTTCATGCATTTAACGAAAATTAACCATCGTTCCTCAGCGGCGCAATGTGAAGGACTTCAGCTTGCTCCCCATGCGCTACAGACACGCTGCCGAACGATAGAGCTGTCGAGACCTGCTGTAGTGTACGGCTAATGGTTTCCAAGACTGGGCAGTCTAAGTCATGGAACAGAGCCAGGAGTGTCTTGTGGCAACAATCTGTTCGCAATGTCGTGATTCCGATCGGCCCACTTCGGCGGTATACGTTCCACTGGAGAGACAGGTTTTCTCGAAGCAGAGTGCACACAATTCCTAATTATCTAAAGCAGCGCACGAGACAAGATTCTTCTAACGAACTTGTCGGTTGCGACTAAGCGTTTGCAGTGCAACGTCTACTTCTTGTCATGTAGTTTGCGCTGCTTTAAATAATGTGGAACCAAACCATACCAACTAGCCCAGCTGTTGACCTTGCTACAAGATCCCCCCCCCCCCCTACCGTATACGCGTGAGTCCGTGTTTTGTAACTTTTTTCTCTTGTCATTTAGGGGTGGCGTTCCCAAACTTTCTGGCCTTGGGGAGCCCCAATTACTTTTTCATAGTGCCACGGAAACCCTAACCTTTTCTTTAGCATGAGGAGATTAATCATAATGTCACGGGGCCGTGACGAGGACGAACAGAGCAGACTGTATAGGTCCAAGATCAAACTGTTTTATTAGGCCGAACTTGTGGCCGGTAAACAGAGAGTCGGAAAACAGCGATACACACTGATAGCAGTGAACAGAGCGTCGGCCGTCGATCAACTGACAAACGACGAAGCGCGTCGGCATATATACAGGTGCCGTCGAATATTCCCGCCTCATCGCTGGTCGACGCGCAAACTCTGGAATAATCTCGAGTGTTCGTGTCTTACGCGCAATCTCAACATAACTATATGCAATAATCGCGAACCTTCTCGAACAATGAGGGGAAGTTTGCGGTGAGCATTCCTGGCAAGCTTTGTGGGCGAAAGCCGCATGAAACACTAGTGAAGATAAGGAACGCGCGTGGCAATATGCGAAGAGGGTGGAGTGGGTGATAACAATATCTAGAGTGTTACGTCCCAAAACCACGATGTATGAGAGACTTCGCAGTGAAGTGCTCCGGAAGTTTTGATCATCGGGTGTTTTTTTTAACGTGCACTAATAACACACAGTGCACGAGGGGGGGTTGGGCGGGTGTGATGGTTTGGCTAAATACAAAATGCGATGCAAGTTTTTGTTTTTGTCTAAGTCAATCACTTGGGTGCTAATGGCGGTGAAATCCTCGCGGGTCGCAATCGTTTTGACCACTCGCGCAACTTTGAGATTATCTTCACGAAACCCTCGGGTACTGGGGAACCTTGATTGAGAACCCATGATTCAGAATATTCGTAGTTGACTCACAAGAAGCCACACCTTCGCCACAGTCGGTATTGGCCGCTAGGAGAGAAATGCGATAAGCAAGAGATAATATATAATAATTTCTCTACAGCAAGGAAATAACGAAATATATAATCGAATGTTGGCAATTATTAGATATGTTCGAATACGAGTCTGTAAAATGAAGTTCATGGCGCACCCACTCATTCAATTGAACCTTTTTTTCACTGAACATAATAATGAACTCGATGAGGATGGAACTTACCCTCGCAGCTCGACTGTAGCGTCGTCTGCTTGTAGCCTTGGTTGCAGACGCACTGGTAGGCCCCCATCATGTTTTCGCAGACACCGTTCGAACAGATGCCGCTTGTCCGGCTGCACTCGTCGATGTCTGGGTTCGTGCGGAGAGGCAAAAAGTGTCGCTCGGGTGAAGTACAACCTTCGTTACGTAATAATTTATGCTCGCATGTTTGCCGAGAGCTCACGTTTTAGTTCGAAAACGACATCTATGACCGAGAAAGACGGATAAGCCGCTAAGACAGAACACGCATGGCCCAGGCTTCCATGCTCTTGTTTTAAGGGCTCTGTCGAGGCACTGGTGCTCCATGCCAAGTTTTTATTTCACATACGCATCACTTTTAAACCATTTTGTGTCTCCATAGCACACATCATTTGTCATTGTCATAATTTCACTATGTATATATTTTTACGCACCTACAGCGACTGTTTTTTAGGCCCATTTACAGCCACGTCACATCTGTTTTATCTACACTGCACATCGCACAGTTCATTATCATCGCCCTGGCGCTCCTTGGCCACATCTGGCTCTCGCACCAATGAACTCCACTAATCATCATCATCAGAACACGTATGCGGTCGTTAGCGAGGTACAGTTGGACATTGTCATAGCGAGGTGGCATCGAGACAGTTCGTTATGTCGGCTATTTGAAAGTAACAGTAACGATAAAAATCTGCTCTGATCGGCAACCCAACTTGCGCAAAAGTCCTAAATACAAAAATGCATTATTCTAGGCTTCAAGCACGCCATTAACGAGGTAATGGTTACCCGACTCATTGCGGTAGGGCGACTAGTCGTTTTTCGTCCCCGATTACCAAACAAAATTTTCGCAAGACTTTCTCGCCAAATTTTGAAGGGCGAAGCTCTTAAAGCTCCAGTTTAAACGTCGAGGTTAAACGCCGAGTTTACTCGCCGCGTGAACCGAGTTCGAAAAGCCCGCGCTTCTATCGGGGGAGTCACATACAGCTTTGCACGTTTTGTCTGGAGCGTAAGTTTGGGCATTCTTGTATGGCATGTGACAGGCTACGGTTCGACCCTTCTCTGTCTGTGCGAAGGAAAGACCTACCATCAACCAAGAAGGCCTCGTTAAGCGCCCAATATCAACCAGCTTCGCTCCTTCTTGATTGCTAGTGTGAATTTCTCCCTTTTTTATTTTACTTTCCTAGTTCTTATCTTAGCACGAACCAAATATTCCTTTGTGACAGTTCGATATCACGGCGGCTGTTCTGTTTATGGTTTCTTCATAATAAGTAATAGATGTAACTGCAATGAAATGTAACTGAGTACTTTGTTTGCTATAACCGATAATTCGCTACATCAGTGTTTGTTGTTGAGAGGTGGAACTGTACACGAAACGCGCACACTAAACACCGATAGGCTTGTGTGCAGCAGTTGGCCATAGGCAGTTGTGCTCGACAGAGTGCCCCTACCTTTGCACGCCTTCCCGTTGGGGGTGAGTTCGTGGCCGGGCGGACACACGCAGTGGAAGGAGCCCGGCGTGTTGACGCACGTACCACCCCGGCACAGACCTCTGTTCTGCGCGCACTCGTCCACGTCTGTGAAGTTAGAAAGACAAGAAGTCGCAGTTTCACAACAAGGGGGAAAAGACCGAATAAGATTGCGACAAATTTTAATATTATCCGATGGAAGGCTGGCAGCTAACTCGCTGCGTCTGATCTCGTGTATATAGCTCTACGAAACGCTTGTGTGAGAGAATACGGCATTTTCCCGGAGAAAGACACTTCTCGCAGAGTGCCTTCGCGTTGAGAGCACAGCACGTAGAAGGGTACACGAGTCGTCTGCTGATGCCTGCAGAGATAGCGCGCGTGCGGTAACGTTCACGACCGCTACCTTGTAATCAAAGTTAACAGTCACTGCTCGTTTGACGTAGGAAAGAAACGCAGCCATATTTGATGATTCACTTTCATACGCAGTGATAATATTACTAGGATTGCATAAAGCGTAGAATTTCCTTTAGTGTGACATGCCGAAAATATTATGAGTAACACTTTCGTGATGCCGGAAAAATCGGTTATATAGGGGTAGTTCTGAAAATATTTTTTCCTGAAATTTATTGATGCCAATGTGTAAGGTTTAAAATGACAAAACAATGGTTGGTTTTTGTAACAATTTTAGTTTTAAACAACACATCTATTTCGAATGTCACCAAGAAAAAGTTGCCAAGAAAAGATAATTGTAACGAAAATATTCATAAGTACATAAATGCTACTCTGCACAGGATAATGCTCCCGCCAAATACTCCCGCCCAAACAAGGTTTGATTGATTGATTTGTGGGGTTTAACGTCCCAAAACCACCATATGATTATGAGAGACGCCGTAGTGGAGGGCTCCGGAAATTTCGACCACCTGGGGTTCTTTAACGTGCACCCAAATCTGAGTACATGGGCCTACACCAATTCCGCCTCCATCGGAAATGCAGAAACAAAGTTTACACCTTGCAGTCAGGAGCTGTGACTTCTAGTACACACCGATTTTGTTTATATCAACGCACGGCAACAATAAAATGGCCCAAGGAGAGTGTGAAACTAACTGGCGAACACTTGCTTAAGTTTCGGGGCGGTTTGCACCCTGTCACCGTCTGTACTGAAGTATGACGAATCAAAGTCCTCTTTCATATCTGTGCTGCTAACTTCACACAGAGATTGGCGCTTAGGTTGATCGAAAACCGCCGAACTTCGCCGTTTTCCTAGGAAATCCGTGAGAGACGCGTCGATGTAACCATGGAAATCACGAGCGCTCACTTCCGCGACTGTGAAGGAGCAGTAAATGCACCCCCCCCCCCTCTTCCCGACGGCAGAAAGAAAGGCAAAAGGCAAAACTGATAAAACACTGCCTCTTTTACCAGTTGAATGACGTTAGCTGCCCAGAAGTGCTCAAAGAGCGTCAAAATTTGAGCTTGAAGTCATCGATAACATACTATCGATGGAAATATGCGTGGTAGCGTAAGTGTTGAAGCCAGTTCCAAGCCTGTGCAATCTAAGAAACAGCGGATCTGGCAAGCAACCGCCACCGCCAGCCGAACGCGCAGGTTGAGTCGTTTATCACCATATTATTTCTATATTGTGCCTTCTCCCCCCCCCCCCCCAACGCATAAATCACTCCTCACCTTCATTTCTCTTTACCCTTGCTTACTACGCTATGCGACGCATGGTTATGCAATGATATACCTTCTCATTCTTTCCTTTTTCGCCCCTCTATTTCTCTTTCTCATTCGAATGCCAGTCCCCATCCTCCTCTCTCTCCCCTTTCTCACCCCATTGCTACAGAATTCCGCTCCTCCTTTCCTTTCGTCTCACCCTCACTTCCATTGCCCGCCTCCTTGCTATACTATAAAATGCAGGTTATGCTATTCTAACAGCTGCTTAGCACATACCCGTCTTCTGTGGTGCATACCAGCCGAAGTTTCCTCCCCGTTCAGATTATGGATGTGTATGTACTCACCGCGGCAGTCCTGCATGTTCATGAACGCCTCGAAGCCGTCGTCGCATTCGCAGAGAAACGAACCGGGCGTGTTCTTGCACCTGCCGTTGGGGCATATTCCGTGGGTAATGCTGCACTCGTCGATGTCTGCGCCACAGGTTAAAAAAACAGAAAAAAAGGAGGAACCTCGATGTCAGAACTCAACTTGAATGGCAAAAAAGCAGCTGCCGTGGCTTTGATCGTTTCACTTACATATAAAAAAGCGCAATCGCTTTGTATTGGTAAAACAAGGAGATTTCCTGCAACTACATTAGCGGCGAAATCCATAGCTATTTGCTTCTCGGCCGAGCCTAGACAACTGCTAAACCCTTGATATTGCTGGCAGTAGTTGACATTTTGTCTGCACACCTTAATTGTGAAAGCAATGGTATCATAGGCTCGGAAATGTCGTCTGTTAGACCGACCCCAAGCCAATGAGTAGGAAGTCAGCACTTGTATGTGTTGCGTTCGTCCGTTGTTTATGTGCTCTAAGAAACTTAGAGAGAGAGAAACTATGTGCTAACCTTTGCGGTTAATTCCTGACTCGCCATGTAAATGACTCTCTTCAAAGAGGCATGCTAACTCTCTTTTGGGTGGCACAAGAGTATAATAATATCCAGAGCAGGTTGACGTGACTCTTCGAAAAGAGTCATACGTGGCAAGTCAGGGTTAAAAAATAAATAAACAAACAAAGGACTCTTTTTTTTCGTCTCATAGAGTGTGATAATTTAGATTACACTGGGGTTGGAAAAGGTTGCGAAGTGGTGTAAGAGCAGGGGCGCCGAATCGCCCCTTTTAAGAAGTAAAACAAATAAACAAATACAAACACGATTGTTCTGGCGAGTGGATTTGAACTGTAAGTTTGTAGTGCTGAAGTCCAGTGTCCTACTCCACACCATAGGATGCTTACGGCCTAATGGTTGGGGCGTCGGGCGAAATAGAACGCCTTCGGTAATCTCACGCGTGCAAATCAGCGTGCTGACGATCTGACCACATTTTCTCAACGCCGAAGGTGTTCTCTGGGTCTCATTTCGCGCACGAATTATCAAGATGGGATACTTGCTTCACCACTGGGGCTGCTTTCTGAACGCTCATACAGTCTATAGCGTTGCTCGACGCCGCATTTCCCCATACCCATACGTAACGCCGACGCATAGCTCGCACTACCGTTTATTCAATGACCATGTCGGCGAACATCCACGTACCCGTGCAGTTGATGCCATCCTGGTCGATGGCAAAGCCTTTGCCGCAGTCGCAGTGGAAGCCACCGATGGTATTCTGGCAGCGGCCATTCTGGCACAGTCCGGGAAACAGGAGGCATTCGTTTGCTTCTGCAACAGCAAAGCCGTGATGTTGACTTCCAGCTTCTTTACCACTAAGATGATTTTATTTTAGACACTCAGTTATGCAGCATGCAAATTTAGATTTTACGTTCGTTGTACCAGAATTCAATGCTAACGTTTGTAAAAATCATATACAATTTATGGTAGCCGCTTCGGGACTTCAGTCCTGGAGCAAGCAAGACTAGTCCTGCAACGTTTCTACTTCCACTTTCACGTCGTATTGGTGTGGACGCGGGACACAGTGCGAGCTGGAACTGTGTACACTGTCTCCCGGCTCTTGAAGAAGTAACCACGTCTAAAAATATGACATGAGAATATGACCAAGTAATCTTACCTGTGTACGAGCCTACTGTCGTTACGGTATAACCAGGTCCCTTGGGACACAGCTCGCGATGGGCCTCTGGAGAATAAAAGGAACAGGCACAAACGAGCGGTGGTCAGTGGATGATGAACTGTAGTCGGCGGTGGCTGCCTTGAAGAAACGACGAAGCTAACTTCGGTGGGTAACCTACATCGCGTATATTTAACCATTCTACGCGACTCTCTCTTCCTTTATCCATACTCGAATGCGAAATCTAGTTTTTATAGTCATTCCTTTAATTTATATCTATCAAAAACAACTAACAAATATTCACTTTCTTGGGAGACGCTGCCTAACGACAGCTGCTAAAGAGATTTGAGAGCGTAACTTTAAATTGTACTAATGTGTAATGAGAAGCAGTAATTAGTACTGAATATTGTAGTGACGACAACGCTTTCGGTATTATGAACCTTGCGCGATAGCAGTGGACTCACAGTCACTTACAAAAACAGGGCCTGTATGCATAAAAATGTCTTAAAAGGCTCCTGACAGCAAAATCTAAACCTCGAGATGTGTGTAACGTTTGATTGTTTAGCATATGAGGTACTTTTGACAAATGTTTAATTAATATAGGCTCTAAGGAATGTTAATTTGGTTTTAAAGTACACATGGGTGCGCATATAAGTTGACAGCACCTTGCGGTGACTACATTAGTATATGACGTAAATGAAAGCCTTGTGTGACGTTGGACAAGATAAGCGAGATTTGGCGACGTCGTAGAATATTCCGCGACTGACACCCGACGAAGGTGATTGTTCTTCGCTCCTCTCGCTTGGTTGTCGGGTTGCTGTCAAGGGGGGTTCGGCTGCTTACGCACGCAATGATTTTAAATAAATCATTGCATGCTTGAAATCAAATTGCGTTTTTAAAATGAAATTGCGTTTAACTAAATAACATTGCGTGTTTAAGTAAATCATTGCGTTTAAAAATATTCAGTATTAAACGTAGCGTTTTTAAAATAAAATCATTGCGTGCTTACGCACGTAATGATGTTATTTTACGTGGAAGTTTGGAAAGTACGCAAAAATTTGCCACAAATAATCATGCTAACTTTAATATTAAAATATGCCACAACATTTACGATTCAATTTCGGCTTTACCAGACACAAGGCCACAAATTCCAGTACAAAAGTCACAAAAAAATATAGCTCTCGAGAGTCATTGAAGCTAAAATTCTTCGTAAGAAGAAATTTCAGCCAATCATTATGCTGGCCGCATCAATACACAAGGCCACAAACCAGACACAAGGCCACAAATTTCAGTACAAAAATCACAAAAAATATCGCTCTCGAGAGTCATTGAAGCTAAAATTCTTCGTAAGAAGAAATTTCAGCCAATCATTATGCTGGGCGCATCAATATCATGTTCAGCCGACCAATAGGAAGGAAAGCTTGGGAATCAAAAGCGTCAGGAATTCGGACTCACGTGCTTAGATTTTTTCTAAAAAAAAGCCTTGCCGACTTTCGAGGTCATGGTGGTACAGGCTATCGACGTTTTTATGGCGCATAGCAGCTTACCAGTTCCGGGCCGTGGACATGGCTCGCATGCGTGTCCCCATGCTTTGCCCAGCGTACAGCAGCAAAAGGCCCTGGAGAAGAGTCCGTACATGCCAGCAGAGCAGCGACCATCCTTGAACGACGCGTAGCATACCTCTTCTCGCAAGTCTGAGCAAGGAAACAAAAGGCAAACGCTCGTTCAGTCGGAGACATTCGAGCCCTGCAAAAAGCAGGAATATTGCGAGCAGTATGTGGAACAGAAAAGGGGGAAGATTTTTCGTCGTAGTCAGATCCTGCTCTAACGTCCATTGCATTAGGTAGAGAACGAAATGAAGAAGACGTTGCTGTCTGGCCTAAGTTTGGTAGAAGGTAGAAGGTGCTAAAAAAAAGTTTTCGATAGTCACATACTTATTCTTGATACCTTTCATAGACCCAGTACGTTTTGCCGTTGCGGAGGTTCAAAGCTGAATTGTGAGTGCGATGGCGCGCATTTGGAAGATTGAAAAAGTAATTCGTTATGATAGTAATTCGTATCACATTGACAACGTGACCAAGAGATCTAGGAGCAATCGCAATTTGAGCGGTCTTCGACAAGAAGATGTAGTTACAGAGTTTACGTATGTTCATAAGCCTTTAAAAAATGAACGGAAAGCGGATGTTACTAGACCAGCAAAACTAAAGGGAGTACTAAATGAAATCTCAGTAGTGGTAGACCTACCGACGCATCGCGTTCCTGCTGAGTCAAGTGTCAGGCCCGGTGGGCAGTTACACTGATACGATCCAGGAGTGTTGACACAGAGGCCGCCTCCTTGGCAGATCCCCGGATACAGTTCGCACTCATTGATATCTGCAATCGTGAATTTAAGAAAAGAAAAACTGAATGAAGAATTGAAAAAGAACACGTGAAGATGTATGATGAAGTATCACTGAGAGCAAAAAAAAAAAAAAACGCAGGCGTATTACGGCGTGAATGATGATGAGTAGGGCGAAGCAGTTAAAATGCAGTTAAAATGATGTCTTGCAGATAAATTGCAGTTAAAAATAATGTCTCCAACCCTTTTACGATGCCTGTCTCTACAGAAAAATCAACTCTGAAGACTGCGAGCAAATAACGCATTTTCGTGATTTCTTAGAAATGTGGAACACATTTTTTGAAACACCCTGTATATGCATGAGCACTCGCCGCATAGCATGAGTACCCCTTACATTTTTTTAAATACTGTGATAAGGAGTTGATACCTTACGTGCGAGTAGAACGTCCAAAGGGCACCGTCACTGACCTGTGCACGTGATTCCATCGACGGATGCTTGGCCACGAGGACACTTGTGTGGATCTGAAAATTTTCGTGTCGTTTGTTTTCCTGTTCTGATAATCGTGTGAGATACTAGATATGTTAAACAACGCTCAGGTCTCATCAACTGAAGGTCTAAGTTTAGTCATCCACAAAAACACCACACAGTGAATGCCGAAAGACAGCGCTATCTCCGTTCATTGAGTAACTTCCTGTGACTTTACTAGGGCTGGAAGTGATTGGCTCATTACTACTGCATATCGAAAAATCGAGCCCGTCAGAAATCAAGTACAATAGCATCCTTGAACAACGGTTTCCTTGCACAGAAGATACCTCAATTCGTAAATAAAATAAGAACGCCAGGTATAACGTCGTGCCTGCACAAGAATCTACAAACGCGAAAAGCAATAAGAGAACATAAGTTATATTAAGAATGACATGCGATTGCCTTTTTTGTACGAAAATTGCATGCTTTGTTTCAATACAAGCACATTCATTAAAAAGTGTCCCAGCTTAAATGTGCTTCTTAAACTTGGTTGTCGTAATGACTTCGATGATGAATTTGGAAGTACTTTCATGTCAAGAGCTATCAGTTCTAGCGGGGAAAACAGTTTTCTAGTCCTTGACCTGTTGATCGAATTCACATACCTTCCTCCGCCTTTCTCAAGTTCGCAATTTTAAAGCAATTTCAAGTACACGTTCACCGTAGCATTTTAATTGAGGGGTGCGCTGTCAGTACTGGGAGTGGGTCGCCTCCGAATTTCGTCACCTGTTTCCGTCGTACAAAGTTGGCAGGGGCTCCCCCAGGCTTGGCCAATCGAGTTGCAGCATTCGGAGCGCAGCATGATCTTCCTCTTGACGTCATTCTCGCACTGATCATTCCTGACCTCGAGCCAGCACTGGCCTCGCCGGTTGTCTGACACAAAAGTGAAGAAAACGAAGTGTGAACCAGACCTTTTTGCTAGATCCAGAGGAACTCGTAATAGGACAGCTGCACGAAAACATCTTACATTCAAAAAGACAGCTTTCCGGGCTGAACAGTCGGGAAATCTCTCAGAAAGTCTTCGCGCCAGTAAGGAAAATAGTATTGATAGTGACACTACAAGAAAAAAATGAGTATTTGGCGAGTATTTCTGCTATACAAATATAATTTTGTATTTGCTTGCTCGCATTTTTTCCCCTAGAGACCCAGATTTTGTCACCATTCTTCCAAGAAAGGTATGTTATGCTGATAACGTACCTGCCGACCGGGGAATGGCGGGATCACACCGTGGTGACAAGGAAATTACGCGAGGTAGATGAAGAATATATTTGTGTGGCAGAAATACCATACAAATACTTGCCGTTCTCCTATAATGTAAGAAGGAATAGGCGTATCCTTACGTGAGTATCCTTTTCTATGGACGTAAGGTCAGTCAACAAATCGTTTGTCTGAGCTTGAAGTTAGACAATATTGCTGTCCTCAATGTTGTTGTTGAGCCTTATTACGCAAATAATACCAGATTTTATCAGCCAACACTATCAGACTTGAGGTGATATTATCTATTATTTAAAAAAACATTAGCCAACCTTAGCCAGTGTCAGCTTTTGCTACTAGTAGCCAAGTAAATACGGTAGTCGAACACTTTGGTGGTGTTTAGAAGTTGCTGCTGAGAATCACACTCTTGCAGTCTGGATAAATGCGGAAAAACATTATTGGCGTATCGGTTTCACTGACTATCAGCGTGGAACATTGAGGAAAGAGGGGACATGGAGGCCAGACTGACAGGACGAAGCGCTTGTTGAGGCAAAGAATGTCAGTGGCCGTCCTCACCTATGCACACGTGTCGAGATGCGTCCAGCGTCGTGCCCGGTGGACACTCGCAGCGGATAACTTCCCGGCGTGTTGACACATGTGCCGCGCACGCAGACGTCCTTGCCGGAGCTGAGGCATTCGTCCACATCTGCGAATCCCGTGGTTGAAATGTATGCGTGCCCCACTAAGCAACGCTAAACACTAATCTCGCTGGTCGACGTGCTAAAGAGGCTGATACGAACTTGCACTGCTCGAGAAAGGCTGATCAGTCTCTATGAAACCAGGCACTATTATGTAACTGACGTATAGCTATTTGAGCAAATATTAAGAAAAAATACTTGCTGTATATGCTGAATGGACGGTAACTCGTGTTTTTAACCGAACCATGCCCCAACGAAAAGTAGCAACGTAAATATGTGTTATTATCTCAGTAATATTGACCTATAGATAATCTTGATCGTAAAAGAAGACACGATGAAAGGTTGCTTTTAAGGACAAAGTGTCATTTTTCGCGCTTTCTTCGTAGATATATTCGATATTGTATCATCAATTTTCATCTTCTTGCTCAAGTGGCTTCGCCGCATAAACACTAGCTTTGCAGCGAAGCAATCTTCTTTTTTAAGTGGCTTCGCCGCATAAAGACGTACTTTGCAGCGAAGCAAGCTTTGGTTTTCCTTGCATCTGGGTTGCGGTCCGGGCTTGTATATCGCGCTGCACAAATGTAGTGCTGCCGGGGCCAGACGTCTGGTGAGCACCTTTACACCTTCATATGTCCGTCACTGCGCGGCGCATGAACGCCTCAGGCAACGTTGGTCTCAACAGCGATGTTAACGTAGCCTGTTGCGAAGCTACCATTGTTCGTACGTTCGAATGAAGGAACAGTATAGACACGTAAAAGTGGAGCAAAACGTAACATATACGTAGCGTTCTTTCTAAAACAGACCTGCATCTAAGCTGGGGAGAACCGTCGTGCTATTTCGACACGTCTTGGGAAATGGACTCGCGCGAAGGTACGAAGTGGAAAGTATACCGAGCAAAGCACTTTTGCCATGCCGAGTGGTATACCTACACATGCGTAAGAATACATTGATTGATTGATTGATTGATTGATTGATTGATTCATTCATTCATTCATTCATTCATTCATTCATTCATTCATTCATTCATTCATTCATTGGTTGGTTGATATGTGGGGTTTAATGTTCCAAAAACATTACATGATTATGAGAGACGCCGTAGTGGAGGGCTCCAGAAATTTCGACCACCTGGGGTTCTTTAACGTGCCCTAAAATCTGAGCACACGGGCCTACAACATTTCCGCCTCCATTGTAAATGCAGCCACCGCAGCCGGGATTCGATCCCGTGACCTGCGGGTCAGCAGCCGAGTACCTTAGTCACTAGACCACCGCGGTGGGGCAAGGAGGCATTGAACTTTAGAATGATCACATCTTGTTATTGTTCGAAATTGAATGTTATCTCTAAAGCATAATTAAATGCTGTGAAAAACAAGATTCAAAAGCTGTCATGCTGAACATAGTGTGATTATCGTCAACACTATATCACCAGACTGGTTGAGCGCGCGCTGAGAAACAAGTGCTCACCTTCGCACACGCTGGTGTGCGTGTTGTGCCTGTACCCCGTCGGGCACGTACACTGGTGGCTGCCCGGAGTATTTCGGCACAGGCCGTTCTCGCACAGCATCAAGTTCACCTTGCACTCGTTGATGTCTGCGAAAGTCACCGATAAATAAAACGGCACAAAAGAATCAGTTGTCCCTTAACTTATCGGCTCCCACAGGACAACCTTGTTCACAAACGTGTCCTTACATTGAAGCATTTTTTCGCGTGATAGTCTCTATTTCATCAAGCTACGAAACCCACGTGGTGCAAACATAATTGATTTCTACAGTTTTCAGTGCAGTAGCTGTTTGTGGTAGATGTGCTTAGAAGCAGTAATAGAATGGAAAGGTAAATTGCGACGCGCACTTACCTTCGCAGATCTTCCCTGTGCTGTCGACTTGATATCCTGGGTTGCATATACAACGGTAGCTTCCTATAAGGTTCTCGCACGCCCCGTTGGGGCAGATGTCCGGATACACCCGGCACTCATTAATATCTGCAGAGTCAACCACATCGATATATGTATTTGACGGCTGTATTGTGTAACGAGATAAATTTATTTATTTATTTATTTACAGATACTGCTGTCTCGATACACGAGACATAGCAGGAGTGGGTACATTAGGAAAAGGAACGAACATACATTAAGCAATACCAAAGAAACATACAAAGCATTTAAAACATACTACAAAATATGGTTAGGCAGTTCTTTCAAAAACAGTTCAATTGGTTTTTCGCGTAGGAAACCATCTAGGTTGTTCCAAATCTCAACAACGGCTGGAAAAAAGAAATGCTTAAAGCAATTTACAAATGGCTGGAAGGGAACAATGTTGAGTGGGTGAGATCGGCGCGTGGTTCGTCGTGCTGAATCACAAAAAGTAATCGGTGCTTCAATGCAACTGCGGCTGCGTACAATCTTATGTAGCAGAGTGATACTGTCAAGTGTGCGTCGGAATGCAAGGGGTTCTAACGACAATGAGCATGCGTGAGATGAGGGAGAAAAATTGCGGTCATACCGGCCAAATATAAATCGTATTGCTTTTTTCTGTATGCCCTTGAGCATATTTATGTCAAGTGCAGTGTAGGGTGACCATACCGCTGAGGCGTACTCTAGCAATGGTCGGACGAAGTCGTCGTTGTCTCTAATTCCTCGTTCTTACACTGAGTTCTGATCATAAAGGCCTCAGAGGAAGAGGGTGGGGAAGAAAGGGGAAAGCACTGTGGGAAAACTTCAACCACTTCACTCTCACTGACGGAAAACACGGCGCAGGCCTCTGATTCGTGTTGTGTGCGCGACTCATTGTTCTATTGTCATTCATGTTATGACGTTTCATGTCCTCAAGACGTAACCTTTCCCTGACAGAAAGATGGCTTTGCCGTACATTATCGGATTGCAATACGTTAGACCTTTGCGCAGTTCTAGCTTCCCCTTTGGAAGATATGTGCATTTCCTGTAAGCTGGACGTAACCGGACGTAGTCACCAAAAACATTGAGTGTAGACCCGAACTCAAAGTTATAGTGACCGTAGGCTGTGTGTTTACATGTGATTGCACCTCGATGTTGCGCAGCCACAGCCGCAAACGACGCGACCATTGGCATGGTATACCTTCACCGTTGATTCCGGATCCGGTTCCGTTGGGGCAAAGACGCGAGTATTCGGGCGTGCCGGGCAGCGGGCAGGGCGTGCACTGGCCACCCCAGGCAGACGGACCTTGCTGGGGATGGGCGCCGCAGCAGCAGGCGGACTTCCTCACTTGCATCGCAGAAGGACGACCACATTCGCCGTTCCTGTACCACGAGTAGCAGTAGTCGCGCCGGGAATCTGTGTGCGGGTCAAGGGTTACCGTAATGAACACTTCGGCTGAACAACCCGAGAGTTCTATAATGTTCCACACAGAAGAAGACGATATATGCGCGTGAGTGTAGTGTCTATAACCGTCCAGCAGAAGTTGATGTAACAGCACAACGAGCAGCGTCAATAAGCAGAGCATCCTTGCTTAAACCGGTGAAACAGAGACACGCCCAGGTAAAAAGTTTACGCAGACTCACGCATTGTATAGTTTGGTTGCCTCGTTTATTTCTTCTGTCAGGGGCATTTTTTCAGTCTTGCCTTCCTGGTTGTTTGTGCAGTGGCGTTCAGTTTTAGCTGCATACGGATGTCATTCGTCCGAAAATAGCCCCTATCGTATACTTGACGACACCTGTAATTGTTAAATTGATTTACAAGATACTGGTTATTGGGCTGGTGATTAGTTCACCAGTGTTCATGTCGACCACACTTTAGCCACTGCCACCATGTTGCAGCTCATTGATTGATATGTGGGGTTTAACGTCCCAAAACCACCATATGATCATGAGAGACTCCGTAGTGGAGGGCTCCAGAAATTTCGACCCCCTGGGGTTCTTTAACGTGCACCCAAATCTAAGCACACGGGCCTACAACATTTCCGCCTCCATCTGAAATTCAGCCACCACAACCGGGATTTGATCCCGTGACTTGCAGGTCAGCAGCCGAGTATACCTTATCCACTAGACCACCGCGGCGGAGCAAATGCAGCTCATATACTGAGCGCTATTATGCAGGCCAGTAAGCCGTATCATGGCATCACGAGGTCGAATAACAGCTGCAGAGCCATCATTGCCTCTCATTGTTGCTGCCATGTGTACAAAGAATGAACATACGCAGACACTTACCGACGCAGGATCTGCCACCCGGTCCCAGGCTGTAGCCGCTGTCGCAGATGCATCGGAAGCTGCCCACCGTGTTCTCGCACCGTCCGTTTCCGCACGCGTAGTCCAGCTCTCGGCACTCGTCGATGTCTGGCGCACACGAAGAGGAAGAGAAATCGACAACCAAGCGTTTTGATATACAAGTTTCTCGGAAAGAAAGCTTCTCAGTTGCCTAAACATTTGTTCTGGTCCGGGTATCGAACCCGGGACCAACGCCTTTCCGGGTGATCGCTCTACCAAGTGAGCTAACCAGGACCCTTATCGATTGTCAGTGCAAGGGCGAATTCATCGACAACTCGAAGCATGTGAACACGCATTGTTGCAAAAAAAAAAGTTGAGCGGAATCCCGCAAGGTTTAAGAGAAGGAAACCGACATACAGCGTTCGTAGTACGAAGCCACGAAGTAATACATACGCACTTATTTGTATGAATTTCTTTGTGTAAATCTGTGCAGAACTTTCCTAGCAGCACTTCATTGGCTACTTGCGCGGTTGGCGATACATACAACAGAACGATGCTGTTGTGAAATGAGTTGTTCGAAAATCCACCGGGTAGAGGAAGAGCGGTAACAAGGAAAAATGGAATCTGCTTAAATGACCATTCGCACTTATGAAAGATGGGCTTCTCAGCCGAAAATAATGTTTGTGCTGTTTGGCTTAATCAGTCGAGTTGCTGCTCAAAAAAGTTGCTGTTTTAGGGAACTAGGCAAATACGAAAATTTCATCAACTGTGCAACAAACAAAAAAACGTAATATTTGGAGCTATGTCGGCTTACAGTGACAAAAAAAGAGCCCAAAAGTTTTTGGCATCAATATACTGAATGAAATGTCGTTATTGTTATCGTGTGCTGCTTCTCATGCACTTGACTATCTTTATTATACTTTTGAAACTTCGATATTTTCTCTTGTTCTCATAGCGCTGAACAGTCAGCCTGACACTCACGCTAATTATACTCTTTATCTCTTTCCTAAACGACAAAGTTTGATTTCACATTAACCCTAGAACTTTACCCAGATTATCTCACCGTATGTTATGCGCTCGTCATATATGGGTGAACGCAACAATATTTCATGTAGTGTTAACCTTAAATGTCCACTGTTTAATGTCAGGTCATTGTTAGGTAAAATTGAAATTGGGCCTGTAGTACCGAAGACAATGCAACAGCTTGGAATCCCTCCCTTCTTCATTTTATACGTACAAAATTGTGTTTCCAACGCTGGGTCACTTTTGCATGATCGTTGTGCCTATACTCACCGATGCAGTGATGTTGGTCGAAGGACTCCTTAAAACCCGCGTTGCAACTGCACTTGACCCCTCCTGGTATGTTCACGCATATGCCGTTCCGACACATGTCAGTTTTCTCGCACTCGTTGATGTCTGAATTTAACAGAAATAAAAATCGGACTTAAGTTTGCGATGCAATAGATGAAAGCATATTCAATACTCGATATACACACGCACATAGAGAGTAGTTGAGAATGTGCTACTGATCCATAGAGACCGTTGAAGGGACTGTATTTCAGTACTTCCTGCTTCAGCCAGGCTGGCGCGCAAATGCTGAAAAAACTAAGCGCCTGTGAATTTTGTATCATTACGATGAAGAAAAAAAAACGTCCTTCATATCTTTTGCGTTGCCTTGTAAAGTAAATGCCATCATTTTCATTTTATTTCTTAAGATACTGTTCTTTGTGTCTAATATTTTGTACGTGAACATCTGTCGTAGAGATACTGTACCGTGAAGCTGCATGTGGCACCATAGCGAGTTGTGTTATTTCTGAGGAATATAAGATGTTGCAAAACTCGTCAGCCAACCAATACATCAAAGAAGACTTGGTCAAGTGCTCACCTACACAGAATTGCCCATCCTGCGACCAAACGTAGCCGTTGCTGCAAGTGCAGCGGTAGCTTCCAGGTGTGTTCTCGCATACGCCACCTCGGAGGCAGATCTGGCTGTTCTCGGCACATTCGTTGACGTCTGCGCAAAGGGTGAACTCTGGTGAATTCAGATATGGCGGATGGTGAAAACTGACACCGATGTTCTTTCTGGGTCGCGTTTGTGGTTTGATGTGCATAATGCCAAAATATGTGCTTCTGTTATTGTATGGCATGCGTGATCTCATTCTTCTTTCTTATTGCATTCACTCCCTCTGTCACTCGCTTACTCACTCACTAACTCACTCAAAAATGAGAATGGCTACATTAAGCCATTCGTCAAAGTCAGAATGAGCGCTTAGCGGGTTGGTAGACAAATGAGCCCAATTATCAACAACACTGATCAATCATTAAACACATTAGACGGCTTTAGAGGCACTTTAGAGTGCACTAGAAGCATATTGCCATGTCACACATTTCTAATTGTTCGAGTGTACTAGAAGCATATTGCCATGTCACACATTTCTGATTGTTCAAGTGTACTAGAAGCGTATCGCCATGTCACACATTTCTGACTGTTCGAGTGTACTAGAAGCATATTACCATGTTACACATTTTCGATTAGTCGAGTGTACTAGAAGCATATTGCCGTCATACATTTCTTATTGTTTTGGAAAGAGAGTAAGGCTTTTGCACCTCGTGGCCACGTCTTTCAAGGTTTCGTACCAGGAAGTCCTGTGCGAAATCTTGTCACTGAATGCGACGCCGCCCACTCACCGATGCAGGCGTGACCGCTTGGCGATAGCGTAAATCCGGGGTTGCACACGCACTTGTACGACCCGGCCATGTTGACGCATTGTCCGTTTCCGCACATGCCACTCTCTTTGCACTCGTCACGATCTGCAAAACAATGTTCAGTGCTTTTCGTCGCATCATCGCGAAGTTTCCCTGCTTGGATTTGCGCGACGACCTTTATTATTATAACCGTGACGTAAAACTCGTTTAAATATGTCACTTTCTTGTGCCGCACACTTGCAGCCTTCTCTTTTAAATTATTGTTTAGCAGTATAACCCTCCTAGAAGCGCGTTATTCGGGACATTGTACGAGCCGTTTCTCCGGAAATGAATAGTAGTTGTTGTAGCTTTACGTCACAAAACCATCATATTCATAATTAGGGACGCCATAACATAGGCATCGCAAAATTTTAACGATCCAGTGTTCTTTAACGTGCGCCTATATCGAAGTACACGTGCCTCAATATTTCGCCTCCGTCGAAATGCGGCCGCTACAACCGGTATTCGAACGCACGACCTTAGGGTGAGCAGTCGAGTGCCATAACTACCAGACCACCGTGGCAGTCGCGACACTGGAAAAGAAAGGGGAAAAATACTCGCACCCTCAAGGGCTCGCATTCTGATGTGTCGAAGCCACACGTATTTTGTTCCCTTATGTTTACACTATAGCACGTCAGATCAATAGCACTTACACTTACGCGTAGTGTGCCTCGTTATTGAAACAATGCATTTTTTTTCGCGTGCGGCTGGAAAATACGGAACCGTGTATTTTACGAGCACAGCGTTTCCATAACGGATGAAGCATATTGCAGAGCGTGTCCTCTCACCACTGCATTGCTTGCCATCTGGCGTGGTGTCGAATCCACGCGGGCACAAGCAGCGGAAGCCGCCCTCTGTGTTGATGCAGCTTCCCAGGGAGCAGTAGTTGTAGTCCTTGCATTCGTCGATGTCTGCGGTAAAAGAGAAGGCTTTCGTTATACGTTCCTGCTATTGCAAGCAGAAACGTGGATGCTACAAAAAATTATTTCGACTTGTTAAGCACGAACAGCTTTCAATACTTCGAGGTGGGCGATCCGAACGACACTCAAGAGCATTGCAAGGTGGAGGCTTGTGATGTTGTGACATTCTTGAACGGAGTGTGTCGCTGGAAAGAACGAGAGGATTTGTCTTTGTCAGAGTTGCGGATCAGGCCCTTAGCAGCGTTTCTATTCATGCATTGCTCATTATCCCTGAACCAGAGGGGGGAAAGAGCAAGAGGAAATACAATGACGGGATCCAATCAGGTCTAGAAAGAGTAAGCAATGCTTGAATAAAACAAACTCTGCTTAAACAAGAAAGTTGTTGTTCCGATGTAGGCAAGTCGTCTTGTCGAAGCGTTCTTTCCAGCGACCTTCCCTTTTCAAAAATTTCTCGCAAACAATACGTAAGGTTAAGACAGGGAGCTGAAACAGCCTGAACACTGCTGGCCACCCTCCTTTCGGGAAGAGAAAAAAAATGGTACACAAAGATTGAGGGGCGTAGAAAATGGGTTGGCCGCCGAGACTTTAAGGAATTCATGACAGTCTTGTTACTGTGGCGACAATATCTAGGCCTGGCTACAAGCGGCACAAAATCCAGTGAGTGGTACAGCATGTAAAAATGATTGCAACAAAAGAAAGCTGAAAAAGTAGTAGGTAATTTTTCACAGCTTGGTATACGAGACATGGTTGACGCGTTCCATGACACAGATATTTGTCAGAAATGAAAATAGCGGACAAAAGAGAAATCCGACCTGCGTGAAGGAAGCCAACGATGTGTTAAAAGACGTATACAACCGCAAAAGCCACGATACTGTAGTTGAACTGCAGTATCGTGGCTGAAAAAAAAATTGCTGAGATTGTTTTGATTGTTTGATTTCGAAAGAAACGAAGACTAGGATTCGATAGTTTGCAGTGCCACGGTGTGGGTCGAGAGGACAGCCACTTCATTGTGCATACCGTAAAACGAAACGGTGCAAAGGAGTCGGCATTTGTTTGAACATCGTCAGGAAGCTGCTTCTTCCTTTGCTCACTGCAGATGTAAAAAGGAAGTGAGCGCAAAGGAGGATTCCTTTCAAGTGCCGAAACGCAGATTCGCGACACTGCGGTTATTCTCCGCTCTTGCGCACACAGAGCTTCTTTCCGAGTTACGTGTAAACACTGCGAATGCGCACAGGTGAGCTATCGTACAGTCTATATGCACGGTTGGTAGTCTATATGCACTGTCGATGCAGACTGACCTTTGCAGCCCTTTTCGTCGTGCGTGGGATGGAAGCCATCGTCGCACTCGCAGCGATACCCCGTGTTGGTGTTGACGCAGCGGCCGTGTTCGCACAGGCCAGGTCTCAGGTCGCACTCGTTCGATGGCATCTTCTCAGGCGATCTGCAGAGATGTTTATATTGAGCTGCGTGCAAGAACAGAGAGAAACGGGGGAAAAAAACGCGTCAGCCGTGTCGGTATAACCACAGTTCGCTTTCATTTATGAACAGCGCACCGTTCCCCCACAACCCAATCGTCACCGTGTCACAACATATATCTAGTGAAAGATCAAGACCTCGCTGAGATGCTTCTCAGACTGGTAGCATTATACCATATGGTGAAGTCTTTTCATACGGCAGCATATTTCAGACTGCGTGCCGCTACCATAAACGCGATTAACTCTGTTCGTTGTTACATATGACAAGTAGGTAATCATTTAAAAAAAAGTATTTCGGACGAGCATACAAGCTGCTCAAACTGAGTGCCGTTGAAATTTTTTAACTGCCCACGCTTAGTATTCGCGACTTGTCTGTCATGACTTGGGCAGCGCGCTAATGGAGGTCGCAATGTCAAAACAATAAGGGACCGACCTAAGACTAATCTAGCTCACTATGGGCCCTTAAGACGGTTCCGAATGCTTAGTTGACTGAATGACAAGTTCAACAGCTTCCTTTATTGGGTGGCTCTCAGTATTTTTCTTCGTGCCTTGCACAAATCAGTGCACATTAAAATGGTTTTGTTAGACCAGCGCTTATCCTGTTTTCTTCTCTTGCGTGTCTTCTTATGTGCGCTGCTCAGTTATGGATAAGTTTCAACTCTCACACCTTTCAGTTCTGGTACAGATTAAAATAATATTTACCCCGAGAATCACTGTATAATACACGTGCAATTGACGCCGCCAGAGAGAAAAGCAATGGCATTTAAGTTCGCTAAACTGAACCCCTGACGACCACGAAATTCTACAAAATGACCTATCCTTAATTGAAAACTGGTGTTCACTCTGGATGATGCAGACCAATGTTTCCAAATGCAAAGTCATGCGCGTATCTCGCAAACAGTCTAACTCGGAATACGTCTACAATTTAAACTCACCGACCTTGGCGTATGTTGATAGTTACCGATACCTTGGCGTGCTTATTTCTAACACTCTCGCGTGGACGGATCACATCCCACACTTAGTTGCTGACGCATCGAAGAAGCTTGGTTACATCCGAAGAACGTTATGCCTATCACCTCCTACAGTCCGTAAAATTGCGTACGTAACCTTCGTTCGTACGAAGCTCGAATACGCGTCGTCCATTTGGAGCCCTCACCAAACCTATCTGATCAATCTGTTGGAATCCGTTCAGAATAGGGCTGCCCGGTTCATTATGTCCAATTATGATCACTCATCAAGCACCACTTTTATAAAAGAGTCTTTAGACTTGCAGAATCTAGCTGACAGACGTATACTTTCTCGACTTTGTTTATTTCACAAATTATACTATTATTTTCCTCACTTGCATGGTTCTCTCTTGCTTTCTCCCGCCCGCTATTATCGCCGGCTATTTAATTCCAGAAGCCTCCAACGTCTTTACGGTACGACCGTTGCATTCAATAAGTCATTTCTTCCTGTCGCCATCGAGGAATGGAATAACTTACCGGAACTCATCGTCTCAGAGCGTGACTCGTGCGCATTCAAACAACTACTAACAGCTCACTTAAACTTGGAAGCCCATTAAAACTCTACCACTGTCACTGTATTTTGCGCTCTTGTATGTGTAAATTTTGTGCGCGCATGTTTTTATACTTGTATAAGTACATTTTCTGTGCGTCTGTTCTCGGATCCTGCAAAAGTATTGCTCGTGTGTTTGTACAACTTTCTATTTTTTCTTTGTTTTTGTATTTAGAAAAATGTCTCCCCCCCTTTCATGTAATGCCCCTAAGGGGTCCTTACGGGTCAAATAAATTATGATGATGATTATTAATATTATTATTATTATTATTATTATTATTATTATTGCCAAGACATCCTGAGAACGATTTCATCGATCAACTTTCACTGATACGGTCTTGTACATCAAAAGGGTGTTTTTGCATGTTGAAATTGGTCATTTAGAGCATTTTTTTATTTGGGCCTGACTGTAATCAGCAGTCATGTGTTAAACAAGGTTCACAGCCCCAAACAGCCCTCCCTCTTTCACAGTCACCTTTTACTCCGTGCTGAGACGCTATCTTTAAGTGTCCACTAAGTGGAATTGTCCGTTTCAGTCGATCGGATATAGCTCTGGAACCGCAGATTACGACTGGTGTTGGTCCGCCAGCACTCGCTCTATCCAATGAGCGTGAGTCGAAAGAAACAGCCCACTTGGGGCACTCAGGCTACTCCTACAGAAGAGCTGGTAAGAAAGAACAGGTGAGAAGCAGGACGTACCCGTTCCGTTTCGTGGGCACATCTGGCAGGGTGTTCCCCAGCCGCGCATCCTAGACGAATCCTTGCAGCAGCACTCGTACTTGGTCAGCGTCACAGCGAGCTGACTCCGGCACAATCCTGGGCCTCCGTATTCGGTGTAGCAGTAGTCCCGGGTCGTGCCTGTTTACGCAGTGACGGTAGCGTAACGCAAGATATAGCACTTGTGGACCTAAACGCGAAAGTTCTGGGTTATATAGTGCACAAATTTTTTTGCCAGCGTGTGCAATTTGTGTCATATCGGCGTAGATTCGACCAACACCCATAGAAAGATGTCTTGCGACGTCCATCGGTTTCCGATTGGGGTGGGAGGTGGAGCAGTGTAGGCTTCGCAATGAACGCTCCCAAGTGACACTACTTCAGGTAGCTTTAGGATGTGAAGCCATGACAATCAGTTGACGCAGCGTCTGCGGCGAACGCTGCCTCTGGGACTGCGATATGCACTGCTATGACCTTGCAAAGAGGTATGAAGCGGCCACCGCAAGGAGCACCCGTAGTTGACTCTCCTTTTTGTGGAGCAGAGGAGGAAGGAGCACGAGATCGTTGGAAATCAGCTTTTGAACTCACGTCGCTGGCATCTTTCTAGGAGTGGATTTTTTCTTTCTGTATTTTTTGCTCCAACACTGACAGCCTGAGCCAACATTACCTCTATTGGCCATATGACCAGCTATGTGTTGTGGTTATCGCGAGAAAATCCACATAGCAGTCGTTATATATCTTTTTTTTAAGTGTCTTCACTCCGTGAGTACTGTGCATATAGGTAACATCAGGCGCCTCGGATGTGGATATGGCGCGAATACGCAGTTATCACCACCGCGGGTACAAGTTCAAGCTACACGCAATTAGACGCTGATTTGTATTGCATTTGACAGTCTTCGAGCACTCCGATACCGCCTTATTCAGGCATGGATCAAGGGCTGGCTATATATAGCCTAGAAACTAGACTATAGTGAGGTCCAGCTTCCTGGCTGTATCTAGAACTTCACGCTAAGCTCACTATAGATTGTATACAAGGAAACGCGAAGGTACACAGGTTTTTTTTTTTTACAACCGGTACTCCACCACTCAGCAGAAAATAGTCTTGCCACATATAAATATACATAAATCAGAGCTTGTCACCAGGTCGAAAGAGCTCTAGGTTGAAATATCGTGGCACTTTTGTAATCTATGTCGACATTTTCATTGTTAATTGAGAAGCGAAAAAGACGATGTTGTGGCGGATCGCGATGCGCCGCCGTATGAAAATGGCGTTCTTACTAAGACAGGCCTTCTTGTCGTAGCTGGGCACGGTTTCCGAACTGCAGACGCAGTAGTAGCTGCCGTCAGTGTTGACGCAATGTCCACCGTTGCATATCTCCAAGTCGTGGGCGCACTCGTTCACGTCTGCGAAGGTACAATTAAAATTGCCGGTGGTTTCATTGTATCGATAAGTTGAAAAAAAAACGAGGTAAAAAAAAATAAACACAGTACACATATCTAACAGCGCATATGTGACCAGTGCATACAGTCGCCCAAATCTTTATCTATCGTGCGCGAGTGGTCCTCTTATCAGTGTATTTTCGCCGTGCGGCTGATTAAAGTTCAAAAAAGGGTGAGGACAGGTGCACGCCCGCATACTACACGCCGACAAAACACTTTTTTGGTAAGTCGTTCCGTCATGCTGCACCCACTCAGAGAAGCCGCCGCTGCGCACAATAGTTTTTGGGCTACTGTATGCTGTATCGTATATAGCCTATTATCTACATAACCTATTCTTTATTCCATAAAGCAATATAGTCCGTTTGCTTGCGCTGTCAGGATACTGCTTCTCAACAGCTCTTCTGTTTTAGCATCCTTAAGTACATCTCAAGCTTATGACCATACCTTATTATCAGTAGCAATAAGTATCAGTAGCTGTACGACTGGTACTTGTAGCGGCCGAGATTTTGTGTTGCTTCCTGAAGCTCGCTCGTTTGGGGCATCACTGTACCTCGCGATGGCAAACGACGTATTTATGACAGGGTCGCCGACTGAGCAAATTGTTTCTCTTTCGTTTCTTATATTGTCAAGGCCAGGGTAGTCGTGAAGTCTTTTGAGACTCTGGCTCATGAGAGGAAGCAATGTCGTCCGAATGCTGTTCATAATATCTCCCTGCTTACCTAACCGCTTTTGTAAAACGTGTATTCCTTTCCAATCACTTTATAGTGCCTACTCTTACTTTTTTCGCTCCGAAAACACGCTGCGAACACTCAAACGGCTTCACACGAAAGGTAATTTTACAATGCAGGCGCCGCTTACCTTCGCACTTTCCTGTTCGCGGGTTCTTCGAGTATCCTTCGTTGCATTCGCAGATGAACGATCCTTGAGTGTTGATGCAGTTCCCTCCGTCGCAAATGCCCGGAATGGCTTCGCACTCGTTCACATCTGCGAATCACGACGATGCCTATAGTTGCCTAAATGACTCAATGCAGCTATCGTAATAAAAATCAACAGACGATGAAGCTAAGGAACGTTTCACTTGTGCGACAGGACAGCAGTGCGTTCATCCTCTGAGGTCTCGCAACTTTCAGGCGTATAGCACGCCTGTCCGGTGACCGTGCATCTTTTACTATAGTGCTCCAAAATTTTCATCACACAATCGCAAGTCCATATTTAAAAAAAAGAAAAGAGCCAAAACGCAATAATGCCACTTTTTATAGTCGTATAGATCAAAACAGAGGCTGTGAATTACGGTGGGCTCCGCCCTTTCGAAAGTGCGAACTCGTTACAGAGAAAGCTGTGATAAAATTATTTGTTAACTAATAATAATTTCCCACAGGTTGTGCTTGCGACTGACTTTATGCGTAACATGACTTCAACAACAGAAGTTTTCTGTATTTTACAATGTTAATCGAAACAACATACATATGCGAGGCTCGAATTAATAGCTTCTCTTCATTTTCTTCGTGACAACTTTTCTTCGCCGGCTGAAACTTGCTGTTCTGTGGGCATTAAGATTACTTTTTTTGTGCTGGTTTTACATTTTTGGGTACCGTTCAGTATTATTCTTTTTTTTTCTTTTGCTGCATAGCTTATTGATATAAAGTTGCCGATGCAATATGGACCTGAACCTCTCCACAGCAAAACAGTTAAAACAGAACCGAATAGAACAGAACAAAAGATTGGTTCAGTCCTGAAATCCAGAAACAGATTTTGATAATCAATATTAATGCACTTCTGGAGCAACAGTGCCCTGAATAATAAAACGAGAAAGACGCAGTAAGCACCGTGTATCTTTTATTTCGCTTATATTGCGTAAGCCCATTTTATCTAGTAATAAAATTAAAAGAATCCTTATTCTTCGCCTTTAATAGTTGAACGCGACAGCAATATCCTGTCCCTATAGTGCGTACTGAGTTCAAAATGGTTCGTGTAAGTGAAGCTTTCGCATACGGCTGGACTCTGTGTAATGAGCAGCATCTTTTAAACCACGGGTGATAGTGCGCGTGAAATCTTTTCGAACGTGCTATGCGCACTACATGCCCTTAAAAGAAAAGGCGCAGTAACATGTATTCCTTTTGTAGTAGGGGGCCCGTTTTAAACCATAAATGCATGATAATGCCATCACGCACAAGGTAATGTTTTTGCGCTCACAACCAACGACACCCACGCCAACACCGGATAGCATTTTTAACGCTATTGTGTTAATAAGAATAATTCGCTATTATTGATACAGCTGGAGCTTGGGAAGCTTCCAGAATTAGCGTACCTCGTTTCATATGGGATAATGCTCTCATCGTCTATGCGGTTCGCGCGTATAATACCACGTGATTAATAATAATTGCTGAGGCTTTCACCTGGCAAAAACATGATTATGTTGAAAGTAGTAGTGGGGGAACCCTGAAATGACTTCAGCCATCCGTGTTTTTTTTAACGAGCACCTAAACTTAAACCCAAGGTTGCTGCATCGTAACACGGCCGCCATAGCCGGGTATCGAAATCATGATTGATTGATTTGATTGATATGTGGGATTTAACGTCCCGAAACCACCATATGAGAGACGCCATAGCGGACGGCTCCGGAAATTTCTACCACCTAGGGTTCTTTAACGTGCACCCAAATCTGAGCACACGGGCCTACAACATTTCCGCCTACATCGGAAATGTAGCCGCCGCAGCCGGGATTCGATCCCGCGACCTGTGTTTCAGCAGCCGAGTACCTTAGCCACTAGACCACCGCGGCGGGACGGGTATCGAATTCATGCCGTCGAGCTTAGCAACGCGACCGCCTACGCGCTGAACTATCATGGTGGGTGTACCATTGATTGATATGATGATTTATTGATATGTGGGATTTAACGTCCCAAAACCACCATATGATTATGAGAGACGCCGTATATAGTGGAGGGCTCCGGAAATTTCGACCACCTGGGGTTCTTTAACGTGCACCCAAATCTGAGCACACGGGCCTACAACATTTCCGTCTCCATCGGAAATGCAGCCGCCGCAGCCGGGATTGGAACCCGTGACCTGCGTGTCAGCAGCCGAGTACCTTAGCCACTAGACCACCACGGCGGGGCATGGTGGGTGTACCATAAGATGGAGTTTCCAAATAATACACTACAGGGAAATCTCGCGCTAGTGTAAATGGTAGCTGCAACACGTGGCGCGTCCGCCAGCGTAGCATGTGGATTTGCCGAAGCTTCGTTGTTTGGTCTCGGTGTGGCCTGCTGCGTCTTTGCCCCAAGACGAGATTTAGCAAATGTTCAGCAGTCCCACTTCACCACCATGACCCTTTTAGGCTTACCAATTCAAATCACCTTATAAAGTTGACACAGATCCTTAATTTTTTTTTCTTAAACAGCAGCCAGCAGCCAGAACACAGTCACGAACAAAGCCACAAGTGGGTTTGAAGCCTCAAGCATGAAAACTAGAGAACTCGACTTTCTGCGCAAGCTGAAGGAAAACGAGATGGGAGTCGGGAAAGAGCGCAGCCTACCAACTGTTTATTGTCACTTCACGAAGTTAATACATAGGCTTGCCTCACTGCGCTATCACGATGCACACAAAACCAGTAATCTATTACAAAAAATGCCACATACACTACCTCTACGAAACATTTCAAATGCAGCATATGTCAAAATCCAAACTACGTATTCACAAGGTGTACACTTCTATTTTATCTTATTACTTTTCTATTTATCTTTTTATTGCATTAACATTCACGATGGCGTGAACACGTGAAAAGGTACTGTAAAATTTTTAAATGCTTTTTAAATAGGCTTCAAGTATGGACCAGCTAGTCTGCAAAAAGTATTGCTTCAATGAAAACTAGGCAAATAGATGTACTATATACCCATCATTTTGATGGTGGCTGAATGGTCGCATCGACAAAGTTCTCTCTTGTAAATATTATTGGAAGCTGTATGTATGCTCTTACTGGCTGTATGCGTGAATGCGTGACATCCGCACCGTGCGCATGTCACGGGTATTTTTTTATTGCTGGGCTCCCTATAGACAGGATTTTAGTCAGTACGCAGGAGCGCGCCGCCTATGTGCCGTTTGTTATCCGGCACCTGACTGAGAGTATATGATGCCACAGGTGACGGTGTACCTTGACATCCGCGCGAACGGATGTTGGTGATGTATCCGCGGTCGCACTCCAGATGGCGCGGGCACGACTCGCACGGGTGTCCCCAAGCGACGCCGACGGTGGCGCAGCACAGTTGTCGCGTGCACACTACTCCGGGAAGCTGGTCCGAGCAGAAAGAGTGGTGCTTGTTGCGAAAGCATGGACCGGTCCTGTAGTCTGCAACACGCGGTACATAGCAAATCAACGGGATACACACATTTATACCACAATGCTGGAGGAGGAGGATTGAAAGAGGAAGGACAGGGAGGTTAGCCAGTGGTGGAATACTGGGCTGGCACAATGCTGGTGTTATTCCTTGAGGTTTCGGGGGGGGCATGTGTCAGCACACAGTCTTTCTCAAAATATTTAATGTCGCCGTGCTGTGAGTTTTGTTTCCAAACCATGCTAGAGATATTACATATTGTATGAGCCAACAAACCGCAAGAATAGAAGCAATGAACTTGACTGGAGAGACGCTTACAACTGAGCGTCTCTCTTGTTGTGGATGGGCGTCTACCCTGTCGAGTTCTTTCCTTCTACTGGGACCCTTAGCCATGATTTATTTCAAGGGAAGGGGGAGCACTTGTTGAATACTTTGAAAAACACTTCTATCCTTGGTAAAACATCCTGCTCTATCTGAATTTAAGGGTGGGGGAGGGGGACTGCTTTTATTGCTCTTGCTTCGCTCGTACAATCTACAATATGTTGCACCAACTGGCACAGCGTATCACCGTCTTGCTAGAAGATCTTGGTGCCGTAGACGGAACTCGAAAGCTCAAATTAACGAGCCGCACTATACACATGCACTTGAGCTTGCTAATCGGCGACAGGTGAGATTGTAGGCCCAGCAGCTTTGGATATATTAGAAATGATCCCTTTGTAGTGGAGCATACGCACTAACGTGTATGCGCCTTCCAAAGAGAAGGAAAAACCCCGTGCTCTGATTGCACGAGAACCTGGGCCGCCTTTTGCCAGACTTGTCGTACGGCCATTTTTTCGTTGCGACATCGTTGCGACTTCTCCGGTTCAATAAACGTCATCACATTTGGTGGAGGCTGCTGAGATCCCCAAGCAGACCTGGAGCTCCGCTCTCGCAAGTTGCCCGAGAGACCACTGCAAAACATGACTGACGCAGTCGCCAACCAGCCCATCCCAGCCCAGCCAGCACCACCGGCTGTCCCGTCTACCTGCCCCGGCGCTACTCGCCAACGGGACCCACCAATCTTCAGCGGCAGTGGCGAGCAAGACGTCGAGGACTGGCTCTCCTTGTACGAACGCGTAAGCGCCAGTAACAAGTGGGACAACGACTCTAAGCTCGCCTACGTTATATTTTACTTGGCAGACGTAGCTAAACTTTGGTTTACGAACCGCGAAACCGCCATCGCCAACTGGTCTTCCTTTAAGACACTCGTCACTGAAGCGTTCGGCCGACCAGAGGTCCGCAAGCTCCGCGCTGACCAGCGCCTGCGCCACCGAGCCCAGCAGCCTGGCGAGACGTTTACTAGTTACATAGAGGACGTGCTCGACCTCTGCAAGCGTGTGAATCCATCTATGCCCGAAGAAGAAAAAATTCGGCAGATTCTCAAGGGCATCGAGGATGGCGCATTCCAGATGTTGCTAGCGAAAAGCCCGAACACGGTGGCAATCCTCGTAAGCCTCTGCCAGAGCTTTGATGAATTGCGCCGTCAGCGTTCCATCGCCCGACAGAGTGTCCTACCGCCGGATTCGATCTCGGCCGTCACACTCACAAATGCCAACGTTTGCAAAGAAAGTCTGTCCAACCAGATCAAAGACTTCATCAGGGAGGAAGTCGCCCGACAGCTCTCCCTGCTGCCGCATAGCGACGCGCCCACCGCAAGCCTGCCTACGACACTGCAGCAGGCCATACGCACGGAAATTTGTGATGTCCTCCCTACAGTGCAGGCCCCTTACCCGTGCACTTCAGTAGCGCCTAATCTCTCAGCTGTCGGCTACGCACCACCTGCACCACCTTCACCTCTCAGCTACGCAGCTGTGGTCGCGCGGCCCCCACCGCATCCAGTCGCCTTATCAGCTCCACCTCCTCCGGCCTCGCCTCCAGTTTACAGGCCCTCACCTCGCTTTTTCCATCGATCTAATGAGTGGCGCACTCAAGACAATCGTCCTATCTGCTTCACCTGTGGCATCGCTGGCCACATTGCACGCTTCTGCCGCCGTCGCCCCACACCTGCAAACGCATACTTCGGAACTCCTACCTACGCGCCGCAGCAGGCCACCGCATCTGCATATGAACAGAGGCACTCAGACTCGGATCGCCGCCCATCGACTGCTCGTTTCCCATCCCCTCGTCGCCGGTCGCCATCGCCTATGCGTCGTCGACCACCTCCTGAAGAGGGAAACTAATCAGTGCAGTTCCGGAGGCAAGAACTGCAACTTGTGCGCAATTCCCAAGGCCTCCGTTTTCGCCGAAAAATGTTGTTGATGTCGATGTTGAGGGAGTCGCCACATTAGCGTTAATTGATACCGGGGCCGCCGTTTCTGTGATGGACGTCAAATTTTGTCGGAAACTGAAGAAAGTGACCACATCTCTCTGTGGCATGGTGCTGTCCACGGCTAGCGCGCAACGCATTCATCCCTCGGCTCTGTGTACGGCGCGCGTCGTCATCCAAGATGTTTTGTACGTCGTACAGTTTTTTGTTCTGCCATCTTGCTCTCATGACCTTATCCTCGGTTGGGATTTCTTATCAGGTCATGAAGCTATCATCGATTGTTCCCGTGCCGAAGTGTCCCTTGTGCCAACATATGAATTTCCACCACCCGACCGGTCTCCTCGGCTCTGCAAACTCATCGCTGACGACGACATCACCTTGCCCCCGGAAGCTTCGGTCCCTGTAAGCCTTTCATGTGTGGCGCAACCTGACGCCACGGTGGTGTTTACGCCCTCTCCTGTTTTTACTGAACGCAAGGGCATCGTTCTCCCATTTGCCGTTCTTACAATTGCATCTGGTTTAACCGTAATGCTGGTTACCAACCACTGCAACTACCTCATCAGCTTACTTCGTGGTGAAACGTTGGGATATGTGCAACCTGTCGACCATATCGATGATATTATTCTTCCCGACGAAACGCCATGTCACATTGCCGCAATAACTCATGCGTCTGAGCCATCAAGTTTGTCAGCCTTCGACAATGCTATTGACGCAGACCTTCCCCTCTCGCATCACCGCCAACTTGTTGCTCTCCTTAACAAGTTTCGCTCTTCTTTCGACTTTCAAGAACCTGCTTTGGGCCGCACCACGACTATCACTCATACTATTGACACCGGCTCACATTTGCCTCTGCGACAGCGTCCTTACCGCGTTTCCGCCGAAGAGCGCCGCGTCATTACGGAGCAAGTAGACGACATGCTTAAACGTGGAGTGATACAGCCTTCTCAAAGCGCTTGGTCATCACCTGTCGTTCTGGTCAAGAAAAAAGATGGCACCGTTCGATTTTGCGTGGACTATCGCCGCTTAAACAAGATTACAAAGAAAGATGTCTACCCGCTACCACGAATAGGCGATGCTCTTGACTGTTTACAAGGCGCCGAGTACTTTACATCCTTGGATCTGCGTTCTGGGTATTGGCAGGTGCCAATGGCTGAATGTGATCGCCCTAAAACAGCCTTTGTAACGCCAGATGGTCTATATGAGTTCAAAGTGATGCCATTTGGGCTCTGCAACGCACCTGCCACATTTGAGCGCATGATCGATACCATCTTGCGTGCCCATAAGTGGAAAACTTGCTTGTGTTACCTGGACGACATCGTAGTCTTTTCGTCTGATTTCCCGACACATCTTGTTCGCCTCCACGAGATTCTGACGTGTCTAACTTCTGCGGGCCTACAACTTAACTCCAAAAAGTGCCACTTCGCAGCACGAAAACTAACCATCTTGGGACATGTCATCACAAGAGACGGTGTTCTTCCGGATCCCGATAAGCTTCGGGCTGTCGCTGACTTCCCGTTGCCCACATCACTGAAAGCTCTAAGAAGTTTTGTTGGTCTCTGCTCGTACTTTCGTCGCTTTGTGCCCAACTTCGCGTCCATCATCGCACCTCTAACAAGTCTGCTCTCCAACAGCAAAGGTATATCTGCATGGTCACCTGCATGTGACGACGCATTTCGCCAGCTGCGCCGCCTGCTGACCTCACCACCCATTCTTCGTCACTACGACCCCACTGCTGCCACAGAAATTCACACCGATGCAAGTGGCATCGGTCTTGGTGCAGTTTTGGCACAACGGAAAGGCACCCAAGCCGAATACGTAGTCGCCCATGCAAGTCGCGCTCTCAAGAAGGCTGAATTGAATTACTCCGTGACAGAGAAGGAGTGTTTGGCCATAATCTGGGCCTTGACGAAGTTTCGCCCGTACCTTTACGGCCGCCCTTTCGACGTGGTCACAGACCACCACGCTCTATGTTGGCTGTCCACATTGAAAGACCCGTCCGGACGCCTGGGACGTTGGGCACTTCGATTGCAAGAATACGACATCCGTGTAGTGTATCGTTCCGGTCGCAAGCATGCAGATGCCGATGCACTTTCGCGATCGCCTTTGACCCCAGATGTGGCTTCTCTGTCACCACTTTTTACCACCTTGTCACCAATAGACACCACTGACATGCTTTCGGAGCAGCGTAAAGATCCATACCTTGCATTGTTACTCGACTGCCTTACCGATCCGTCTGCTGTCCCTTCCACGAGAGCGCTACGCCGACAAGCAGCCCACTTTTCCGTGCGAGACAGCATTCTGTACCGCCGCAACTACATGCCTGGTGGTCGGAAGTGGCTCCTTGCTGTCCCAACTCATATGCGCTCTGACATCTGCATGAATTTCCATGCAGACCCTCAAAGTGCTCACGCAGGTGTCCTGAAAACCTACGAAAGGCTGCGCCAACGATATTACTGGCGAGGAATGTATCGCTTTGTGCAGAAATACGTTCAGTCTTGCACCACTTGCCAACAGAACAAGACACCTCCGCGGCACCTTACTGGCATGTTACAGCCGCTCCCATGCCCGGCTCGCCCATTCGACCGCGTGGGTATCGATCTCTATGGCCCCCTCCCATATAGTCGCTCTGGAAACCGGTGGATTATTGTCGGCGTCGATCATCTGACACGCTACGCTGAGACTACAGCTCTACCAGCAGCGACCGCCCACGAAGTTGCACTCTTCATTCTCCGCAGCTTCATTCTCCGCCATGGGGCTCCACGGGAATTACTCAGTGATAGGGGTCGAGTGTTCCTGTCGGAGGTCATCCAAGCTATTCTCGCTGAATGCAACATCATCCACCGGAAATCTACCGCATACCATCCACAGATGAATGGTCTCACTGAACGGTTCAACCGCACACTTGGCGACATGCTGAGGATGTACACCTCCTCCGACCACACTAACTGGGACGCTGTCTTGCCTTTTGTTACCTTCGCTTACAACACCGCGACGCAAGCGACTACCGGTTTTTCCCCGTTCTTTCTGTTGTACGGCCGCGAACCATCCCACCCACTCGACACCATACTCCCGTACCGCCCTGATGTATCGGAGTGCTCCCCGCTTTCGGAAGTCACCAGATACGCTGAAGACTGCCGTCAGTTGGCTCGGTCTATGACAAGTGAGGCTCAAGGTCTACAAAAAACCCGGCATGATGACGCTCATCACATAGCGCCTACGTTTCGTACTGGCTCCCCCGTGTGGCTTTGGGTGCCCCCGCACGTTCCTGGCCTGTCTTCCAAACTTCTGGCCCGGTACCATGGTCCATACCGTGTCATTGACGCAACCTCACCAGTGAATTACATCGTCGAGCCCCTAACACAATCGCCAGATTTGCGCCGTCGAGGACGCGAGACCGTACACGTCGACCGTCTCAAGCCCTACTACGACCCCCTCATTGTGCCTACTCCCTGAGTCGCCAGGATGGCTACTCTTCAACCCGGGGGGTATTGTAGTGGAGCATACGCACTAACGTGTATGCGCCTTCCAAAGAGAAGGAAAAACCCCGTGCTCTGATTGCACGAGAATCTGGGCCGCATTTTGCCAGACTTGTCGTACGGCCATTTTTCGTTGCTACATCGTTGCGACTTCTCCGGTTCAATAAACGTCATCACACCTTCTTCACCTATAACGTTAATTTTTTATCTTATATATCTTTATAGCGCGTGCCCTTTTCTGTATCTCGGCTATGAACGACATGTGATTAAGGCGAGCTCGTATCGAGAAACAACGAAAACTGATGAGAGAGCGCGAGAGCGAGAACGTTTAAATGCATACTAAAACCAGAGTCCTTCAAGGACTTTCCTAAAACTAATGCATTGCTCGTAAACGTAAACTCCGGGTGAGCGTTAAATGAGTACTTACAAGGTGGAAAATTCCTGTGAAAAGCTGAAGTCATTCATGTTTCAGGTCAGCGCTTCTTATATTTTGTTTATTTATTACCAACAGTACCTTGGCTGCATTGCAGAGTGAGGGGGAGGGGGAGATGGGAGAGCTCATGTGCAACAAAACCTCAAACGAGAAACCAGTATTCAAGCGTTTTCTAACATGGAATACAAAGGATAATCGCGAGTTGCGCTACAGTTGGTGAACGTATAGTATAACTGTCAGTTCAAGCGCACGAATAAAGACAAAAGAAGAGAGGATGGTTGTTATCCTCTTTTTCAAGATACTGAAGTGGTTTTTCGATCTAACAATGAATTAACTCGCGAGTTGACAGAAGCTTTTCACATAAGAAAAAGAGGTGAACAATGCGTCAGCCAGTCTTCGGTTTCGCTGCACGATAAAGAGTTAGCTTTTCTAGGTTATGTTCCGAGATAATCTTTCTTCTTTTACCCTGTGTTCTCGAGGTTCCACAGGTGTACTATTTGCCTGCACACGCATGCGTTGTTTTGTGATTGCCTGAGTATATATTCTTCCCTTTCTAATAAATTGTTTAGTTGCGAGAAAGCGCTTGTCCTCTCTTCCTTTCTGTTTATTCGTGCGCTTGAACTGACAGTTATACCATGCATATCCAAATAGTCCAACTTTCGATTCTGGTGAACGTATAGACTGTCAAAAAGTAAGTCATTTTCACAGCGAAACACAAATAACAGACAGCGGAAGAGAAGGACTCAAACGTTGATGTCCTTCACGCTAGTGGTCGTTTTCTAACTATGCTGTGCTGTAAGTGATTTCACGACTGCATACGAAGCTTCTGCGGTGGTACGTTTTCATCTAAGATCTCGTCACAAACGGTTTCTTCAACGCATGACTAAAACTCAAATATAAATCTACGCCTTCTTGTGCGCTATTGGCACTTATAGTAAATACCTTCGGCATCTGGGTTAACGAAATAGTAGAGGTGAGTTCCTTTCCATTTCCATTGGGCATGTCGGGAGAAGGGAATGGACGTTGGTCATCGTCGACATCCGATCACAAGAAGCTTACCTCTCTCGCAGCGGCGCCCCGTGTAGCCATACACGCACGAGCAGCGGTCTCTGCCGATGCAGCGGCCGCCATTGAGGCAGGGTTCCCGGCACTGCGCACCACCGCCTGCGCAATCGTCAAAAAACAAACAAACAAACTAGGCCTTGCATCATAGTGGAACCGTGAAAATCACTGCTCTTCACAGCCTACAGGATGGAGTACCTCAGTAGCTTCCAAAAAAAAACAAAATAACAAGTTCTTTAGCGCCATTCACGCAATATAGCCCCCTAAACCGTTCGCTGTTTTTTTTTTGTTACCCTAATGCCTTGCTTCTGATGCCAATCAAACACAGTAGGTAAAAAAAAATTCTCCCAGAAAAGTTTCGTAAATACCCGCCGTACACTCTTAATCTTGTTTCACATAGGCTCCAGATAAAGCAGTCGTTAACCGTATTGGTAGGGGCAGGTTTAAGTGGCTTGCTGTATATCTGTAAAGCAAGTGTTCTGCATATATACGGAGACATGTAGTAGACATGGTATACTCGTTTCGTTATCTTAGGCGTTCATGGTCCGCAGATTGTTTTGTTTCAGTAAAACGCTTCTTAGGAACTCAAGTGAATCACACTCATAAGTAGTGACCGGGAATACGTTTCAAGCCATGAGTCAAGCTGCGGAACACAGCAAGCAGTGCTCTATGTAGCAATAGCATAAGAGCTCCTGCTGTTCACTAAATGCTTCTGGGGTGTAGCTCACCCGTAAAGCTTTCTTGCTCGAGATAAGAGAACGGACCTTTTTACCGTACTAGGGCAGCAAGCTGCTTCGCGCACCGATTTGTTGTGTGCTCCTATTGCCGAGAAAATAAAATTCGCAATATGCAATTGACACTGGTTCTAGACTGCTTAAGCAGTTATTGAATTGAGACTGAACATAGGCAGCGTTGACGCTACAACAGCGGACAGCCAAAATAAGCCTACAACAAACTGTGGAAGGTAGGCAGTGCGGCTGAAGAATGCTTTTACTGAAGGAAGGAAAGAAAGAAATAAGCAGAAGGGCTTGCTTCTGGGCATGGGTGTCCGCAGGATGGGGTGAAAATCCATGCTGCATCGTGTTGGGGTAAGGGGGGTGGCAGAAATGCCTCTTTCGCGCACCCCCGGCCGACGGCCATGCTTCTGGGCTTTGCAGAATTCGTTAGTTGCGTGTCCTAAATAACTTCTGAAGAGCCAATTGCTGCTTTCAAAAAAAAAAATCTCCCCCGAACGCCATGGGCGATAAACGAACCACCGATGTCCTCTGTCTGTCAAGTTCGCAACGCGTCCTCCAAGGCCCGGCCATGAGTTAAGAGCTGTCCGCAACCTCGGATGTTTTGCGCGCTGCGAGGACATCCGATCCCGTCGTCTGTCAGCGCTGACCGGGAGGGGAGGAAGCTGACAGCGCGTCTCTGGTCGTGTGCCAACGAAGCATCGTGAACCCCCATGGAGCTGCGGTGGCGAGATGGCTGAGGGCGAGAACGCGCAAACTGCTCGGACCACCAGAGGACGAGAGTCGAGTCGCTCGGCTCGTGTACTCAGTCCGCTGACTCACGGCGCTCGTGCTAATTTATTCCCGTCTCCTTTGCTCATTCATGCGCCGTGAGCTTTTCTGGCGAGTATAGTACTACGCGCCGCGTACGCTCGTCTTCCGCTTTCTCATTCGAGATACGCGAGTGCTGTCCGGTGCGGCCGTTATACGGGTCCTGTAACTGGATGCCGCGTTGTCTCGTCTCCGTGCCAGCTCTGCGAATCGCTCGCTTTTCGGCCTTTGGCTGGGCGATCTTCTCTTGCGCACGACTGCTTTCGTCGAGCGCTGATCTGGCTGTGCTCGTCGAAAAGTTGCAGGGAATAAGCGCGTCGAGAAAGACCTTGCTGTAGATTTCCTCTACTTGGTAAAGCGACTGATGCGTTTGCCTTAGGTCGCCCTGCTAGAGCTGTGCCGCTAAGAACAGTTTCGATGTACTTAACTACATCGAAATTGAAGAAAAATAAATAAAATAAAGAAATAAAAGAACGACAATTGTCGTTCTTTTATTTTGTTACTTTCGGATCAGAAGTTTTCCGGCATAAGTTTGTGTTGCAGTGAATACTGTGCTTCTGGAAGCTGCCATTTATTCTACGGCAGGAAGGGAGGGAAAACTCCGAATGTTTGTAGACGCTCGGCATCAGATGCTTACACGTTGAATCAATTATGCTTCGCATAATTTATTCAACGTGTAATTGTAATGTGATCGAAGGCATGCTTATGTACATGCAAATATAACAGATGGACAGAAATTTATGATGTTTGTTAAAGTGGTCGAGCGCAGCTTAGTGAGGTATGTATCGTACTGCATTAACTCTCAATATGTTGCACCTCTAGGTCAAATAAAGACGGACAGTTTAGTCCTGCAGATTACTTCATTGTGAGGTAACTCACTCACTCACTCACTCACTCACTCGCTCACTCGCTCACACAATCACTCATATGCGCTGGTGGTAAAGGGACAACCCTACCGTGATCGGTGGGCCAAGTTGAGCTGGTGACCGCGGTCGATGAGCCGTTGGTCGACACCGTGGGTGACGTCAGTGGAGATGATGGGGGCGTACAGGAACTGGCCACCACTCCGTTGGTGCAGCGACACACGTTGGGCCTAATGCATTGGCCTTGGCCGCAAGACCTCCGACACACCGCTGCGAGTAAGCAGGGTCGCGTTAATTAAGCGGAAGAAAGAAAGTGACAGCTCCCACTAACTTGTCACTTGTAACTTGTCCCTTGCATACCATGTATTCTGCGTTCAAGACCAGTTTGCATGCAGCATATATTCCTCCTCTGTCTATGGTTGGAATAGTTGAGCTTAAGTTCGGACGAAGACAAAACTGATAGTTTGGCTAGTTGGTGATACGTATGGGCAGTACCAGCGCACAAACTCACGGGACGAAGAAAAGAGACACAAACAAGCGCTTGTTTGTGTCTCCTCTCTTCGTCCCGTGAATTCGTGCGCTGATACTGCCCATAACGAAGGCAGGAGGAAAAAAAAAGGATGTCGATAGAAATAGCGCCTTGTGACTTTCGAGAGTCATGTGTACCGGGTATTTACTATTTTTTTGCCAATCTACTTATTAAAACGTATGTACGGGAACCAATATTACGTCGTATCACAAATTCACGTGCGTGCTTGCAAGGAATCGAGAATGCGGCGAAATGTTACAAGTGCTCGGCTCTCAGGAAACCGCTGACCGCGACTGTTTCATGACAGCTCATTTTCGCAGAAAGCCATCCCAGCTATTTTGCGACACTCGAATGTGACTGACTCAAGTACCCGTCTGCTGCTATATGCGACATGATGAGTAATTTAAATTAACGTCTTCTCTCTCTTACTGTCCCATTTCTCTCACCACATGTGTTAGCCAACTGGAAGAAGTCTTTTTGAAACAGCACAAAAGACAAGTGATACAGAAAGACTTGGCAATATGAGGCTTTCTCGGTGGAAGAAGTCTTGTTAGCTTTTCTTTCACTCGCTTTCGCTCTCTCAGTACGAAAAACTAATTTGCTTAAAAGATGATAGTGCTAATGCGGTAACTATTTCACATTTTTTTTACCCGCGAAACTTCCAATGTGCCATCGTGAAAGAGTGTGAAAGGTGACATCGTGTCTGACCAGACCTCACTCCTAATCATGTCCTGCTTAACGTTCCAGATGTATCCATGATATATGTATTGCTCGTCTAGTTTCCTACCTATATTCAGTACTTTATTCTGGACACAGCTAAGTGTGTAGTTCTGACGTCTGAATGCAGACTCGTCGCATTCATTTGGAAGCGGTACCTTTTCCGCCTGACCGCCCTATGAACACCTCTTAGGTTGCCAATGCCTTTTAGCCAGTGTGGCATCTTGAAATGGGAAACTTCGGGGTTCCCTTTCACACTGCTCACGACTCGCCTCGCCACGCAACACTCTTTCCGGCCCAAAGCGCGGACGCACTCACGGACAGTACAGAGTCCGTATCGGCCGTGGCTCCACTGCTTGCTCCAGCCATCACAGCAGATCGGTGCCGGACCGTAGCGGCACACGTTCACGTTGACCCTGCGACAAGACCGCAAAGCACGTCGTCAACAAAAGCTCGTTGTTGATAACGATAATAACTTGTTCAAGTTTTACGACCGCTGCCACGATATTATTGTGAGAAATGGCGAAGCGGAGTACTCCGGAAAAGGAGACCACTTGGTGTCCCTGTAACGCGCAGTTCAGTGTAAGTACGTTGGCCACTGGTAATCCGCGACCATTGGAATGTGGCCTCCTGAGGCCAGGATTCGATGTCGTGAGATTCGGGTTAAAATCGGTTGTGGTCGAGAGTCATAAACAACAGACCAACGTGTCGGTTAAAAAAATCCCCTTGTTGTGCGTGTTGGTGCTCACATGCAGCAGTGCAATAGCTCACGCGTAGAAAGCGGCCGTGCAAAAGAAAATATTCGCTGTCCATTCAAAGTGTTAAAGAAACGCCTCAGTGTTGCTCTGAGGCCGCACTCAGCATGGCAGAAAAGTAATTAATAATAATAATAATAATAATAATAATAATAATAATAATAATAATAATAATAATAATAATAATAATAATAATAATAATCGTGGTGTAACCGTTGCAAGGAGGCTCATCAAACGCGAACAGTGGCCCTGTATACGTGCTGGTGACGTCGGCACGAGCGACACGAAAAATCATCACCACGCGTCAAGGACAGCCCGTGACATCGTTGCGATGGCGCAGGTCAAAAAAAAAAAGTGAAGCGAAAATGAACATAGTCCTCTGCCACTACGTTTTTTTGTTTTTTTTCAGATTCAGATACTTTTATATTTCTTGAATTACACCAAGTTACTGAAGCTAATGGTATAGCAATACGTGACAAAAGGCCTCTGTACTGGTTTTACCAAAATAGTAAACAACAAATATATAGAAAATTGTTCGCAGAATACAAAATTTTATTCAAGTTTAGAATAAAAAAGACAAATAAGTATACAATAAGCTCATAAGAAAAGGTTATTTTATACAAAAGTAAAAAAGGAACAAAAATGCATGATGATAGCCTAATTGCTGGTATATTTTCTGAAATGCAATATTTATATTTGAAATAAATCAATAAAAAAACAAAACATTAAACACGCAAGCACAGTTGAACCAATTTGTGACAGGTCATTATGCTTTATTTCCTGTCTGTGATGTAATGCGCGAAAAATGAAACTAATTAAACTCAATAACGAAATATGTGTGACTAGGGAGAGGAGGAGATATTCCCCCGGGAGTATAGCAGAGCCAGATAGTGAAAAGATTAAATAAATAAATAAATGCAGTTCTGCTTTTCTCCGACCGGCCTTCTCTACGCGACTCGCCCTCGTAGCGGCCGGCGGCAAGGCAGTGATGCCCCCCCCGCTGCTTTGCATATCTGTGGCCGCGAAAGAGAAACCTGCTGCTCGCTTGGACCGCGTCCAGATGGAGCGAGGTGGGGAGCTGATGTGTCTCCTGTTCTCTCGACTCTTTTTGAGAGAGAGAGGAAGAGAGACACCTCTCGACTCTTTTCCAGAGGGAGAGAGAGAGAGAGACGGACGCCCGCCCACGCAGAGAGAGACGGTGGGGTGCATTGCGTGCGAGTGTGAATCCATGGTTCCGCACTCTGTACGTCGAGCGCCCGAACGCTCAGTCGTGGCGCGTGTGGTTTCGGGACGTTAAACCTTACGTATAAAATCAAAAGTGTCGCGCGCGCTGCGCCTCAAATCGCGATGAACGCAGCGCAAATGACGTCACCACGCCGATAACGAAGCGCCGGCCTGGCGCGCTCGCGTAGGCGCGTTTTATCGGGGACCGCAAAGGCGGAGTCGTCAAACGTTATTTCTTTTCTTTCTTTTTTTTCGCCTAATGATAACTTGGATAACATCGAGCAAACGTAGGAAACCGAAACTATAGCATGTGACCGTGAGAACGTTTGGGTTAAGTGGTTGCACTCATACTAGGGCTTACATGTTGTTTACCTGCACGCTTAAAAAAAAGGTTTGTATATTCACTAAGAACTAGCCCGTTACTTGTCACAGAATCCTCTAACCAGCTAGTAAATGCAGCTAGTAAAAGTAACCGCATTGAAAGGCACTACCTCGTCGGGCTCGTAACAAACACTAGCCCAAATACCACCAGGCTGGTTAAAAGCACCACATCGTTGGGTAGTTAAAATTACTACCTAGTTAGTCAGTGAATAGTGCTGACTGGAGTGGCTAGTTCATTACTGAACAGTTATTAACCGCCGCAAATTGAGTTTTACGTCGATTTTGTTAAACGTTTGTGTGCGTAACCATATCAATATGATTCTACTACAAAAGTATAGGACAAGAAAAAAACAAATTGCAATGGTTCTCGTAAACTATTACTAATTGCTTCATGTAACTATACTGGGGTATGTGCGCATCACAGCAACACACTTATAGAGAATTGACGACATGATCATATGATCAAATCAGATCCACGTTTGTATGATCTTATGTGAACCTCAAATGTTCATATGGACTCTGTGACCATATGATATGCTCATATGAGTCCATATGAGCTTACGGTTTTCATACTCACATGACTATATATATGCTCATATGAGTGTACGTTTTGAGAACGTATATGAGCAGATCACGAGAACACATGCACAAGTAAATCTTCAAGACTTGGACATAGCAGAATTATACTGTAGCAGCAGCTTGAAGACTATATATACCCCTGCTTTGGGACCGCACACCGCGCACTGGTTAGCAGGCATTGTTTATAAGATCATTGTGGTTTTCTATGCAACATCATGCCCCCTTCTATTCACTCATCCGTGTGCCATTACGTGGAACGAAACTTCTAGTCCATGGTAGTCAATAAAATTAGAGCTTGCTTAAATTTTGCTCACGATGTCACCATTACAGCGAAATGAACTGCGGAATCTACGAAAGATCTGGCAACGTAGGTGGCTTAGTAGTTGCTTAGTTAAAAACACAAAGAAAAGTTCCCTGGTTAGTAACGGCTAGAATTACTAGCTGTACTAGCTGGTGGCTAATAAAAGTATGCCGCGAAGGTAGTAAAATACTCCAAAAACTAGTAAACACACGCGTTTACTAACTGATTACCAACTTTTTTCTAAGAGTGTGCTTTAAACGTTGTTGTGTAGGTGTCCCTTTCACTGCGGCAAGCATGCGAAGAAAGCTCGTACTGTGACTCTCCTTGCACATAAAAAAAAAATCTCTTAAGTAAACGTCGCGCGTACAGTGCATAATCTTACACCGAACTGGAATCATTAGTTTAAGTTTACCTTGGCCAATGAATGTGGGCGATTGCGTCTGTTAATGCTTCATGATCTATGTTCGCTGATTTCTAGGTCGGTTAGCCAACCGACTGGATTACAGGTATCAATAGCGCACGTCGCCCGAGCTCTACGTGTGGGCTTCCCTGTCTTCACGTCATACGCTTTGCGTAAATATTTATGCACATGTGAACCTCTTTTTACTCGTTTATTGCATGTTTAACCTTAAAATTTTGCATTAGGCCAAGGTAATAAGCATCGATAAGAGAGCATCAATAGCAGAGAAACACCGAAAATGTCCAGTAGAGTAGTAGCTATGAAAAAAAAATCACCAAAATTGATTGATTGATTTGTGGGATTTAACGTCCCAAAACCACCATATGATTATGAGAGACGCCGTAGTGGAGGGCTCCGGAAATTTTGACCACCTGGGGTTCTTTAACGTGCACCCAAATCTGAGTACACGGGCCTACAACATTTCTGCCTCCATCGGAAATGCAGCCGCCACAGCCGGGATTTGATCTTGCGACCTGCGGGTCAGCAGCCGAGTACCTTAGCCACTAGACCACCATGGCGGGGCAAAATAAAAATAACCAAAATTGCGCGTATGGTTGGCTATCCTAAGCATCTCATAAGGAATAAATGGATCTGAGTACAAAGAAATTATCTCACGAGTAGAGACTGCTTGGTACACTGCTCGCTGCTTCATACAAACTATGAATATAACAGCGTGGTATCATTTACAGGTCGGCGTATATTGGTGCGCGTCAACGCTAAATAGCAAATTGTTTCAGACTATTTCAACGAGTGCTCGTTTTTACGCATTCATTTCTAGACAAGAAGTCTTAAGTCTTTGACTAAATTATTTAGCACTCTTAAACATGTAAAATGGCTTGGATGAAAAGGTTCGTAAACGCTCTACGGCAAACAACAGTGTTCGTAGAATACCAACTAGCTCGATCTGACAGGTCATGAACTTCGTTTGGCAGCGTCCTTCACTGCGTGTCACCGTGCCCGTTTCGCGTGAACAGCCAAGTGAAGACAATGAACGAGAATTATCTGGAGTCCGCTTCGAATTTATGAGTCTCGGTGCATCGAAATTAGTTTTCACACACACATGGTGGATTTTCGCAGGAAGAAAAAGCCTAATTACCGGGGTCGAGAAAAGGGCGGCATCCATTTGTATGACTCTCTCTTTCTGATGACCGACTTGTCAGGGCAACAATTGCCGTTGCCCGACAAATTTTCTTGGTCGATTTCAGTCGATGGCTTGGCTATTAGTTGATTGATGGCTCTTGACAAGCTGCGCTGGTCGGTTTGCTTGCAAAAACAAGCTGGCTTGTTCGTTAGGGCGTCAATTTTCCGACCACTCGTGACCGTAATGTCAGCGTGATGAGGCCTTCTCAAGCATCTACCCTCGTAAAATTTGCATGTGTCATGCATGACGAAGCGAAGCTGCAAGCAGAGCGAGTGGCTATCTCAGACAAGGATATCGCTGAGCTTACAGTGACGGGCCCTTTATGCTGAAAATGCTACGATGACAAAAAAAAGGAGAGAGAAAGAAATACAGTAGAGAAGAAAGCAAGCACGAAGCTACTTGCTAGAGATTGAGTTGCGTGTCATCTTTCAAGCGTGACCTTTTTCTCTATCTTCACTAGATCGCTTATCGGCCTTCAGCAAAAACCTGCTGGGCCCTCGCCTCCAATATGCACATACAAAAAGGCGGTTTTCTTTTTTCTGGCATTTTCAGAAAACGGCCCTTGTCACACATTT